AACTTTTTTTATATTTTGATAAAATTCCATTTAAAGTATTTAATAAATCTAAAAATAAACCATCAATTTTATAAATTTCATTTTTACATTCAATATTAAAAGAAGCAAATCTAGCAATTAAAGAAATTGCTTGATTAATAATTTCAATTGGAATTACAATATTTTTTTGTTTTAAAATATTATTATATACTAAATTTAGTAAATCATATTTAATAAATAATTTTTTAAAATACATTTGATCTAAATGATATTTATGTTTAATATCTAAATTTGCAATTCTAGGTCCATTACAAATACAATTTAAAATAAATAAAATTTTAAATTNAATTTCAAATAAATTTTTTTCAATTGAAATTTTTAATAATAAAATAAATAATTCAAAATTATTTTCAAAAATAACATTATATACATTTATAATAAATTCACTAATTTCAATTCTATCATATGGATTATTATAATATTTTACAAATAATTCACAATATTCAATTACTGGTTTTAATATTATTTTTATATTTTCAATAAATTTATTAAAACCTTCTTTTAATTCTTCATTTGTAATATTATTACTATTTATGGAACTAATTAAAGATAAATTATTAATAATATAATTATTAATATCTGGATATTGATTTAATATTTTAAATAAATGTTGTAATTGTGAATTAATTTCATACATGTCTAATTGTTTACATTGTTTTAAATATTGTAATTTTGGATTATTTAAATTATTATTTAAATTATTATTAAATAATTGATCATGATAATCACGATAATGATGCATTGAATTTCTATATGATTTTTTATATATTTTATCATTTTCATTATTTAAATTATTATTTAAATTATTATTACTACTTCCAATATTAGTAATATTATTATTCATATTATTATTAATATCATCAATATTATTATTAGATCTAAATTGTAAAAAGAATTTTTGAACTTTATCATGTACAGAATCTCTTTCTAAATTATAATCTCTTTCTTTTCTTTTTTTAGTAGAAGAAGATTGATCTTGATCTATCCATATTTGCATAGTTTCTTTAAATTCATCCCATTCAATATTACCATCATTATCTTTATCAAGTAATTTCATTAATTGAAATACTTCTTGATCTGTTATTTGTTGTATAAATACATTACTATTTTTTAAATTATAAATCAATTCTTTAACTTCATTAACATCTAGAATATTATTACCATCTTTATCAGCTAATCTAAAGGCTTTACGTAATTCACTCTCTTGTAATTCACTTAACTATTATTGTTATTATTATTATATGATAATATGATAATATGATAATAGTATTATTATTGGATGGAATGTATAGCATTCATTGGATGATAGGATAGAGTGAGTATATTGGATGAATAGGTTCATTCCGTGTGTTGTGATGATGATCATAAAATTACTATTAGTAACTAAATAATATTTTACTTACTGGCATTTTTTTTTGATTGATGACTCGATTCATAAAAAGCATACATCTCTACTATTTAGTTAAATAATGATGGATATTTGGTCCATTTCATTGTAAAACATAAACTACTTTATATATATAAAAATAATAAAAATAAATTTATTACAATTTTTGACGAATGAAATTTTCCAATTTAATTAAATCAGCAGTGAAAGATCTAATACCACCAGCTAATTTATCAGTAGCACAAGCATCTTCATTCATTTCCCAACGGAATAATTTTTCACTCAATTCAACTTTAGTAATTTCAACTTGTTTTGATTTTTCTTCAGATAATTTTAATTCCAATTCATCACATGGAGTTGATGCTAATTGTTTTAATAAAGTAGGTGAAACTGTTAATAAATCACATCCACATAATTCAGTAATTTCACCAACATTTCTAAATGAAGCTGCCATTACAACAGTTTTATAATTATACTTTTTAAAGTAATTATAAATTGATGTAACTGAAATTACACCTGGATCTTGAGATGGATGAGAAACTACTAATTTTTGATTTTGTACATAATAATCTAAAATACGTCCAACAAATGGTGAAATTAATGTTACATTAGCTTCAGCACAAGCAATAGCTTGAATCTTGGAAAATAATAATGTTAAATTACAATGAATTCCTTCCTTTTCTAATACTTTAGCTGCTTCAATACCTATTATTATTATTATTATTATTATTATATTATAGTATTATTATTATTATTATATTATTATTATTATCATGATGATCATTGTCAATATATAATGTTGATGATAGGAGTAGAGTGTTGATAGGAGTATTTTAAAAATGATCATGTGTGATGATTGATGAATAAATTAATAACATACCTTCCCAAGTACTAGCAATCTTTACAAGTACACGTTCCTTTGCAANTACCAGCTTGTTCATACATTTTAATTAAATGTCTAGCCTTGTCAATAGTACCTTGAGTATCAAATGAAAGTCTATTATAATATATATTAATAATATTTTAATTAAATATAAATGTATTAATAATATTAATAATATTAAATATATTAATATTAAATATAAACATACCTTGCATCAACTTCAGTTGAAATTCTACCTGGAATAATCTTTAAAATTTCCAAACCAAAGTTAATATTTAATTTATCCAAAGCAGCTTCTAATAATTTCTTTTCATCATCAACACCAACAGTCTTTTTAGCATATTCAATACCATCTTGTACTAAATGTTGATATTCTGCCATTTGAGAGGCTTGATAAATTAAACTTGGATTTGTAGTAGCATCTGTTGGTTGATATTCACTTAATAATTTAAAATCACCTGTATCGGCAACAACTGTTGTTACTTTCTTTAATTCTGCTAATTGATTGGAACTCATTTTTTTTAATTGATTAATTGTTGTTAATGATCTTTCGCTTACGTTCTTTAAAAGGAGGCGACAAGTATTTTATTTTAGGAAGAAAAGGCGCTTTTCGTTAGAATGGAAAGAGGAGAAACAAAAAGTGCATGCTCAATATTTGATGCGCCAATAAACACCTATTGAATATTGTTTAGTGTGAGAGGGATGCATTTAATCCTATTCATTTTTACAAAAATTTAATAATAAAATTTAATAATAATAATATAAATTTAATAATAATATAAATTTATAATTCATCTAATTTTTCTAAAACTTGTTCTGCATTTAATCTTTCATCTGGATCTCTTTTAACCATATTTAAAATTAAATTAATAAAATTTTCATCATATTGAATATTATTTTCTGAAGAATTTTTAGCAATTTTTTCACGTAAAGTAGTAAATAATTTCTTTTCATCACCCATAAATTTCATAACTAAACCAGTGATTGAAGTATTCATATCTAATGACATTAATTGATAAAAAGTAACACCTAATGCAAATATATCAGATGCATGTGCATGTTTACGTAAAGTTTCTTGATCATTTTGATCATCTTGATCATCTTGTTCTTCTTCTGACATACCTTGTTGCATCATGAATAATTCAGGTGACATGTATTGTAATGTACCTGCAAATGAAGCACTACTTGCAGAATCACCAACTGATTTAGCTAAACCAAAATCTCCTAATACAATATCTAATTCATTATTTTCTAAATTCATTGATCTAATCATTATATTATGTGGTTTAATATCACGATGTACCATTTGTTTTTCTTCATATAAATATAATAATGCTTCACACATACATCTTAATGATGTTTTTAAAATTTCACAAGAGAGACAAATCTTTTTTTTTAAAATCTTTTCTGCCAAATCACCACATGGTATAAATTCCATTTCAATACACATTGTATTTTTATCATTCAATGATCCTGATGTACCCATTTGTAATACATAGGCATCATGAACTTTTAATACATTTTCATGTTGTAATCCACATAATCTAAATGCTTCTCTTAATGATCTATTCAATTCATCTGTAGATACAAATTCAATCAATTTAACTGCTCTTGTTTGTGGTGGTGCATTCTTTTTTTTTATAATTTTATCACATTTAAATACTGCTCCAAATCCACCTCTACCTAATAATGATATATTACTATACTTTTCTTGCATTAATTCTTCAATAGTTTTGGTTTTTTGTGTAAATGATGTCATTGTACTATTATTATTACCACCACTTGAACTATTACTATTGGTACTTCTTTTACTTGAATAGGTTGATATTTCATCCATTGGAAAATCTGATACACTATGATCAATGGAACGTACCATTGAATTTGTCATTACAAATGATGAATCACCTCCACCACCTGATCCACTTGAAAATGAATCAAATGATTGTTGTTTGTTATTATTAAAACTATTATTCATATTATTATTCATATTATTATTATTGAAACTATTAACACTCATATTATTATTATTAAAACTATTATTATTATTATTAGATGTAATACTCATATTATTATTATAATTGAAACTATTATTATTAACACTGTTAGTACTCATAAATGCATTAGGATCAACTGTTACTACATTAGTACCTTGTCTCATTGATACATCTTCAACAATTGGTTGTTGAACTGGTTGTACAATAGGTTGTTGTTGAACTGATTGAATAATAGGTTGTTGTTGAACAATAGGTTGTTGTTGAATAATTGGATGTTGTACAACAGTTGGAACATTACTATTATACATTGTATCATAAACAACACCTTGTTGTGCTGAAACTACAATTGGTTGTTGTTGTACTGATGATTGTAAAGTAATAGTATTATTATTATTATTATTAATAGTATTATTATTATTAATTGTATTATTATTATTAATTGAATTATTATTATTATTAATTATTGGATTAAATAAAGGAGGTATATTTGTAAATAAATCATTAATAATAAAATCCAAATCAATACCTTCAAATTTAGCTCTATTAAAAGCATTAAAATTAGAATCATCTAAAGCATTAACATTTGCACCTCTTTTTAATAATAATCTAATAATATTTAAATGTTTTTTAGAAATTGCAGCATGAAGTGGAGTGATTAAATGTTGAATTGATTTTTCCAAATTACATTCATTAAAAGATAATAACCATTCAACACTTTTTAAATTACCATCACATACACATGAATATAAAGCAGTTAAATTATTTGAATCATATTCATTTAAAACGTATGGATATTTTTGTAATAATTGAATTGATTTTTTAAAATCTGATTTTCTAATAGAAATGATAAAATCATCAATTCTATTTAATTTTTTAAATTTAATACGATCTTGTATTAATTTTAAATCTAATTGTGAAAATTGTGATCTTGAATAACAATCAAAACCATCAATATCTTTTAAAGTTAAATCAGCACCATTTTCAATTAAAATTTCAGTTATAATTTCCATTTTTTGTGTAATTGCTAATGCACATGGTGTTATATTATCAACACATGGTTTGTTAATATTAACATTATTTTCAATTAAAAATAATAAAGCATTTAAATTTTGATCACTTGTAACACAATATAATGCATTAAAATTATTAGATGAAAATGAATCAATAACATCTCTACGTTGTTTTAATATTTGTAATGCTCTTTCAAAATTATTCTTTCTAACACATAATACAAATTCATCTACCAATGTATTAAATATATTTGAACATTCTTTAATATGTGTAATTAAATCAACATTATATCTATTTGCTAATTGAAATATTGTTAAATTTTGTATTACTTGTGATGTATCTGCTCCACATTCTAATAATGCTCTAATTGATAATTCTTTTTTTTGTGAAACTGCTACAAATAAAGGTGTAAATCCTTGTTGAATTGGATGTGATGGATTACTACCTTCTGATACTAACCATTTTATAGCATCTGGTTTATTATCATACGCAACACAATACATTGCTGTAAATTGTTGACTTCCAATTTCATCTATTACATTTCCAAAATAGGCTTTTTTGGATTTTTCAATTATTTTACTAGCTGATTTATACTTTTCAGTTCTAACTGATAATATTAATTTATCTACCATTTCAATTTTACATTCTTTAATCAATTCTTCAATTTTATCATCTATTTTTATATATTTTAAATTTGCTCCTCTTTTAATTAAATATTTAATTATTTTTATATTTTCCTTTTCAATTGATACTTGTAAACAAGTCCACCATTGTCCTTCTCCTAATAATTGATCTATTTTTATATTACTTTCTTTAATTAATAATTTTACAATTTCTAAATCTCCATTAAAACATGCATAATAAAGTGGTGACTTTATATTATTATGATGATTATGTTATTGTGATAATAGATTTGTTATGATTATGTTATGATTATTATGATGGTAATGATTATATATTTGTTATGATAGTTATGATTATGAAAATAGTTAGATTGTATAGAGTTAGATTTATATTGTTATATAAATATAAACATACCAACTGTGTTATTATTATTATTCAATATTGTTCAATACCATCATCATCATGAGATCAACAACAATAATTATTAATAAAAATAAAAAACAACAACAATAATAACAACATACAAATCTTGAATCAAGAACATTAACATCAACACCTGGTAATTTTAAAGCATCTCTAACACCATTAACATTTCTATTAATTGTATTCATCAATAAAGCGGAACTAGCTTCATTAATAACAGGTGTTGTAACGATTGCCATTTTTTTTTAATCAAGTTCATTACCAGCAACAACAAACCTTTTCAAAACATGAGAGATGATGGAAAGAGACATGAATGTTATCTACAGTACTTTTTAACGAGAGAAATATTTATGAACAGTTATATCTCCATCAAATGTCTCAGGTTCACTAAAAACTGTATGATAATATTACAAAGGTTTGATGATTTGTCCAATTTTGTTTGCCATGTTATGTTATTTCAATGTATTAAGGTAATGACTACCATATAACAATGAATACACCTCATCCCGTCCGATTTGAGAAGTTAATCATCGCTAGCCACATTATGAATTGAGGTTGGAGACAAATTGGGAACTTGTGGTGTTGTCGTCTTAAATTTTTCCTTATCTCCTTATTAAACGAATTACATAATCATCAATTCATCCTTATAATAAGCAAGAATAAAAAGAATATATAAAAAAGATGAGTTGCAAACAACTCTGTCATTGAATATCCAAATCTTTATCGCATTATTTAACACAACCTTGCTCAAATCCAGATATCTGTTGCCAGAGACAAGAAATCATTATGCTGCATTAACCAACCTTTCCAGAATGACATTGAATATCCAATCTGCAACTCTTTTTATTTGACTTGAATTTGTAGCTAAATCAATGAAATCAGTACAAAATCCTAACACAGCACTTATTAAAATTCATTAACCCATCAACATAGCAACTTTGGATTACGATAACAATAATTGTTGTTTAACCACGTTATGAATATATTGAACAGGGCTAGTAGTGACAACGTATGAAACACCATAGCTTAAGATATACTTATCATGAATTGTTAGTGTTTTAAATGATGGTGCTTACTAACATATAATACTGTACTGATGCAGTAATCACAATTACATGATGTCTTCAAGTTAAACGGAATTTCTTTCGTGCGTTCATTTGTGTTTAGTGTAACATACACATCTATACCTCAAGTGTATCGTAAGATTATCAATAGCACATTCAATATTTTGAACATACACCACCGTTGTTTCAACAATTACTTTGATTTAGCAATAAATGTCTAGATATACAATACTTACGTATTTTCCTTTCTACTATGGTATCAACACAAAAGTCCTGCTTGCGAACTCAAGTATCTAAAATATTTAACAATTTTCAAGTCGTTACGTAGGCTTCATCTTTCATTGTTTAGTCTTGGCCGCTTTGTTTTCCGCATCTTGGTGAAATAAACATTGATTTGAATTTAGAATTGGTGTTCTAATTTTAAGTAATCACTCTACTCTAATAATTTACCAAGCCTTTTGTAAAGCACCATAATTCTTATGGAAAAATGTGAACATCAAAAGAGACCATCATTATGAATATATTGTAACACGTGAACATTTCAACCAATAATTGAACAATCATTTTCAAAGCTTTTTCAAAATCTACTTTTACATCTATGAAACATGAATGATTCAACTGTTCCAAAATATTCTAGAAAGTATTTAAACTGATATTGTTCAGTATCAGTCTTTGTTATATCACGTCTTTACTTGCTAAAAAACCATAAGTGTACACACCAAGATTTAGAGTGGTAAAGAAACCACCTTGCATATTGAATTTCCATTGAGTCACAAACTTTCAAATTTGGTTTTACAATGAGAGGTCAATTTGGTAATTTTTCTATTAATGATAATGAGCTCATTGAAACTATTTTCATTGGAATAGAAGGTTCAGAGGCTTTTCCCTCTACAACCTTGTTGAGTAAACTCTCATACTCCTTCACAAAGACATTGAAATACTATTACCATTCAATTCACTTGGAACTACATCAAGTAAGGAAAGCTTACAAATAAATTCTCTACCCTTGTCTTTACACCATTTTGGAATCAAAGTTTTCCTACTTGACGACGACAACACAATAAACTTTTGTAAAAACTGAAAATCATGACCACATTAAGAATCTCAAGATAAACTTTTCTTGCTTCAACTTGTTTCCTTTTTTTTCGTTGTGATTCCTCTCCTTGATTTAAACTTCATGAGGATTTAAGTTTATAATTATCTCGTCTTATTTTTTCTTCTTCTTTTAAAAGCTTAAGGAGACTAACTCAACAGAAAAAAGAAGCGAGAAATAGTTCTAAAATTCCTCATCAACAAATTCATCTGATTGTGACCCCCACGGTGGGCGATTCCTTTTGGCATTTTCTGGCTTTTGATGAAAGAATCTGATTTTCAATATCGTTTGTTTGAATATATTTTAATCATAGGTTTCCAATCTATCTCAATAGTAACAGGATTTCTCTTGTCAATTGTTTTTGCATCCCCAAACAATATCATTGATAGGTTTCTTTCCATTCTTCTTTTCTGAACTAGTTGATACTATATGACCATCTCTCTCTCAATTATCTTAACAGGTCTTTTGTGAAATTGTTTGAACACAATTATAATATTGTTATAGAATAGATGCCATTTTCTTAAAACTAGTTTTCTAATAAATTAGTAAAATACTCATTTCCCGTCAATGTTTCATTTAACACACAATAAAAAAAATACTCTACTACCACAGCCATCATCATATCATCATCATGATGTCATGTTATCGTTATCTATTATTTAATCATAATAATAGTAAATCATCATCATTATCATCTACAACAACAATAAAATTATATCATCATCAACATTTAAATAAACAACAATATAATAATACAATATTATTTCTACTTCCAATACTATTAATATTATTATTATTTATACAATCATCATTATCTATTAATTCTATTAATTTAAATAATTTAAATAATTTAAATAATTCTAATAATTCATCATTAAATAATTCAACATTTGAATGTGTATCATTACCAAATTTAAAAAGTTCAAAATGTGGATATATAGGATTTAATGTATCAATAAATTCAAGTTTAACATTTGAACAAGTAGAAATGGAAATTGAAAATGAATATAATAATTTATTTAAATATTTAGAAAATAAAATTAGTAAAAATATAAGTAAATTTGATAATGAATGTAATTCAACAATATTAAATTATATATGTTCATCTACTTATCAAAGATGTAAAAATTCTAATACAAGATATGATGTATGTGATAGTATTTGTAGAAATTTATTTTCTAATTGTATTTCATTATCTTTATATGAATATCAAAATGATATTGATAATGAAGGTTATATTTATTGGATTGAAAGAGAATTTTGTGGTAAACCTACTAAACCTTTACATCCTGTACCACCTCTATGTACTAATATTTTAGATCAAACTCAACAATTAATTGTTTTAATTTCTTTAATTATTTTATTATGTTTTTTAATTTTAATCATTTTATTAGGTGGTTTTATGAGTTTTTGTTATTATAAAAAACATGCAAATTCTGATAAAAAATATAATATTTTAAAAAATTAATATTTTTGAAATAAAATTTAAATTATTAATTATTAATTATTTTAAATTGAGTTTTGAGATAAAATTTTGTTTCACTTGCTTATTACTAGTTTCTTTATCCTTAATGATGACTAAGGGATGATTATTAAATCAAACGTGGCCCGTCTAGCTCAGTCGGTAGAGCGCAAGGCTCTTAACCTTGTGGTCGTGGGTTCGACCCCCACGGTGGGCGATTCCTTTTAATTTATAAGATATTTATCTCTGTTATTTGTAAATCCAATTTAATTTAGGTTCTCCAAAGTTTTGCTAATATTTTTTATTTATTCTTTATTATTTGACAAATAAATTGATTTTTGAAATATTTTTAATGTTCAACAAAAAAATGGCTCCAAAGAGAAAGAATGACACAGCACAATCAGATGTCCACCAGAAAAAGAAGAAAGTAGCAAATGATGAGGAAAATGTAGATGAAGAATCACATCATGAAACAAGTAAAAATTATATAGAATCAAAATTATTTAAATCTTCATTTTCGGAGGGTGGTTCTTTTAAATTATCAGCAGCTTTTAATGAAGATGAAGAGGATGAAGAAGAGGAAGAAATGTATGAACAATTATCAGAACAACAACAAGAACAACAACAATCGGAAAGTACAATGATTGATAGAACATCTTCACATAATATTAGAATTTGTAAAGATCCTTCATCATTACCAACTCCCAATTGGAATTTATCATCAAAATATAATAAGAAACAATCATTTCTATTTCCTCTCTTACCACTTCAGACAGCCAAAGTAATTGTTGAAAAACAAGTTAAAGATAATTCCTATAAGAATATATTTCAAGATGTATCAGTAACTTCAATAATACAGAATAATTTTAGAGATTTTGGAATGTATGGACAAACATTCTTTAGAAAGAATAATTCAGAAGCCTTGAGAAAACCTGCTCATGAACAAGTTTCAATTTCTAGAGCTAATAGATTGAGATTACTTATTCAAAATATTGAAGGTAAACATAAGAGTAAGAATAAACATTAATTTATGTACATATTGAAATTTAATCATCATTTTCTTCATCATCAGACGAATCTGCTTCTTCCTCAGAATCATCATCATCATCACCTCCAACAATAGCTTCCTTAGAATATTTAATAAGGTTACTATTGAAATGGAAAGTAATAAAGCCTAGAACTGCACCAACAATCCACATTATAAAACCACCAACAACAAAAGCAATATTAACTGCACCAAGATTAGTGACAATGGTTGAAGTACCACAACTTCCATAGAAAGCATAAACACTAAATGTAATATAACTCATCAATAATATAATTCCCATCAAACCTTTACCCAATAACACTAGTGAACTGAATGTATCAGTTTTACCTCTAAGTTTGTATGAATCAAAAACCATTTCTAATATTGTTGCTCCAACGTGCCCTAGATTAAATAATGCACTCACTAATTCCATGATAGCTATTGTTATGAATAAGTTATTAATATAAACATATAGACAGGTTTTTGTGTTACCAGCAGATTGGCATCCCTTATTCGTTATTCCAAAGGAAACAAATCCCCAAATAACCATCACTAAATTAAAAACAGCCGATAAACTTGATAACCCTATCGACACGTAAAATTTTGTCTTATCTTCCTTAGTTTGTCTCTTCCAACCAATCTTCGTTCTTACTGGGAATGGCTTTTTCTTCTTCTTACCCTTCTTTGAAGGTTTTTGGTGATGAGCCACTTCTCCCTCTGGTTGTGCTGGCATTTTTTTTACTAGTAAGTTTTGAATATTTTACCGCCAATTTCGATGGTTTGTGATGGAAAGCAGTTTTACAGCTTTAAGGTTCTTAGTGGATCAAACGGAAAAAAGTACAACCAAGTTTTTTATTCAATAGCCATCATCAGAATCATCACCATCATGAATAATGTCACATCATTTATATTTCAAGAAGGATAATATATCTTATTTTTCCATAGGATTGATGACATTGGTGATTTGTTATAAGGGCGATGATATGCATTCATTAGACATTATTCAAAACTCTCAAAATGACGATTCAGCAGTACGTAAATTGGCGATTCTGGTTTTCCGTTACATACTAGTTATAACGGTTACAAACCAAATTAAGGCTCTTCAATTCCTTAATTATGAAATCTTACGTTTGGATATAAAAAGTGTTGGTTACAATATGAACATCAGCTATTGAATTTATGATCCATTCAATTACAATTTAGAAGAATTGATGGTAATATTCCACTCTACAAAAGAATATTTTATTAAATAATAAATTATATAATAATTTTATAATAAATTAATGATTAAAAATAGCAAGTAAAAGTTGAACCCATCCATGATAAGGAGTATCAGATAAATAAAAACTAGTCTTGATCATGAAAAATATCATGGCAGCAGTAAATGTAATGAAAAATCCCCAAATAAAGAATAATCTTTTTAAAACTGATTTATAATGAGAATCTTCCTTCTTCTTTTCTTCATTTAATTCTTCTTCAACTACTTCTTCTTCTTCTACTTCTTCTTCATTCTTTTTCTTTCCATTCTTATTTTTATTCTTCTTATTAGTATTTTTAGTATTATTAGTATTACTAGTAATAGTAGTAATATTATCAGTATTATTATTAGTATTATTATTATTATCATAATAACCATAATATGGAATTGCAATAAAATAAAAAGATGAAATGACAATAACAAAAGTAGCAATATAACCTTCTAAAGCAAAAGACATTCTCATTGAAGGATAAAAGAATGAAATTGAATTTTCTCTTGGATTATATTGATATGGAGGTGGATTTTGTATCATATTAAATACAGTACCACTCATACATAATATATATGTTAATATACATAATATAAATATCATATATCTAGTACCATTTAATAAATTTTGTAAAGTACTAATACCAATTACAAATCCAACAATACAAAATGCAATTAATACAATTTTAGTAATTGATTTTAATGATGAAAAATCAAATAATGGTGATTCATTAGAATGATTATTTTGTTGTTGATTATGTTGTTGTTGATTATTAGATGATGATGATGAATATTCATTTTTATATTTTAAATATAAATCTTTAATATCATCCATATTAATAAAATCTTTTAAATTTTCATATAAATCATGATCAGATTGTTTAAAAGCATCTTTAACACATTCCCATAATTGATTTTCTTTTAAATTACAATCATATAATTGATCAGTATATTTAGATTGTATTGTAACACTTGGTAAATGTGTTAATTTTAATTTTTGAATAACTAATTCTTGTGATTGTGGTGTAAATTCTATTAAAATTCCTTTCATTTCATTAGTGAATGAATTTACATATTTCTTTAATAAATCTCTATATAATTTACAATGTAAACATTGATGCATTCTTTCTTGTTCTTCAGAAAATGATACCAATGTTATTAAATGATGACTATTACGATATTTTCTTAATATATTAATATATTCTTGATAACTTTCTATTTTAATTATATTGTTATCATTATCAATATTATCAATATTATCAATATTATTATCATTATCAATATTATCATCATTATCATTATTGGCTAATACAAAATTAGAGAATAATATTAATGATACTAGTAGAAGGCTAAGAAGGAATATTGTCCTTCTTGTTGTTGTTGTTGTTCTTGTTGTTGATTTGTTCATCTTTATCGTTGTCATGATTGTCGTCATGATTGTCATCAAATGTGTTTGATGACAAGTTGAATATTTTTTTAAATTAATTTTGTGAAAATGTAAATTAAACTCTAATAAATAGAGAGTGTTTACAATAATGTCTGATTGTGTCTCAACAAAAAAGTTCGATATTTTGTTGAGACACAATCCCTTCTTCAAAATAAGAACTTTGCTTTTTCTTTTTGTCTCCCAAAATCAGATTGACAAAGGCTTTTGTTTTCTAGAATTACAACATGTTTATGACCAATTTTGTTAAGTTGGCCAATCTTTTTCGCGATCAACATGAGGTGTTTGATTTGAATATCAACTTTGTACAGTTTCAAAAGTAAGGCCTATATGTCCTACTGGAAGAAGGTAATTAATTTACCAGCTTGCAGAATCATAAGATCAAAGGAAACATTAAGCAAGGGATTGGGTATATTGATTGATCCATATAACATTAGATTTTTTTTGCTTGGTAAACACTGTGTCACCTTTGACGCGTATGGAATTTGTTTATTGGTTGGATTGGTGTTGAAATATGTGCTGAATCATTCAACGAATCCAATATGAATGACTTGTTTTAAAGTAATTATGTAATAATATATTTAATAATTATTTGATTATTTTATTTGAAATATCTCCAAGTGCTAGTCTGTTAGATGATTGCTTATTCGAGAGTTTATTAGTTTTGTTTGATTTTTCAATTCCTCTAAAATTATTCTTCTCTTTTTCTTCCAATTTGTTCAAAGCACCTCTAAATGATAACATACATGCTAAATTAGTATAATAATATGATATTAACTCAAACAAAATAAACATTCCATTTACATTTGTCAAATCTATTTTAAGCATTGTCAAAGTTCCACAAGTATCATAGGTAAAACTATATGCGAATGTTTTACAACAAATAAATGAACATACTGATTTTCTTAATAATCTTGTTGATAATATTGATAACATTATTATTTTGTAAAATTCTTCACAATTAAATGCATCATTCATATTTGAATTTGCAAACATTATGTAAACAGCTGAAGTTTCATTAACATTTAAATATATATCAGTATTAATTTTAAGATTATTGCCAAATTCAACACAATAATCAAAATGTAAATTATTTCTTGTATTTGTTAATGGTATTAACCATTTCAATCTATATTTAAATAAATCTTCTCTATTATTAATAATTACATTTCGAAAATTGTCAACACATTCTCTTAATTCATCAGCAGCTTTTCTCCATAATACAACTGGTACTAATTTTGATACTTTACAATATTCACTATTTTTCATTGTTATACATTTAAAGAATATTTGAGCACTATAAGTGAAATTAAATGTAAAATCATAAAACTGAGTTATACATGTCAAATCATTCTCATCTGCAATAAATTTCAAAATTGTTTCAAATTCCTTTGTATATTTGGAAGGATAATTGGTTAAAAGTCGTGAAACTAAACTATATTTACTAGCATAATGATTAATATCATACAATGATCTACAATACGTTTTTACAACTTCAAGCCAACCTTCAATATTATCATCAACCATTGGACTTTCTTTTTGGAAATAAACTTGTAAACTACAGCCTTTAAATTGTTCTTCCAACATTCCTATAAAATATTCAGTGTTATTATTATAGCTATTAACATGTTCATTATTAACAGTTAAGGTTGTTGTTGTTGTTGTTAATAGACTATTATTCATTTCACTGGCTGATTGTGCTTTCATTTTTTTAAAAAATTTTGGCGGGAATAAGGATTGAAATAAGGCGTTTGCGAGGATTGTGAGAATTTATTGTTTCAAGGGGTTGAAATGAATGGAAAAATAAGTTATTCATGTGAGTTGTAAAATGTCTCAATAGTGTTGAAGTTCCTCCTTAATAAAATTTCACACAATTTTATTATACATACTTGAATGAAAAATAAATTTAATTAAAATCTTGGATATACTTTTTAAATTCGTACAAGATTTTCTGAGTGGCAATAATACTTGAACGGAAAGGAGGATTATCACCATAACATAATGATACAATTTTTGTAAATCTAGTATAATATAAAACAAGTTGTGAAAATGCTTTTTGTAAAATTTCCTTTCCAGTATTAAAATTTGAAAAGTTTTGAAGTACATTTGAATTAATATGTGAAATTCCTTGTTTCCAATTTTTATCAAAATCTTTGGCAATATTTTCCATTTCAGCACAATCTACTTTGGCTCTATTTTGTACAAAATTCTTATTTAAATCAATTGTTTCATTATTTCCATTATTATTTGAATTATTTGAATTATTATTTAAATTATTTAAAGATAATTTTGGTTCAGTTGATTGAATAAAATTAATCATATTACCATAACATTCAGATAATTCAGATTCAATATATTGATCAACTTGTTTAACAAGTAATTTTTGAATATGTAAACCATCAGAAACTTCAATTTTAGATTGCATAAATTGATGTACAATTAAATCATATGAATTAATTAAAAAAACTTGTTTCTTTTTAAATTGTTTTGTAGTGAAAATCTTTTCAGAAATTAAAATTAATTGTTTAAGAATTAAATCACGACATGTTAATAATTGTTCTTCAACTTGTTGTTTAAATTTAGTTGGATTTTCCTTATTTAATAAATGAATAGAACATGAAAATTCAGCAAATCTTTTAGCAAGAGTATGTGAATCTTTTTCTTTTGAAATTAATTGATCAATTTTTGATTCTCTAATTGAATTTAAATTTAATTCAAATAATTCAAATAATTTAGGAGTTAAAATTGAATGAACTTGATCAAAATAAGAATCTAAAACTTTCATATTTCTCTTTTCCATTAAACTTGAAAATAAATAATTTAATCTAATCATTAATAAAATACCAATACAATCAAATGATGATGATATAAATTGTATCCATGTATCTTTTAATAATTGTAATGATTTTGAAAATAATGATTCAAACATTTGTTCATTATTAAAAAAATCCAATGTAAATATATATTCAGATGTTGCTGTATTAATTAATAATATATGAACAGATCTAAATATTTCTTCCATATATAATTTCTTATTTTGTTCAATTAAAACACGTACTACAAGTGGTGAATTTAAATCTGTTGCATTTTCTAATACATTTAAACGTTCACCTAATGTAAAAACAGATCTATTCATATCTTTAACTGATGATTCAGATGATTTTGAACCTAATCCAACTGTATTTGCTAACATATTAGTTGTATATGAAAGTGGATTAATAACTGTTATATTTGTTATATTATTTAATAATGATTGTGTTGGTTCAATAATTAAACTTTGTCTTGTTCCTACTTTTTGTTCTAATTTCAATAGAGAAACTAGATAAGTTTTAAAACTATTAAAATAATATCTACCAATTATATCATCATAAATTGAAATTAATTCTTCACCTGTTTGTGGTGAATATTTTGAAACAAAATCAAAATAATACTTTTTTTTCAATAATAATTGTTTGATAAATTGAGTATTAGTTTTAGGCTTTTTCAATTCATTCAATTGTTGTAATAAATAACTTCTAACTTTGCTAACTGATTTGGTACATAACTTGTCTAAAATAGGTAATACATCATCACAAGCTTTAATTGGTCTTTTAACTTGACTTTGAATTGAATCAATATAATCTTTCTTTTCATCAAGTGTTAATAAATGTTCCAAATAGGTATCTGTTACATTATCATCACATACTCTTTTAGTTAATTCAGGTGGAATTACAATTTTATCTACAAATGTTGATAATTTTTGTTGAGCTGTTTCTCTATTACGTTTTTTAATATTCATTGTAAATGATTGATCTCTCAATGATTTAATTTCTTCACTAATATTACCAAGTGATCCTTGGAAATTTTGTAACATATTTTCCATCTTTTCTAATACATTATCACATTGTTGTAATTGAATATGAAGATCTGCTAATCTTTCACTTTCTTCCAAGTCTTTTTTATTATTATTAGTATATTATTAGTATTAGTATTATTAGTATATTAGAATAGCATTATTAGAAATAGTATTATTATTAGATTATTATTAGTATTAGAATAGTATTAGAAATAGTATTCGAATACATTTAATAGTATTATTAGTGTAAAGATGTTATTGTTATCATCATCATTATGATTATTGTAAATATTAAATAATTGAAAATAAAAAACATACAATCATCAATAGATTGAGTTTCAATTTTACGTAAATCATCTTCGATATGTTTAGAATATTCTCTCAAATCAACACCATCTTGAATAGCCTTTTGTACTAATTCATCTTGAACAAATTCATTTAAATCAATACCATCTAAATCACTAATTAATTCTTCAAAATCATCATTAGTAATATCTAAATCATTAACATCAAAATTAATTTCACTTTCTCCAATAATACTTGTTGTACCATCTCTGATAGAGGTAGGTGATGCCAAGCCTTGTTGTTGATGATCTAAATGATGTTGTTTAGAATCAGCACTTGCATTAGAAATTGAACGTCTATCTCTTGTATTAATTGTTGGTTGTTGTTGTTGTTGTTCTTCATCTTCATCAAATAATAATCCTGAAAATAAATTCCGACGTTTTTTATTATCAACTCCACCACGACCAAAGAAATTCATCACCTGACCAGTGTACTTGAGTGTTGTGTCCATTTTCTCTCTCTAATTAAACAACTGCAAACAATTGCAAGTGTTGTTGTGTTTGATGGATGATTTTTTTTTATTATTTTTTAAATAAAATCTCAAAGTTATGACATCTATCGGATGATAAGTCGAATTGTCCTTCTTCAAAGTAAACTTTTGATTTTCATGTAAAAGATCAAATGGTTTCTTGTAAATTTGACAAATAATGTTTAATTTATTAAATTTATATTAAAAAAATGGAACAAAAAGAATTAAATAATAAAATGACTGATGATGATAGTAGTAGAAGTATTAATAGTAAATTTACTGAACAAGATGAAATATATATGAGAGAGGCATTAAATATGGCACAAAAGGCTTTAGAAGAATTAGAAGTACCAGTCGGATGTGTTATTGTTCATGATAATAAAATTGTTGGACGTGGATATAATAAAACTAATCAAAAGAAGAATGTTTGTATTATTGATTTAATAGTTGATTATAATTCATCATTCCGATATTATTTAAATTATTCAAATAATACTATATTATATTTTTAAAAATAATAATATTTAAAATATTTAAAGGCTACAAGACATGCAGAATTAGAAGCCTTTGATGAAATTACAGAAAATTATAGTGAAGAATTAAATAATAATGTGAACTTTTTTAAAGAATGTACATTATATGTTACAGTTGAACCATGTGTAATGTGTGCAAGTGCATTAATATTATTAAAAATTGGAAGAGTTGTTTGTGGATGTATGAATGAAAGATTTGGTGGATGTGGTTCTGTATTAAATATTCATCAATCATGTTATAATTCATTAAATCATAATCATCATCATGATCAACATGGTAATAATAATCAATTAAATTGGAAATATGAATGTGTACATGGTTTGTTTGAAAAGGAATGTATTGAAATTTTACAAAGATTTTATGAACAAGAAAATCCAACAGCTCCAATACCAAAAGTTAAAAAATCCAAAACTATTCCTGATGAATCAATTAATCCACACCAAAAGAAACAAAAACAATGAAAAATCAATCAACTGAAGCTTTTGAGATTCAATAATATAAAGAATTAGAGTGGAAAGAATAATTATGATTTATTCATGTTTAAATTTAGTTGTAAAATAAGGAATTACAATATCATTATTTTCCTGATCAAATACAAATGAATGAACACACTTTTTCCAAGTAATTGCAGAATGTTTAAACTTTGAATTTCTAATAAATTTGTAAAACTTGTAAAGTAAAATAGAAGCACATTCAATTGCAAAAGTAATAAAAATATTTAAAATTAAAACACATAAAATAAAAACCTTCAATAAAACATAATTCTTATATTGAACTGCATATTGATCAGTTTCAATATAATCAACACCACCTGTTTTAACATAGGCTTCATAATTAGCAATTGAATCTGTAAATAAATTTGTAATACTAAAAATATCTGAAATTTTCATATCAAGTGGATAAGCTGGAAATGGATTTAAAATAATAAAATCAGTTACAAATAATAAAAACCAACCAATCCAAAATATTCTATTTTTTAAAGATTGTTTAATTGATTGTAATAAAGAATGTGTTCTATAATAATATGTTAATTGATATGATAAAGCAATTGCTAAATATTGAAAATTTGTAAATTGAAATATTAAACCTTGTTGCATTTGAATATAAGGTGAATGGAATAAAAATAAAATTAATATAAATACACATGATTGATAGACTACTTGAAATAATACTGTAAATAGTAATTGGAATCTAATAATAGATTTAGATGGTCTATATTTAGTATTTGATTTACTTTCTACTACTGAATTAAATGATAATAAAACAGGTAATAATAATCCTTTAAATATATGTGTATATATACTCATTACTTCACTTATATCATATCCATATATAATAACATCATGACATGTTATAATAAATTGTAAATAAATATAAATTAATATAAATTTAGTATTAATATGAATCTTATCAAGCATTAATTGTGCAATAGATATTAAATTTGTTACAATATGTTTACCTTTACCTTCACTTGTTGAATTGTTAAGAGAGGATGTAGTATGAATATTATGAATATTATTTGAATTATTTGAATTATTTGAATTGTTAATATTAGTTGTATTTGATTTTTCATTTTCATCTTGGAAACGATGATAATAAGTATCAGAATATTCATTATTATTATTACTATTACTATTTGTATTCATTATGGTCAATTCATTATTAATGGATAAAGATGATGTTACATTCTTCTTCTTCTTTGAATGTTTTGATTTTTTTAAAGATGATGATTGACCAATAATATAATCCAATGGAACAGTGAATTGAGCAGCATATGAATGTTCATAATTTGAACGTTTTGAATTGCTATTATTATTATTAGAAATAATATTAGTTGAATTATTAAATTGTTTAGAAATGAAAAGAGAAGCATCAGAACAATTCATTGCAATTGAATCATTACTTCCATCACCAATCATACAAACAATATAATTTAAATATTGTCTAAAATCTGAAACTAAATTTCCCTTTTGATTTGGAGACATTTCTGTATAAATATGACATAAACATAATAATTGTGAATAATAAGGTAATAATTCATCATGTGTATGATAAATATTTGAAATTAATTGATTTCTTAAGTAATGAAATGCTTCACCTGTCATTGCAAGTGCAATCTTTTTTTGATTATGACTTGAAGATACACTATTCATAATACTTTTAAATTTGTTTTTAGATTTAACAGTATTATGCTCCATTATATTAGAATCATCTTCTTCATCTTCTTCTTCTTCTTCTTCTTCTATTGTTCCATTGTTATTACTAGTCATTTCATTATTAGAAGTAGTAGTTGTAAATTTAGATGTTTTAATACTTGTTAATTTACCATAATCAAAATTAGAAATATTTAAACATTTCCATTCTATTGAATTATTTTCATAAAAAGCACAATAAACTTGTTGAATATCTGAATCAATCATACCACATTCTTTAGCAGTGTATAAACTAGTATAAATATTATCACCTGTAATCATTTTAGATTTAATAAAATGACCATCTTCTAATTGTTTAATTTCAGATTGTACAAAATTATACATGTTATTTTTTAATAAAATAAAACCAATAAATTCCAAATTATTTTCAATTTCATTTCTATTTTCAAAATTAATTGAATTAAAATTCTTATAAAAATCAGAATTATTAATAATTTTCATTGACATGGCTAGAATTTTAAAACCTTGTAAACCATAATGTTTAACAACTTGATCATAATCTTGTGGTATATTTTTACATAGAGATTTAATACTTGATGGACTACCTTTACAATAAATAATATAATTTGTAAAATTATTAACTAGAACAGATTGTCTTTGTAATTCAGATGTGAATGGATAATTTTTTAAAACTTGTAATGTACCTCTTTCACTAAATATATTTGGAGGTATTAATGTAAATAAATTTGAATCTTGAATTGATCTTTTTAATTCATATTTTGTAAATTCTAACATTGATTGATCAATTACATCTCCTATTAAAATATTTGTATTTGAATCTTTATCAAATTTTGTATGTAAATTATGACATGATGCTAATAAATTTAGAATATTTTCATTAATATATTTTAAATTACTTGTTGGTTTAAATAAATTATCCAATGTTAATATTCCATATATAGACATGTTAGATTCTACCAATGTACCTGTTTTATCATAACATACTAAATCAATTAATCCAAATTTAAATAAACTTGAATCAACACTTTGAATTGATTTTATACAATTTTTATATAATAATCTATTTGTTAAAATCATTGGTAATGTTACAATTATAAATGTAAAATAAGGTGGAATACAATTTATAAATATATATACTATTGTATAAAATGAATCTAATGAATTTTCAACTGGATCTAATTCTGTATTATATAATATTTCATCACGATGATTAAATTTCTCTGCATAATTATGATATTCCAATGTTGTAAAGTATAATATTAATATAATAATAGAAATAAAAGCTAATATTACTAATGTATAAGTGAGAGATAATAAATCACTCATATAATTATTGGTTTTTTGCGAATTGGAATCTCTTCTCGCATTACTTAATAAAATATTACGAATAATTTTACCTTTCACTGTATGAAATCCTGTTTTAATAACAAGTGCTTTAATTAATTGTCCTTCTTCATTATTATTACTACTATTTGAATTATTATTATTATTATTGATAGTTGTAGTATTAGATTGATGAATGGTAGTAGTACTATTATCATTTGTATTGTTGCTGTTATTATTAATATTATTATTAGTAGTAGTAGTAGTAGCAGTTTGTTTTTCACGTACAATACGAGTACCACCCACAAGAACATTATATTGATCAATAGTTGTTTGTCCAGTAACATTCTTATTATTATTCATGTTATTATTCATATTACCATTATTCATATTATTATTCATATTCATATTCACATTATTAAATAAAGGTATTTTATGTGAAAGTTCAGTATCACCAGTTAAAGAAGATTCATCACATAAAATGTGTGAATTTGTTGATAATAAAATACAATCACATGGAATGGTAGTAACATTATTTAAAATGATAACATCACCTGGTACTAAATTACTGCTTCCAACCATATAAATTTGACCATCTCTTAAAACTCTAATTTCACTTGTATATTCATAAGATAGAGATAATTCCTTTTTAACTTTTTTAGAAATATGTCTATAGGGATGTACTTTAATAGCACAAATAAAAGTTAAAAAAACACAAACAGCATGAATAAATCCATAAATATATTGTTGTCTAATAATAAATAAAAATAATAAAGTTAAAAATTGAAATGGATAAAATAAATTTGTCAATTCATTCTTAATAACAGAAATAAAACTTGTTTGTTTAATATGAATAAAATTATTACCAAATAAAAATAATCTATTTAAATGTGTTAAATTATCTAATCCATTATTAATAGTTTTACTTTTATATTCATTTAATATTAATTGTAATGGTAAATGATCAATTAAAGTAAATTGATTTGATTCTTTTAAATAAATATATCTTTGATATTTATATTCAAATAATATAAATTCACTTTTTAATTTGGAAATGTAAATCTTTTTTAATAAACATAATTTATATTCTCCATTATTAAATATTAATACATATTTACATTCATTAACATTTAATGTTTTCTTATATTTAATATTACATTTAACTCTTTCATTCATTAAAAAATGTATCATTCCCAATGTTATTATATTTAATAGTATATATATTATTGAATGGTATTTACTTTTTTGATACATTGTTATAGTCATATTATTTAAAGATAATGTACTTGGATTAGTTGTCATGGATTGATGTTTAAATGTTGTATCATTATTTTGTTGTTGTTTAAATGATCCTAAGGCTGATTCATAATAATAGGGTACAGAGGTTGATGATGGTAAATGATCATTTACTATGGTGGTGTTGGTTGGTGAAGTGTTTCTTCTTTTAACGGAGAGTGTAGAAGCACTTCTTCCATTATTATTATTATTAATGTTGTCATTGTTTCCATTATTAATATCCACTTCTAGTAGTGGTACAGATAGTTGATTATTTTGTGTTGATTTTCTCATAACTTCACTTTTATATATTACTAATTATTATTATTATAATTATAATAGGATGAGGTTGTTAATAATAGTTTTTAATTATTATTCAACACTGTGCTGCTAGTCTCTAATCACACCACCACTAATACTACTATAATGTTAATGATGATGATGATGATGGAATAGAGGAGAGAAATGCGTGCAGCAAGAGAGATGAAGGCTAGCTGTGGTGGGATTTTCAAACAATTTTTAAAGATGAAATTTTATGATTACGATTATTGTGCTGATTATCGTTACCACTTGATTTTTGGATAACCTACCATGACTGACGGTCTTCTCTCATCATATTCTGGATTGAACATCATGATTATGAAATTAATTTAACAATTCTTTTATTGATGTTCTTATAATTGTCCTCTTTGATTATTAGTTGATGATAACATGTTGCATTCGAATGAGATATTTGATGCAGAAGATGAGGTTAAAAGTGATGGAATCAATTTACGAATTTGATAAGGAATTACTTCCTTGCGTAGATAGTAACTCCACACTTCAAAACAACAAGTTTTTCATCTCATATGAGTGTATTAATAGCAATTACAAAGTGTGCTAATTGATGATGAAATTTTCAAAGGCTTTGATAAACAAGTGAAGCCTTAAAAAAATGTCTCAACACTCAGTTGAGTTTGATTTATTTAAAGATGAGTTAATTGATGATCATTGTATGGATGATGTTATTATTGAAGGAAATTTTAGTGATAGATTGGATATTCTAAAGGATTACCTTAGTGCTCTTCAAGAATTGAAACAACAAGTTCAAATATTTGCTTCTTCATCACAAAGTCAACCTTCATCAACATCTCATCAAGAAGAAGATGATTCCGTTCATATTCCTTCTATTCAACAACAAGCACCTCCAAAGCCAAAACAATATGTTACAATTTCTAAACTAATCAATCCGAAAGAGTATTATTTAAATCAGACTAATTCATTTTCTGATTTGATGATAAAGGCTAGAGTGAGAATACCATTGGATCAAATAATTGCTAAATACCAAATCAAGAATAAGGATTTGATGATTATTCCATTTTCAACTCTTTCAATGACAAGCCTTTTATTTCATGATGTTCATTTCGAATATTATCAAGCAGTTGCTGTTGAAGAGAACACAGAGATGGATTGTAATGAGGATATTAGATCCATCATTCAGGAAAACAACAATGCAAAGACATCAATTGTTGAAGAAATTGAGGAGGTAGAAATGGTAGACAATTGTTCACATTGTTCATCATCGAGTGAGGAGGTTGAAGTGGGGAACAATCAAATTGAGAAAAAAGAAGCCTTTGTTGATATTAATTGTGATTGTGGAATTTGTTTACTTCCTTTATATGATGGAACTCAAATCTATAATCTCGAGTCTTGTAATCATGCATTTCATTTAGCTTGTGTACATCGATGTATGGAAAGTAGAAATATTCAAAAGTGTTGTGTTAAATGCTTCAAAGAGATATCTCAAGATGAAAAGAAACAAATCAAATTATTATTCAAAGAAGAGGTGAGAACAAAGAGAATTGAAAAGAGAGTTTCCAATAATCCAAAACCAAAAGACAAGCCAAAGAAAGAAAAGCTAAAACCAAAGATTCAGGAACCATCATTTGAGCCACCTTCCACTCCTCACAAAATTAATCACAACCTCATTATTGAAGAGTATGGATACATGTTGAATAATCATTCAGAACTTCCACTCAACTACAAATGCAAATCTTATCTCCCTGCCTTCAAGAGAAGTGACAAACCAATTGAGTTGATTTGTACGATTACCTTAAATCCTAACTTTGGTAAGGATGCTCATATATTTCTTCTGAGGATTGAATCCAGTATTCTACCCAAATCACTTAAAAGCTTCAATTTCGAGGAATTAACAGAGAAGATCAAAGAGCAACTCGAAGATAAAACTAGTAAGAGAATAGAAAATGCAAAGGAGTATTTTGGATTGAAAAATAAGAAGGTCACTTCCATCATTGACAAGATAAGGGATTGTGAATTTTTCTATCGAACTGCAACAGAAATAAGAGAAAATTCGCTTACTTTCAATTCTCCAATAATTGTTGGGAAACCTAACGAGCCAATTGTGATACCTGATTCCAGTCATTTAAAGAGAAAAGAACCTCCTAAAGAGCCAACTTTGGATTTCATTCCTGTTAAAAAACGAAAGTGTGATCTTGCACCATTCCGAATAGATAGAAGCCAGTTTATGGATATATCCATACTATTAGATACTGATTATTCATCGATTGATATGGTGATATCATATTTAGAAAACTATCACGGAATTCAATCAACAAGAAGTTTGCTAAAGGGTTTGACTGAGTATTCCCTGACAGAGAGTGATTGTGACATTGTATCAAAATTATATTTGCTTCTTCAACACTACGATTTGAGTTGTTCCAGAGGAATTCATTCATTATATGATGTCTTCAAAGAATGTGACGTGAAATTGAGCTCTATTTTAGATTTGTATGATGTACTTTCTCAATCTGTGAATCTATTTCCTAATGATATTATTTATCAATACGCCAAAAATACTAAAGAAGCAAACATGTCAACTATTTCTCTGATTAACATAGCCAGCAAGTTTCTTCTTCCAAAATATTCAGAAACTGAAATAATTAAGGCTTGTACGAACATTGTTGACTTGTCAAATAATTTCTTTACAAGCTTGGATGCCAGTATTATAATTTCTTCAAGTTGTGAGCATGAAATTCTGTATGGCCTTTTCAATGTTGTCAAATCTATTGATTATTTCATTGTGGAAAATATGGACTTGCAAACAGTACTTTTAAATCTCATCACAATAATAGATCATATTGAAAGAACTGGAATTGAGGCAATTAGGAAATGTCTCTTAAAATCATATGGTATAGATGAAGATAAGGAGAGAGATGAGAATCAAATGGTAATTGATACTGTCAATGAGCAAGAGAAAGAGCAATCCAATTCAAATGAGGTGATAGATGCACCTGTTGAGATAAATATGAACTTGATGGACAGCCAAATGGGAGACGAATCACCTGAACAACAACAATTCAATGCAGACATTGTTCCCCCTTTCAAAGAATCTCCAAAGCAATCTCCAAATTCAACTATTTCTATTCCATCCTTTAAAATATCAAAAGAAATTCCTCTCACACAAACCTCAATATCAATACATTCTTCAGGTAAGAAGCCAGAGCCAGTAACACAAAATAGATCTGATTTGACAAGTATTGCCGAATGCTCAATAGAAGAAAAAGAGCTTGTTAAAAACATATCTCAACAATTATCACAAATTTCCTCTATCCATCTATCAGAGCCACAAACTAAACTAATTGTAATACCACACTCTCAAGAAAGTTTTCCAATTGACTTTTCATACCATATTGAAGAAAATGAAGAGAAAATTTCACTATCTCTTAGCTCTTTCGAATCAGAGAAAGTACCTTCAATATTTCCATATTTTGACTAACTTTGAATTACATAATATATTTGTATTATTGTGTAATATCTAACTTTAATTCATTTTATATTCCAATTCATACCACTTTTCTTGACCATGTACAACATTAGATTCACCATTCAAAATAAATCCAGCACTTTCATAAAAGTGAATTAAATGTGATTTACTCAATAAGAGAATTTTATCACATAAATTTTCATCCTTCAAATATTGTAAATATGATTTTAACATGGCAAGTCCTAATCCTTTCTTTCTATATGCTTGTTGAATAACCACAGAGTGAATACATAGAGTACGTGCATTTGGTGATGGATCGTGAACTGACATTGTATCATGAGTAAGAATTTTGTTTTGAGTTTTAGTTCCACAAACAAATCCAATTAATTTTTCTTCATCATCGGAACAAGTTGATGAAGTAAAATATCCTCTAAATACAGAGTTTGCATTTTCGAGACGATATTTTAATTTTTCATAAGTGGCAGCCTCATCTTCTGGATAAGATTCACTTTCATACTTGTTGATAATTTCTAAATGTTCTGTAACATTGACCGGTTTTAATAAATAACTAGTTGATGATGATGACATTTTTTTTAAATCATAATGTTGATGTTCAACATTTTTACAATGACAATACCAAGATATTTACAATTTAATTTTTATTATGTATTATTAAAGTAAATCTTCAATATCTGGAGTTTCCCATCCTTTAAAATAAATTCCATTCTTATTTTGTTTTAACATTTTAGCTTCCCAATCTCTGTAAGCCTTAATTGGAGCATCAGCATTAACAATCTTACTAAAAACTTTAGCACCATTCTTTGTAACATTTTCTGAAATTCCAAATAGTAATTCCAAATCTTGATCAAGAATTGTATCAGCTGATTGTAATAATTTAGAATAAATGTATGGAATCTTGTTTAAATAATTTAAAACTGGAATTGTAGAGTAGAATCTGAAAATGATACGATGTTCATTTTGTCCAGTTGGAATCATGCAAAATATTTGTGAAATTCTTGGACCTGCATTCTTCAAATCACCACCTTCAATATAATCAGTATTATCCAATCTAACAAAACATGGTGGAATAAAAGATGTAATATTACCAAATTCTCTCTTTACACCTTTAACTTTTTGATATTCAGGTTTTGTAACTCTATATGTGAATGAATCTGAGTGAATTGTCTTATCAAAATGCATTTCAGTAGGTAATTTACTTCTAACTGAATCATCTTGTGCTGGTGTATCCTTACTGAGAATTAATTGAGTTTTAACTTGAGTAGCTCTACTTCTTTTACCCAATGTACCATCATGTGTAAAATCTAAATGAGCAAAATCTAATAAATTTTCTAACACTAATGAATAATTACATGGAATATCTCTTGATTTTTCTAACATGATATATGGTTTAGTTGAATCTTCTGTTAAATATTCTTCTCTGAATAATTCTATTGGAATTTGATTAATATCTGATTTAACTTTATCATTTGGCCATACCCAAATCATTCCACAACATTCATGTACTTGTTTTGATTGACATTTGATAGTTTTACATAAACCTTTCATTCTTTCAGATGAAACAGATGGAATTCTAACACATTGACCATCTTTTTCAAATCTCCAACCATGATAAGCACATTCTAATGATCTTTTACCTTCAAATTCTGTAATTTCACCTGTTGATAATTTAGCTGATCTATGTGGACATAAATCTAATGTACATGTCACTTGTCCATCACTAGTTCTATATAATACAAGTGGTTCACCTAATAATTTTACAACAAATGGTTTCTTATCATTAATTTTAATATCTGTACTCAATGCAACTGGATACCAAAATAATGACATGTCCATATTGTTTAAATTTGTCTTTTCTTTAAATGATCCTTCCTTAATCTTTTCAATTACTTGTTGATCAGCATTGGATTTGCTAAATCTAAGAAAATCTAAAATTGGCATATAATATTTAGTAACTAAATAGGCACTACCTAATAATAATGCTAAAATACTTGCAATACTTCCAATGCTATAACCAGTAGTAGCAGTTGAAGAGGAAATGGATGATAAAGAAGTATTTAACCATGATGATGCTGATGAAAATATTCCACCACCACTACCTCCTCCTTCATTATTATTAGGAAGAAGGGAAAAGAATTTATCTAAAACTTGTTGAAGAATGGAATCTGTTGTTGGTGATGATGATGATGGACTAGATGTCATTTGAAAGTAATGATGAGTAGATGCAAAATGAAGTGTTTGAATTTTTTTTGTTGTTTTCAGCAATAGATTGCTTTTAAATCTTAAAGGAGGGAGATTTTGTTCAATCATGCGAATTGATGCGACTTTGGTTGGTAACAGGTTCATGATGGCCAGAGACGTGCTTTTGTCGTAGTTTGTTAATTTACTTGAAAAGCGCTTCATGATAATATTAGTTATTAAAATGTCATTGTTACATAACTGTGTCTGTGGTTAAAAAAAGATTCTACAATTGTTCATTTGGGTTGACAAATTGGTTTTAAGCATTGTTGCTGAACTGCATTGTTATTGTTAATACCTTACACCTGTTAAGGGGGAGTTAACAATTATTTAAAGGAAGTATCATTAGATTTTCTATCAAATTCTTAAATCTCAACCAATCAATATATTCTTTAAAAAATCCTTTTCTGGTACTTTTTTGATTTTTTCTTTAGCAAGTGAAAGTTATTGAAAAACCTTCACCAGCATTCAAGAATTTTGGCACTTCTTGAAAAAAAATTCATCACTGAAACAAGCCTTTTTTCTCTTTCTTTTTTTTCATCTTTGCACAACTTTCTTTTTTGATCGGAGTGAATAGGAGTTTATTGTGGAGTTTTTTTCATCATCATTAAATATAATCAACAAGAAGAATAAGAATGGAATCTTTATTTATTGATAACATTTTACAATTAAATTCATCGACATTACCAACAACAACAACAACAATGGCTAATAATGGAGAAACACAAACAGCACTGATAGGAAAATCCATTGCTGTTCTAGTTGTATTTTGTAGTGCTTGGGTTGGTGCAATTTTACCATTTGCCATTAAAAAGTTCAATTGTACATTTTGTAGTGATCAGAGACAAGCAACAATTTTATCACTTGTTAATTGTTTATCAGGTGGTTTTTTCATTAGTGCTGCTTTTTATCACATTTTGATTTCATCTGTTACGAGTTTTAAACAATTAACACAATTGATGGGTGGAAAGGGAATTTCAGCTTATGGAACTTTTCCTTTCATGCTTGCTTCGATTGGATTTGTTCTTCCTTTATTCGTTCATAATATTTTGAATGCATTTACTGCTAAAATTAAGAATGAACAAAATCAAGATCATGAATCAGATGATACAAATCAATTATATGCTCTTAATAGTGATATTAATGAATTGGAAGAAAAGAAAGAAAGTGGAGTTTCATATAACAAGATTGTTTCCTATGTTTTATCTACAGTATTATCATGTCAAAGTGTTTTAATTGGTGTAACATCTGGTGTTATTACTGATTCATCTGATGCTATGGTTTTAATTTGTACAATGATTTTACACAAATGGGTTGCTGCATTTTCAATTTCAGTTTCATCTATTAGAGCTGGTTTACCATTCTGGACAAGAACAATGCCACTTATGCTTGTATTTTCACTCATGACACCAATTGGTATAATTATTGGTATTTTACTTGTAAGATTTGTAACTGATAAGGTTGTATTTTTAATTGTTGGAATTATTTTCAAATCATTGGGTGCTGGTTTCTTTATTTATGTTTCAACAATGATTATTTTGAGAAATGAAATTGCTCTTCCAAATCAATCAACAAGTGGATGTCATTCTCAAAATGCAAAGAATGAACAAAAATCAATTACATCTCGTCAAAGAAATGTTTTCCTTCTCAAATTATTATTTGTATTCATTGGTTATATGATTATGACCATTCCATATAATATTATTGGTAAAGCTATTGCTAATCATTAAAAAAAACAATTGATATTTTAATATTGATTGAACATTAGTATTATTTACAACCATGGAATAGATCTCAAATTTTAGTGAAATACTGCTCCTAATTAAAACGCACGCATGGATGCATTCACTAAATTCGAGTAATCATTGGAACAAATCAAAATGATTTAAAAGAACTGATAATTATTTACAGTTCATTTCAGCAACTTTAAAAAAAAATGTCAGTCATTGAAAATATCAACAAAGCTTTCCAACTTGCTTTTAAAATTAGCCCAAAAGTTGGTAAATTTCCCTACCTTGCCGAAACATTACGTAGAGCTGGTATTGAACGAAACAGATGGTTTCTTCCAGGATGTACCAGTATTTATTATACTTCATCAGGAGAGAAAGTTGTCAATCAAATGGAAAGTTTACTTCCCTACGGAATGCATGAAATCAAACCATTCAATAGAAATCTAGTTGTAGATGCCATTAGAAAAGATCAAGCTGGAGAAACAGAATTTCCACAATTTTTAAAATGTATTTGGGAAGGAGGTGTTGTTTCATATGAAGTTGATTTTGTGAATCGTGTTTGTACTTATTATGGAGCAGATGAAAAGGAATTCTATGAAGAATATTATTCACATGTTGATATCAACACAACTCAGAATGAATAAGTGTAATAAATATCATCACTTTGCCTATTATTTACCAACAATAAGGCTTCTTTAATCTTGGTTCTCTATGGAGTGGTTGTTCTTACAAAGTTGGCGTTAAAATGTCCTTTTAGAAAAAGAACCTCTTTTACTGTAATTTACAAGACCTTTTTTAGATCATTTACAGTTACACATTACAGTTCAGACCTTTTGAATCGTACATACAATAAATTTTTCAAAGACAATATTTCATTTTCTCTCCTTAATACATGAAATCATTCACCAAATGAAAATTTCACCTTTTTAGTCTCTTTAGATAACATTCGGATATGATAATCTCAGAACCATTTCAATTAAAAATCTTGTCAAATTTCCGTGTCATGTTTTTATTCGCTCCATCTCAAGTTGTTTAATGTGCGCCCTATCTTTCCTTTAAAAAAATGAGAAATCAACAACAAGCAAGCAATTGTTACTCTTCCGAGAATCATGGCAGTAATAACATTAGTTGTGTTGGTGTTGGTGGTGACAATATTGGATTTGCAACACCATCGTCAGCAATGTCAGCACAATCAACATTGCAACAATTACTTTTAAATACAGTTGCTGCTCAACAACAAAAAAACCCATTCCTTATGAATTCATCATCAATGGGTATATGTTCTTCTACTCCTCTTTCGACATCATCTGTATCATCTTCCAATAATAATAATACGAATGCTACCAATGTTGGTAGTGCCAATGGAAATTGTGCGAATTTATTTAGTAACTTGCTTGATTCCACCACCACAAACATCACCAAAAACATTCCTATGAATAATAACAGTAATACTATTACATCTCAGAATACAGATAATAATATATCATCATCAACAACAACATCTTTTTATAATCCTACTACAGTTAATAATAACAATTTAAATTCCTTGCTAAATAATCCGAATTTTACTTTAAATTCATTACTTCTTCAACAATTACAACAATCAAATGTCGATATATTAAATAGTAGTAATAATAATAATAATAATACTTCGTATTTAGCCTCTTCTCCTCCTTCTTCAAATTCCTTTCAATTCATCAATCAACAAACTAGCTTTAATAATCAAATTAATAGTTCGGATCTAGGCTTTCTATCAACAAGTACTAGCAGTAATAGTAGTAGTAGTAATAGTAATTTAACGCCCTCTCCTACTAATCTTTCATTAAGACATTCACCTCCCTTTTCCTCACCAAATAATGTAAACTCCATCAATAATAATAATATGAATAATAATAATAATATATTAAATGAAAATCAGAATAATACTATTAATGCAACTACTAGTAGTATTACTCTTAATCATCCAACAAGTACATCTACGACTACTACCAACAATAACACACCATCCAAAGCAAGTAAAAAGAATCTAACAACAAGTTCTACTAGTTTTAATCCATACCCTGTGACAACAAAATCAACGAATGAAAATTCCTCAAATGGAAAACAGTTAATGTTTATTGAAGAAAATGGAAAGTCAAGAGTTTCTTCTTCTCTGTTACAATCAAATTCAGATCAGTTTGAAATTAGTTGTACGAGTTGTAGAGCCAAACATCGAAAATGTTCGAAAGAATTACCTGCTTGTTCTTACTGTTTAGCTAGAGGAATAACTTGTATATATAGAAAACCAAAGAAGAAGGGAAGACAAGGAAAACAACAAGTTGGAGATTTATCTCAACAACCATTTGATTTACAATCGAATACATTTTTAGATATGCAGTCATCTTTTGAAATGAATCCTCAAATAGTTAATAATTTTAATGAACCGAATAATATGTTTACAATGATGGGAAATCAAACAATTCCTTCAACTTTGGATAATAATTTTATACCATTTCATCAGCAAAATCAGCAAGAATTATTACAACAACACGAATTCCAAAATGCTAGCTCTATTGAATCATTTGATCCTAATAATTGGATAAATCAAATTAGATCTTCTCTCCAAACAAACGATAATAGTAATGATATTAACATGTTACATTCACTGTTAACTTCTGATTCAATTAATAATATTTTCTCACTAACTAATTTGATGGAAAATAATCCATTACAAAATCAATCAACAACTAATTCAACAACAAATCAACAACAACAGCAACAACATAATTATTCTATTAATGATCTTACAGATGAGTTAATGAAACGACTTACATTGGAAGATTATTGTAAATCTACTAGTTTCCCTGTTATAGATAAGAGTGAATTTTCTTCTCTGTTGCACAGTGAAAAGAGAACTCTAGAAGCAACAGCTTTATTATACAGTATTCATGCTTTAATGTGTCAACGTAAGGGTTTAAAACATGAAGCAGCGTCAGCTTGTAATCAAGCTAGAAATATTTTATCTAGAGTATTCGATAAGAATAATGATTTCTTAATTGCATGTGCATATTGTAATCTTTCAGTGTATAGTTCAGGTGAAGGTAATTTAGCTGAAGCAAAATTCTATCTGAAATTTGTAGATTATTACTTTGAAAATGAATCTACTTCAGAAACCAATAATGTAGTTCATGTAAATAATTTCAATTTGAAAATGCTTAAAACTGTTGCTGAAATGTCAGCAGGTATTGCAGCACAAGATGTGGATAGTAATCCTCTAGGAATTGATTCTGAAAAGAAGGAAATTGGAAATTTATTAATTGGATTTTACAAACTTTGTACTGGAGAAAAGAAAGCACCTCAACCTCTTCTTGACATTGTTTCTAAAACTGTTACAGGTGACACTTTAAAATTGTACATGACTTTATTAGAATTGGTTTCAAAACTATTCTATCAACATGAAATGGAAAGAAATTTAAGTAATGAACACAGTGAAATATCTCAACGTGTTATAAATTCTTTCATTCACGGAACAAGAGTTTTAATTTTACAAGAATGTGGAATTTCTAGTGGATCTATTATTGAAGAATCAGCCAATAGACTTATTAATATTTCATGTGAAGATAATTATGGAACTGCCTATTCTGTTTTGTTGTGTGCAATTGCTGCAGCTTGTAGAGTACATCTTAAAATTGTTAGAGATATAAAGAAGGGTATAAGAATGAATAATGGTGAGGATGGAGTTGATTATTTTGAAATGATTAAGAAAGGTCTAAAAGCACTCACTCTATTCAGTACAAGATATGGACGTGTTACCAAATTATATCGATCACTCATTATTGAACTTCAAGAAGTTGAAAGAGAACACAGCGGTTTTAAACTCTGTCTCTTGGCAACCAAAGAAATTGAAAGATTGAAATTGAAAAAACTTTCACCAACTATGGATGTTCCATCACTATTATCCAAAGATGATATTCTAAGTATTTATTATCTAGTTTCTCCAGAACAATAAAACTTTCAAATGTTGTTCAACATGTTGTAAATATTTTACCACTCTCTATTTATGCAAACTTGAAAATGCACCACCTTGATAATAGATGATTGATAAATAGTACTTCAAAGTCTTCTCAGTTCTTCAAGAATTGAGAATCAGAAATATAAAAAAATGCAAACACATAAAGAAGAACAAGTAGCATCATCGGAATTGGATGAAATTTCATCATCATTGGAAAATGTCTATGAAAAAGCAGCCCAATTAATTTATAATTCCAAATATTTATTAATTACATGTGGAGCAGGATTTAGTAAAGATTCAGGACTTGCAGTCTATAAAGATATTGCTTCTAATCCAATTTATCAAGAAAAGAATTTAACTTATCATGATTTAGCAAGACCTGTTTCTACATTTGAAACTGAACAAGAATTATTAGATTATTATGGATTTTGGGTTAATTGTGCACAAAGTTATTTAAATACTCCTTCTCATTCTGGATATCAAATTTTAAAAGATTGGAAACAATTATTATATTCTAAAAAGGAAATTCAAAAGGAATTTAATGAAAAACAAATTGAAATACTTTCAGCAAGTCAATGGTGGAAGGAAAATTGTAAAATTGCATCAAATATGTTTATTTATTCATCAAATGTTGATAATCATTTTAGTAGATATTTTGAAAAGGAAGAAATTTATAATATTCATGGACATGCTTTAAATTGGCAATGTGGAAATCATTGTAATGAAGATTGTGTTTGGAATTTTACAAAACAATTACAAAATATTATAATTAATCAAGAAACATTACAAATTGATAATGAAAAATTGAAAGAATTAAAATGTGAAAAATGTCAACATGCATCAATGCCAAATGTATTAATGTTTGGTGATTTGGGTCAATATATTAGAAATACAGAAGAAGAAGATCGTTATATTGCATGGGAATGTTCAGTTGAAACTTTTTCAAAAGAATCTTCAACTAAATTTCCATTTATTATATTAGAATTAGGATGTGGATTAACAGTTCCATCTGTTAGACGTGAAAATGAATGTGTTTTATTAGATTGTGATGAATCCTATCTCATTAGAGTTAATTTAGGTCAAGAAGAATTAGATACAATTCATAACGTTGACTTGATTCCAATGAAAAATGATAGAATTTTAAATATTAAGAATGGTTGTCAAGATGCTCTTCATCGTATTCATCAACATTTATTGAAAATTATTGAAAATAACAAGTAAAATAGATCTTTTATATGGAAGTAAATGATTACTTTCAAGTCAAAGTTGTTCTATAAATTTGTAAATTTTTGAAAAAATTGAATCTAAAAAACAGTTTATAAGAGTCTTAAGAAATAAATTTGAAAATAATTTATTAACCTTTCACCTTCTATACAAACCAATGCCAATACACAACCAAGTAATCTGTGCTCACAATGTCTCAATTTAACGTGACGATTCAATACTTTGAAAGTATTTGCATTCTCTCATTGACACTTTCTCCTGTCCTCATCTCATGAATTCAAAGTTGATGGATTGAAGCCAGCAATTACATCAAAGATTGGCTAGTGGAGGCAGTAGTTGTGGTGTTAGTAGTGTTGGTTTCGTTGTTGTTTGCAATATTTTGTGACATTTTCTTTCTTATTGCTCAACTTCCTATATCAAATTCCGATATCAACTTCCGTTGATTAGAAAATAATTTTAATTACATTGAAGATATTCCGAAGTTTAGAATAATTAAAGATAATTAATCAATCCTCCCATCAGAAAATAATTTTAATGATAATTAACCGTCAGATGATTAGTGATAATAAAATGTCGTCATGATTCCGAAATACGTGTTGCTGTATTTTTTCTGTTGGTTTTTGATGGATTTACAATTCAAACTTTTCATTTCTTGAGAAACTTATAAATCGATCAAATAATTTCAAGATTTACTTTCATTTACTTTTCAAAGTAGCGTTATAAGAGATCTAATATTTTACATTAAATTCAACATTAAATTCAAGAATAAATGTTCATTTCAATTTTGAATTGTTTTTTCAGATTTAAAAAAACTTTGAAAAAAATGTCTTTAGGTGTAAAAGTAATGAATTTTATTCAACCATCACATTATGAATTATCAATTACTTTATCAGATGATTTTTTTTCGGAAAAGACTAATGGCAGTGATATTAGTTATTCTGCAAGTTTAACAATACATTGTAATATTGTTAATGATGAAGATGATAATTATATTTTACCTTCTATTGAATTGGATTGTAATTCTGATAGAATTGAAATATTTGGAGTTTCCATTGAAAAGAATAAAAACAAATTAAAAGGAACTTTATTTGAACAAAATAAGAAACCAATTTCAACATCATCTAATTCATCATCATCTAAGAATGAACAAAAAAAGAAAAAGAATGATAAATCATGTAATCACAATCATAATAATAATAATAGTGAAATATCATCAAATAAGAAGGGATTAATTATTAAATCACCAATTGAACCATTTACATTAGGAAAGTATGAAATTAAAATTTCCTTTAAAGGAATAATAGTTCCATCTAAAAAAGCCATGTCAGGATTATTCTATTCAATTCATTCTAAAAATTCTTCAAAGATTATTTGTTCACATTTTGAAGCACATTTTGCACATTATGCATTTCCTTGTTTTGATGATTGGACACAAAAGGCAACATTTCAACTTGGTATTTCAAATTTAAATTCAAATTACAAATGTATTTCAAATATGTCTGTAAAGATGAAAAATGATTCAAAGAAAACTGTCATGTTTAATACTAGTCCTAAAATGTCAATTTATTTATTAGGTATATTTATTGGACAATTTGAATGTTTAGAAACTAGTTATATTTCTAAAAAGGATGAAGATGAAACTGAATTTCCAATTTCTGTTTATTATTTAGAATCTGGAAGTTCTTTAATTGTAGATAATTCAAAAACTATTTTAGAAATGAGTTGTAAAATTTTACCTCTTTTAGAAGATTATTTTGATCAATCAATTTTAAAACAAAATATTTCAAAACTTGATTGGATTATTGTTCCAGAATTAATTATTGGAGGTGGAATGGAAAATTGGTCATGTATTACTTTACTTGAAAAACATACAGCAAATACTTCGATGGATATGAAGAAATTGGGACCTTTTGTTGAAATTCTAGCTCATGAACTTTCACATTTCTGGGTTGGAAATTTAGTTGGTTTTCCATTTCATATTAAAGAAGGATTGGCAATGTATTTGGAAAAGATTATTACAGATCAAGTTTTAAAACGTGCAAATTCAATTACCATCAAGAAGAATGATAAGAAGAATAATAATACTTCAATCATTTCAGAAATCAAATCAGCTAGTAATAATGATGCTAATTTATCAGTTGAACAAATGTTCCAGAAAATGTTTACAGGTGTTGCCTACACTCAATGCTTTGATTTTATTTGTAATGAATGTGTTGGTACTCTGGGTCCAACTGTTTTCAGAGATCGTCTTCGTCAGGTTATTTCAGATAATGAATTTGGTTTTGTGAATGAAGATGATTTTGTTCAATCTTTTAAATAAAATTATCCTATTTGAATGTTTGTTTGGATGTTTGAATGTTTGCGAATATGTTATAATAAATAATTTATTTTGTTGTTGATTGTGTGTGAAAATTAATTCATACGAGGTCTAGTTGTAGTTGGTAATTTAGTATTAACACCATAACCAAATTCTAAACCACTTGTTGAGGTGACATCCACATTATTTACAATGGCTTGTTTTGTTGGTTTGTAAGTGATTGATAAACTTGCCTTAACACCCAAACCTTCAAAATCTGAAAATAATTGATCCTTCAATGGGAATAACAATCTATTGTAATCTGTGAATTTTGATTCAAAATCAATTACAACAAGATAATGTTCAGTTTCCATAACACAAGTTTGTTTCAATGGAATTTCAGCAGATCCGAATGTATCAGTAATAGTTGTCCAATTACTTCTATGAACATCAAATGTTAAAACTTTACCATCATTGGTATAATAAAATGTTTCACCATAAACAATTAATTGTGTCAATTCAATATGATGTGTCTTGTTTAATCTAATATCGGCAAATCTAGCATCCATAGTACCAAGTGGGAACATTGCATAAGTTCTACCTGTACCAGCAATAACTGACAATTCATTTTCAATATTATTAGATGGAATATTAGCATAATACCATCCCCATGCATATTTTCTATCTCCAAAATCATTATCTGGCGCTAAAGGTAAAAATTGTCCAAAATTCATATCACAATAACTATTTCATATTAATATTGTGTGTTAAAATATTGTTAAAAATATAAAAACTTACAATCTCCATCTTCTATCATGAATAGGTTGAATAATAGTATTAGAAATTGAATTACTTTGATAATTTAAAATACCATTAACTAAACTATCATGTGAATAAGTATTCCACATAATAATTCCTCTAAATTTTTCATCTGGCATTTCAAAACTCTTCTGACCATAATAACCATAAATTCTATCAATTGTTAAATTCCAATTAACATTTAATGAATTATCAATTTTATCAGTAAAGAATAAATTAGGTGAATTCTTTCTCATATTTCCAAATATTTGATATTGACCATCTTTTAATGGTTTCAATTCATAGAGCATTTCACTTGAATTTGATGGATTAAAAACTTGTAAATGGAAATGACTTCCATCATTAACTGTATGAAGTGAACTATATGGAAAACGTTCAACTTTTTGAAAAGATGTTCTTGTAGAATGGTCAACCACTGCAAATAAAACGAAAAAACCATCATATTTACATTCATTTTCATTACTAGTTCTACCTTTACAAAGTGATAAAGCATATGTGAATGCATAATGTCTATTCAATTGTTCATCTCTCAACCAGAAATACCACCACTGATAGAATGGTTTTGTAGAATCATATTCATTAACACGAATTCTCTCATGATAATTCTCTGGATCTAAAATTGCTGTATAGAATGGTATTGGAAGAGATGCAGAACATTCAGTTACCATGAATGATGATACTACTACTATTACTGATAATAATAATAATAATACTAATGATGATGATGATAATGATGATGAGTATGAGAAACTACCATTGGTGGACAATGTCTTGTTGGAACGGTTGTGTTCTAATCCTCCTCTGTGAAGAATAGAGTAAAACATTTTTTTAAAAACTGTTACTTCATGATTTGCTCGAGTATTAAATGAAAGCTTGTGATTTTTGAAGGATCACGAAAATTCAATCAAGACCTAATTCATCATCTTTGTGTAATTGAGAGTTTAAATAATTATATTATTGGAAGGAGTAAATCAGAGCGTATTCGTATCAGAGTTGCTTGCAAAATGATGATTATTATTCTCTTGGCCGAAAATTGTGAAAACAAAGTATAGATCTCCATCAATCCACATTTTCACCTGATTCTTTCATGAAAAATAAAAAACTTTGAATTTTTCCCATTGATAACTGGATAACAATCTGAAGATGTTTTTTTATTGGTAGATCTTTGTACAGTCGAATGATTCATGGGAGGGGAGTAAAGGGAGGGAAAAATTTGTAGTATTACATTTAGATCAAAGTTTGATCATTTAATTCTTGTGTTGAATTTCATCACAGAGTTCAATGATTCTCTTGGATTGGACCATTTCGGCAATCTTCTTGATTTCTTCAACATTTTCCTTGTTGATATTCTTCATGATCATACTTTCACATTCAACTTGCAAATCTTCCAACAAGAACTTGTGAGCAGCGATCCAAACACCGACAACATCATCAACTTCAACTTCGAATTCACGAGTGTAAATATACTTAAGGATGGCCAACATTTGCTTTTCAGTGGCATCTTCAATATCAATTCTCATGGTCTTCTTTTGTTCATTTTCAACATCACCCAAGAGCATACCGTGGAAGTATTTACAGGCGCTAGTCAAGATAACAGCGTGGCACTTAACTTCAACAGTCTTACCATCTTCTTCGCTACAGACCAAAGTCAAGTCAGACAAATCCCATTTACCAGTTCTCAAGTTTTCGAAAGCCCACTTCATGTTCTTCCACCAAGAGGATTCTGGAACAACAACATTCTTGCTCTTATCAAGATAAGTTTCAGCAATAACATCTAATCTGTCCAAACTCAAATACTTGGCAGCTTCTTGGGTTTCCTTGATCAAATCCTTTTCAGTATCCTTGTCCCAACTGACTTTATCAGTGTAGAGGTATTCCAAAACTTCCTTGAAAGCCTTGTGAGTAACTCTCTTATCCAAGGTGATTTGCATCTTGCCGTCAATAGTTGAGAGGGTTGTACCGGCAGTATTGATTGATCTCCAATCTTCTTCAGTTGACATTGTTGTAGGTTAAAAGTGAGGTGGTATTTTTTTTTTTGAAAAAATGTGATGCCTCATTTTAATGTTCCACCGAGTTTATCAGGTGAAGTGTGCACTGGCAAGCTAGACTTGATGCCTCCATCACACATAAATAAACTCGTTACCGTGCATCGTGGGTAATGTTTACAAAACTAATTTTATTGGTCAATTTGTTGTAATCGCTGCTATTTTTTTATGCAGTTCCAGTCTTGGGTGAACTTGATATTAAAGACAAACATTCAACCATTACAATTCATACCAACGATGTAACCTTTAAAAATACTTTTACTAATAATAATTCTATGAACAAACATTAATCAGAAACAATTTCTTCCACACTCAACAATAATCTTATTTTTAATAGGAATAATATTAATCATGTTTTGGCGCCATAAAATTGTGATGATCAAATTCTTTTGTATGATGATAAATAATATTTTATATTAATAATTTAAAATAAAAAATATTTAAAATGCCAGCCAGACCAAAACGAAACGTTAAAAAGAAGGTTTTTGAAGAAGAACCTGTTTCGGAGGAGGAAGAAGTGGTTGATGAAAAAGATGACCAAATGGATACTTCGGATGCGGAAGAAGCAGCACCTCCTAAAAAAACAACAAAAAGGAGAACTCCTGCTAGAAGATCTCGTGCTAAAAAGGATGAAGATGAAGAAGAACAACAAGAATCTTCTGAGGAAGAAGAAGAAGAAGAAGAAGAAGATAATGATAAAAGTGGAAATTATCGTGGAGAAGGTGAGGAATCATCATCTGAAGAAGAGAGTGAAGAACCACAAGAAAAGTACCAATTTATTTCGGAACAAACAAGTAAACATTTAGAGAAAATCAGAAAGGAACAAAAATCTCTTCTTAACAGATTAAAAGAGAAACAAAAGAAAGAACTAGTTGGTATTGAAGATCCACAAGAAAAAGTTAAAGTGACATTTAGACATTTGTTGGAACAAACAGAAATTTACTCTAGTTTCACTCCAAATTTATCTATGCATACAATTATTGATGGAACTTCATCTTCAAAGAAAGGAGGATCTAGAAGAAAACACTCTGAAAAGGAAGAGGATGAAGAAATTATTCGTGAAGCCTTGGAGGATGAAGAAGAAAGTTATCAAGGTGTTTTACTTACATCATCACCAAAATTTATTGAAAATACTACATTGAGAAGTTATCAAATTGATGGTGTAAATTGGATGATTAGACTTCATGATAGAGGTGTAAATGGAATTTTAGCTGATGAAATGGGTCTTGGTAAAACTGTACAAACTCTTACTTGGATTGCTTATTTGAAATTTATTAGAAGAATTCGTGGTCCTCACTTGGTTATTGTACCAAAAAGTGTTATTCCTAACTGGGTAAATCAGGCTAATCAGTGGTGCCCATCTCTACAAGTTCTTAAATTCCACGGAGACAAGGATCAAAGAAGAGAAATCAAGGAAAAATCACTTGTTGGAGGAAAATTTGAAATTGTTGTAACTTCATATGAAACAGCTATCAAGGAAAAGGCAGCTTTAAACAAATTTAGATGGTATAGTATTATCATCGATGAAGCTCACCGTATTAAGAATGAAAATTCTATCCTTTCACAATCAGTTAGAGTTTTTGATTGCCAATATAGATTATTATTAACAGGTACTCCACTCCAAAATAACCTTCACGAATTATGGAGTTTACTTAACTTTTTATTGCCAGATGTTTTCCGTTCAGCAGATGATTTTGATACATGGTTTAACTTGAAGGAAGGTCAGGCTGAAACTCATATTATTGATCAATTGCACAAAGTTTTAAAACCTTTCCTTTTGAGAAGATTGAAAACTGAAGTTAAAACTGATATTCCTCCTAAGAAGGAAATTTATGTAGAATGTGGTTTATCTAAACTTCAAAAAGAATGGTATCGTAGTATTCTTACAAAGGATTTGAACTCTATCAAGGGTGGTGAAAAAGTTAGACTTTTAAACGTTGTTATGCAACTTAGAAAGTGTTGCAACCATCCATACTTGTTTGATGGTGCTGAACCAGGTCCACCATATACTCTAGGTGATCACTTAATGAATAACTCTGGTAAAATGTATCTAGTTGATAAACTATTGAAGAAGTTGAAGGAACAAAACTCTAGAGTATTAATCTTTACTCAAATGACAAGAATGTTGGACATTTTAGAAGATTATTGTTATTTAAGAAATTATGAATATTGTAGAATAGATGGTCAAACATCAAGCGAATTGCGTGAACAACATATGGATGAATTTAATAAGGAAGGAAGTTCAAAGTTTATCTTCTTGTTGTCGACACGTGCTGGTGGTTTGGGTATTAACCTTGCTACAGCAGATACTGTTATTATTTATGACAGTGATTGGAATCCTCAAGCTGACTTGCAAGCTCAAGACAGATGTCACAGAATTGGTCAAAAGAAACCTGTGAATGTGTATAGATTAATTTCCAAAGACTCTATAGAAGAAAAGATTTACCAAAGAGCTGTTAAGAAACTTTATTTGGATGCTGTGGTTATCCAACAAGGTAGACTTGCTGAACAAAATAATAAGCTTTCAAAGACTGAATTGATGTCTATGATCAAGTTTGGTGCTGAAGAAGTTTTTAAGAGCACAGAATCAACTATTACAGATGAAGATCTTGATGCTATTTTATCACGTGGTGAACAAAAGATTCAAGAAATCGATCAACAATATAAGAATATCTGCCAAAACAATTTGCTAAACTTCTCATTGACAAATGAAAATAATTTGTATGAATTTGAAGGTCTAGATTATTCAAAGAAGGCAACTACAATGATTGTCATTGAAGAAATTCCTGAAACTTTAACAGAAGATGTAATTGTAAAAGAAATTGGAGATGAAGAACAACTTTTGGATGAAGTTATAATTTCTCATGAAAAGAAGAGTTGTATTCTTTATTTCGACACAAAGAGTGCTTCTGCAAAGTCTTTAGAAAAACTTGTCTCTAAAAATTATAAGGCCAAATTCTGTAAAAAGAATGATAAATTTATTCTCCAACTCGAAGAAGAGGCCCTTAAGGAAGAATCTCAAACTGTTAGAAGTGAAAGATTGGGAAGAAGAAACAAGCAAACAGAACAACAAATTGCTATTGAAGAAGCTCAGCAAAAACGTGGTCCAAAAGAACCAAAATATTATGATTTCCAATTCTTGAACACTAAGAGATTGTTAGAACTTTGGGAAAAGGAAACCCAATTTGAACAAGAAAAGAAAAAGAGAAAAAAGAATAAGGATAGTGATGAAAAAGAAGATGAAGAAGCAGGAGAACTTACCAAAGAAGAAAAGTCTGAAAAGAGAAAACTTCTCCTTGAAGGATTTAATAATTGGAGCAAGAAGGATTTCCAAAGCTTTATCAAGGGTTGTGAAAAATTCGGAAGAAAGGACTATGCAAATATTGCAGTAGAAGTCGAAAAAACTGAACAACAAATTAAGAAGTATTCTAATGTATTTTGGAAGAGATATAAGGAAATTAAAGATTATGACAAGTTGATCAAGAGAATAGAAAGAGGAGAATCTCAGTTACAAAAAATTGATAATAATAATTTAATGTTAAGATATAAGACACAAAAATATATCAATCCTTGGTTAGAAATGAAGTTCAACTATGGTCAAAATCAAGTGAAAGAATTTACTCCTGAAGAAGATAGTTTTATTTGTTGTATGACTGCAAAATTGGGATATGGATTTTGGGAAGAAGTAAGAGCACAAATCAGAAATGCTTGGGAGTTTAGATTTGACTGGTTCATTAAAACTAGAACTGCAGTTGAAATTCAAAAGAGATGTGATACTCTCATCAAACTCATTGAAAAGGAATACCAAGATGAGCTTAAAGTCCAAGAAAAGGAAAAATCCAAGAGAAAATTGGAACCCTCAGCTTCTGGAAATTCAACCAAAAAAGTCAAAAAATAAACTTGTATATAATATTAGTTTGTACTTGTAAAGAACTCATCCTCAGATTCATCTGATTGTGTAATAATTTGACTAATCTCTAAGGCATGAAGATCTCTTGATTGAGTCACTAATGTCTTATACGACATGAATACTACCATGAATAGAGTTACAATAATTATTATACATAAAATCAAACTAAAAACAAAATGTAAATCTATCATTAAAATAAAATCATATAATCCATGGAAAATTAGTGGTTGATAAATGACATAACAGAAGAAAGATAAATTAATCCAGATTTTTCTCAATGTTGAAGTTCCATTTGCCTGTCTATCTTGATATCTACTCTCAATAAATATTGGAACCTCAGTTAAATGTTGAGTTTCCAAACGTATCTTGTATTGAGCAATTCTTAATCCTACAAGACATCCGCTCAATGTATGAAGTGGAAGAGCAAGTAAAATTCTTCCAATAACTGTCATTGCTCCAAATTGTAAAATTACCATTTGTTGAGAAGCTCCAGAAGTGAGAATATAAATCTTTAAACAAACTACTAGAATAAATCCAATATTTTCAACTGTAGAAAGTCCAAGAGCCGCCAAAGCACTATAAACCATTGGTGGAAGTGGATGACAATGAGAATGATAAAATAACTTCTCTGTTTGATTTTCAAGTTTAAAACATGATGAGAAGAAACTTCCTCCACTTGTTAATTTCAAAGCAAGTAAAGCTTTTGCAACTTCTTCAACAAGAGATGAAACAAAGAATGATTGTAATACACCAAATAATAATTTCCACACAAAACTCAAATTTTCTAATTGTGTTTCAACTGATTGTATCATTGATGATGAATCCACTGTAATAATTTTCAATCCGTGCATAATTGAAATTAATAGTATAGATGCAATAATTTCAAATAAAAAGACAGGTATTACTGATAAAATACCACTCCACAATACATGAAAGGATAATTCTAAATCAATTTTGTTTCTAAACATGAAATAAATAATTAAAAATATTATAATACAAGGAAGAACTCCAATAAGAAGAAGCAGAGAAATAGCTGGACTAAAAAATAGAGGAATTAAAAGAAGGGAGAGAAGAGGAATAATAGTAAAATAAAGACAAGGTCCTAATTTTTGATTCACTAAATCCTGATGAGGTGCCAATGTTGATGGTTCGGAAATGTGATCACCACCAAAACTACCTAATTCTAAATCTTCAGAGTGATCATCTGTATGACTATCAGTGTTAGGCATTTTTTTGATGAATTTAATAATAAGTAATGTATATGATGTCATCATGGATAATATGAGTTGATATCGTAACTAAAAAGAATTGCAACTGTTTTGATTTTAATATTTTATATAGGATTTATATGATTTATTCTTGAGCAACAGCAGCTTGAGCCTTAGCGACAGCAGTCTTCTTTTCAGTCAAAATGATTTCCATGTGGGTTGGGTTAGCCATGAATGGGTTAATTCTACCGTGAGCTCTGAAAGTTCTTCTTCTCATCTTTGGAGCTCTGTTGGCTTGGGAGTGGGAAATGACCAAATCTCTGACATTCAAACCCTTAACTCTGGCGTTGTTTTCAGCATTCTTCAAAAGCTTCAAAACAGCGAAGATTGACTTGGTTGGGTATCTGCTGTTAGCAACACCGAATTCCTTGGAGTGAGCGTGTCTACCTGGACCACCGTTGTAAATCTTGAATGGGATAGCTTCAGTGTGTCTCAAGACGTTGTGCAAGTACTTCTTGGCTCTTCTCAAAGACAAACCCTTGATGGCATTGATAGTTTCACAAGTATTCTTGAAGTGAACTCTAACACCTTCAACCTTAGCCTTGGCGTGCTTGGAGGTTTCTGGGTCAACAGAGTATCTTTGTCTATTGGCTCTAGTCCTAAATATTTGAAGATAATCACAACATTAATAATAACAAGACAACACAAATACACAAATCGTTAAGCAAAGAAGAACAATATTAAAAAAAGCAGTGGTGATGTTACATACATTTTTGAGTATTTTTTTTCAACAAAATTTTTAAAACTTGGCTGGTTGTCTTTGTTGTTGGTATTTTACAATAAAAATTTTCTGTTGGGCATTTTATGAAGGCAAGAAGCCAAAGAGGAAGGAAAAAAAGCAATGATAGAGAATGTTAATACAAACATCAACAATAAACCCACCTGTTAATCAAACATTTTGCTTCAATGTATACATCAATCGGATAGTGCTGAATATGCAGCATTGATGTTTTTCATCATAACTAGGAAATACTTGCAAAGCCTATTTCTGCAAGTCTTCGACTCTAGTAGGAACAAAACAATTTATCATATGAACAGAGGATGATGATATTATTTACATTATTGGTTTTATTTACATCAATTAACAATCAACAATATTCAAACTCTTATCTTCAATAAGAATTTCTTCCTCATCATCTTCCTCTTCTTCCTCTTCTGTTGTGGAACTGAACAACATTTGCTTTTCAGCCAATCCTTTGTAAATACCATTAGAAATTTCCATGAGCTCATTGTGTGTTCCCTTCTCTCTCAATTCACCTTTAGCCAATACACAAATTTGATTGCAATCCTTAACAGTTGAAAGTCTGTGAGCAATGCAAATTGAGGTACGTCCTTTCATTAATTTGTCTAGAGCAGCTTGAACCAATGCTTCTGATTCAGTGTCCAATGCAGAGGTTGCTTCATCCAAGAGTAAAATCTTTGGATCTTGTAATAAGGCACGAGCAATGGCAATTCTTTGTTTTTGACCACCTGACAATGAAACACCCTTCTCACCCAACAAGGTATTATATCCTTCTGGCAAATCTGATATGAAACTGTGGCAATTGGCTGCCTTAGCTGCCTCAACAACTTTTTCCATTGTTGCATTTTCTTCACCGATAGCATAGGCAATATTTCCATAGATTGTTGTTGCAAAAAGTACAGGTTCTTGAGTTACGATACCTAAACAAGATTTGTGCAACCACATTGGATCGAGCTCAGCAACATCTACATCATCAATGTAAACTTTTCCTTTGGCAGGGTCATAAAATCTTTCCAATAAACCAACAATGGTTGATTTACCAGATCCGGATGGACCAACTAATGCAACAGCTTGACCAGATGAAATATCCAATGAGAAATTCTTCAAAACGGTAACATTTGGACGGGAAGGATAAATAAAATCAACATTTTCAAATCTGACATGACCCTTAATGGTTTCAATTTTTTTACCTCCTTGAATTGGAATGGCTCCCTTTCTCTTTAAAACTTTCAAAACAACTCTTTGAGAAACCATGGCTTTAGTATAATCTGGGAAGAATGCAAAAACTTGAATCAAGCCCATTGTTGAAAACAAAGACAATCCAATAACCTTCATCAAGCTTCCGATGTTCAATTCAGATGAAACTACTAAACCACCACCATACCAGAAGCAAAGTGCAACAGTTCCCCAAAGAACACCAATCATGACACCAAAGGTGGAGCCTTGTGCTATGGCCTTTCCCACACCTGCCAAGAACTTCTTTTTCAAATCACGTCCATATTTTTCTCTTTCTTTTTCTTCACCTGCCATTCCTCTTACAGTTCTCATTGAACTCAAAACTTCTGTAAACATGGCTGCACTGTGGTCATTGGATTTGTTAATCATTGTAGTTAATTTACGAATAATACCTCCCAACACAAAAACACCAAATATCATGATTGGAGTGGTTGAAATCATTACAAGTGTGAGTTTCCAAGATGAAGACATGGACAATGAGAAACCAATTGCAAATTGAGCAATACTTGTAACAAAGGTTGAAATTCTGGTTGTGTAAATTTCCTGAACTTTTGTACAATCCTCATAGAGAGTATTAGTAACAGCACCAACTTTCTTAACATCAAAATAGCCCATTTCTTGATCTGTCAATGCATCAAAATAAGCAGTTCTCAATGCAATACCAATTCTTTCACTTGCATAATTCAAGAAAAAGTTGGATAAAAGAGAGGCAACAGCTGCACCAGCTGCAATTCCAGCAAACTCACTGGCATAAACACTCACTTGGGATTTCTTTTCAGCTGTTGTCATGGTTGTTGAGGCAAAAACTGTAATGACATCACCCATTATAAATTGAAACATGAGAGGAATGATACCACTACCTGCACTTCCAATCATACCAATTAAAATTAAAAGCCAATTCCAACCAATAATCTTATAAATTGTGAATGCATCTTTGAAGGATGGTTTAGGTTCTCTAAGGTCAACCATTTCAATCTCAGAGGATGATATCTGCTCACCAGCCTCCTTATTATTATGTTTCTTGAAAGGATTTCTGCTTTGTCTTCTTGTATTTTCAGTCTTTTCCATCTTTACATCCCCAACCTGAATCGTTGTTTGTGAAGATGGTTTCTTAATCTCTTGTTCGCTCATTTTTTTGTATGTTGTCTATTGAGAGAGTTTGAATGAATTTCCAAGCAATATTTATTCGATACAGCAGCACTAAGAAATCATCGCTTTACTAGAGCGCTAACAGCGCAAAACCTCAATGGATAGAGTTGCGCAGAGATGGACATTTTGATGTGGATAACGATATTAGAAAACGTATTGAGATCTAATTCCATCAACCGGTGTAGAAAAGGAGCAACGACAGCGAACTATTTAATTTAATGACTTTTTCGTGATCGATATGCTCTTATAGCGCAATGGAATATGTTGCGTACTAAGAAGTGGTGATGGTTTTATTAACATACAACAACCATCGACATGTTTAATAATAACAACTCCTCTCAGCACTGCTCGGCATTATTATTTAAGAAGAACCAAGAGAGACAAATACAAATATTCAAAAAAAACAACTCAACACTAATCACAATTTTTTCATATACAATTCAGAAAATGACTGAAACACATGCATTGGATTATCAGATAGAGATTAAGGATGACAAGCCTACCGATCACAAATTAGATATAGATGCACTTACACCAAGAGATGAGAAGGCAACTAATCCAGCTGCATTATCTAGAAACCCATTCAAGAGAAGAAGACAGAAGAGAAAATTGAATGCATTGGAGAAGATGAAAGACGAAATTCCAGATCCAAGAGAACCAAAAATTGGATTCAAAGATCACTTGATTCTACTGAAATTAATTGGTTTCAAGAATTGGGTATTGATCTTTTTTGCAACTGTTGGTGCTGGAGGTGCAGGTGTTATTGGTTTATGCTTTCAATTTATTTTGGGAGATTTGATTAATAGTTTGGCAACCATCATGTCAGATTCAAATGCATTGAGAGATGAAGTTAATTCAATTGCTGGAAAATTTGCTATTGTTGCTCTGGGTGCTGTGATTGCAAACTTTATGAATCAATTCTTTAATACTTTGGCTTCAGAGACAATCAGTAGAACATTGAGACAGAAATATTTTGAATCATTGACAGCTCAAGAAATGGCATTCTTCGATATTAAGAAAGTTGGTCAACTGGCCTGCATTTCCAGTGATGATGTTGCCATTGTTCAAGAAATTTACACTTCCAAATGGTCAACCTTCTTCCAACAAGTAGTTCAAGTAGTGGTTGGTCTCATTCTCGCATTCATCAGCTCTTGGAAGATGTCTCTCGTCATCATTTCAACAAGTCCAATTATCTTTGTTTTGATTTGTGGTGTTTCACAAGGTATCAAGAAGTTGTCAAAGAAAACATCAGAAGCAAATGAACATGCATCTGCAATTGCAACTGAAATTGTTTCATCAATTAAGACCGTAAGATCAATGGGTGGAGAGCCAAAGGAAAGAATTAGATATAGAAATGATTTGAAGAAAGTTCACAAGTATGGTTTATTCAAGTCCATTCTTCAGGGATTCGTTTTCTTCGTTTTGAGTTTCACCATTTGGGGGACTGTTGCATTGGCCTTTTGGGTAAGTTTTATTATTTATTGCATTTCTAATTATCTTTCGAATAGTTTGGAGGTAATTTAACCGTAGACGGTGAGATTAGTATCGGAAGCATGTTTAGAGTCTTTGGTTTATCATTGATGGCTGTCATGGCTTTATCAAATGCTGGTACCTTCTTTACAGAATATGCCAAAGCCATTCAAAGTCAAACTTCGTTATTGAAGGTAATTAGAAGAGTTCCTGAAATTCCATTCAAGGGTGGTAAAACAATTGAAAATCTCAAAGGTGATATCTCTATTAAGAATATTGATTTTATCTATCCAGCCAGACCAAACACCACGGTATTGAAGAGCTTTAGTTTGGAAATCAAAACTGGTCAAGCTGTTGCATTTGTTGGTCCATCTGGATCTGGTAAATCAACCATTGTTGGATTAATTGAAAGATTTTACAATCCAGTTAAGGGTAACATTTCGATTGATGGTGTTGATATTTCAGAATTGGACCCAATGTGGCTTCACCAAGTTGTTGGTATTGTAAACCAAGAACCAACCCTTTTTGCTTGCTCAATCAGAGATAACATTACGTATGCTTGTAGAAGACCTGTCTCTCAAGAAGAAGTTGAAGAAGCTGCCAAAGCTGCCAATTGCCATAGTTTCATTTCAGATTTGCCAGAAGGATATACCACCTTGTTGGGTGAGAAGGGTGTTTCATTGTCAGGCGGTCAAAAACAAAGAATTGCCATTGCTCGTGCCTTATTACAAGATCCAAAGATTTTACTCTTGGATGAAGCAACCTCTGCATTGGACACTGAATCAGAAACATTGGTTCAAGCTGCTCTCGACAAATTAATGAAGGGAAGAACAACCATTTGTATCGCTCACAGACTTTCAACTGTTAAAAACTCAGACATGCTGTGTGTTCTTTCTAAGGGAGTTCTCGTTGAGCAAGGAAAACATGAAGAATTGATTCAAATTCCAGATGGTGTATATAAGAAGTTAGCCGAGAAGCAAATGATGTTTGCTCACTAATTATATTCCATGTAAATAAATCTAAATGTAAATATAAGCACATTAGAGAAATATCTATTGTTGTCGAAGATTATTTCACATAATAAAAAAAATGGAAAATTTACATGAAGATGTTTGCTATGGTCCACCAGAGTATTTTGATGATGATATTATTCAAAAGGAAGTTCAAGAGGAAATAATGGACTCCTCCACAGAAATTACAATTAGTAATGATAAGAAATTATTCTTGATTACAACAAGAATTGAATGGTTGATGGCAATGGAACGTAAAGATGACCAACAGATATCTTATTATGAGGAAAAATTCAATGAAGTTGCCAATATTTGGTTTAGTCTTCCGATTGTAGATGAAGTAAAGAATGAAACAAGTATTGAAAAATTGGAACAACTCAAACAATCCATAGTGAAATAAACATGTTTGAAACTGTTTCCATTTTCAATCACACAACTAGTTCACATTAATATTGTCTCTAATATTCTCCATTTTTACTTGAGAATAGTTCATCACCATCTCTCTCTCAATTTATTTACACAATTTCTTTTCAACTGCTTTTAATTAGAGTAGAAACTTCCACAGTTGTTAGGCAATCAAAGCCTAAAAGTACATTCTTTTCCATCATCGCAATGTTTGATTTTAACAAGTATCACCTCATAACTCTATCAAATTTTTCATAGGATGGAAAGTGGCAACGTCAAACACTTGTCAATCACTCAAACCTTTGGTAACGTTCTGGACCGAACAAAAAAATAGAAAACAAATAAAACAGAGGCTCATCAACCGCTCTAATCCTCTGCTGCTCTAATCAATAACAACTGTGTCATCATATATTAAATATATTATTATTATACAATATACTATTATTATTAAAGAACAACAATTAACTAGATTAAAAAAATGCAGAACAATACATCAATGATGAAACAAAGACTCAATGAAGAGAAGGATAAGGACCCAGAGGTTAGTAGAGTTTTTACATTTCAAAATTTACCTATCAATATATTATTAATAATATACTAATATAATAATATTTATTATTATTTACAATAACAATAACAAATACTACTATTTACAATCATGATTGTATTCCTTCCATTGATTGTAATCTTGAACAATAATCGTGTAATCTCGTCTAATGTTTACTACAACATACAATATTTCGGCTTGTTTCTAATAGTTTCTTAAAAGAACAATCTGTGTTCTGGAACTTCCTTTCGTTGTAGATGAACAACAAGTAGGAAACTTTTTCAAAAAATGTGATGGTGGTGTGAAACGTTTGGAAATTATTAGGTCTGGTGCTCTCGTATTTAGTGCAGCCTTTGTAGAATTCAACAAGCAAAAAGGAAAAAAGAAGGCAATTGAACTTTCGGAAAAAGTTGGACAAGAATATGATGTAATAATATTGAGTTCTGAGGATTTTCTTGAAGATAAAATCCCAACGAGAAAGGAAGCTAGCAAATCAGCTGGTTCAAAGAACACAACTGGTGGTCCTTGCAAAAATCAATAATCCTCATGAAGAACAATCATCAACTTGGTATTTTACAACATCAATATGTTGATATAACACATTATATATAACTACAAGTGATGCTCTGCTATCTATACATCATTCATTCAATTTTGGTCTATGTATTACTTCTCACCTAAATTTATATGAATATCACTTGACAGTTTTTCAAAATCCAACTTTTCACACAAAAACAACACAACACACTAAGAATTTTCTCCCTTGATTCAATCAACAACTCCACAATCGATAGATTGCCTTAAATTGAACACACTTTTGTACTTGTATATAAATTGGCTCTAAAATTTTATAAATTTCATTTCTTTTCAATGGAATTCCACATGAAATGATACACAGCTTTGTGATAAATCAAAACAACGAGGACTTTTTAATGGGAGAAACAGAGAGTGAAACAACATGTTGAGCACGTTTACAATTCCGCATAACAAGATCGGATTTGGCGCAACAATTAAACAAGCTCGTTAAATGCGGTTTTTGATAAGGATCAACAACACAAAAACAAAAAAATGAAACTACTACTTGTACTGTTTTCACTAATTGCAATTGCACTTGCTTTTGGTACACATGTTTATTTGCAATCAAAAGAATTTGATGGTGTTGAAATTTCAACCATCGGTGCAAGTTTGGTCATTAAAACAATGATTAAAACAGTTGGAGCGAGAGTGAAATTGGTTGAATCTTTAATGCCAAAATTAAATCAAACTAGTGATTCGTTAAGAATTGAGACAATTCCAATAACATTTGATACATCAAGCTCTGAAGTATATTTGAAAGAAGTTGGAGAGCCAGTTGCAAAATATGCATTGAGAGTTTATCAACCAAAGCAGAATAGAGATGGAGGCTATCCTATTGTAATGTATATTCATGGTGGTGGTTGGATGTTTGGAAATATTGATATAAGTAATAGATTATGTGAAGGTTTGGCTAATAAGGGATTCATTGTTGTGAGTATTGATTACAGAAGAACTCCTGAACACATTTTCCCATCATGTTTGAACGATAATTTGAATGCTTTGAGTTGGATTGGAAGGAATTATGAAAAATATAATGGTAACATTAACCAATTGATAATTTCAGGAGATTCTGCTGGAGGTCATTTAGCAATTACAACTCAAATTAGATTATTCTCAATCCAAAAGAAATTATTGGAAAGAGAATCTATTCCTTCAGTTACTCATCAAGCACTCCTCTATCCTGTTGCTGATTTTTACAGATATGGCGATGAAAAATATGAATCCTATATGAAATATAGAGATAATGGTCTAATCATTGATGGAGCTGTTATGGACATGTTTTGGAGAAATTTCATTGGTAATAATACTGAAGAGCAAGTGAAATCCAATCCGCTCATATCTCCTGTTAGTGGTCTCATATTATCTGACAAGGTACTTTATTCTCAATTTCCAAAAGGATTCATATGGCTTGCTGAATATGATGTTTTGAAAGATGAAGGAAAAAGTTTTGCAAACGCTGTCAACAATGCATCTCCAAACAAGTTGAAAGTCAAGGAATGGAAGAGTTGTGTTCATGGTTTTATTGATCTGAAACGAAATTATGATGAAATGGCAGATGCTATCTATGAAGTACTGGGAAAAATTAATAAACAGAGTTAAAAATTGAAGCCAAAAAAAGGAGGGAAAAAATGGAATCGCGCCAAAATTTTGTTTCAAATTTTAAAAAAAAAATTCACCACTAGCTAGACGAAGACCTCTCTTTCAACTTGCAACCTATCCCGTCATCACATCAAAATTTAAACAAGTGGTGATCTTTAGTTTTGTACAACAACAACGAGAGGAAATTTTCAACATACGATCCAACAACGATCATCTAAATTATTATTTTAACAAATTGTCATAAATCTAGGCTTGATCTAAAATGCCACCAAGAACAAGTAAAAAAAAGGCATCTTCATCAAAAGAAGCACCACAAACACCAAAGAGAAAGTCAAGAAATGATGAAGAGGCTACTTTCACACCAATGGGTACACCAAGTCAATCACTCTCACAATCATTATTTAGTTTATCAACAAGTCAAGCTCAATTGTCTCAATATCTTGATGAAGGAGAAGAAGTTTCTGATGTTTTATCTGGAGCTTATATTTCGGAAGGTATGACCGAAGGAGATTTATCTGAAAGAATGAAGGTTAGTATAGTTTAATTATGTGACTAATTAACACGTAATAGAAAATATCTGATATCTTGAAAGGAATGGGACAGTTAGCAACACCTGATGATGCTCCTTGGGATGAGCTTTTCATATCTAACATAATTGAAAAGAAAATCATTTCAAATAAGACTGAAGAAGTTAGAGTTTATGCAGCTTGTTCAATTGTTGATATTTTGAGAGTTACTGCTCCTGATTGTCCATTTGAAGATGAAGAATTACCAAGAGTATTTAAATTTATTATCGAACAAATTGAAGCTCTCAGTAGAGGTGGTGTACTCTTTTCTAAGAGATTCTATTTATTGGAAAGACTTTCAACAGTTAAAATATTTATTATGCTTGTAAACATTGATGAAGGAGAAGGTTTAATTATTCCACTCTTTCAATCATTGTTTAGAATTGTAACTGATAGTGAATCTACCCAACCACAAAAAGTCATATCATACATTTGTGATATTATGATAACTCTTATTGAATCAATTGAAACTGTTGATTCTAAGCTTATTGAAGTTCTTATTCAACCTTTATTGGAAAATAGATCTAAAATTCCATCAGAAGATGATGAAGATGAAGACAAGGATGAAGATGATGATGAAGATTCACATTTCTCAGCCAAATACATTTCCAAGAATGTTTTAGATAAGACTCAAGAACATTTATCAAATCAACTCAACGACTACCTCAATGACATTCTTAAAGAGCTTGATGTAACAAAAGACAAAACAAAATCTACATACAAGAAGAAACGTGCTAGAGTATTCAGCTTGATTTATGAAATCAACTTGATTTCTTCAAGACTTTTATTGACTGTTATTCCAAACCTTTGTATTCAATTGAAGGATGAGGAAGTTCAAGTTAGATCAGCTGTAATTCAATTATTGGGAAATATGTTCAAAGCAAAGGAATCAGAACTATTTAAGGAATATCCAAACATCTTTGAAACAGATTTCCTTTCTAGATTTACTGATAAGGATAACCGTGTTAGAATTTATATGAGTAAATTTGCGAGTGGAATGATTAAAAATCACCCATCCAGTAACAAGGTACTAAATGAAAGACTGGAGGAAAGAATTATGGACCCTGATGAAAAAGTAAGAAGAAATGTTGTTGAAACTATTATCAATATTGCCATGGAGAGTCCTGCTCTTGTATCTGATAGTTTAATGCAAAAACTTAAGGAAAGAACAAGAGACAAAAAGGCTGTTCTTAGACTTCATGCTTTGGAGTTATGTGCCAAGCTCTATAACCACCATGCTACTGAAGCATTAAAAATTGGAGATAGTTGGGAAAATACTACAAGTGAAAAGCTTGCATGGATTCCAAATACTATTATCAAGTTGTATGCTGAACAACATGAACAGGTTGTTTCGAATAGATTAATGGTAGAAAAACTTATTGACCAAGAATTATTGGCACAAGACTCTTCAAGAACCAAGACCCTCTTGGATTTGTACACAAAACTTGATCAATCATCAAAGCATGTCTTATCAGCAATAATTTCACAAAAGAAGTCTTTACAACACTTTGTCAACACTCTTATTCATTTGGAAGAAGATGATGATTCAAGATTACCACTTATTTTGAATAACCTTTCCTCTTCTCTTCCTGATGAATCAGTTGGTAAAAGAGTTTGGAAAGATGTCTTTAATCGTAGAAACAAACAAAACGATAATGCTATCACAACCTTAAAGTCTTGCTTGAATACCAATATCACTTTTGATGCTGTAACTAAACTTAAGAAGAAAGGTGAAGAGAAGATTCTTGGAGAAAAGAAGGAAGAAAAGGACTACATGAAGACTGTAATCCAAAAACTTGCCATGACCATTTTTACAAAGGAACAAGCTAAGGAATTAGTTAAACTTGCTCACTCATTCTCTGATACTAAACAAATTGAAATGACAAAATCATCAATTCGTCTCTTCAATATAATAGTACAAGCTTACCCAGCAATGGGAAAGGATTCCATTCCTTCATTGATTGAATTATTCGAGAAGGAGCAAGATTATGATCTTAATATTCTAGTCCTTAAGGCATTATCTCAATGCGTTGTAGAGTTGGAAAAAACCAACTTCTCTCTTGCTAATGAACTTGAGACAAAAGTTGTCGATTTCTGTACTATGGGCAAACCAAAGGAAGTTAAGAGAGCTGCAGAAGTAATTACCAAGGCTTTCACACATCCAAAGTCTATCTTTTCACAAATTATCAAAGAGGCCAAGTCTAAGATGAACTATGGTGAAGAACTTTTAACATCTATTAGTGCTTTCAGACAAGTTGCAATTCATGATATTGAATTATTCAGACGTGATGAAGAAGAAATTGTCGAATTTATTTTGAATGAAGTTATTTTGGTTGATAGAGAAGAAATGAGCTCCTCTTGGGAAACTTTATCTGTAGATACACAAACCAAGGTTCAAGGATTCAAGTTTTTGGTTGACTATTGCATTGCTTGTACTAAGGAAGGCATTACTGAAGAGTCAGAAGCAACTAGTTCAAAACTTGTAAACATTCTCTTCAGTATTCTCAAGAATAAGGGTTCTATTTCTCGTGTCATCCAAGAAATCAATGATGAAATGGAAACCAGTGAAGAACAAGAAGAAGATGATAAGAAGGAGAGTAAGAAGAGAGAAATTGATAGGGCAGCTCTTAGACTGATAGCTGCCAACTCTATTATTAAGCTTACTACTTCTGATTTCAAGTTGAATGTTTCAATGGAAAGATTCCTACAATTGGCTTTTGTATTTCTTGATACTTCAGTGGAAGTTAAACGCAAGTTTGTTGAAAAATTGTTCTCCGAATTAATGAGTACCAGACTTTCAACTAGATTTACTGCTCTTTTAATTCTCTTTGTTGGTGATAAGAATGCTGAACTTGCTGTAAGAGCTAAATCCCATTTTTCAAAGGTTGTAACCTTTTTTAGAGCTCTCATTTCTAAAACAAAAGGAATCACACTCACATCACCTAAAGCTAATGACTTATTCCCAGAATATATTTTGCCATACCTTGTATTCTTACTTTCCCATCATCCTCAATTCAAAGACGAAGCACCCCAATTCATGACATTCCAAAAGTAAGTTACTACAATTAATTTGATATTAATTTTTTAATTAGGATTTTATATGCTTATTTCGATGAAGTTACTCACGATACTGATAATTTATCATTCTTCCACCACCTCATTACTAAATTGAAACAAAGAAAGGATTCTCTCGCTTTGGAGTCAACCAATCACCTCATAATTTGTGATATGTCAGTCTCAATTGTAAATAGATGCGCTGAAAGCTCTGGATCATCAACTTCATCTGTTCCATTCCCTGGTAAAGTATTCATCCCTCCATACTTTGTTGTTGATAAGGAAAATGAATCAAACTTGGAGACTATCAAGACTTTATTCTTACCAGATGGTTTTAAATTGAACGAAAAGCTTGCCAGACAAGTTCAACCAGTTGAAAAGAAGAAAAAACCCACAAAAGTAGACGAAAAGAAGGACAAGAAGAGAAAACGTACCACAACAAAGAAGACAACAAAGAAGAAGAAGGAAGAAAAAGAATCTACAAAGAGATCTTTGCCAAGTAGATCTGCAAAGACAAATAGAAAGAAAATTGAAAGCGAAGACGAAAGTGAGGAAGAAGAGGAGGAAGAGGAAGAAGAACAAAGCGAAGGAGAAGAACAAAGTGAACAAAGTGAAGAAGAGGAGGAGGAAGAAGAAGAAAAGATACCTCCTAGAACCTCAAAACAGAAGAAAGAACCAAAGGAAAGCGTAAGCTCTAAAAAGAAGAAATTCAAATAAACTGTACATAAATTATTTATTGAAACTAACAAAATCAATGAAATTCAAGAATTTAGGATTTTAAGATTACTGTAATACAATTTCCCTCCATTTTTTCCCTCCAAATCTTTTTACATTTTGCACCAAAATATTATTAAAAAAAATGATTAGACAACAACCCCAACCGCAGTCGCCTCAAACAACTGTACCTACTGCATCAACAAGTAGACCATCTGCAGAAGAGCAGGAGCATTTCTATTCTTCAGACGATTTTGGGGATGAAGTTGACTTGAAGAAGGTTAAATTCTCGGAAAATACAAACCTTAAGGATTCAAAAACACCAGAAAAATTGTAAGTTTGCAAACATACAACAATGTTTTGACCATTTTCATAGAATTGAAGAATCCGAGACCGATGACGAAAAGTATATACAACAATTGTCTGAAAAGATGAATGAACTCTGTGCAATGATGAGAACAGAAGTCATGGTATGTTTTGTACTCAAACATATTCCTTATTAAATATATCACCATTTTAATAGAATAACCTCTTTGATTTGAAGAAGAGAAATGTGCAAAGACTCACTGATTTCAATCAAAGAAGCAATGAAGACAGAGATGATCTGATTCTCCAACAACGTTTAAAAGAGGAAAAACTAAGAGACAGCATTGCCAAACGTGATTATTATTTAGCGAGATTTAAAACTCTCACTTTCCGAATGGCTGATCAAATTTCACAAGCTAGAAAGGTGGAAAGAGAAAAGACCCTTGTGAGAAACATTTTAAGCAAATGGAAAGAACACTCTCAAGAAAAGAAACGAAAGAAAAACCTAGGAGAAATGTTACTTAAAACCTATAAGAGAAATCAAGCAAGAAAAATCCTTCAAGGATGGTATATGTGGATTTTAAACTCTAAGCAAAACACAACAGAACGAATTTGGCAAAACAGACTTGAAAATGAAAAAGCCGAACTGAGAAATGATTATGAAATGAAAATTGAGCATTTGAAGGAAGAAATTCTTAAACTGAATCAAGCTCTAGAAAGAGAACAAAATGATAAGCAAGTTCTTCAAGAAAACTTAAAGAAGGCACTCATGAGAGGCGTGTGCGCAATGAATAACAAATTTTTGGAAATTATCAAGGATACAAATACCAAACCAACTCAATCTTTCAATGTTCAACAAGAACTTGAAGATGCTTTGAACGAGGTACAAAGTGAATCCGAGTTTATTCAAAATATTGCAAATCAACAAACTCAAATTCCAAGACCTTACCCTAGTTATCCTGAACCAACATTCTACAGTGTCCCACAACCTCAACCATTACCAACTAGTTCACAACCAACACGATTTATAACAGCCCCAATGGAAGCTACACAGGTGAAAAACCCTCAACCACAAGTAAGAGTAATCAGAGAAACTGTAAATTATCCACTTAAACAAACTTTGCAATCACCCTTGCATCCACCTAAGAAAGACAGAAATAGTCCTCCAAATACTAAACAAAAACCAACCAATCCATCAAATAAACGATAAACTAAGTTTGATATAATTTTACAATAATTTAATGAATAGTGAGTCCTGTATTCTTTTCTGTAAACTTCAGCCTGCGTACTCAATGAAGCGTTCAATAACAACCTCAAATAATTATCAAGCTAAGTCACTATTGGTTCGACTTGTCTAAATTGTGAGTTTGTCCATTTCTGAGCCAGTTAGCGCCACTCACTCTAGTTCGACTCTCTTACTGTATCAATGAATCAATCCACTAAGAAACACGAAAAAACTTTCCAATTCATTTCTTTCGCTCTCTTGTTCAATTAGAAGCAAAGCAATGAATGCTAAAAATAAAAAAATATGAATATACAAGCCATTGATGATGCATTAACAAGAGTCAAGTATCCGTATGCTTCTCGGGTGCGAACTGATGTCTTTCATTTGATATCTAATATACCTCTCCAGGTTGGTGTTGCTAATTTCAATGGAAAGGATATTATGCAATTAACAGGTGAGTAATTTGGGTCTTTGGATCGGATGATGATGAACAATTTAAATATTATTATTAATTAATTAATTGTTTTTGTTTTTATTATTATAATTTAGGAACTATACCAATGTATTACAAGGGAAGCAGATATAATATTCCAATGACTTTTTGGATTGTTGAAATGTATCCATATCATCCACCTGTTTGTTTTGTTTCTCCGACAGCAAATATGATGATTAAATCAAAGCATAAACACGTGGACGATAATGGTCAGTGCTATCTCCCATATACTGCAAATTGGAATCCATCATCATCAGATCTTTATGAATTAGTTAATCAATTGAGTGCAATCTTCGGAACTGATCCACCAGTTTTTCAAAAAAGCGCAACCACAACAACTACAAACACCAATGTTTCTAATCACTCCATTCCATCAGGTACCTATCCACCACCTTTCCAACCTCCAACAGGTTCAATGTATGGAAGTACCTATCCAGGAACTTATCCATCATATGGAATGAATTCATCAATGTATAATCAAAGAAAACCAACTGAAGAAGAATTGAAAATTCAATTGGTTAACAAAGTAAGACAACATCTCCAAAATGTAACACTAAAAGAATATGGATCTAAAATAGAAGCTGAATTCAAGACACAAAATCAATTAACTGCAAGAGAAAAACAATTGGAAGTTGTGGAACAAAGAATGAAAACTGAACTTGACCAAATTGAAAAAGAGAGAGAAACATTAACACAAAAAATTTCATCATTAGAAACATGGATTCAAAACAATGAAAATAAGCCAATCGATGTTGATGTAATTATTAATCCACAAGATATCCAAAGCAAACAAATTCTTGATTTGACAAGTGAGGAAATGGCTATTGATGATGTAATTTATTTCTTAGAAAAGAAGCTTCACTCAAAGCAAATTACTTTGGATGACTGGTTAGATCAAGTAAGAGAATTGAGTAGACAACAATTTTTAAAGAAGGCACTTGTAAAGAAGATTTCTAATTAAATTTGTAATCATAATCATGCCAGTTTATTCCTTCTTATTAACATCTTTCAAAAACTTTGAACAGCTCAGGAAGATTGGCAACTTCAACAATTGAGCCATCATTTACAACAGATTCTGGAGGTTTAAACAAGAGTTTGATCGAAGGAAACACTAAATGTTCAGTAATCCATCTCATTCTCTGCTTTGAATATAAGGTAGAATTGGCATTAGCCTCTTGACTGCTCTTTTGACTATCATTCTCAGATTCGTCCTCCAGTTCAAAATCTTCACATAAATTATAGAATGAGCTTATCACTGTTGACACATCACTAAAACATCCAATTTCAGAATCCCAATTTACCTTAAATGCTAGTGCATATAAAAAATCCGGAACTCTGTGCATTGGTGGAATATAATTCTCCAGCACATGAGGAAGTGAAACCAATTTAAGATCCTCTGTAATACACACAGAGAAGTATTCCTGTAATATTTCTTTTTTCTCATTAAGAACAGACAATGCTTCTCTAATAACTTCGTCATTATCAGATACACCTTGTAAAATTGTTTTAACATCTAGAGAATTCTTCAAATTAATCTTTTTAAATCTACCAAATTTGGCAAGAACTCTCTGATATAAGTGTATTTGAGTAATTGCATTCATATCTATTAAAATTAACCGATCATTAAATTGTACAAGTGAATATTTAGCATTGATATATCCAACATAACTACTAGATCTCAATAGCTTTTCAAGTTCTGCATGATTTTTGGCATTGATAGAATTTCTAAGTGATTTCAAACTTTCCAAATCATCAACATTTTCCTCATGCTCAGCTTCAGGTGATTTGGATTGTGAATTTTCCTTTCGTCTAAAAATATTAGAATTTACTCTGGCTATGAATGTACATTACTTACTTTTTTGTTACAGGTTGTGCAGACACTGAAATTTCAGCATCCTCGTCCTCTTCCTCTTCTTCTGTAAAGTTTCTTTTAAGGGAGGGGAAATATTGATGGATTTGTCCAGTTTGATCTGATGCGCTGGTTCTTACTTTGTTCTTTGGTAGCTCCTTTTGAGTTGCAAGTTTTGGTGATGTGAGAGAAGGAGTTGGAATGATAGCATCATCTTCGTCATCATTTATCAAATTAGGTGGCAATATAGGTGTAAAACTTTTAGAAGGGGTTGCTTTTTGAGAAACTTCAAATGTTCTGGACGAATTGGAGCCCAATAATTTTTTCCTCAAAACATCCTTTACCTCTTCAATAATTCTATCTTCATCCAATACTGCCACTTCTTTCTTTGTTGGATGCATATTTACATCTATTTTTTTAGGATTTACATTAATACTTAAAAATACGAAAGGATGTGTTGACTTTGGTAAATAAGGTTCGAATACACTCATTACGCCTTTTTGTAATTTACTATGAGATACTAGTCTTTCTGTTAAAGATAAGTTTAAATAATGAGAGAATAAATATACGTACTGTTAATAAATAAAGTAAATGCTTTTTCCTTTGAGCTATAATTTACATTTGTAAAGTACATTTTTCCAGTCAACTCAATTTTTTCATTGTTAATATCTGCTTCAATAATTTCCTTCTCAATTTTTGGTCCAAATAGTGCTTTGATATTTTGTCTGACATTATTTTTGGTTAGTGTATGTACAATTGGTTTGGTTTCCCCTTGCTTAACAAAAGTTATTAACATTCTAAGAATCTATACCAACCTTTTTCAATGTAATACTGACACCAGTATTGAATAGTGCATAGGCTGTAACTATTTTTTGAATAGCTTTAGGTTCTGTATTCAAGTTGACAGATTCCCTTCGAGTTTTGTTATCAAAGAATAAATTTTCGGCTCGAATGATGGTACCTCTAGCTCCAGATCTTTTTTTCATTGGTCCTGTGAGTTTTCCATCTCTATAGGTTGCACTATTTCACAAACGTCAATAAATTTCATAAAAGGAAACCTACAATAGAGCAGTCGATTGTTGTTCCGTTTTTGATGTTATTGTCACGTGAGCACAAGTACTAACACTTGACAAGGCCTCTCCTCTAAATCCGAATGTTGCAATACTTCTCAAATCCTCAAACGAAGATAATTTACTTGTGGTGTGACGTTCACAAACAATTTCCAAATCTTTGGCCTTTAATAAATATAATTAATTAAATAATTTAATTTAAATATTCAAATATTCTCAATCAAAGACTACATACTCCAATTCCACATCCATTATCAGTTATTTGAAAATATTTTAATCCTGCATCTCCAAACTCTATCGTAATAGAATCCGCTCCAGCATCAAGAGAATTTTCCAATAATTCTTTAATTGCATTAGAAGGTGCAGCAATAACTTCCCCTGCAGCAATCTTGTTAATCACTTCTTCCGAGAGAGGTTTGATCTTCCCATCAACTGGTGGCTGAGAAATGCCAACACTGCTTACTGTTTGTTGTGATGACATTTTTTTTTCCAGTTAAAAAAGGATTATTTTTTTACTCAACCCGCCAACTCCTGTGGAATTAATACTTTACTGTTAATATAAAGTTCTATTCACACTAGCAGTATTTCTCACTACTTCTGTATTTTACAGCAAAAGCTTTTTGAGCTTCCCCCCAGTTTTGGTTTTAACAATCAATCAAAGATTGATCCACTTCTTTCGACATTGCAATACTAAGCTGATCAAAGGAAGCTATTTACTGTAAGATTATTGTTTTGGGTTTATTAATAAATTATGTCGAATTTAGATAATAAATTGAACATAGTTTTACCTGTTTTCTTTTGCAAATCATCATCATCCACAAAGCCGCTTTCACCTCTCTTTTCAATGATGGTTGCTGCTTCTTTATCACCAACACTTTTGAAACTCTGTAATTCATTGCAATTACATTCATTGATATATAAAAATTGATTTGCATGGAGAAATTCCATTTGATTAGCAAATACTCCAAAGTAATCTGCAAAGTTTTCCTTGTGGATGACAATCAAATCATTATCATTTGGAATATTAGACACAGTCTTTCCTGTAATTATTATCGTGATATTATGAACTTCCAAAGGTTCGTCCTTTTCGTTAGTGAATTCTAATTTTCTGTTTTTTTCTAATTCCAAATTTACCTCTGCAAGTGAAAGATTACCACTTTCAGAATCTGCCCATTTGCACTGTATATGAAAAACCAGAATAGCTGTACCATGTTTTTCTTGTAATCCTAAAATAAGAACATCACCTGCCTTAGCAGCAGTGGCATTTAAAACCACATAACATTCCTTTTGTTTGAAATCTAAATTATTGTTTGCCCTTACATCAAAGTCAAATGTTGGATATCCAGAGCTTGTTGTAAGTTTGATCTTTTGTTGTTTACGATGAATGTGGTTGACTGCACACATCATTTCCACCTTTGGTATCCTTTGTAATTTAATTGAAGCTGTACCAGATTGCATTTGAGTAAAAGGAAATAAATGTTCTATGGTTAGATCTTCTTCATTATCAGACAATAAAGATAATGTAAGATATAAATATCTATGGATAATTTTTTCCCAGCATCCACCGTTAATGTTCTTATCAAAGCTGAAAAACAAGTCTTCGTAGAGCTTAGTAAATTCAGTGGGTATTAAATTTCTCAATAACACTGGAGGGTATATTGCAATGAATTCGTCTTCTCCAACTTGGTCAAGCATAATATAACCCTTATTCTCCATATCAGAAAATGTAATTGGTGGTGCATGAGTTCCGATGACGTCTGTCTTTGATATTACTTTTCTTGTGAGAATGCAATAAAGGAGTGTTTTGGAATATAAACTATTGAACACAGGATACTTATTAGTCAGAGTAGCAAAGGCCCCTCCCCAAGCAGTTCTTTCAGTTAAATTAGTTTCTTGTAAATGTTGTAGATAAAACTCAATACCTCGAGGGAAACCTCCAAATAATCTTATAAAATGTCTAAGTTCTGTGTTCGTTCTCCAATTTATCAACTTATCATTGGATGGTTGAAGTTTGTCTAAAATATACCTTATTTTACCTTCTGGTAATAAAGCAGTAATTGGAATGTATTCTGGTGTATATGTACTTCCAGCTAAATTATGACTTATGACACTGTGATAAGTACCTGCAAATAAAGGTAAAATATTTGTTTTGTGTCTTGGCATGTGTTGTATAAATTGCCCTATACCAGACATTATTTGTCGAAGAGGATTCAACTGTTTTTCGTTTGTGCCAGTATTAACTGAATGTGCTTCATCTATTGCAATGTAAAATCCAATCTTGTCACTGTTTTCAAACAACCTTTGTCTAAAAGCAGTCAATACTGTAGTCATGGAAAGGGTTCTATTTTTCACAAATGCAGAAAATGATTTTCTAAATGCATCGAACTCCATATCGATAAAACATACAACTATAGAGTATATCATCCTCAATAATAATGATTCAATGGGTCTAAAGCTCTCTACAATTTGATCATATGAGCAACCATTACCGAATGTAACAAATAATGGGAAATAATCAACACTTAACTCTTTTGTTTTGGCCAATAAGACACCCATTTCTTTCAACAATCTAGATTTCCCAACACCAGGTGCTGCTGCAATAAATGATAATCTTACATCGGATTTATCAATAATTTCCTTATCCTTGATCTTTGAATCTTGTTTTTGATAAACATTCATAATAGCATTTACAGGTTCATCTCTTCCAACAAACTCGAAATCCGTTCCAAATGAATGTACAAGTATCCCTGATGACCGTTGAATTTTGTCATACATTGTTGTTACATCGAACTTTTCAGAATTAATATGTTTGGTGATAAACACCATCATTTGATCAACAGTTATTTCTCCCGAAATATTTTCAGTTTCTGCAATCCCTTCATCCGTTTGCTCATTATTTTTGATCAAATCTGTTATTAGCCAATTAGCAATGGCTTCCGCAATATCTTTGTGTATATCTTTACCATCCATCAATGAATTAATTACTGCCTGTTTTGCCTCTTGTGGTGTCTTATTGCTTTCTGTGCATGTTTGATAAGCACAAATAGCATTGTACAAATGCATTCCTCTCAATTGTTGATTTAAATCATCATCACATAATCCCAGCTCCTCTTTCAATGCGTTCAACACATCACTTTGATTCCATTTCCTTATTTCTTCTATTGTTTTTCTCTTCTTGCTATTCGGTATGGAAAACAGTTTCGTTGCACAAGCTAATCTCTTTTTATCGTTTGAAGACATTTTTTAATCTCGTTTTTCACTGGGTATCCAGACATGCCTTCAAGTAATAGAAAATGGTCCAATTATTCATAGCATTCATATTCTATCGCCTAAATATGGTATTTAATAGCAGCATGAGAAATCATCAACAGGTAAACCAGTTAAAATTGACCTACGGAAGACAAAAATCTGATAGAAATAATAAATTCAATTCAGAAAAATTCCAAATCCATTAATTAGTAATCCAATAGCATCCAATATTTGAAGGTGATTAGTATTGGTGGTCTTCATGAAAACATGTTGATACGTGTGATGACGTGATGGTTAAGATAACCAATGTCGCAACAATGCAAAACAAAACACTTGACATGAAAATCATGACAGATTCCGAGCTTGGTACTTGCCACTACTCAACATACTCAGCACATCAAGGCCATTATTAAAGTATGCAATGGTCACTTCCGATTGTTCCATTTTTTTATCTTGTTTTCTCTGTTATAATAAAATGCAAAATGAGGGCGGTGTGATAAAACAATGCAGCACCTAGGAGCCAACTCAATTTAAAACTTTAGCAATTGCTGTTGGAGAGTTTCTGAAAGCTCCACAACCAAGGGCTGACAAGACCACATTTCTAACTCCATGTTGAACTGCAATCTTTAAAATGGCCTCAATACTGCCAATATTTCTCTCATCAATTTCTCCATCACATGATTGAGAGAGTTTGGAACTGCAGCAGTGGTAATGACATCGCCAATTTTCTCTTTTCAACATCTACAGATAACCATCTTATGATTTTGATGATGGAAGGACTGAAAGAGAGATGAATGGACATGTTATCATCGGAAGATTCTGGATAAACAATAATATTATTAAAAAATGTCTCATCAACAAACCCCTCACTATCAAATTGTTTGTAAAGAATTGGTTTTTCCTCCGACAAGTGAAAGTGTCCAAGTTGTTCAAGCACCTAAAAATTTATTATCGGAACCATTGGCTAAAAATCATGTCAGAATCAAAATTCTCTATGGTTGTTTGAATTATGCTGATGCGTGTAGGTTTTTTTCAATTTTTTTCTTGTATTTGACACAAAATTAAAGTGCAATGTGGAGGAAAATATCAGGAAAAGATGAATGCTCCTTTTATTCCTGGAAAAGAGTTGGCTGGTATTGTTTGTGACGTGAATGGAAAGGGTGATCGTTTCAAAGTTGGAGATTGTGTCATTATGCTTGCAGAGAAAGATGGTTGGCAATCATTTATTGATCTACCACTTCTCTATCCTGCCATTATCAAAGTTCCAAAGAGTGTCGACTTGAAGAAGGCAGCTTCATTGTTGGTTGCTTATTCGACTAGTCATGTTGCATTGACTCATCCAAGACATGGTGCATTAACTCAACATGATGGCAAATCAAAACGTAGTACTGTACTTGTGTTGGGTGCGAGTGGAGGTGTTGGTTTGGCTGCAGTTCAAATTGCTAAATCACTTGGAGCTATTGTAATTGCTGCATGCAGGTAAGTGGTTTTTTCACCAATCTACTGAACTACATTAAATTTTCACCAACAGCTCTGATGAAAAATGTAAGATTTGTACGGAAAAGGGACAAGCTGATTTTGTTGTCAATTATTCATCCAACAAGAAGGATTGGTTTAAACAGGTTTTGGAATTTACAAAAGGAAAAGGATGTGATATAATCTATGATCCAGTTGGTGGAGATTTAGCTTTACAAAGTTTGAAATGTATTGCCTGGGGAGGTTCACTAATTGTAATTGGATTTGCCTCGAGTATTCAACAAATTCCAGCAAACATTTTGCTAGTCAAGAATGTGAGGTTTGTTTCTTTATTTCAGTCTTGATCATTTTAAAAACATTTAACTAAAATTATTGGAAATTTTAGAGCTACTGGATGTTATTGGGGCTCTTATATGAAACATGAACCTCAAGTCATCCAACAAAGTATGGCCACTCTATTTGAAATGCTTGTGAAGAAGCAAATAGATCCATATGTGAGTGAATGTTATCCAATTGAATCAGTTGCCAAGGCCATGAATGACATGTTGGAAAGAAAGACAGTTGGTAGAGTGTTACTTTCCTTCCCTCAACAAGAAAATATTAGACCATCAAAGTTGTAATAATAATCCAAGTTTATTGTTTGTGAACAAATAGAAATCATGATTTTTCATAAGAAATATTTCCCGCTTCTTTTTTCTTAAAATTTACAAAAAAAAATGCCTCCAACAAAACAAAATAAAAGGAAAAAAAAACAAGTGGACGAACCACACACTCCAACAAAAAAGACAAGGAGAGTTGCTTCCGATGCAAATTTTAACAAAAGTATTGAAGCAGAAATACAAAATGACTTGTCCACGTTAGAAACAAATGAATCCCACCTTTTGAGAATGTTTATTTCTTCTGGATACCATAAAAGTAAACCTTTTCAGGTTCCAGCATGGTGTACTTCTAAAAACAGATTCCTTTGCAAACTTTCATTGTTTAGTATTACCCCCAGCGATGTGTCTAACCACAACGACGTTATTTCCTCTTTGGCAAAGGAGTTTGGAAGTCTAGTAAGCAAAGTTGCAGAAGAAAATGCATCAGAAACTTCTATTCGAAATCTACTATCAAAAAGTCCAAAGTTTGAAATGAAAGTTTGTGACTCGATGGAAATTCAACATGCAAGGTGGTGTCTTTACCCTTTATTGTTCAAAGAAAGGGTATTTATGGGATGTTATGAAGAGCCTAGCGAAGTGGAATTAACCATAAGGATGTTCAGCTCTCTTTGTAATATGAGTGATCTTTTTGGAGATACCAAAACAAATGCGTAAGTTTCTTTAGCTTCAATTTATGACTCATAATCGATACAGAGGGGTTCAAAGCTTTAAAGACAAAGAATTGAACGAAAAACTCAAAAAATTAATGCCTGATAGAAGTGTTTCATTTAAAATTCCACAGACAGGTTCGTATGTAATCCGTGTACTTCAAGAAGATAAGTCAGATATCCTCAAGGTGGCACAAAATCACCCAAATGAAGATAAAATTATTTGCTTGTTAAAAATTTCTCACAGCAAATTGATGAGAGAAATTGTAACCACACAACTGTCACACCAAGATTTGGAGTTTTATAGTGGCGTGTACACTTATGGATTTTTAACAAGTAAAAATAGAGTTGAGATTCTTGGTATGAGATGTGATGTAATGCAGACCGATACTGAAATATTCCAATTTAAGTATTATCTTGAACATTTAGGAAAATTCAACCTTGTTCATGGAGAACCTCTTTATCGTTTATGTGGATTTGTTATGGCTATATTTGCCACCTGTGCAAAACAACAAGAAAAAATCAACATGTTCTTGAAAACATACCCCAAATCAGATGAAAATAGCATTTTAATTGCTGAGAAGTTAAAGAAAAAACAATCTGTCTTTGAGGTCTCTGACGAAATAAGAATATGGCATGGTTTTAATAGATATGTAGTTGGAAAAGTGGAGTCTGTTCAGATATTCAAGGGAAAGTCTATTGCTAGAGTTAAATTATTAGAATCACCAAAATATTTATATATCAAGCACTCTATAGAACAAACAACTCCTAGAGTACCTCAATCTATGGGTTTTCCTTGCACAATAGAGGTCAAACGAATAGATTATCATGTTGAGATATCATTTGAAGGTGAATGTTTGATAGATGTAAAATTAGATTTTGAAAAAGCTTTGAAAATGATTGTTCAATTATTGGTTGAAATGGGAAATGTTCACATGTTACAATATATTCATAATGATGTGAAAAGAAGTAATATTGTTATTTACAACAATTTTACCAAGTTAATTGACTTTGAACTAGCAAAGAATTTTGACTCTTATGATAGGGAGAATCAAATTTGTGAACTTTTTGGCGACAAGGTTTATTCCAAAGCAGGTATGTTTTCATAATTTACGATATACTAATCCAACCAAATCATTAAGGAACTCCAAATATGATGCCTCCAGAAAAAGAAAAAACAGGATCTGGTTATATTACACCTATGACCGATATTTATTGTTTGGGAATTGTTATTTCAGAAATATTAGATAGGAATCTTACAGTTTCACCATTTTCAGAAAATCAAAAACGAGTGATAACTAAGATACGAGAAATGAGTACAAATATGATCCACAAAGATCCAAAACAGAGATGGGATACAGATCGGTGTCTTGAATATCTTCAATATGAAAAAATCATTTCAAAAAATGATATTCTCCATGAAAAGGAAAATCATGACAGAACCACAGAGTTTATTAATAGTGAAACACAAAAAAACCTTGTTGATGGTTCGATAGTGTGGAACAATAGACTTTAATTGTCAATTTAAGAGATCCTTTTCAAAAATTTTCCAAATTCCTTGCCTATCTAAGCAGAAATCAATCACACTTGAAACAATTCTATTGGTTAATGCACCACCAATCTTTCAAAATTGTCTCGCTTGGTGTCCAAACGAAATTAATGTAAAGTATCAAGTTGCTACCACTGTCAAAGCAGTTAAACAAAAATTACATGGTTTGAGTGCGACTATTCTCTGCTCAACCAAGAGCGAAGTTGATGAAAAGTAAATGATTGAAAAATGTTGCACATACCAATCTTGCTTGATTGAATGTAATTGAAGTATCTGTACTAGATCTGTAACATTGGCAGCTCTTGCTAAATCTTGCTTATTAGCCCACACCAATTCGATAGTAAGGAATCTTCCATAACTTTATGTAATTTTTCTGAAACTTCTTCAAACCTCTCTATCATTCTAATCTACAATGAAAATAAAAGCATCTATTCCATTACAATTGAGTTTCCATATGGTTCTAATCTTTTATGATCACCAATATCAAAAACTCTGAATTGAGCTCTTATATTGAATCACTTCATCATTGAAACCAATAGTAGGGATAGTATTGACATTCTCATCTAATTAAATCTTGTACAGAGTTGATGTTTTACCAGGAATTGATTTGTTATAAAATTTGAGTCATATGAATTGGATATGAGGTTTTGCTTGTTTCTGATAATCAAACTGATACTAAACATAATACTGCAGAAGGAATTTTGAAGCAAAAACATGAAATAAAAAAGACTACAGCACCACAGGTTCCCAAGTTGTCTCCAACCTCAGTACTGATGTGGCTCGACGATGCTTAACTTCTCAAATCGGACGGGATGAGGTGCATTCATCGTGATATGGCCGTAGCCATCAATAGTCTTAAATTCTGAAATATAAATCTACCACCAAGAGGAACATGGCTGGAGAACAGGTGTCCTTTTACTGACTTAGAAAGAAACCAGACAACTTTCAGAAGAACACGTCAAGATCGAAATCAAAGAGAACACAGAGAGTTTAACAAACTCAAGAATTGAATAAAGCTAAAAAGGAAAGTGAATAACTGTTCTGTTGTTAATTAGAGAGAAGCGAAATGTGAAAATTTTCAATATTTTAAAATCTACAAGTTCACAAATCCCCATTCACAAAGCATGGCTGTAACACAAAGATAAATTACAACATGGACCTGTAACAAGTTCACTTTCAACAAAATGTCAGCACAACAATCACACAGTGGCCCTGTTCAACTATTTTTGGATTTGGATCTTTCCTCTCCATTGCTTATTCATCAATTACGTGATGTTCCCTCTTCATTAAAATATCATGTCATTATGCTTCCGATAAATAATGCATTTCAGTTGACCATAGATCAATACAGTGGATATGAAATAGATCATGGAATTTTATTTTCTGATTTTAGTGATGATGATTATGGAAAATTTGCACATTTAATTTCTAAAAGAGATTTACGATATATTTCTAAACAAATTATGAAATTAAATAATTACGAGTTACTTGTTTCGATTGCTGTCAAATTGAATTTGTGGAATGAAAAGAAATTTGTCTTGTGAGCTGTTAAAAAATTTGGATTTTCTCTCAGTTTTGCCTCAATAAATTTGCAAAATGATAGAGAAGTGGTCATGGCTGCAATTGACCAAAATGGATATGCCATTCAGTACGCATCTGAAGAAATTAGAAATGATAGGGAGATTGTTAAAAGATCCATTTCAAGAGCTGGATGTGCACTTCGATATATTGCCGAGGAATTGAAACAAGATAGAGAGATAGTGATGGAAGCTGTTAATGAAAATGCAATGGCTCTTGCAGACGTATGTAATTATTTTGGAAATGATAGAGAAATAGTATCATTGGCTGTTAATACTGATGGAAATATTATTAGATTTGCAAGTCCTGAATTGAGAAACGATAAGGAAATTGCAATGCAAGCTCTTAAGAAAAAAGGAATGTCCATTAAATACCTGTCAGAAAATTTGAGAAATGATAAGGAAGTTGCTATGCAAGCTCTTCAAAGTTGTGGTATAACAGGAAGGAGTTTTGGATTGTACATACATACAAAAGAATCACCATTAGATTATTTATCTGAAAGTGTTAGAAATGAAATTGAATACGAAATGAACATGAGATAAAGAATTAAAAACAGCATTTGAAATCTGCTGAAAGTGCACTAGCTAAATCACAATTTAATATTGGACAATTATACCAACAGCGTTGAATAAGGTTATCGACAATGAACTCAAATTGGTGCTTTAATTCCAATAGCACGAACTTGAGTTTTTTTTATGACAATAATCCATATATTCACTGTTTTTTGGATGTTGATGGCGTTTCCTGGTTGCTCACTGTTGATAAAACAGATTTTTCTGCATTTTTTCACTTCGGATTCAAAAAAACATTTTTGTAATTTCAAATCTTGGTCAAACTTGAAGTTCAAACGTATTGTTTCAGAAAGCAAGCATTGAATTTTACCTACAATAATTTAAACCCTTTGCAATAAAAATTTTAAAAAATAATTATTTAAAATTATTATTTCTGAAAATTATTTATTGGGCATCCTTAATTGCTGGGCATTTTGGACCACCTCCGATCATAGAAACGACCAAGGCAACGATCAAACCATACAAACCAAGAGCTTCACCGAAAATGAGGATCAAAATCAAACCAACGAAAACTTTTTGTTGTTTACCATAAGCACGAACACCAGCATCACCGACAACACCAATAGACAAACCAGCAGCCAATGAGGACAAACCACAAGACAAACCAGAAGCCAAGTGAGCATAACCAGAGTATGTTGAGTAACCACTCTTAACGTTAATGGAACCAGCAATAATAATAGAAACGATCAAACCATAGATACCCAAGATACCAGCCATAATAACTGGAACGATACCCTTCATGACAAGTCTGTGGTCCATGATACCCAAGTGAGCAACACCAACACCAGCCTTAGCAGAACCATAGGCAGAACCCAAGTTAGCAAAGATAAGAGCAGAAGCGCATCCCATCATACCAAAGAAAGCGGCAGAAGCAGAGCAGAATGGATCACCTGCAGTTAAATCGAGTAATGGCAACATGTTAAAGACGATGTAAAGTTATTTTTTTTCAATTAGAATAAATAATATTTATTTTTTAAACGATTTTGCGTTGAGTCAAAATTGTCAAGAGAGACTTTCTGAGAGGAGCACGCGTGACTGATGAGAGGGATGCAAAGAAGATTTTTTACAATGAAGAAGAATTATCAAAAGAACAACCGGAGATGGGTTTTGGGTAACAATACGGGCCGAGAAAATTCTTCTCCGAACTACGGAATTTATTTTGAATTGGATTCAACTAGGCTTGTTGAAACTCTCTTTAAATTACGTACTTGCTTAGTTGTAAAGAACAACAATTCAATCACGTTGACTACTTTCTATTTAATATTATTGTATTAATTATTTAATATTAAAAAATATGGGTAACAAACAAACAAATAGAACTTCGGATAGTCATCCTCATCAAGTAGACTTTATTCCAAAGGAATATTTACCAATGAATGAAACATGCATGTTGGGAATGATGATGTGCCCTGGGAGGAATAAGAAAATACATCGACGAAATTTACAACAAGATTTGGAAAGGATTCGTGATAAATTTGATGGTCAAACCATTGTCACATTGGTGAGGAATGAAGAATTGGAAGAGATGAACATTGTTGAATATCTTCCGAAAATTAAACAAGAATTTGGAATGAAATCTATACATTTTCCAATAAGAGATAAATCATTACCTAATGATAAGGAGGAATTTTGTAAATTAATTGATGAAATTATTCAAGAATTAATTAATGGAAGAAGAGGTTTGTATAATTTTAATTATTCTCATTGAAACGTTGAATTTATTTAAATTCCATTGAATTGGATTAAATATTGAAATTATTCCTTGTAAACTTGAAATGTTTAATTGAATTTTAAAATTCTATTGAATAATAATTTAATCATCCAACAGTAATTGTTCACTGTAATGGTGGAAAAGGAAGAGCAGCAACAGTTTGTACTGCAGTTTTGCAAGTACTCAAGGTCAGGAAAGTCAAATGCCAGGAATACATTTCCAGTTCATCTAATGCCATGACCATTGTTAGAACAACGAGAGGAAGTGGAACTTTACAAAATCCCATTCAAATCATTTGGTTAAAAACAAAATTCTTAAGCTATTATGAGAATGAACACTTCAAAGGGTCATAGTATTTATTAAATTACATAATTCTCAATAATGACTATGGAGAATTTTACAAATTCCAGTAATCGAGCATTGCTATCTCAAAGATTAGTTTTGCAAACCGTTGAAATTCGAATTGTATTCCATTTCCTTTAAATAATTCAATTTTATAAAAATTCAAAATCTATTTTAGATTTCAATTTTTAATTTCATAAAAATATCGCAACCGAACTATCGTTCTTCACCACAAGGGATAACGATTTAAATTTTTCATCATCAAATTACATTTACAGGAGGAATTTTATTATAGCACATTGGAGATTGTGGAATTTTGTATAATACGATCAAGTTGTTAAAATAATAATAATAATTAACGAACAAAATGAGTGAATTATTCCGTAGTTATGAAGATGAATATTTCGAAGCCTCCAACGGAATTAAACGTTCTTTGGCCGAGTTGAAGAGTGTATCTGGAGATGCCAAGAAGAGAGTTGTTCGTAAAATCGAAAAGGATCTCGACACTGCAAACAAACAAATTAAACAAATGAACCTTGAAATGACAAGTACTGCCAATCCTCAAGAAAAGGAAAATTTAAAGAAAAAGTTAAAGACATATGGACAAGATTTAACCAATCTTAAAAAGGAATTTGAAGGAGCCAAATCAGATAACAATAGAAATAGAGATGCTCTATTCTCTGGAGGCTATGATGATGATCTTCCATCAGCAAGTGATGATTACAGAAATAGACTAGTTCAATCTACTCAAGTATTGGAAAGATCAAATGAAACTTTGGATCGTGCCAGTAAAATTCTCGATGAGACTGAACAAATGGGTGTTGAAACAGCAGGTACATTGAGAGAACAAGGAGAACGTATGAAAAAGACTCGTGACAAACTCTATGATGTTGATTCTCAAATCAAACAAGGTGGTAGAATTCTTGGAAGAATGTCAAGACGAGAAGTTTTGATCAAGGTCATTATCATTGCTGTCATTCTCTTCTTATTGCTCATTATTGGTATCATTTTATTCTTTATTTTCTATGGTATCTTTAAGCCATCCAAATAAATTGTCAAATATTAATTTTCTTAATCAATATCAGAATTTTTGGATCAATACCAGAATTGATAAATTACAACAAAATTCATGACATAAATAAAAACATAAAAAAAATGCGTGAAGTTGGTATGTAGAGAGACAATTTTTCGATTCCTATCTAATCACAAATTTAGGTCTTGTTTTTGAATGTCTTCATTGTGAGACATATTTTGTAAATACTGTAAAATTAATTGATTTGAGTGAAAATAGAGGAAAAAAGAGGGATCTCTTGACTGACACCTATATTTCCCTTCAAAAACATTATGAGGATTTTCGGAATAGATATCAACTCTGTGTTTGTCCCACATGTAATGAATTAATTTATCAATCAAAGTATCAGGATTTGGATCAGAATTGTATTTTGAGTTTGTGTAGAGTTTTCAAATTTTTAAAGGAGGATGATTTACAAGAATTGTCTTCAAATTCTTCTGCAAATAATACGAATGGTGGAATTGGAGGTAGTGATAACAATGTAGGAAGCAGTGCATCACATGCCTCTTCTTCTACTGATGAAACAAATACCACTAATAATGAATCATCATTTATGGACCTATTTGAAATATCAAACAAGGACATTTTGAAAGGATATGAAATGGAAAAATCAAATGGTAAAAAGCAACATGGAAAAAAGTCAAAGGAAGAAAAGAAGGGAGAAGAGCATGATCCTGATATTCATGTTCCACTCTATATGGATGTTGGAACCAATGCAGGAGAATCTCAAAAAAAACAAAAGTGGGAATTAGTATTTGGTGTTGGGCCTGCTAGATTGGAGTTGGATTCATCAAGGTCTGGAAGAATTTACAAACCATCATTGAGATCACTAAACTTACCTCACATCTCAACCAGTCTGTACAAACTTCCAGAAAATGTCATTACTTCTGATATTCAATCTCAATGTGAAAAAATTGTTGAACTTGTTCAAGGATTGGATGAACAGGCCTTGACAGATTTAATACTCAATGTACTTGTTAAAAAGATTCCACTCTATGAGCATTTTGATGAAATTTCAGAGCTCATCACTGAACAACTATCCTCCATCAGACACATTAGAGAAATTGAAAAACAAGAAGAAATGGAACTTGCAAGACATTACAAGGGTAAAACTCTAACAGACATTCTCTCTAAAAAATCAAAACAGTAACACTCAAAAAATTAAATCATTTCCAACCTCTTCTCTTCACCAGTGAAAACACGTTTTCATTCCAATCAAATTCCAACCATATCAATTCTATTTAGTTGTTCACGTTGCTCTTTTCATTATCTATTTTTATTCTTAAAAAAAATACAAGTCAAGCCTTTGATTTCTACAGTGTGTGATTTTGTTCGGAATCAGAATGCAAAGTCAGAACATGTTTGAGTCTTCTTCGGCTCCACCTTTGGAGACCAATTATAATAATAATGATGATAACAATAATCAAAATCCACTCTCTATTAGTATGCAGCTATCGGAAATGGCTAATCACATAGTAAATCCAAAATATAATATGATACATGCAAGTGTGGAGACTGATCATGCGAGAGAATATAAATTATTGGTCGAAAAGAGAAAATCAATGGCTGGTGCAATTGATGTTGGAGGTGCTAAAGGAAATAATGGACAAAACGGAAGACCAGGTAAGAATGGAAGACCTGGAAGAGCTGGAACAACTCGAAGTGAAAGTAAAATTGGAGATCGAGGTGAAAATGGAGAACATGGTACAAATGGTGAAGATGGTTATCATGCAGAGAATGGTAGAGATGGTGATGTATTGAATATTCTATTGGATCGATCATCTCATCCACAAGAGTTATTTGTTAAATATTCGAGAGAACAATTGAGAGCAAATTATATTCAAAGCCAGAGATATGGATATAATGCAAATATTATTGATGAACACAGATTTAATTCCAGTTCAAGATTTCCTCTCAATTCTCCAAATGAGTTTGTCTTGTTTAAATCAAATGGAGGTGACGGTGGAGATGGAGGTAATGGTGGTATGTAGTAACTTTCATTTGAAATTTGGAATTAACAACTTCATCAATAGGTCACGGAGGAAATGGTGGTAGTGGTGGAAATGGATCTAATGGTACTGAACAAGGAGGAGATGGTGGTGATGGAGGTAATGGTGGAGATGGTGGCAGGTAAGTTTTGAATTTAAAATATATTTACAATTTGTAAAGAGCAAGTTATGGAGGTCATGGAGGTAGTGCAGGTTTAATTTTCATTAATGTAAGTGATAGGATGAATAGAGTTGTTGTAAATTTATTATTATAGACCTATGATCCAAGATTACTTGTGTTGACAAGATCAGAAACTCATGGAGGAAGAGGAGGTAAAATTGTAAGTGTATAAATTCTTTAACCTATTTACTTTAACTTTACAATAGGGTATTTGTGGAGAGTTTGGTGTTGGTGGTAAAGGAGGATCAGCTGGAAAGTAAGTTTTGTATTTTTGAATTTAATTTGTAATTGAATTTGTAAAGGGGTTTACTCAAGATGGGAAGACATGGCAGACAGGGCTCAAATGGTACAAAACAACAAACCAACATTGCACACGAGTCACAAAATGGAAGCGATGGTGTAACTGTTTATAGAGTTCTTGATTTCCGTACTAATCAGATAATGTTTGAAGGACAAAAGTCTTTTACAGCAAGAATTCTTTCATTTGATGTTGAGGCTAATGATGACGATGGAGTTTTTGAACCTGGCGAAGATATTACATTGAAAAATTTCAAAATCCACAACGATGGAGATATTCCTCTTCCTGCTGGATCAATTCTTCGTATTGCTTACGATCCAAATGGATTTATTTTCAGCGAAGATCAATATATTCTTCCTGAGATTGGTCCAAAACAAACACTCAACTTGACAAATACTGCCTTAACCGCTAAAATTTTACCAAATGCTTTGAAAACCTCAGAGCTTTCTAAAAACATTTCTCTCAATGTTCAAGTTGACTTGTTTGATAGAATTTTTGAGGAATCAATTATGGGATGTACCATTCTTGTTCAATATCCAATCAATATTACAAATATTGATTATTTAAAGCAAATGGGAAGAGGAGATTCTTCAGATATCATTATTTCATTCACAAATTTGAGTAAGAGACCATATCAATTTGTGTATAATGTCATTACACATGATCAACTTTTCCTTGTAGAGACTGAACAAAGGACAATTTCATTAATGTCACAAATCAAACCAGAAAACATCAACATGCATCCACATTCTGTAATATTAGGCTATTGTTCTGAATTTTATCAAAAACAACAAATGGAAATAGAATTGATATATAAGGACACAGTTATTCAAAAAGTCAGCAAATCCATACAAGCAGTCCCTCACTTCAATCCAACTGTAATAGACAGCACAGATGTGTTACTAATTACAAATAATACCTTTAGAAGAGAAGATTTCAAGGCATTTTCTGAAATATTCCAACTTTTAAATATCAGAGCTAATTTTTGGGATCTTGATTTTTACAAAGGGATTTCATATCAAGAAGATACACGAGCTAGACATACCATTTCATGTGTCGATAAGTATAGAGGAAAGCTGATTATTTTATGTGCTAAAAACATGGATGATGTACAAAAGTTTATGCCTATGGATCTTATTTATCATTTTGGCCAATATGAAGCTGATCAAGTATTGGCTGCTGACTTTAAGTACAATAGTGGTCTTTTGGTATTGACACCTGAATTACCAAAGCAGGAGGAAATGAAGAAAATTCTTGGGGACTCTCATGTTGCTGCTCATGTCACTGAATTTGATTCTGACAAGCAATTTTGTGGATATTACAAATTACTCTATCCTACCCAAAAGGATGTTGAAGAAAAATGCAAAGAATTGGAGATGGAAAAGGAAAAGAATTCCCTTGAGAGATATGTTGTAAATGTTGACACTTTAGAAATCAAGCAAGTTAAGAGTGATTCTTGGGTTTCATGGAAGTATTCATACGGAAAGGCCTCAATGTTCAAGTTGAATGTAAATATTTTCCAAACACTTGTTGGACTCGCATTCAATAGCGAAACAAACTTTGATGATTTTGGAATATTTTCAGATCAATCAACAGGCGAAATTATTGATAACCCAACCGTAATTGAACTATTGAAGAATAGGAGGAATACTTTACATTTTAACTTACTCTATTCTATTGCTTATAGTTTGGGATTGGAATCCAAATTACAAGTTTTACAAGAATTGGATGGTAAAACTGAAACTTCCAGACTCATCAGAGACCTGATTAGATGGACATTATTTGAATCCGTGAAGAGAGAGACTAGACTTGGTAGTGGAGTATCTCCAACATTGGAAAGATTAGTTCATACACTTGTACATAAGCCACACTTAATTTGTGAAACTACACTCACCACAGTCATTCATATTTTCGAAAGAGCTAGTAGTTTCACGTATTATGGTAGTTTTGTTCCATCCTCTTTGAGCTTTGGTTACAAATTCAAAGAAAAGAGAAATGAAATTATCAAATTGAGTGAAACAGCTGATGTAGAGTTGAGAAGGGCTGGCCTAGAGGCAATCAACAATCAAACTATTCAATATTTCGATATAGATAACACCATTTTAAAGGCAAAGTCAGAGATCTCTACAACAGAGTTCCCTAAATTGAGGGACGTAGCTTTGACTTATCTTATTGAGTAATAAACAAATATTTATTCGTTTTGAATTTCCAAATCATGAAGCCATTCTTCATATATTGAAGGATTATCCAACAAGTCAAAGTTATTAGGGTGAATGTATTCTAGTAAAACTCTTCCAGTAGTAAGGTTTAACAAATACAATCTTGGTATGGTTCTATCAGGGTTTAAAGCTTTTGTTAGTGCCAAGTTAGCTTTTGCACTATCAAAGGGCAATGCATAGAAACCCATATCCATTTGTTTCATGTGAAAGAAAACTCTTCCTTCGTTCAATTCATTCGAAACTATTACAAACTCGATAGCTTCCAGACCGTAATCTGCCTTAATTCCATAGTAGAAATCCACAACTTTGTGGATGTATTCTTTTTGTTTCTGTAACTTCCAACCAACAGTCCATGATGGTGCAAATAAAATTCCCACAATCTTTTTATCTGTCAATGTCTCTAACACCTTTGACACTTTCTTCTCTCTAGATACCAAATCAGTTTTTGGAAATAATAAATTAATATTAAGCTCAACATCATCCATAAAAGTTCCATCAATTATTCTGTATTTTTTGGTGTCTCCTAGTTTTTCTCTCCATTCATTAAATAATTTCATAACTGGCTCAATATTTCCATCAGACTTGTTGTCAATATTAAGGGCTTCCATCTCTCGTAATTCAGAAAGGCTTGGGCCTTTCATTATTTCAAACTTGTTATCCTCGAATTTCCAAGGGTTAAACAACAACAGTTCTGGCTCTTGACTTCTTGTTGAATATGATATTCCAAGTTTCGGAGCTACAGATCTTAGTAGTCTGATATTATTCGATGCATTATAAAATTGATACCAAGGTAATTGGAAATTTGTAATAGGCAGTCTATTTCTTGATCCTAAATCAGGAGGAAACTGCACCATATCAATAGATCGGCTTCCATATTGTTGATGTATTATTTTGAAGAGTTTTTCAACCTTTTCATGAAATTCCATATGATGTTCGATATCCAAGTTTAGCCTTTACATATATTTTGTATAAAGCATAAACATTAATCATTCAACCTACCTCAAAACACCAATTAACCTCGACTTGTTGCACACATCTTCAATAGGTTTGATTATTCTCTTGACCTCCTTCTTTTCTACTGTAACAAACTTTATCATCATTCCGGAAAAAACACTCCTCAAATACTCTTGATTCTTCCCCAACATGACCTTCTTTTGAGTCCTACTTCTAGCCATCTCTTCATAATCAATCACAGGCTCATAAGGTTTTTCATTCTTGAATAAGTCTCTCATTTTTTTCTGTAATTTTTGTTTTTCGAGAAGAGGCTGCTTTTTTGTCCATAGGTATTACTGTCTTGAAGTGTGCTTCAGTGCCTTCATTATGAACAATAAAGGAGATGAACACTGAAAAAAAACTGGTGCAGCCTCAATAAAGTATTACTTGTTAAAATGAGAGGAAGAGAGAAATCGGAATGTATTATTATAATCAACAAGAATTGTAATGGATTTTAAGGTTTTTTTGGAAAGCTATTTTGTAAAGGATGTATAAGAAGAGAGGTGGATGAGTAGAAATGGTGAGAGCTATTGATTCTTAACAATGAATAGTTTTGAAGAAATAGGTTTTATTAACCATAGAACCTTCAAGTAATTTTCCCGCCCAATTCCCTGATTCATATTACCGTTAAAAACTGTTCCTTAATAATTTAAATTATAAAAAATGATTAAAAATGTCCAGCCTCATTCTAGAGAGTTCATGTCCTCTCCTCCGAGAAGGTACTCGTCATTGTATGCCAATAATGGGACAGTTACATCGGTATCATCATCACTGTCCTCAATAAGACCAGACTCACCAAGATATAGCACTAATAACATCACAACAACAACAAGTGTTGAATTAATTACTCCTGTAAAAGCCTTCATACCCAAAATTATTCTTAAAAAGAAGGTTCCTGAGACTTTTTGTCCTCCAAAGAGAAAAGGGCACTCAATGACTTTTTGGAATAATAGATTATATTTATTCGGAGGTTATCAAGGAGGACATTCAAACGATCTATGGTTTTTGGAAGGAAATAAGTGGAAAAAATTGGATGTTCAGGGTGTGTTACCTGTAAAACGTTCAAATCATTCTTCGGCAATGTATAGAAATCATCTTATTGTTTTTGGAGGTGATAAGGGAACGGATTTAATGAATGATATGTGGATTATAGATCTTTCAAAACCAGAGTCGGATATGAGATGGAGAAAAGTAATCCCAAAGAACCAGCCACCAAAAGTTAGATATGCTCATTGCTCATGCATTTTGAATGAAAAATTAATGTTATTTGGAGGATATTCAACTTCCTATCTGAATGATCTATATGAATTTGATTTTAAAACTTTATTATGGTCCCCAATAAGTGTTAACGATGCTCCTCCAGAGAGGTGTCACTTTACAATGACAGCCATACCCGAGTGTAGCTCATTATTAGTGTATGGTGGTTCAAATGGAGAAAATAATTTGAATGATGTTTGGGTTTTCAATCGATCATTTTGCACATGGTCTTTGTTGCAAATGAATACTGATGTTGGTTGGCAAAAGGGCATTAAACCATGCCCAAGATCCAAACATGCTTGTACTAAAATATCTAGGGATACACTTTTAATACATGGAGGTAATGTGAGTCCTTCTAAGGATAATAATATTTGGATGCTAAAGCTCACAGGGTTTTACGAAGACAAGAGGTCACTAGGAGTAGAATGGAAAAAGTTAGAATTCTTAGCTGCGGATGGTTTTTGCATTCGAGAAGCTCACTCTATGAATACAGTTGAGACTGATATTGTGATATTTGGAGGTTTTGCACCACATGTGGAAGGTCATTATAGAAACGATACTTGGTGGGGAGACATTTCCTCACTGTTGGAAAATTCATTTGAGGAACCTGAGGAAACAGACGAGGAAGAAGCTGAACCAAAGCTGGTTGACAATGAAATTGAACAAGAAATTCTCAATAGAATCAATGAAGCTATGGGAAGAGAAAAGCCAATCAACAAAGGTTCTGAGTTTGATTCGGCAGACATTTTTGAAAAGATGGAACTTTACACACCAAGAAAAGTGGAAGGCCTTAAGAGATCAACAACTCCAGATAGAAACGCAAGCCCAGATAAGAAAATCTTAGAAACACCAAAGAGAACTAACTCGCCAAAACGAGGAAGTACCACACCACAAGAAACAACAACTCCAAAGAATTCAGATTCCACATCTCAAAAAGTAAATATTTTAGAAAAATTGGTGGTTGAATTAAGTGAAACAGTTCAACAATTAACAATTTCTCTTTCAACGGAAACAAAGAGAAGGATATCAATGGAACGTGAAATTGAAATGATAAAGTTCTTACTGGAGCAAGAAAAAAAATAAAAAATGAAAAAATTCAAACAAATGTTCAATAGAAAGAAACCAGGTACTATCATTCCGCTTCATGATCTATCATCTAATATCCAACAAGATGAAGATGAATCTAATTTGTATTCGGAAATAAAAAGTAGTAATCATAATTTCAAGGAAGTGGATTGGTTCGAAGACTTGGATCAAAAGAATAATTTTAATAATAATAATAATTGGAATGTTGATGAGGAGACTTTTAATTTGGATTATATTAACGAAGAAAATATTAAAGAGGATATTACTCCTATCATAACAGTGACCAACGATCATGGTGATGATGAAATTACTTTAGCGTACTATCAATCTAAAGATGATCAAAGTGATAATACAAGCAATGACGATGATGAAGAATTAGATTTAGAACAGGAATTTGAAATCATTCCAAACTCAAGTCTTCCAAAGTTGGAGAGAATGAATTCACTAAAGGAGTGGAATGCATCCTCAAAACCATTCTTAAATCAAGATACCTTTTTCTGTATATATGTATATTTAGAGGACGTGTTTGATATTTTGAGACTTTCTCAAGTATGTCAAGCAAGTAATGCAGCATTTAGAGATCCTTACTTGTGGAGAAATGAAATTAAGAAGAGAACAATCACCTCAATGAATCTCTATCCAGAATTAAATAATTCAGTGGTTGATGAGAAATCTGGAAAACAAGAAAGAATGGATGTGATTTATAAATACTGTAGATTATTAATGGATAACAAAATGGATGGAATTAGACGTTTTGACGGCATAAGGAAGGCACAAAAAACATCTGAGATTGCCAATATTGAAAAACAAAAACAAGCAATCAAAGATTCTGAACAAAAACTACTTGGATTAATAGCTTTAACGGTTGTATCTTTCCTATTGGGGTTAGATTTCCTCAGACTAATTATGAGAATGATTGCTTATTTAATTTACTTTGTTGCAAGTTTTGTTGTACCAATAATTATTTGGTATTACTATTCAAGTGCTTCACAAAGAAAAGAAAAAGGTATTGCTTTCAAACGTTACGGCCTTCCAATTTGCTTTTTCAGCGCAGCTGTATTCATATCTCAGTTCTCATTTGTAAATACTATCATTATGATTGCATGTACCTTATTTACTGGATATTTGAGTGGTCACCTAATTGTGGAAAGGAGAGTTAAAAAACAATATGTAGCACTGAACGAAAACATTAGTTCTATCAGGAGAGAGATTGATTGTCTAGAGAAGGAAACCTCAGAGAAAGTAGAGCAATTAATGAAAATTTCTCGAAAAATACCATTAGGATACAGACCAACCACCAATAGACGAGAAAGTCCACCAGCTGCCTCTAACAATATCTGTATGATTCAATAACAAATTATTATTTTATTATTCAATAACAACATCCAGTTTTTAAAAGACTTTGTCAATTACAAAAAAAATGTCTCAAGTCCCACTTACCATTCTACCTCCGTTTGCTGTTGTCAGTGAAAAAGATCCTATCAATGGCCAAATGTATGAATTCCAATCAATTACCAAGATGGCAACATACTCTTCCTATTCTTTCGAAAAGCTTCGATATGAAGACTATATGGGAAAGAAGAAACAAAAAATAGAAACAACAACATCATCGGATCAGGAAATTGCCACAGAATTATTTCAAAGATATGACATTAAAGCAGACCAAAATGATGATCAATCTATTATTAATGGAAATGTATCATCGGGAAGGAATTCCTATCTTTCTCTGAATATTAGTAGTATTTATTTTAATATTATGAGTGGTGATGATTCAGTTGAGAAGAGATCAAGTGATGTGGCTATCGTAATGGCAGATTCAAAGGTATTATGTCACAAAATAATACTCTTGTGTAGATCACCTGTATTTAAGAAATTATTTGAAATGTATCCTGATTGTAAACTTATTTCCATTCCATCTATCAAAAAGCCAATTATGGAAGTATTAATACAGTATATTTATACTGGACAGATTGATAATGAACATTTAATTATTCATGATTATGTAATAGATGTGTTTGAGGCTGCAATTTTATTACAAATGAAACCCTTAATAGAAGTTCTAGCTAAAATTGTTTCATCAACAACTAGAAATGTATATTTAAGCGCCAAGATATGGACCTGGACCAATAAGATGTATTCTCAAAAAGCATCAAAGAATATTTTCGATAATTATTTCTTAATTGATGAAATTTCAGCAAATATTACATTGGAAGATTCATCAACAGGACTCGATGATTTAATTTCAGATCTTCACACTAAAACAAAGAACTTGTACTTGGAAAGTTTTGGAATGGAAATTGAAAAATCAACAAATTATTTAGAGGAACAAGGTCCAAACTTTTTGGAAATTCTTTTCAGACTGCTTGAGGAACCTGATACCAATTCTTTACTTTCTAAGGATGCTACATCAAGTAAGTAGTCTTTAAAAATTCTTTTCTTACAAACAACATTAGAAATATTGAAATGGACTGCCAATATCAAGATTAGTACAGCTCAGAAAAGACAATTAATTAAAAAACTTGCAAAAGGTGGATCATTAATTCCAGTAACAATTACAACAACATGTTGGGTTGACATTATTCCAATTATAGTTAATGACAGCTCAACTGATGAATGTGTTGAGTTTTTCTTTGAGTGTTGCGTTCAAGAATAAATATTAATATTTGAATTATTCAAAATTATTTAAATGTTTTTAAATTTACACAGATCTTGTTGCCTTGAAGAAGTTACGTAAGACAAAAACTTGACCAACAGCCATAACAACAATTCCAATCATTTCAGCAACACCCCAGAACATAACCTTTTCATTGGTAATTTCAGCCAAGTCTCTGTGACTTTCTTCTCTGGTACGATAGAACTTTTGTTCGGTTTGAATTTCCGATAAACCTTCAGTCAATCTCAAAACTGATTTAACAATTGGGTCCTTTTCATCCAATTTACTAAGGTTTGGATCCAAAAGATCACCAACGTGGATTTCAAAACTAACAGTCTTGGATGTAAGCTTGGACATACGATTGGAGAAGCAGAACTTGTATCGTCCAGTTTCCACAGCAGTAAATGTATATTTTCCTTCAGTTTCACCCTTGCTTTCGTGAACAAGAACTCCACTTGGAGCATTAATATAAAGATCAACATCTAAATATCCTCCGCTTGATACTTGGAATTGTAAAAGCACTTTGGCCTTTAATTTTCCAAAACATAATCAATTTGAATACAATCCAATAAATAATCATACAATCATGGCCATGATCAAATAGATTAATAATTCAAAAACATCATCGGGGACAAACAACAATAACAAATTTTCCACCACCAATATAATTTTCAAATGACTTACATTCACTTTCTTAACATCCTCCCAAAAACATTGTTCACTCAATGGTTCAATCTTTACAGACAAGGCATCTGTTCTTTGTACCATCAAAATTGCTACCATCATCAGCACGGCAGCAGCCAAGCACATTAAACGCTTTGTATGCATTTTTTAATTTATTTTTATAAAAAATTGTAAAAAATGCTGGCAGGGACATCGTCATCAAGCAATGCTGCTAATTTGTTCCCTGTAGGGCATTCATCATCATCAGGTCATGTTGTTGTTGGTGGTGGAGGTGTTTTATCGTCATCATCAGCATCAGCATCGATGGTTGTAGGAACAACAACAACCAATTCTACAACAACATCAGGAGTAGCAAATAATATGAAACCGTGTTATTATACATTCTTTTCTGATGATTGTACTTCTCCTCTTCAACAACAACCATCAAAATCAAAATTTCCATCATCTCCGAATTCTAGTGGTAGTGGTGGATCAGTTCCACACTTTATTAGTAAACAAGAGAAGGAAAGATTAAAATTAAATGCTAAAAAGACTGTTAGTTTGGCTTTCATAGGAATGGGAAATCATAAGGCTATTGATATTACAAATCAAGTTTTAAAAAAGCAAGTATTTTACGACAAAACTAAAACAAATACTGTGCCGAATAATCAGCCAACAAACACATCAACAAAATCAACATCCGAAAATAGTGGATTTGTTATTTTAAATAATGTTGTAAATTCCAATATCTCCGATCAACAAGGTTCCACTCCAAGAAAACAACATCAAATATCTATTGATTCTTACCATGATGTGGATCAAAATAAGGTTTATTTATTTGCTGACCTTATGCAAACACCTGAACATTGTAAAACATTCACTGAACAATTCTTACCTTACAAAATGTCAACAGTTGGCCAAACAAATTCTGGATATCAAAATATCTTGACACCAAACACCAATCATTCCTTTGATTTGGAGCATGCTATTGATTTTGAAAGAGTTTTACAAACTCTCTTATTTTTATTCCAAACATCACATATGATTTTCTTTATTTTACCTTCATCTCAAAATAGTGGCAGTGTTTGTTCAAGTCTTCACCAAAATTTACTTTCTTTATTCAGAGTTTTACAAATTAGTAAGCAATATGTTAACTCAAAGGTTTTGGACGTAATCCATCAAGAAAAATCACAAACTACACCAACAAATCCAACCAATGAGAATCCGACTATGAAGATGATTAACACTATTCTCACAAGTCCAGTCATGTTGTCACTATATAGTCCAGGAAGAGTTTTACCTGTTATTTCCTTTATTTTCGTTCAGGAAAGAGAAAATTGGAATAAGATGGCCAGTTTATGTGAACAACAAAAATTAAATGTTGATGATGAATTGGACGAATACATGCTGAACAGAATGCAAAATGGAGTTGAAAATCAAGTGAGGAATCATATTTTAAAGAAGGGAAAGTTCTCGGGTGTAGATTCTATCAAGACACCTCTTTTCATGATGGATCCAAACACTTGCACATTTGTAATTGTTGAGCCTGAAGATTCAGAAATTTCTCCATTCGGAACAAAGGTTTCTCTCGAACATTCAAGAAAGGCCCTCTTCTCCTTAAGTGATATTTCTGATAGTGAAGCTCTTCAAAAATCTAGTATCAACTCTAGAGCCCATCACAAATCAAAAAAGCCATCAGATTCTGCTCAAAGCCGTGAAACTTATATTGGTGTCAACAAGATTGCTGGTTTCATTCAAAAGCAATTGGATTATTTTACCAAGCAAATGCAAGCTGGTAAAAGATTTATCTTGCCAACCTCATTGAATTGGTATCAAGCAACTTTTGCATTTGAAGAATTGTTTTCTCTTAATAATGAGGAATTGCAAAAGATTTTAGTAGACAAGACAAAGGATATTATCCATCCAAACTTTTCATTCTCTGACAAGCGTTGCTCTCATGCGTTCAAGATAGCTACAGATCACTTCTTGCAAAAGGTACAAGCTTCTCAATCTACAAATGCAAAAATGATTGAGTTGGTCAATGAAACAATTTCCAAGTACAAGACTTTTGCTTGTGGATATTTCTCCTCTCACTATAACCAACAACTTCAAACTTTCCTTCAAGCAAACACTCCAAAGCCATCTCAAACACAACCTCAAAAGTTCGTTCCTTATCAATTTGTTACTGGTTGTCCAATTTCACAAATTTCTATTCAAAAAATTGGTGATTATACTTCTATGAATGGAAGAAATGGAGCTATCAGAAGAGGAAATCAAATTATTAACTTTATTCAAGTACATACCATGTTATCTAGAGATAGATACCAAAAGAGAAAGAAGAAAAAGCCAACAAATAACCAAGAATACGCCCAAGATACTGAAGGAAATGATACATTCTTGATTGCTTTTGAATATGAAACTCCAAGAAAGGAATATGTTCTTAATCTTGATCAATTGACTCAATTATTCAAGCAAACTCATCCTACTGAAGGTCTTGTCAGTGCTTTGGATATGATTCAAAAAACCAGTATCCCTCTCTTCCTTCCTTCAAATTGGTTCTTATCTGACAAGAAAGGATCATTTGCCAGATTGAAGCAAATCACTATTGGAATTCCAGATGCTGATTTGACAAATACCATCACCTTCTCACCTAAAATTTCTGTTCCTGTAAAGCAAGAAGGACCAACACCTGCCACCACTATTGTAGCTCCAAAGATTTTCCCTCTCTGCAACATCAAACAAGGAATTGTTTTTGGAAGAAATCAATTTTTAACTATTGATATTGATTATGATAGTAACCAACTTAACAATTATGAAGATGTTACTCAATTATTCCTCTACTCAAATTCTATTCAAATCAACTAATACTTGGGCTTAGTATTTGCGACTTTTCCTTGCGCATTGAGTCTTTACTCTTTCAGATACACATTTCATTGTGTTAAAAAAATCATCATATTTGGCTACTTGTCGACTGGAGAAAATTTTAGAACTTTCTTTACCAACACTTTGAAAATCGTCTCAATTATTTCACATTCTCGGCTTTCAATAAAGTTCCAACAATCGTATGTGTTGTTTCATTCTATCCTTTACCCATTCAATTCAATTATGCATTATTTTAAAAACTAATTAATATTTAAAAAGAATTTCAACAAAAAATTGAAAAAGAAAAATGAGTTCATTATTAAAGAGAAATTTACGCACTTGGATGAAAACTGGAAAACCAATCAATTTCCTTCCCTCGTTATCCTCATCATCCAATTATCATCACCATCAGTTAATTATTACCAACACAAATACTAGTCACTTGAGCAATCAGTACAATAGAATCGGAAGTGGTTGCATGAATAATTCTTCATCTTGCTATCACACTTGTCTTTTCAATTCTTCTAACAATTCATCATCCACAACAATAACAAGTGATACAATTGTTTCCCTCATTCAACAAGTAAAATCCATTATTCCAGCCAATGCAAGAGTATTACAATATGAACAATCAGAAGAAAAGAAGAGTTTAATCTTTTCACTTGCTCAACAAATTCAATCCATTGTTAGAATGAAGAGAAATTCAGAAGAAGAAGTATCATCATTGAAATTGGAATTATTTGAAAAGGATTTACTTTTAACACCAGAAGCTTGTGTTGATGTCTTGCTTTCTCTTTATTATTATCATCAATTTGCTGGAGATTTATCAAAGAAATCATTATATGATAATATTTTCTCAAGTATTAATCATGCTATTGAGAGTAGTATTGAAAAACCAAGTCCTGTACTCTACCACTTGAAAGGAATGTTTTTACAAAGATATTCCAGAGATGTTTTACTGCCAAGCTTTAAACAAGAAGAAGCTGTTGATAAATGCACAGAGGGTATTAAGAGTTTTGAAAAAGCTTTAAGGTTATATGAAAATAGTGAACTCAAGGATTCTAAGGAACTATACTATGTTCATGGAGATATTGCTATTTTGAATTTGTGGTTGTCAAATATGTTTAAAGCTCTTGCTTTTGTGAGACCAAACATCAGTCAATTTGAAGAATCTGAAACAGAAAAGGAATTCCAAAGAATGATTGAACAACAATTTTCTGAAGATGCTGTCAGAGAACAATTGGAAAATATGTCCAAGTCTAAGCCAGTTCAATCTGTTCCAGAAATGGAAAATTTGTTTTATCAAACTGGTGAAAGAGCTATCAAACATTTTAAAAAATCATTTGAAAAAGTAAGAGAAGCCAAGACAGTTTATGCCTATGCTGGTGCTTTATTCTTAATGGAAAAAGTTCCAGAAGCAATCAACGGTTATGGAATGCTCTTTGAAAATAATAGAGAATTATATAATGATTTAATTGAAGAAACTCTCAAGAAGGAAACAACAGTCAACTATTCACTTTGTTTATATCACAATCATTCATTTTCACAAGCTAAGGATATTTTGAGTGAAACTCTTAAGGAATTCCCTGATGAAGCTCCACTGGAGGCATTCTTACTTCATCTTCAAGTTGCTGAAGACCCATCATCATTCAATGGAGAGAAAGGAAAGCAAGCTATTCAAAAATTCAAGAAATATTACTTTGTAATTGAGCAATTAGAAAGAGAAATGTCTAGAGGTGATATTCAAAAGATTAGTTATGATCCAAGACAACTTCAATTTTTCAAGAATATCTGTCAAGCTTACATGTCTGAATTAAAACAATAAATCAATTGATTTATTTCTTCTTTGGCTTAACTTCTGGAATAGCAACTTCACCACCATAATAAATAGCATCCATTTCCTTTTGAGAAATCTTCTTTCTTCTATATTGAGCTGGCAGATCACTAGCTGATGAATAGACGAGGACGCTTCCACGAACAGTAGGAGCAGCTGGAGCAACAGGCTTTGGTTGTGGAATGGTTGGTTGTGGCTTAGTTTCTTGTGGTTTAGCTTGTTCAATTTCGTCTCTCTTGCCATATCTAAACTTAATCATTGGTTCTCTCTTGTGGGCGGAAGAGGATGGTGTAGTGGTGGTGGTAGTAGTTGGAGTAGAAGCAGCTGGCTTACTTTCAGATGATTGAGTAGTGGCTGGTTTAGAAGCATCAGATGATGATGACGGAGCAGAAGCATCAGTATCAATAATAAATAAATCTCTTCCGATTTCAACCTTTTCTCCAATTTTTGGAACCAAAATCTTTGTGATCACTCCGGATTGTGGTGCTTTAACTTCTGCTTGTACTTTATCAGTATCTAAAGCAACAATAACTTCATCTTCCTTACAAAAGTCTCCCTCCTTTTTAAACCAAGATCCAATTTCACCATCACTAATAGATTCTCCAAGTGTTGGTACTTTAACAGTTAAACTAGCAAATGGTGTAATTTGTTGATGATAATTTCTCATCGACATGGAGGAAACCATTTTACTACTACAATTCAAGAATCGCTTCATATTACCTGCTCTATTGACAATAAACATTTTTTTATAATTTTATTATTTTAGAAAATAAAAATGATGAAAATGTCGCGCGAAAAAGTGCCGAAATTCTCTTAATTTAACCAACACTGGAAGATCAAAGCCTATGATGATGAAGATTAGTACAAAAGAGAGATGTAGTTTTGATGATGAAGGTGATGATAATTATAGTGTTGATTGGTTGATAGCATATGGAGAGGTATTAATTTATTTAAAGTACAAGTAATTGAGAATTTAATGTTCGGAAGTGAGGAAGATTCTCAAAAAAATTAAATTGATTGAATAATTTAATTTAAATTTATTATTTCAACGCTCTATTTTCTGTACTGTAGTAAATTAAGCCATCAGCTAAGTGAACTGACTGTTCATTGGAATTTATGAATTCTTTCCGATATTCGATTTTTGGTTAATTTTCTATCAATTCAAAGAGGTCGAAATAGAATATTATAAGTTCAATGAATTTGTAAAGTTTATGAAATTTACTGTGGATTAAACTAATTAAACTAATTCAAAACTATTCTAATCAAAGTTGAATAATTACGAGGAAATTCTTCTTACAAATTGCTAAATGCATTACATTATACATTCATCTTATGAAAATGCATTTTTCAGCTCGTTAACGTTGAAAGATCTTAAGTGTTACAAAGAAGGATCTTTGTATAGATCTGAAAATTAAATGTATTAATTCAATTTTACAATAATTTTGAGGAGGAAAATTAATTTTTGGTTGAAAACAGATATTCAAAAGCAATTTCGATAATTAATTATACAACCACTAATACAAAATGAACTTTACAATGTTGATACAATTCAGCTAAACGACTGAGATTGCAAGTCATACACTTTAGGATGAAGAAATTGTGCAATTTTTGAATGAATTAACCTTTCTCGAATCACATTTCTACTAACGTGTTTACGTTCTATTTGAAACTTTCATGGCTTCCTGCAATAGCATCCATCCTCTTGACTTTATTTGTTCAATCTTCGTATTTGAAAACATTCAATTCTCTTTTAAATACCATTAACTTTCTAAATGGGAAATTTTAAAGTTGACTCAATTGGTGCTATTACAGATTCAATACTTTAATATTTAAAAGGTGTTAATCATTTGAAATTGTTTTTGAAATCTTGCACCTGATAAATCCCTGCACAAAACAACTAGCGGAGTTGCAAGAATAGAATTAATCACCCAAATTCATCTCATTAATGCGAAATATTTAATATTTCTTTCGAATACCCGGCTGTCTCCTGTTTATCTCAATTTGGCAATTTTTATGTCTGGCAAGAATGAATTAAAGTTGGCAGGCCTTTCGCTTAATATTGAGACGAAAGACAATAAAAAAATGTCCCAATTACGATCTAGGTTTGTTTCTAAATTGACGTAATTCGAATGACTTTTCTTTTAAAAACTACCAGCAGCAGTTATCTATTCGAATGGATAGATGGATTATCACCCCAACAACGATTAAACATGTTGTTGTGTGTTTTGAAAATGCTAACTGGCACTGTTTCAAATACCAGCTGCAATCATGCTACTCCACTCCTTCACGAAAGTCTAAATAATCATCACATGCTAGATTTTACAATTCAATCCAATCAAGTTTTTTCTGCTCCAACAGATAAAGACCAGATATCGAACTCAATCTCAACATCATCATCATCAGAAGAAGAAGTGGAGAAACCAAACACATTGCTAATTGTAGAAAATGGAAAACAACGAAAGAATACAGTGAAGAATGCTTCAAAAAACAATAGTTCGACAAAGATTACAAAAAGGAATAGAAATATTAGAAAAAGATATCAAACATTGGTGCTTTCCTTCTTTAATGAACCGTTCAAGATTCAAACGGTGGAAAGTATGAAATCGAAATTTGCCAACAAGGCTTAATTGTTCTTGTAAAGTTGTACTAATAAGAAGCATTATGAAAATCATCGTAAAGCAAATAAGTTGGAATGAGAATAAACAGCTGAAGTTATACTAAACTTGACTAAATTAAAATCTTTTTAATCTAACGCCATTCCTAAATGGTTCAATTCAAACTTTGTGAATAAGGTGCAAGCTTATGTAAAGCAAATTAATTACACGAGACTGACTTATTGTTGCATTCGTCCACTTTCTATTTTTGCAATAATTTGAAAAAAAATGTCACTCACAGATCTTCCCAGAGAAATATTTCTTCTAGTTCATTCCTACACTGATTTTCAAACTATTCTAAACCTGCGCTCAGTTTCCAAATATTTATCCATTGTGAATAAATATTATCAATCGGAAATTGTGAATTTCACTAAAGATTATTCCGAATATTATTCACTTGGAGAGATTCTATTAGATTTTAGAGGAAAGGACAATTTAATGTCACTAGTCGAACCATCAATCATGTTTTTTGATGAAAATATTGAAAAGATCGAATCTGTCATATTGAATTTGGATCAATGCACAACACAAAGTTTAGGATTTATTGGAAGTTTATTCGGTAATAATTGTAATCTCATTTCTGATTTGAAATTGGATTTGTGGTTTTCCAGAAAAATCAAATTTGAAAAAATTGATGTAAAATTCATTTCAAAATTTGAAAAATTGCAAAATCTTTCAATGGTTTTGGTTCATGCCAATGAATGTGTGGATTTGATTTTTGATGAGTTGGAAAGAGGAAAATTTAATGAATTGAAGAAATTCGAATTGGCCATTCGTTGCACCACTTTATTGAGTCCTCAAATTTTGAGATTGGCTAATATTTTGGAACAAATGAAAACGTTGAAACACTTGACATTGGAAATATTACACGTACAACCTTCACAAAAAGCAATGAATACTTTGATAGAGTCACTCTATTATATTCCATTTCTCAATCTTAGAGTAAAGTTGAATGCTCAATTCACGATGGAACCATTGCGTAATCTTTCTGGGAAATGTAGAGAGCTTTCCATGAAAATTGAAAATGGAGGAGCCACTCAGGAAATTTATTTGGATCAGGTTAAGAATTTGGCAAAATTAGAGATTGATTCTTTGCCAAACTCTCGTGCAATGTTGAATTCATATATGAAGGAATTGATTATTGGGGATTATGCTTCAAATTTGCAACAACTTTTAAAGAATGATTTTCTCTTGGGAAATACTTTTGACAATTTGAAGAGATTGGAATTGATTCATGTTGGAAATGTATTGGATGCTCCTAATGTATTTCCATCTTTGGAATATGTACATTGTTCAAATTGCTCGTTTAGGAGTAGCATTGAGTTCTTTTCTAATAGTAGAAAATTGAAGAGTTTAGTGTTGAAATTTTGTGTTTTTGAAACAAGATCTACAACAGAATTGAGGTGCAAAGAATTGGAAGAATTGGACATTACCACCTCTGGTACCTGCACTAAATTTCTTGATATTCCTGCATTGAGAGGACTGAAACTCAAAAAACTAACCATCTTTCCTGTAACCACATTTTTAGCTTATTCAAACTTTGTATCCAATGCAAGTCAGACATTAGTGGACCTATCAGCTATTGAGGAAATGTCAAGTTTGGAATATTTGAATTTAGGAGAATATTACGACAAGTTTTCTTTTGACAAGTTGACTAATCTGAAATATTTGGAGATTCGAGATGTTAGATCTGAGGGGATTTTATCATTTTGTACAAATGACCATTTACTTCATAATTGCATTATTCATTTTGAAAATACTTATGTGAGGGATATTTTTCCAACTTATTCAGAAAATGGAATTGCTAAGGTTGACAAGTCAATTCATCGATTAATTATTTCCAAATTGAAAGGGTTGGGTTGTCATGTGAAAGGTGTTAAATTTGTTATAATATCAACAAAGTATATCTACGTTTCTTTCCATGTGCAATCCAAGAAACAATTGGTTTATTCATTTCCTAGTTTCATTCTAATTAGTAGAAAGCAACCATATTCAATTTTGGCAAGTGGAAGAAGTTTCGAAAAGAAACAAGAAAAATTCGAAGATTCATGGGATATACCTCCAAATGTCGACCAAAATAAATGTGATATCCAATAATACAAACTAATCAAACTAATCTTTGACCTTTCCATTCATTCTTAATATTTCCACATTAATGTGGGAATCTCTTTTTGTGAAAAAAACAGCAGCACTGTTGGAAATTCATTCATATCCAATAATATCCATCGAACCAGATAATGACCAATGTTGGAATAATAAACTAGCTCATTATCCGTTATTATCACAGGAAGATTGGCAACTTTTATATGTTGATATGCACAACTTTTTAATCTAAGATACTACCATACTACCACCAATAACTTTCTCTGGAGGTGGCATCCTCCTCAAGCTGAGGGTTCATTCGAATTTGTTGAAGAATCTTAATAAAATTAAGAAAACAAAAATGATATCGAACAAAACAATTCAATCCGTTGATGAAGTGGTCGTAGAGAATGAATCTCCCTTATCATGCTCACAATTAGAAAATTGTGGTTTTGTTGTTGTAATGTATCTCATGAGAACCAAAGATATGAACATTATTGTAGCGAATGGAGAGGGACCCTTTCCTTCTCTTCCACCACCTTCCGAAACAACTTCTCTCTCCTACGGCCAAGTGGATAAAGAACAGCAGAAAGGCTTGTGGTATTTTCTATTTGGTAATAGTAGGGATAATAGTAAAAAGCCGGAGAAGAAACATGCTCTGTTTGTGAGGGATTTACGACTTGATGAATGTCATGGAGTGGAAAGTCGAAGAGTTGAGATGAGGAGATTATATTCAAAGTTTGAAATTGTTCTTCAAATTGTTAGGGGGGTGGAGTATGTTTTGCTACCACGAAATTGGTATGACATATCATGTTGGAGAGAAAGACTTGGTAATGACATTTTTGGTCTCTCTTTGAGGAATAGAAAGTTTCCAGTATTCGAAACATCAATCAGATATGGAAATGCTTACTTGACGGATTATGGAACCAAGTTTGGTATTCCAGAAATTGAGCAGAATGTGATTTTTAATTATTCAAAATGCACCAACGAACAAAGAGTGAAAATGGTTGAAAAAGTATACGAAATAGACTTTAAAAATGTTGAAATTCATCCTCTTTATTTCATTTTTGCATTTACAGAGTTTGGAAAGAGTTTGAGATATTTCAAATTGTTAAAAAAATTTGGGAAATCACCTTCTCCATATTTGGAAACCATCTTGTCAAGCAACTCCTTAAAATTCATAAGCAAATATGATTTAGACATTATTAGACACTTTAAGTTTTGGCTTCACGTCCCAATCAATGTTTGGTATTTTGAAACTACTGATTTCTCAGACAGTATTAAGGTTGGAGAATATGATTCAACACCAATTCGTAGAATCGATTGGTTGAAGGAAAGATTGCTAAGTGATGATTTACAGACTCCTTTCGAGATTGAACATTCTGATGGTATTGACATTTCATTTGGTAAAGCAGGAGATGAAATAGTGCAACGAATGAATTTGGCTGTAATAGAAAAGTGTTATTACAAGCAGGAATATTTATCTTGCAGATTAGTTGAACTGGATGATGGAAATTCACATGCAAATCAAGATGTTTATCCAATATTTTGGAGAGAGGACACTTTTGTAATTCACTCTGAAAACTTGCAATTGTTGTGTGAGAATCTACTCAACATTGTTTCAATGATTGTTAAAAATTGGGATTTAACTGTTGAAGAAGATGTTCCTTTTTTGGATTATGATTTGGTGGATATGAGATATTTATATAGAATTGAATTAAGTTTAAAACAGTCAAAGATTATTAGCTCCAAATTATCTCAACATCTAGACAGTTTCAATTTAACTCCTAAACAATTAGAAAGTGCAAATTGTGTTGTAAAGACAATTACAAGTCAAATTAGAAATGTCGAAATGATGGCAATGTCACTATTACAATTAAGCAACCAATACGAAAAAGACTTGTTTGTGAAAATTCCTCACAGATTTCAAGCCATCATTATGTTAAGTGAATGGATTGATCACTGTTTGGATTTCACGCATTCAATTCAAGGATATTTCTTACAATATTTCAATTTTCCAAATCAAATTGACAAATATTTCAGCGATATTGTTATTGAAAAGTTGATCATGAAACAAATCAAAACTCAGGACATTTATGAAATGGCAAAATACCTGTCCATCATGTCAACTGCCATACAACATGATCTATTTTTGTATCATGCTGGATGGATTATTGATGCTTTTTCTGCTTGGATTGAGAAATAAATTTCACTAATGGATTAAGGACATTTATTTTTCTTTTTAGCTAAAAGAACAATTACACACACCAAGAAAATAAAACCACAAGAAAAGAAAGCACCATTTCTTGTTTTTTTCAATATAATATTTGAGTAATTGTGTGAATTGGTAGAAAACACAGTTTTCGCTTGAGAAGACAAAAAAATAAAAATAGCAAATCCAAAAAAACTTGCTGCTGCAAATTTTTCTCCTTCAAAACCAAATATAAACTTGGAACATAAATTTATAAACAAAAAAAACAACAAAACATGAAAATTATTGAACAAGAAGATATGTTAGAAGAAGAACTTGTTGTAATCCATTTGGATACTTCCATTTTCAGTCCACTCCTCAAATCAACAACAGACAACCAATCCAAATTATTAAAGCACTGGTGTATGGAGGCAGATCTATTCAAATATTCCATCATTACACCTCTGGAATATTGTATTGAACAACCAAACCTTAATGGACAGTATTGCAAAATTAGTAAAGCTCCCTATGTATACTCTAAGAAACTACCATTGGAAGAGGAGGGATCGAAATGGATATGGGGTATGGATTCGATATTTGTACCAGATTATGTTGGTTCAAAACATGGCTCCTTATTGAGTGTTAAACAATCAACAAATAACGATGAAATAATTTGTGAAAAAGAAACTGAAAGATCAGATGCAACTATTCCAGTTGTTGTAGAGATGAGAAACAATAGAGAGTTTATGATGGAGAGTGTACAGAAAAATGGTTTATTACTTTATTATGCTCATCCTGATTTACTTTTTGATCAAGAATTATTATTGGAAGCCATAAGAAATAATGTATCTGCTTTCCAATATGTTCCATATAATCTCAGAAGAGATGAACAATTCTTAAAAAGAGCTATTGAAAAATGTGGAGATGTGTTTTTATACCTTACTGGAGAGTGGAGAAAGAGAAATGATTTATACGAAATATCTTTGAGAACATGTGAAAACAAGCTAAAACTATTCGAAAGATTGGATCCTTCAATTAGAATGAATTATGCACCCAGTATGGTATCAAACTATTGGAGAGCAATCTATTTCCTCAACCCTTCAGACTCTCGATACTCTCAACTAATCCAGATTATTCTCAATTCGAATCAAGTTTCTGACTCTGAATTAATCAATTCAAATTTAATAACCAACAGGAAAGATTTATGGAAATATCTCGATATTTCTTATAGGGCACTTATCTTGGCTAAAAGAGAGTGCATTGATAATGAAGCAATCATTAAGGCATTGAGAAGTAATATGATCATTTCCAACTATCTATCGTATTACCAATGGAATGCAATCAAGGAAAATCATTCTCTTATAATGGAAATAATTCAAAATCCAATAGAATTAACAATTGAAGCTGCAACATTTATTATTAAAAATTCTAATCGGGATAATGTCAGAGCACTCGTAAAAAGATATCCTTTTCTAGCAGAAAAGGTTACTGAGGTGAAAATGATGTTTGATCCTTATATTCTTAGATATTTGCCGTCAAACAAACAATATGAAACTATTCGAAAGTGTGCCAAACTAATAATGGATGAAAAAGAGTATTTCGAAACAGTAGGATATTATTTCCAAGGAAGCAGTGCCCTCGCCTGGATTTTAAGAGAAAGATTTACCATATCACATCCTGGCTTGGTCATTCCTTACCATAGATTTGGAAAAAAACTCGACTGTCAACCAATTTGTTGGGATTTTGAGTTGTGGTATGAGAGTATCAACTAAATAAAAACCGACTATAGGTCTAGTGTAATTTCCTAACTAAGTAAAATTCAAAATATGCCATCCTCAAGTAGGCCACACAATAAATCTGATCGATTTTCAACTGAAATGCTCGATATATTTAAAGCTCCTATCTAAACTTTCGAGTTGGGTGTGGAGCATTCTATTGTTTGATTTAAAAATAACATTTGAAACCATCTATTTTGTTTTAAAGATATTTAAATTTAATGTTTACAAAAATCCTTTGACTTCATCATACCCTGGTTGATCAATTTCTTCAGCAAGTTCGCCTGACTTGTATTGTTCATAGTGCTTTGGTGTTAAAAGTCCCATATCTACCAACTGTGTAAGGAGTGGCTTAATGCTTTCAAACTTATTACGAATAAAACAGGCATATTGACTGATACCCAAAATTGTAATTTCATCTCCATCTTCGAGCTTTTCCTTGACTTGATCCTTCAGTAATGCTTGGAATGATTCAACGTTTTGAACTGGATCTTCATGCAATGATGAATTAAGGATACCAGAGATGATTTGTTCGATAGACAATAAATTAATGTAATCATCAACTTCTTCCTTTTCGTTAATCTTCTTATTGAAGAAGACAGATGGTTCAAAACATCCATAACAGTTTTCTTCAACCAATTCGCAGAATTTGGAGTAGTAATCACCATTTGGCTTCAATACGTTCATAATATCCATGACACTATTTACCAAGTGCTTTCCAGCTTCAACCTCACTCAAAACAAGATGGTTTTCAAGTTCATCTTCATAGTTAGCAAGAATCTTCTTCAAATCATCATTTAATTCACATTCAGACTTGACAGAAGCAAAAACATTCTTGAGAATATCAAATGCGTGTTCTTCTTGCAATGGAGCATCTTCATCCAAAACAACTGTAACCAAAATATCGTACAAACAGTTAAAAGGCAAAACTTTTTCGAAAAGGAGTCTACCAAAGAGTTTACCAGTATATGGGAACAACTCTGGAATATCAACGTATGTTTCTTCTTGGACAGATGAAAGCAAGTATGAAATCAAGCCATCAACGAAAACTGTCTCAGTAACAAGTGGTTCAGCACCTTGAGTCAATCTCTTGCACAACTTGACACAATCGCTGAGTTCAGCATCTCTACTATTTTCACAAGCACAGAGGGCAAGAGTCTTAGCAAAGTGGTGTGATTTGAACAAGTTTTCTTTGGTGATAGTTTCAATTGTATCTTCAATCTCTCCTTCTTCAAAGAAGTTATTAATAATTCTCTTGGTCTTTTCAGTTGTTTCCTTAATTTGTTCTTCAGTTTCTTCTGGAACAACTTCAACTTCTTCAATAACTTCTTCTTCTTCTTCTTCACTGACTGGTTCCTTTTCTTCTTCATCTTCCAAAAGTGAGAAAGAATTCAAATCCTTCTTGCTTTGAGTTGGAGATGGAGCCTTTGTGATCAAGTTACCACCACCTGGAGCCAAAGTCTTCTTAGCATCCATCTTTCTGTATCTTTCAGCTTGCAAACCAGATTGCTTATTATTATTATTATTATTATTATTATTGTATACAGTCTTAGTCTTGACAGTTGTCTTTCTATTGTGGTGATGCTTTTCAATCTTCTTAATTTGATCCATTTGTTGCTTAACAGCATCATCTCTGGCTTCTTGTCTAGTCTTGGTAGCCTTTGTCTTTTCAATTCTGGCAACCCAGTTATTAATTCTCATATCAATAACATCTCTAAGCATAAATCTGAGACGAGAGGCAAGGTTATCCTTATCTTGAGCAAGGGTTTCCATTTTACCAAAGTAATAATTGACATATTTCTTTGACTTTTCATGATCCAATTTGCTACCAATAGTAGTCAATAAACGACACAAAAGTTCAATATCATCAGAAGATGGATATGGAGTTGGATTAACGAGCAATCTCTTGATAACTTCATGCATAATCTTTTCACTAAGCATATCTTGCAAATAAAGTTCACCAATGAAAATCATGTTACCAACTTTCTTCTTTCTCAATAAGAATTCCTTTTCTTCAACTTCCTCAGGGCTCAAGCCAACTTGAGCTGCCTTTTCAAGTTCTTCCTTCTTTTCATTTTCGAATTCTTTTTGACATTTGTTCAATAACAATCTCTTGAATTGTTTAGTATTTTCTTCTCCAATTCTTTCCTTAAGTTCGTTACTTAAATCAGCACACAACTTGGCATAGAGAGCAGAGAAGTTTTGAAGGTTAATAGCGAAAATGAAAATTTGATCAATAATACCATTCAAAACAGCTTCATCACCTGGCTTCTTAATACAAGCATTTAAGAATTCAATCTTAAGTCTTTCATAGTTTTCAGGTGTCAATCTGTTAAGAATAAATTTAACTTCATCAACAATGACTTCATCCTCAGGCTTATCCTTTGACAATTTCAAGGCATTTTGAGACTTTGAAAGCTTTTCATAAGAACCTTGCTTTCTATTTGTTGCTCCTTTTCCACCACGAGCACCTCCTCTATTATTTTCGAATCCACCACGTCCTCCTCTTGAACTGGCTCCTCCACGAGTGGTACCACCTCTTCCACCTTGGCCTCCGCCACGTCCACCACCTCTACCTTGACCACCTTTGTTGAATCCACCAGCCATAGCCATTGATGATGAAGCGCCCTTTGAAATAAGGAAAATTTCACCCATACCTTTAAGCTTTTCTGGAGCTTCAGTGCAAACATCTCTGAATTTAAGGAGATAATCTCTAGAGTAAACCTTGCTACTTGGTTCGGTTTCTCCTTCTTCCTCTTCCTCTTCACTAGAATCTTCCATTCCGTCGATTTCGCTTGGATCTTCCTTGATGACTTTATCTTCATCAATATCTGAAGATTTAGAATTATCAAAGGTTTCTTCACCTTCAAGTGTTGTTGGAGTTTCAGTATATTCACTAATTGGTGTTTGTGGTGTTTCCAGTTCAGTTTGTTTTTCTTCAACTGGTGTAGCTTCCTCAGTTTGTTTTGGAGCTTCCTCAACAATTGGTTCAGTAGTAGCTGTTGTTGTTGCAGTTTCAGTAGTTTCAGTAGTTGTTGATATTGTTACTGGTGTTGTTGTTGTTGATGTTGTTGTAGCTTCAGTAGTTGAAGCTGTTTCATTTGATGACTTATCATCAAGAATATTAACCTCTTTACCACTCTTTGGGTCAGCAATTACAATCTTTGACGATCTTGCTGGTTTAACAATCTCACTAGAAGTTGTACTCTTTGGTTCACTACTAGGATAACCATAAGGTGGATAACCAACAGGTGGGATTGGATATCCCATAGCTGGTTGCATCTGTGGATAGAAGATTGGTTGTTGATGTTGTGGATAAGTGTTTTTAACATAAGTCTTGTGTTCAGGTATTTTGCTGTGGTTATGTTCTGTATATGATCCGATTAAATGATATTATTCATCAAATTATTAATATTATTAATAAAAATAAAATTCAATTTAAATAACTTACGAGGTGTATGTTCAGAAATAGCTGGTGGAGCACTGGCTGTTCTTTGAATGTGATTACCAATATCAGCATTTCTGACAGAATTGAGTGAAGGATTATTATAAGATTGTTGGACTACAACAGGAGGTTCGTAGTTGGCAGGAGGTGTATAAGTAGTATTTGTATTAGTGTTATTATTACTTTGGTAGGATTGGTTTGAAGAACCTTGGTATCCTCCTCTACCACCGCCTCTACCACCTCTGTTGTTTGAAGAACCTCCTCTGTTGCCACCACCTCTTGAGCCTCCTCTACCAGACGAAGAACCACCTCTTGGTTGATGATGAGAGGCTCCTTGAGAATGGGAAGAAGCTGAAGAAGATTGATAGCCTCCTTTTGAATTACCAGAAGAAGGTTTGGAATTGTTTTGGTTGTTGTGAGTAGACATTTTTTTCACGACAAAGTTTAAATTTATCTTGAGGTGATTCTTGGAGAGTGCTGTTGCTTACCGATGATGATTAAAATGAGGAAGGAATCTTTTTCAGAGAGAGAAAAGAATATTGTATGATGCAATTTGTGTGCTAATTAATTTGGCAATCCATTCTCTCTCTTGGAGTACAAAGAAATGATGATGATAATAATAATAGATATTAATAATAACAATACACCTCGAGATTGAATCATCACCATAAAGCGAATTTCAAAAAAAATTATTTTAAAAATTATTTGAAAAATATTAATAATTAATATTAATAAAAAATGAACAATAATCAAACTTTAATATCATCATCGGATTTGAATGGTAATTTGATGGAACAAAATCAATTAAAGGAAGAAATTCAAAATGATTCTGCTTCGGTAATGACAGGAAATGAGGATAATATGGATACAAATGATGATGGAGCTGTGGAAATTGAATCAAGTGATGACGAAGATGATGTCAATCCTTCAGAAAAGGAATACCTTTTGGTGGATCATCCTAATTTTGCCAGCTTACAAAGAGAAAAAGATCGTGTTTTATACTTGTTGGAACTAGGAATGACTTTTATTGAATCATTAACAAAAGCCACAAGAGAAAATATGTCTGTGGATGAAGCAATTAGTGATTGTAAAGACAATATCTCTGATTATTATGATACATTATCGGAAATTAAGACAAACATGTCTAAACTTATTTGCATGTCATCATTTCATTCGCCTCTAAATTATGAAGGATCATTGTATTCTGAAAGAAAGAGAATTGAAATTAACAACAAGAAGGCAAAAATTTTAAAATTTGAAACATCAATAGGGAAATCAGGAGCTTATAATGATGATTTTTCTTCTGTGAATGCATTCAATAATAACAATAATAATTTGGATAACATTTCTCAATCTAATATTTCCTATGGACACACTGCACAAACTCCAAACAAGATGTAAAATATAAACTAATTTATTTCTGTACAAATTCAATTTGAATAATTCTAAAAGAAATTTAATTATTTTGGAAAATATCTTTTTCGAATTTAATTCCAAAATTGTAAACTGAGAGTTCATCCATACAGTTGAGCAGCACATTTCATTTTGAATAAAAAGTAAAATATTCAAATAATTCCACTTTACAAACCAAAACATCGCCTCAATTGATCATTATCCATTTACCAAACACTTCCTTATTTTTCCACCTTCCCTACTAGAATCCACAATGAGGCTACTCCAAAACTTTTCAAATAGCTTTCCTTTTACTTTCCAAGTGACATGACTAGTTGGACATTTGTCGGCGTTGTCGTCACGAACAAGTAAATTTAGCTCCCTCAACGTCCATTTGATTATGAAGAAACATCATCCATGACGCAATTCAATATTAATAGTAAAAAAAGGTTTCAACAACAATATGCTTCAAACCCTCAACCAACAACAACAACACAGAAGGGCCGAAAGCAGCCCAAAATCTACAACTACTTTTGCATCATCAAATAATTCAATTATTGATTCTGATGCAGTCTCCAACAAGGTAAATGAATGGATTGGTTCCTTCTCAACTTGGACTTCTTCCGTTCAAAAATCCTTGGAGAATACTTTCAAGCAAGATGAAACAACCGCCACCACAACAACAACCCTTCCAACCACCAACAAGTCAAAGAAGGCACCACCATCATCATCCGTTGTTACCTCTACCACCACCGCCAGTAACAATGACTTTGTCAATGTTGACTTGTCATCATCCAGCGCTGTGGTGATGAATAATAACACGTTAAAAAAATCCCAACCAACCACTCAAAGCCTTCAACCAGCTTCTACCACTGCTTCCTCACCAACACAAAACAAAATGATGGAAAAACGATCACTGATAAGAAATCAAGACTTTTCCAGTGGAGAGGAAGATGAAGAATCACTTATTGGATCATTGAAGAAGGGGTCATCATTTTTGAAGGCTTCCACTGCCGGATCTTGGTTTGATTCAACTTTCTCTAACATCAAGACACAACTCTTCTCCGAAAATAACAAACCAACTGAAGAAGATGACGGACCATTGGCCAAGTCATTCTCTTCAAAGACCTCCTCGACTAAATCTCCTTCTCCTGTATCATCAACACAAAATAATTTATTGGACTCACTCTCTTCTACCTTTTCATCCCTCAAAACTCAAACAAATGACAAGTGGTCATCATTGACATCTCAATTCTTTGAAACTCAACCACCTATTGATGAAAATGATAATTCTTTTATTGGTAGACTTTCAAAGGACGTTGATGGTATGGTAACTTTATCTGCCAAACAAAGAATGTATGGATTCTTTATGGCATTAGGATTTGGATTGTTGTGTATTCTGATTGCACTTGGATTTTTACCATCCATCTTATTTGCTTCTGGTGCTTTTGCATTCTTCTACACATTTGGTAATTTGTTATGCCTTACATCCACTTTATTCCTTGTTGGACCAGCTGCACAACTCAAGAATATGTCAAAACCTGAAAGAGCTATTCCATCAGCACTTTTTGTTGGATCAATGATATTGACATTGTTGTGTGTTTTCTTTATGCCACTTGCCATTTTTATTATCATTTTGGTTATTGTTCAAACAGTTAGTTTGGCTTGGTATGTCGTTTCATACATACCATTTGCTCAATCAATTCTAGGAATGGTCTTCTCTTCATTCATGAAACTCTTCAATTAAGATATAAATATTTAATTCATTATTCTAATTTGTAGTATTATTTTACAAAATATCAACATGTTCAATCCTGTTAAAATTTCAACAATGCTGACATATCTGAGTGAAGGCAAACTAACCTTCATGTTAAGGAAAATATTCTCGAGGAAATAAAAAATAATCGTTTATACTTCCATTACTCCAATAAATTAATCTACCACAGAATGTGACAGTTCCACAGTTTAATCCTTTCTCTTCCATACACAATTCATTGTAACATTGGCAGCTTTGAACATTTGGAATACAGGACAAGATCTCTCAACTCTTTCTTTTAAGGTGTCAATTCTTTCGTTCGATTCATTAGTTTCAACTTCAAATACCATATCGACTGATTTAAAGTGAGCAGGAACACCAGCCACACCTCTCAATCCTCTGACATCTAAAACACCCGACATTTTGGTGCAGGAAATTGATTTGATTTGCATCTTCATGCCTCTAGCAGCATATCGAGCAGTTATTATTTCACAACCAGACAATGATGCCAACGACAATTCCAATGGAGTAGGACCTTGATTTGTTCCTCCTAAAGTAATTGGTTCATCCATATTGATTGCAACACTTGGACAAGTACCTGCTGTAGAAACAACTAGGGAACCTTCTTCGGAAATTGATGTAATATTAAAAGTCTTTAAATATTTGCTAACATCTTCCTCTGCAGCTGCTGGTTTCTTTTCCTCCAAACAACGATTCATCACCGATGAAAAATTATTGACAAGAGCAGCACTACCAGTTGATTTGATCATTCCGCTATTATTAAACCTCTTCAACAAGAGTGAAGGAAGACTGCTGCTGGTTCTATTAAGCAAAGTTCTTTTGATCATTTTTTTTCTATTAATTGCTGTTGATGGGATTTTAATTTCGCCTCTTTTATGATAACTATCAAAAAGGAAGCAAACCAGAAGAGGACAATAGAAATTTCATATTTACAACTTGCTTTTAGTGGAAAGGGTATTGAGAAGTTTTTAGATTTTCTTTAGATTTTCTTTCAATTCTAAAGCTTGAAGAAAGGTGAAGTTTACAATTCTCTTTAACCATAGTATGAACGATCCTTAATGAATGTACATATTGTGATTGGTTCTTTTCCTTCTGATTCATAAGTGACTGATAATATTTCAATATTTTCTTCTTGATAGGTAGGTCCATAACGATCTCTGCCAGCTTTCTTTTTTCTTGCAATGCTTGAATGATTGACAAGTAGCTTTTCAGAGGAATCATTTGCAGAACACCACCAATCATTTAGAAGTGTTGAGAAGAATTGTCTGATATTCTTTTCGAAACTGTCAACTCCAGATGCTCTTTCTCTAGCTTGTCTCTGTTCGAAATAGGATTCATCTTGAGATCCAACAATTGTTGATGAGAATGCACCATCTGCAGAACCACTCTTACCACCTGAACTGTAAGAAATCTGAGTTGCAACAAACACAGCTCCACTTTCCTCAAATAATGGATCAATCAACTTGGATTTTTCACTCGTATTTCTTGGAATTGAAATTACTCTATTTGTGATAGAGCCAATCCATGGATATTCCTTTGGTTTTGCTAATGTTTCATCTTCATCACCAAAAAGATCTTCACATTCTCCACAATCATCTTCCTCTTCTTCTTCTGGAGCTTGATCTTTCGTAAGGAATGAATATCTTTCGGCTTCCTTGTCCACAGTTTGTCTACTCGTAAAGAAGCCTTGTCTAGTACTTGTATTCTCAGTTCGGGAATTTATTCTACCAACTTGGGCTCTACTTGTTCCCTTAGCATTTCTTTCTCCTCCACCCAAATCATACTTTCTAGGACAAGCAAGAACTTCTACATAATTTTCTTGCCAATATTCGGACCACCACTGAGCACTTCTTAATTCCATCATCGGAACTTCAGACATCTTTTTATTGTGTTATTGGATATATATTTGATGATCAATTTTTAAAGTTCTCAAAGGCTAGAATTTGTTAGCTAACTTGTTTGAGTTTTTTTTAAAATAATTGAGGATGAACTTGAGTTAATTGTAAATAGTTTCAAACATCATTGAACAGCTTTGATGAAGGTCTTTGATGCTTTGGAAATTTAATTCATTTACAAAAAAACTCCACAGATATGACAACAAAAAATGACTATTAATTGTTGTACTACTCTGTTTATTATAACATTTGTATACAAATTGCAATTAACAACCAAATAATTGTGGATTGAAATTTTGAGGATTGGCAGTGAATGGACCTTGGCTGCCATCAATCTTCAATTGAACCATATCATCCATTCCATATAAAAGTCTTGCAAATTCATCTCTGGTATCTGTTACAATTCTGTAAGAGTTAGATTCGCCATTATATTGACCTTGCCACAATTGATACTTTAATTTACCATCAAACTCTTCTCTGACATATGCAGAATCCTTAGACAAGCTCCAATTTGGCATATCGTCCATACCATAACCAAATTGCCAAAAGTCTCTTGTTTTTGTACAATTCAAAGAAATGACAGTTCCACCGCCAACTTGAATGGTTTTGTATTTGATGAGATAGGTATCAACCTTGACTCTGAGTGAAGACGGACCATAAATATTGATAATGGTTTGTTCTGGGAGATAGGTTGTGTTTACATTGAACAAGTCAATTCTCTCAGCTCTATTATAATAATCATAATAATAAGTAGCATTGGTAAACTTCAAGTTAGTGTCTGCATAGGATACAGTCACATTGCTGGCGATGAAAGCAAGTGGGAGTCTTGGATTTTCTTTCATTGGCATGGTTGGCAAGATTTTGAATCTTTCTGGAATTCTTGAACAGGAAACAAATCCAAGGAAATAGAGCAAGCTGACCAAAACGAAAGCTGAACCAACTGCAGTCGATACTTTCATTTTTTGTTTTTTTTTTGATTATGATTAATTGGTGTTGATCTAAATTTTCATATTTATGACCAATTCAACTCGAATTCATTTGGATGTCGATTAGAGGTTTGTCTCCGGATACTATTTTCTGTACCAAATAAGGTGATAATGGAAACAAGTTAGAACCAAAAAGCTGGGGCAAATTCTTTGGTCCCGCAATTACCCGCCGATAGTCGCCTCTCAAAATTACACGCATATTCAAAATGGCCTGAAATCGTCACTGGGAAAACATGGGCCAAGTTGACTTCCAACGATATATATAATATCACACCACATAAAATTAACAGTACGTAACGGTCATATATAAACTACTATTCATGAATTGTAATGTTTTCAATTGTTGTATTTCACGAGTAAATAATCAATTTGTCATTTTGAAAAATTACAATTTTAATTACAACAGCTTAAAAACCACATTTTCTAAATTTCATATGGTAATCTCTCTGAATTATATTGTATACATACCAGAAAGTAATGTATCAATTATTTGCTATTTAAAACCTTGTATTTTTAAATATTTATCTATTAAACTTTAACTACTATATTTGGAATATAATTTTCAATATTCTCAAGAAATAATTAACCAATTTTTTTCATGGTTAATGTTAAATTATATAAAGATGATAATCAAGCAAAATAATATAAATTGTTAATGATTTAGTGTTTCAGGATTCAAATCTTATGTTTTTGTCAATTTATCTTCCTTATTTTTCAGTATTTTAAAAAAACCCGAATCAGAAAGATTGTAATTGTAATTTATTTTTGTTTCGTATATTGTTGGAGATGTAAATCATTAAGAATAAAAACTAGATACGAAAAAACATTGAAATTCTTGCTGGACCAGTGGTAAATTTTTAACTTAGTAGAAATTCAAAAAATGCCACCAAAGCCAAAGCAAGTTCATGCTACGATCAAAAATAAGCTTGAATAGCTAGCTAATAGAACAAGAATGATGATCTCTCTAGTATTTGTCCTGGTATTGATTTAAAAAGAATTGGTGATGTAAAATTGATTAATTTAATTGGAAAGAAAGTTTTTATTCGTGATGGTCGTTTATTCACCCATTCCGAACCAATTACAATATCATCTAGACAATGTACATGCCCTTCTTGTGGAAAATTGTATAGAAATTCATTACGAAAGTACCATGACAGAATGCCATCATTGAATACATCATGGAATAGCTTATTACCTTCTCTTATTGATGGAATTATCACGCAAATATTTGTAAAGAATTTATTGAGAAAATTATTTAAAAATAATTTTTCAAATTTATTGGACTCAATTTCAACACCTAAACTCAAAAGAAACTCAAAAGAAAAAGAAATGAATTAATTTCTGAAACAGAGAATTCACCACCAGTCAAAAAAGTCAAACAAAAGACTATTGGAACGAAATCAGATTCAACAGATAGGAAATCAGTAAAAACGACACGAGACCCAAAACGGATTCCTATTAAATGTGGGTGTAGATATGATGAAAATTCATTGGATAAATGTGGCTGTCTTACCAATAAGTGTAGCTGTACTAAGAATAATAGGAGTTGTTCAGAACTTTGTGTAAATTGTAAAGGAAGATGCAGTGTAATTCGTATTAAACTTTGAGTAGACTGACTTGTAATTTTTTTAAAAAATTTGGGTGGCCTGAAGGAGACTTCTAAAAAAATCGCTGGAGTCGGCCACCCGTGCAAAATTACTGCATGCAGTACAAAACCCATGGGATGAGCAAAATTTGTCCTTGAATTAAAACGTGAATCTGGTTGGAAACAAATCTGATTGTTTACAAAATTAATGTTAAATTCCGTAAACAAGTAATTGTAAACTCATCTTAAAAAATGGGACAACAACAAACAACAGAACCTCCGACGCTTCATGTGGTGATCACTGGATTGGATGCTCACGGAAAATCAACTTTTATTTCAAAAATAATTCGTGGAGGTGAGACTACACTTCTCAGATATTGTCAGACAATAACTTCTAATATTTTATATCATCGCAAGATGGAAAATATTCATCTAGCATCAAATAATAAGAATATTGATGCAATATTTAATTTTACAATATTTGATTGTAATATTATGAGTCATGTATCAAAGAGAGTGTTATATCAATTTTGGAATAGTCTTGTTGTTGATTGCAAGTTGATTGTTTTTCTGTTTGATTCGGGTGATAAGGACAGAATTGAGGAGGTTAGGGAACAATTTCATAAAATTATGGAAATGGTATTGGAATTAAATTGTAAATTATTGATTATTTCTTCAAAGGTGGATTTACCTTATCATTTACAAACAGATGAAATTGTGAATAACATTTTGGAAATTAAAAATTGGAATTTACCAGAGGATAGATGGGCAATTCATACATTTGATCATAATATGAGATCTTCGAAAGTGGTGAATGCATTCAGTGATTTTGTAGATGGTGTAATTAAATCAATTCCACAAAACTGAATAACAGAAATTTGAGGTTTGAGAAATAGATTTATTGATCAGGTAATCTGAAATTCATTCTATCTACATAAAGCCATAACTTTCTAGGATCAATGTGTGGAGCTAGTGGACATTCGTATGGAACATTCCAAGCATTTGGAGTTGTACTACACCAAGTATTTGTTAATAGCTTGACAGTCGCAGTGTAGAGAGCTGGACTCATTCTCAATTGTTGTTGCATTGGTAAATAGTAGAATTCAACCATGGCTCCAAAATTTCCTCCAATTTTTGCGAATTGATTTTGTGAAACTGATTTACCATTGACACTAATTGGACAGCCTGCAAGAGTGGAATAATGACATAATTCTACAAGAAGTTGATCACAATCAGCATCTGTTACAATATTTTCCACAACTACATATCCAAATCTATGGAAGAAATCAATATGTCTTTGAGTGAGGAAGTGATCATTCTCTTGTAAAATCTGATCAATCACACTAACTGGATGTTCATCATCAACAGTCAACAAATTCTGATAAGGTTGCTCATTGTAAAGACATTCACCGAGTGGGGTTAATGGTACAAGATCCTTTTCTGGTTTTAAAAATTGTTGTTCCATTCTGAATTTAGTACCAAAATCATCTGGATGTTCAAAACGTTTTCTCTTTTCTTGCAATTGCTTGATTGTTTGATAATTGACCTTGTGAGCACAACTGTAAGCATGATAAAATACAGATCTAGGTCTATTCATATCATTGGCATCTGAATTTCTATGAGCTGTTCTATTATCAAAGAATATATAATCACCCTTCTTAATTGGAATATATTCCAATCTATCATGCTCCTTTACAATATTCCTCACATATTCCACCATTTCATCTGCACTATTCAATTGATCTAAAGTATTGTTAGCAGGTGGTGGATTCCAATTTTGTGGAATTCTTTGAACTTTCCTCACCAATTCATATAATGGTTTATCCTCCTCCTTATTAAATCTCAAATGATATGAACTAACCCAAGGAGATTTAGCTCTCATTTCACTTGCTGATCTCAATTTTAGATCCACTGCTGGAAAATACTTTTCACACACAGAGGCAAATCCAGGAATCACCTCCAATCCACCCTCCTTCTTATGTCTATTGACACATCCATCAGTTAAACAAACCATCGATTGGAAAGGTCTAAATCTATCCAATGGACCATATGTAAAATCTGTCTTTAATTTACCCCACAAATTATATGGCCAACAATCCAAGTGAAGACCTGTTCCTGTTTGAGTCATTGTGATTTCATCTGATTCCGAGGAAGATGATGCTGTTGTGTTTTTCTTGTTTTTCGGTGGCATTTATCTCGTGAGCAGATATTGTGTGTGAATTTTTTTTTGATTGTTGTGGATTTTCATTTTCTTTCACAGGTTAAATTGTGAAAATGAAGCAAAAAAATACTCGATTTCAAGATTGAGGTTGAAAATAGAAAAATCTTCATGAGGATGTTTGTGTTTAGTGGGTTCTCTGGAGAATACACCTTTTTATACGGTAACACCGCATCCAAAACGAATTTGGGCTCAAAATCAACAAGAAATCAATGATAACTATTACCAGTTTAGTCTCTCAAATGAGCTCACCAAAACAGATGCTGATTGTAAATTGCACAACTTTCTCATTGTAAAGTATGCAAGATCAACCAATTAACAAAAGCCAATCAAAAAAAAATGACTCAACACTTGTATGGAGATAAACCATTTTCTTCTTCCGATGAGTTGCAATCGATCAGCAGTATTAGAATTAATGACATTAGAATTGAGGAAATTAATAAATCAATGGAGGGAGAAACGATTCGCTTGATTGCAAGAGCTTCAAGAGTTGTAAAAAAGGGAAAATTATGTTTTGTTCGGTTGAGAAGAAACTCACATTCGATACAGGCATGTTTCCTTGCAAAAAATGATCAAGAAAGGGAAATGGTTAAATATATTGGAGGAATTCCTCATGAATCAATAGTGGAAGTTGTTGGAATAATTGTTATGAGAAAGAGTAAGAGTAATGAAACTGTTTCAGAGTTGGAATTGGAAATGAAAGAGATTTATTGTTTATCAAGAGCTCAAAAATTGGATTATGAATTGGATGAATTGGAAGATATGAGGCAGAGTAGGTCCTTACATACTAAGAGATATGTCAGCTTGCGACATTCCTTTATGCATCATATTTTCAAATTGCAATCTTTAATTGGAAGAAAGTTTTGTGAATATATGTATTCGAAAGATTTTACAGAAATTCACACACCTCACATTGTTAAAAATCAAAGTGATAATAATATATCCAGTTTTACTTTTGATTATTTTGGTAATAGTGTTGAATTGACCACCTCTTCACATCTACATCAACAATTAGCTATTCATGGTGGATTGGATAGAGTATTTGAGATTTCTTGTGCATTTGAAAAGCACCATGGCTGTACGCATGTACACTTGAACGAAAAAACAACATTGAATTTTGGAATGACTATTGCCTCTCACTACCATGAAGTAATATCTGTGGTGAAAGAGTTATTGAACTATATTATTGATGAAATATCAGAATATGAAGGATTGGAAGTAATTGCAAAGCATAACTCAAGGGGTCTAGAAAAATTAAAGAAAACAGAAATTTTGGAGCTCACATTCAAAGAAGCTGATGCCCTATTGATAGCCAATTGTTCAGAAAATGAATTTGGTGGATTTATGGCACTTAGAGAAGTAGCAAGTTACTTTAAAGATTATACTGACATTTTGATTATTCAAAATAGTGCACATGAAGAAGTTGGTTGTTTTGAAATGCCAAGTTCAACTGGAAAGGGCTTTAACAATTTCATCATTCTTATTAGAGGAATTGTTGTTGGACGTGGATGCCAATATATTCACGATGAGGAATTGTTGAAGCATCAGGTTCGCTGTCATGCCCCTGATCTAGTATCAGCTTTGAAATATGGTGCTCAACCTTGTGGTGGATGTTCAATTGATTTAGAGTTATTCTTAATGCAATTCCTTCAATTAAGCAATGTTCGATTCACCTCTCTATTTCCAAGAGCTCCCACTATCTATGAAAATGAGCAACTACTTTAATAATTAAGTAATTTTTATAAAAATTGATATTATTCGAAAAGGACTTTGATCTCAGTAATTTTTACATGACTGAACACTTCTCATCATTTGACTTTTCCTTATTGTTCCTCTTCTTTTTCTTTCCTTCACTTTGATCATCAGTGTCAGATTCACTATCTTCATCATCTTTATCAGACAATGATCGAGCCAATGGTAAAATGTAATCATCAGCAGCAGAGACACCCTTTCTCTTTTCATTGTAAGTCCATTGTAATTCACCATCTTCAATTCTGTAAGCAGAACAAATAGCAACACCCTTATCAGGCTTAACAAGAGGTGTGAAGAAAGATCTCACTACACACAATTGAGGATTACTAATAGTCTTGTCGTCTGTCTTTTTGGTTGCGAAACGTTTGCAGAATGAAATGTCAAAGCCCTTTTCAGCCTCTGACAAATCTCCACCATTTCCATGGTAACATTCATGAACCTTTTGCCATTTGACAGCACCATCCTTCAAATTAATGGCTATCAGTTGAACATCAACACGTTGTTGAATAGTGAGGAATCTACGTTGATCAATAACTTGTCTAGAAAAGACCATTATTCTTGATTCTTCATTAGTATTCAAAAGAGGAGAAGAAATGGAATGTTGAATATGTGAAAATTCAAACATGAATTGAGCATCCTTCTTCCATGAGAATGGTTGACTCCACTTGAGTTGGAAAGTTCCTTCTTGAACTGATTTTTGAGATTGAACAAATTCATAGAATGAAATTGTTTTTTCGTCCTTTTGAATGGAAATGAAACCGTCCAATCTTGGAATACCTGGCTTGGTTTCGTTTGTTTGCTTTTCAACAATGATAATTCTATCATGTGAAACACCAGTCAATAATTGATCAATGTGGAGAATTCTACCAATATCTGGTTGAATAATTGCCCATTCATTCTTTTCACCAACAAGGAAGTGCCAATCAGTGATATCCTTGAACAATAAAGTCTTGGTCTTATTTTTGGTAGTGCTGTAGGAATTGGTTTGTGGAATTTCACAAAGTTTCTTAATACTAATAATATGAGTTCTCTTTCCTTCTCTATTAACAATTCTCATTTCACCTTCAAATTCATTTACAATACAGAAAACTGGAGATTTCTTTGGTCTGAACATCATTTGTCTATCTCTTGATTGTCCAGAAGCAGAAACACTAACTGTTAAAGTGTTACCATCAAAAATATATAACTTTGGCTTTTCAATAAATCCATATGAAGTACTTCTGCTACTGCTACTATTACTTGTCTTGAAACTTTGTGTTCCAGAAGTAGTAGTGGTAATGTCACTACTTGTAACAGGTGACAAGACAACATGTTGAGTATCGAGTGGATTTGTGAAAATGGTACTGATAGTGTGTGGAACTTGTGAATTAGTTGGAGTGGAATCATTTACACTTGGTGATAGACCAGGAATTGAAATGGTTCTTGTTCCTCTTGATTCACCAACTTGTTTAGTTTGTTCATCAGTCCAAATACTTGTCTGTTTGGAGAAATCAATGCTCTTATCACGTACAATATTCTCACCAATTAAAACACAAATACCATCAAAGAAATCTTGTTTTCTATTATTTCCATTAACTTCAGTGAATGAAGAAACGCAAGAAACACGTTCTCTCTTTTCATTAATCATGTGAAATTTAGTAATTGGATCATTAACAATCAAATTGACCTTTAAACCATTCTTCTTATTAAAACAAATAACTTGTTGTGGAAGTTGAACAATGATACTATTCTCAGTTTGTGTGAAAGCATTAATAAATAAATAATTCACACGTCTACTTGATGGCAATTTCTCATCAATTAGCTCACTCCACCTAACACACAAACCCAACAAATCAAAACAACCCAAAATGTTACCATACATGATATACACATAATGTCCATCATATAAATATAAACAACTGTAATTTGTATATTGATAGGACAAATCAGGAGAGTCATTATAAGCTGTCAATGGATACAAATGTGTAACTTCATCTCCACACAATCCCTTAGGAACTGGAGTTGCAGAAGTTCCAACCAAATTTGAATTATTTCCTCCTGTGGCACTACCAATAGAATTGCTAGAATTACCTCCTACATTTGGAGTAGTAGCAGTAGTATTAGTAGAAGAAGAAGTATTAGAAGAAGTATTCTTCAATGGAGTACTTGGTGAATTTGGTTGTTGAAGTTGCAATTGTTGTTGAGAAGACAAGGATGATGAAGAATTGCTTGCTGGAAGAGAACCACCTTGTTGTAAAGCAAGTGCAGCAGTAGAGAGGACAATATTTGGTTGTTGAGATGAAGACAATTGTGAAGAGGATGAGGAAGCACTTCCACCACTTGTCTTACTGTCAGTAGTATTCAATGATTTTTGAATGACAGGTTCAGTATTTTGATATTGTGCAGGAATATGTGTATACAGAATAGTTACTCGTCTATTTTCTCTATTATAAGAATTTGATGTTGTTGTTGTATTAGAATTTGTATTTCCATAATGTCTAGAATAAATAGTTTCAAAAACAGACTTTCTAATAATTTCACGATCATTAAAATCAAATATACGTGCTCCTGTTGATGCGTCAAATAGAATATTATTGAATAAACAGCAACGATTTGGTGTGTGAAGAACTTGATATTGGAAACGCAAAGATTCCAAACAAAATGATGAAGAAACATGTAAAAGTGAATTGTTAATTTCATCATAGGTTAGGAATGGGAAAATATGTGGAAGGAGAAGTGAGAGTGCTTCTCCTTTATTGTTGGTGGTGGAAGAAGACATTTTTTTAATAATAAAAAATAAAATTTAAACACTTGATGGTTGACATGTTAGAGGTCACTTTTTAACACTGAAAATGTGAATGATGGGTTGTTGTGAGCAAATTCTCTCTCAATAGGATATTATCTGAGAAGACTATTAAATTCCTTAGTAATTAATAAATATAAAACTTTGATGATTTTTATTGTCTTGAACATTGTGGATATTGTGAATTTCTAGAACTTGAAACAATCATAGCTGCTGTTAATCCTCTTTCATATTCACTGATAACACTGGAAAAGACATCTTTGAAATTTTCATAGTTGGCATCTTTGAGATATGACACAATATCAACATCATCAATGGTTCTGACAAAGTCTTGTGAGTAGCTTGCTGGTGCAGTGAGAGAAAGTCCACGAATCATTCCAAACCACGAATATTCTGATTCCAAATCATTTTCAATTGCTGCCTTGTATTGATTTTTGATGTCGTTAAAGAAATTTTCATCCAATTCTTTCTTGAGTGATGAAATCCAAAATTCTACACTTCTTTGAATGTTGAGAATATCCTGACTATGGTTTGGATAGTCACCAGTTAAGAACATGGTTGTAGCAAGTCCAAAACCATTCAAAGACAAAGTTGACATTGTTCTAGAGACGGCAAAATATGAAAAACCACCTTGTGAACGAATTACTTCAAAGGAGTAAGCTGAAAGCAAGGCTTGTTGCAAGAGAGCTCTTGAGAGTGATGGGTTGGCAGCATTTGCACCTTTGATTGGATAAATAGCTGTAACTAGAGCCTTTTCTCCAGCATAGGAGTTAACTTCACATGAATAGGTAGAATTAACAAGTGGAGATGTCTTTGGGAATGTTACTTCAAAGTTAGAAGCTTGATTCTTATCATAAAGATCAAAACCGACAATGGTTGGCTTTTGCTTAACTGGAATAGATCCGAACCATGTCTCTAATTGAGGCATAATGTTGTCAATAGAGACATCACCAACGATATTAATTTCAAATCTATTGATCAACTTTTCACCATCTTTCATAATTGAGAAGTGTTGGGAAACCCATTCTTGTACTGAGAGTGGATTAAGTTTCTTGAGATCTTCAATAGATGTACCATGGAATCTGTGTTCATCAGGGAATGCAGACTTGAGTACCTTTTGAACAGAGTAAGTATTAAGAGTTGAAACTGATGTGAATTGGTCATCAATTTCGGTGTTAAGTTCTTTTTGGTATTTGGTAATAACCTTTTTCTTAACGTTATTATTGAAAATAGGATTCATAGAAAGTCTCAAAAGAAGAAGCTTGTTCTTGTAATCGGTGCTATCTACTTTACACAAGTAGGAAAGGTAAGATTCTGGATAATTGATACAGGCCTCACTCAATGTTGTACTAATACTGAGCACATCTGCTGAGCAAGAAATTGGAAGACTTGTTGACTCTGGATAGTATGAAACAGTACTTGCAACAAACTTGGTACCACCATTATATCCTTGATTAACAAAAGTACAGGCACCTTTGATATCTGAATTTTCAGTATTTTTACCACCAAGGGCTACAATTTCAATGTATGCAAGACCTTTTTGGTAGGCCATTTTGCTGTCTGACTTCTTAATATTAACTCTAACATCATTACTGAGAGAATAGACATAAAGAGACAAGTCATCCTTCTTTTGAACTAACTTGTATCCAGAAGATGCAGTTGGAAGTGTAATACTTGGAAGAGATGCTGAAAGACTACTAAGCATTGAAAGAGTGCTGGCATCCAAAGTAGTTGAACTACTGCTTTCTGAATTAATAATGGTATTAATAAAGCTTGCAATTTGTTCCTTGGTTGGTCTAAAGGAGGCTGATTTTGGATCAGATTTACCCATAATTATAGAGGCAGACATTTGAGTTGTACGTCTAATGTTTGCATACTTGACAGGCTTATCTTTGGTAATAATATCACTCAGACCTTGAATCAAATATTGGGCATTGGCCTTTACGTGATCAGCTGTTGAACCAAGTGCAAAACTCACTCCCAAGAATTTAGAAAGTGATGCATAATTATCATGCACGTTCAAATATTCAAATTTTGGATCTTCGTTACCAAGTAATTCATAAACGAGGGATGTAGAATCTTGGCTGTTTGCAAAGTAGGTTGGTGCAGAGAAAACATAATCAAGGGCATAGGAAAGGGCGACCAAAAGTGCAGAAGATGGTTCATCTGCAATACTCTTCAATTCTTCAACGCCAATCTTAAAGTCTTCTCTCCAAGTTGACAATTCTGGTTGTGGGCCTGGAGTCATAATTGAACAAATACCAATCTTTGATCCAAAAGCAAATTCGTTTGTGAAACTACATCCGGCCATTCTAATTGTGAGATCAAGGTCTGGATATTGCATTGTCATCTTGGTCATTACCTGTAAGGCATAGAGAACTTGGAATGTGAGATCACCAACTTGTCTTCTATAAAAGTTATAATCACGAGGATAACTTTGATATTCGCTTGTAGTGATCAAATTGAAGAAGATTCCATTGAGTCCATTAACTTCCTCAATTTGAATTAAAGGTTCTACTGGAGTTGCAAATCCAATTTTAGCCTCTTCTGGTTTGTTTTCAACTGTTGAAACCTTTGAGGACCAATATTCTTTTACCATCTTTTCCAATTCGTCCAATTCAAAATCGCCAACAATATATAATTTCATATTGCTAAGCTTGTACCATTTGTCGTAATATTTCTTGAGATCATTAACAGTCCAACTTCTAATAACATCAGTCTTTCCGATTGGGAATCTCTTTCCAATAGTAAAGGTACTACCTCCGTGATTTTCAAATGTTCTAGTGAGAGCATGATAATAACTATTGTTGGCCCTTCTGGCTTCTCCAAGAACAGCTCCCTTCTCAGTTTCCACGTATTCTGCTACATATTCACTTTGTTGAACTTGTGCAAAGAAAATATCCATAATATCTTCAAAGCTTTCCTTGGTATCGTCAATCTTATTTTCCAATAATTCGTAAACAGTACTTCTAAAACTAGTGAAAGCATTAAAACCTCCAACATTGCTGTTTTCAATTTTTCTCCAAACACCACCTCTACCTTTGAATGACTTGGAATTATCAAATGCCATATGTTCAACCATGTGACTGATACCTTGTTCGCTTTCTTCTTCATTCACCGAACCAGTATAAACATGTAACAAGGCACTAAATCTCTTCTTATTAAAAGTATTCTTCATCAAAACATATCCAAGTCCATTTTGGGAAATTACACCCTTTCTAATATTCTCAGCACTGGTAGCACCGGATGTTTTCGATTCGGATACTTTGGCTTGATAATTTGTGGTAATTTGTGGTGCAAGAACCATTAATCCGAACAAGTAAACAATAAGTAGTAAAATAATACCGATTGGGATACAACAACAACAACAAGTACAACAAGTTATGATCGAATTTGACACTTTTCTCTTGTTAATCAATGGTTGTCTTGAACGTTGTCTATCATCTGCAGTATACAAATAATTTGCATCATCCATTACTCGATTTTCATAATATTGATTAGTCGATCCTGTTTCACTTCTTTCCAAAGAAGGTCTATTCAATTCTCTCATCTCCAAATTTTCTAATTGATGAGTATTCTCTTCATCGTCACTGGCGTGTATTGCATCATTGGCAGAACCCTCATCGTGGTGATGGTCCGAAGGTTGACGATGATCATCACTCATTTTTTATTTTTATTATTTTTTTTAAAATTGAAACAAATTGGAAGACTTTTTACTTGATTGTGCAGGATGACTTTTTAGTATGTTTGGTTTTGATTTTCATCTTGGGTTCTTTTGTAAGTTGTATGCATCCTGTTACCAATTGAGAAGAAGAGTACCAGAGGATTAAATTGGATGTCAGTAAGGCAAAGATCTTACTAAACAGAAGGGAATTTGTGATAAACAAATGAAATTTTACTTGTTCTACAAAAACTCTCCCTTGTTTAGATTGGTTACCAATTTTAAATGTTCGATCTTTACAGATCGTTTTCAGATGAATTTTTTTGTAAAATTGATACATTAATTAATTCCAACAAGTATTACAATAAAGCTTGATCAAACTATTGAAATTTGAGCTTAGAGAAACAACGGAAGAATGCGTAAACACCACATAGTCCTCAATAATTTTATCCACTTGCATGGAATTTCCCATATTCTCACAGTTCGGAAGCACTTTTCACAAGATTTTTTATTCCACCATTCCAATTCTGAATATCTCATCACAGTATAAAATCAAGTTTTCACAATAGTCTGTTTGATCAATTACAACAAATCAAAAAAAAATGTCAACTGTTCTTGTTCTTGGAGCCAATGGTTATATTGGATTGGGTGTTTCACAAGCATTGCAAAGAAATGGATTCTCAGTTCATGGAGTCATTAGATCAGAAAAACATGAAAAGTTATTGTGGCAAAGTGAGATTACACCACTGATCATTTCCAAAGCCGAAACTTTGTTTACTGAAGAAAAGTTTGGTAAAATTTTGGAAAAGACAAGTGTTATTATAGATTGTATTGGGTTGACTGAAGAAACTGACAAGTTTGTTCAATTGTTGAAAGACCATTCTGCTGAGAGATTGAAGAAGAAACTTGGAAGATTGTTATTCGTATTTACAAGTGGAATAATGACCTATGGAAATGCTTCAAGTGAAACATTTTTGGATGAGAATGTGAGACCAGAGCCAACTCATTCATGGACTGAGAAGAGAAAAAATTTCGAATTTGAATTGGTGAATGGAGAGTTTAATTATTTGGATACTTGTGTGATTCGTCCTGGTTTCGTTTATGGAAAGAGTGGTGGTGGAATTTTCACTGATTATTTCAATCCAAAGATTACTCAAGATGGTAAACTATCAATTGCTGGATCACCAAAGAAGAGATGGAGTTGGGTTCATGTTGATGACTTGGGAGAAGCTTATTCGAAAGTTGTACAAGTAGGAAGAAAGTTAGTTTCTGGTCAATTATTCAATATTGCAAATCCAAATGATTACCCAACCTATGATCGTGTTAGAATTGAGATTGCAAAGCAAACAGGATGGAAACCAACCACTGAGAATGAAGCAGACTCACTTCTTATCGAGCCAGTCCCACAAGATAATGCAGGTTTAGTTATTTTTGAGAATACTGTCATGATTAATCCAAGAAAGGCAATTGAAGTGTTGGGTTGGGAACCTAAACACTTGAATTTCATTGAAAAGATTCATTTATACTATCAATCTTGGAAGAATTTGCAATAATTAATTTGAAACCTTTCCAATAAACAATCTTTACATGATGCTAATCCTAAATTGGAATAAATCTCTAGTTAAATCTCTAGTATGTAATTTTGTGAACTTCCAAATCTTCTACTAAAAAGTTAGTATTACCAAAGTATCGTGTATTCGAATTGGGTAATTTACATTCCTCTAGAATATAGCATTCAGTTTGGTGTGAACCAGATGAAATTTGACAATTGGCATTAGGACACACCCAAAAGCAATATCCAAATGCAAACAAGTAAGGAGCATCAGACTCTTCATATCTGTAGAGTGCATGATCTCTATAGACTGGTTGTAATCTGAACGCATAAAACTTGTCATTCTCAAATCTGAACGTGAATAACTCATCATCATTAACATTTCTATCTCCGTCAAGTCTCAAATTCTTAGTAGTATATCCTCCAAATAAATCTCCAGCTTTTGATTTTACAATAATCACAACTTTGAAATGATCATCACAATATTTATGAAAACTCTTTAAAGAAAATCCATCCCTGCTGGCTCTGTAGAGTAATTGTGGAGGTTTGAATGTATTCAATTCCTTCCCTCTAAATAATTGATGAAATTGATGGTAATTTAATAATTTACTATTGTTTTTGGAAATGGTTCGGTAAAAGTTTGTTAATTTTGCTGATCCAAAGTGATGATCCAATTTAATAATAATTGATTCTCCTTCGTATTCTTCCTTCAATTCATCCTCCATCACATGGTTGACTATACTCATTTTTTTTTAATATTTTAATTTTAGAAATAAAGTTTAAAGTTCCTCTTTCAATTTTGAAGTACTATTTATTCACAATTAGATCTATTTGGACCAGATGAACTTAGAAGTCGTTTCCTCCACAAATTATCCTTAATATTATCGGTCAGGAATTTCTTCTTTTCCTCATTAATGACATCCAAACTCATTTCCAATAAATAGAAAATCATTGCATCTAATGTACCATCATTATATATCAGAGAAACCAGTTTTTTCACTTCCTCACCATGTCCTTCTTTGTAGAGAATGGTACATGCCTCAAAAAAGTTATGAGATTTGCTATTGTCCGACATAAATTTGTGAAATGATTTCATTACTGGAATTATATCTTCAATTTCCAAGTCAAGGAGAATTTGAGAGAGTGGTGTGCAAATTTCAGAAACTTTGGACACGAGATGAATTTTCTTGTTGCTGGGAGATGGAAATTCAGAAATGGAGAGTTTCAATAATTCAAGTTTAAGCTCTGGTAAGATGAGAAAATCTGCCAAATTTGTCAAATCTTTTCTCAAACTATCGTTGCACTTGTCAAGTTCTTCATTGTGAAAGAATTTTTTCAATTGTTTCATGGATTTGGAGTTAAATCCAGTTCGTAAGTTTGAGTTGGCCACTTGGTAAAATAAAAGTGGATTCTTCTAAGAAATTCCCAGAAATGAAAGCTTTCAAAACTGGTCCTTTCAATAATTCCTTTCGAATAAATATTTTGCTAGTGGTTAAAATTATGAAGGAATTGGAAGAAACACTTTACAATGAAAATAGCCAATCGAATGTTGGAACGATTTTGCACAGGTTTGAAGGGCAAAATCGTTCTATTTTTAAAAATAAAAAAAATGCACCAGATTACATTCTCTTCGAGCGTAGAGGACACTGATTGTGGTGACTATGATTCATACTCTGACAACTCCAACAGATCACAAGACTATGATTACTACGAAGATTATGAAAGTGATTCATGTGGAGAGATCTACGAAACTAATTTTAAAGATATTGAAGAAATTACTGTCAGTTCCATTTGTCCAAGATGTAGAAAATCTATTGGTCTTGTTGCTTATTTACAAGATTATTATGAAGAAGGTGAAAGAGAAATGGGTTATGATATGGCCTTTGAATATGATGTTGGGGGTGGTTGTTGTGATAGTTGTAATAGTGAGGTTGAGCCTGAGGATTCATCATTAACAATCTACTCTTATGTGAGTGGTGGTACATTGCTGGAGGATTGTGATTTTCCAGAAGTTTCTGTGAAATTAATAGAATATTACATTAGTGATGAAGATGATGAAGATTATGATGAGGATGAAGAAGATGAAGATGATGACACTACATTCGATATAGCTCCAGCCATTTGTTTACCTTTTCAAGGAAAAGGAGATTGTGTTGTTGTTAGATACAAGAACTTAACTTTAGGAATTGATACTGGATATTCAAAATACTTCACCAACATTCCAAAACAATTCAACTTCTCAAAGTCCAATCATTCTTATTTAATTGTTACACATGCCGATAGTGATCATTCTGCTGCAGTAGACAAGTTTATAGAAAAAGCCAAACGAACTCCCCACTTGCTGTTCACAGATGCTAGAAAACAAGATTCTTTCAACATAGCAACAGTTCAAGATATTTCAAAAACAATTGCTTATCATTACAATGACCTAACAGTTACAAGCTATTTGCCACCTGGTAACAATACAAACGATCGCTCCATAATCAACATCATAAACTGGAGGGGAAAGAAATTGGTTTTTGCTGGAGACCAACAATATTCAACAATACTGAAAGTATTGGCTGCGAAAGGGATTGAAAGTGTATATTTATTCCATATCCCTCATCATGGTTCTAAGCATAATTGGGACTGTGACGTCTTAATACCAGCCAAAAATTATCTTGTAACTGGCTATCCAACAACCAAATACCCTGAGTTTAATAGTGACTCTCATTTCCAAGTTGTGAGAGGTGTTTGTGAGATGTTGTTGCTACATAAGAATTTTGGAGAAGTTATCATTTATTTTACTAACTGTCGTTTAACTGTTGAGGATTGGTGTCGTATTCAAAATAACGAACGTTACGCTACGGTGAAAAGGTTTGTTCGTATTGTTACAACCAACAACCATCAACAAACTTTCAGTATTTTGTAATTTTAATAAATATATTATTAGTCTATCAATAAAAGCTTTCAATTCAAATTTAGACTTGATCACAAGAAATTCCAAAAATCTTGAATCAATATCTTATAAATCTGAAATTGTTCAACAATCCAAAATATCAGTTTGTTCTTATTTTTTCAAATTGATGTTCAGATTGGATAATTTTGTGGGAATCGAAAATAAATCTCAGAAGCAATCAATATGTTCTTGAAATGCTAGAGTGTATAATCATCCAATACTTATTTCACATCTTACTGCTCAATTCAAATACGATAGTAGGAAATAATTCTTCAAAGTATGCCAATAAGGGGTTTCAAACTGGTTTTTTAATGTTGAGTTTGTTGGGTTGGGTTTTCAGTCAATTCTGCCAATTCGTTTTCAAGTTGAATAACCTTGAGTTCGTGTTGGATAAACATGAATTGTTCATCAATGTTAGCAAATTTGTTTCTTTCTCTGCTATCCAAAACTTTGAGTAAATCCAATTTGATGAGCTTTGGTGTACTGTCACTCTTAGAGAGGTTTTGAATCTGAGTCATAATTCCATCCATGAGTGTTTTAGTATTTGGTGAGTCAATACTGCAGCCAACTTCTAAAAGGAATTCACAGACAAGTTTGAGATTCAGCTCTGTAGGATTTTGTAATAAAGAAGAAATAATTAAAAATGCAATCTTTCTATCTAAAACATGATAAGAAATCAACTTGGCAACAAGTTTCAATGTGTTGGATTTCTTCTGGAAAGATTTAAACTCTTCTTCTAATTCCTTTTCCTTATTTTGAACAATGAATTCTTCCTTAAATAATTGCTGACACTTGGTAGCAATCTTCTTCTTGATTGAGACGATCACATCTTGGGGAAGTCTAGATACATTCTCTTCGAGTTGCTCATAGAATAAACTTGCAATAGTTCCAGCAATGCCTCGATACAAAACCTTCTCTATCAAGATGTCAACCCACAAACTTTGCATATTTTCAGAATTCTTAAAGAATGAAAAGTTCTTTAACAACTTGTGTCTAGTATTTTCATAAATTTCTGGAGTGAGTCTGGTGGAAGCATAAACCTTGTCATAACTGGATAAGAGTTTGGACAACAAGATTTTGATAAATTCAATAGTTTCCTGTTCTGTTCTGTGTTTCTTTCTCTCGTTTTGTGGCTTATGTTGCTTGATATTTCTTCTTTCGTACTTTCTATCATTTTGAAATGTTTCCGATTGACCTTGTTGTGCTGGTTGAGATACTGGTTTGGTTTCACTCTTTCCTGATACTGGTCGTTGATTAGTGTTAGCAGTACTGTTTGTTGGAGTTGCTGTAGTTGTTGTGGTAGTAACATGTTGTACAGGAGGAGCATTAGTGACACTTGTTGTTGAAGATCCTGTTGTTGGAGTGTTTTCAGTAATGGTTGTTGTGGCAGGTTTTGAAGATGTTGCACTAGGCTTAATTGGTGAAGTTGTAGATGGTGGTGATTGATGATGATCCTTAAGGTGAGCAACATTTCTCTTGTGGTGATGCTTGTTGCTTGGATGGCTCTTTTCTGTTAGTTATTTGAATATTAATGATCAATATTATTTAACAATTAATACAAAATAAATAATTTGATCAATTATTAAAACCTACCCGATGATGCATCTGTTGCTGATACAGCAGTAGTTGTTGTTGCCGATTGTGTTGGTGTTGTATTACTTGTTGATGGTGTTGTTGTTTTTGTGGCAGTGGTAGTACTACTTTGAGCCGATGATGATGGTTTAGACAGGGATTTCATGTATTGTTCATACTCCCTTTGAAATTTATCTTCATCATAATCATCATCAATGACTCCATCATCATCCCAATCACCATCATCGTCTTTAACATCGACCCATTCCTCTTCGAACTTTTTACTCATTTTTTTGTGTGCTTAACAACGTCAACAGCAGAACGTGAGTTGGGAATTCTAAAATATTGACTCTTGAGTTGTAGGTTTACGATCTTGTCAGCAACATTTAAAAACTCAATATGACATTTTTTTAATTAGGATATGGCGCCAATTTAAAACTACAATTTTTATCAATTTTGGCGCCACAATACAATGGAAAAAATAATTGAAATTAAGGGTGCTGTCATCAGCTCACCAATTTTTGATACTCAAGGAGGTTTATGTTTCTCTTCAATAAATACTGGAGATGTTTATTTAGTGCCGCAAGGAGGAGAATCGGATCAGACAATTCATTTGACAAATACAAAAGGCTCACCAACGGGAGTTGCTTTTAACTATGTTGATGGAAGTATTCTTGTTGCTGATTCAGCAAATCAGGCAATTTTAAAAGTAAATCCCGAGAATAATAATCAAGTTCAAATAATAAGAGGTGATTTTAGAGGAAAGCCATTTATTGGACCAAATAATGTAATTGTAGATTCTAAAGGAATGATGTATTTTTCAGATAGTGGACCATTAGGTGAAACATCTATTGAGAATCCAAAGGGATCGGTTTATTGTCTTAGTACGGATGGAAAGATTTTGAAATCACTTGCTTATGAATGTTTGGCATATCCTAGTGGCCTTGCATTTTCACCTCATTCAGAAGATGTAATTTATGTGGCAGAGACAATGAAAAATCGTATCTTGAGATTTACCCATATTAATGGAGCATTCTATTGCTCTGTTTTTCAACAATTGAGTGGAGGATTTGGACCAACTGGAATATGTGTTGATGATGAAGGAAATATCTATGTAGCAATGTACGAATTCAAACAAGTTTCTACTGAAGGAAGAATTCTTGTACTGAGTGAGGCTGGAGTTTTAAAGAAGGAAATTATCCTTGAGAATATTAGTGAAATTACTGGAATAACCTACAAGAGAGGATTTTTATACATTACAGAAGGCAACAGTGTTTACAAGTATGAATTGGATTAAATTTCAAAAAAAAATATTTAATTACATATTATACAAGAATAAAGTTTAACACTTATTAACATTGTAACCCAAAGGTTGTTTGAGGACAGTTTCTCTAAAACCAAAGGCATTGAAATATCCTTCAATATCAAAGGCAGCACATCCTTCACCCTTAATATCAAATCTAATGTTTCTAACTTGAACACAGAAACCAATATCTAACAAGAAATCCAAACAAATTGGATCAAGATTAACAAGTCCCATATCAAACTCCTTATCAAAGAGAGTTTTACCTCCAGTTTCAACCTTAAGTTGAACCTTTTGTCTAGTCAAATAAGCGACCATAGTAACAGTTCCAGAAACTTTGATCTTCTTGAGAACCAATTTCTTCTCATATGAAACATCACAAATAAAAGTCTTGGTAAGCAAATCAGTATTAACAAATCTACAAGTAGCTCCGGCACCTCTAACATTTCCTCTCAATTTACCAATAAGTTGACGGGCCATTTCTTCTTCAGAAAAAGCAGCAGGGGCAACAGTGAGTGAAGCCTTTTCCTCAGCTCCACAAACAACACCAATCATCAAACAAGCCAACAAGGCAACCAACAACAGATAAGCTCTCATTTTTTTAATAAGATTTCGTTAGCACTACTGCGCTCCTTGATAAAATTAAGCTGGCGTTGTTTTTAATTGGTGGGGTGATAATTGCCTGATAACAAGCAAAGATTTGCTCCACCTGTTTGTAAGACCGTACTGTGTAGTAAAGTTTTTTAGTTGTTTTATCAAAGTTAAAGTACTTTCAAATGGTTTAGTTGACTATTTGTGCTTGCAAAACCATTCTAATGGATAGTGGCGCCAAAATCCAGTTCTAGCAAACATTCGAACGTTAAAAAAAATATTTGAACAAAAAAATGAAGAAACGAAAACAATCAACCTTGTTCTCGGCAAATCAATCGACAACACCCAATAAGAAGAAGAATAAATCCATTACTTCTCAATCCCCTGCCTTTGATAATGTTGTGGTTGATCTGATTGATAGTAGCGATGATGATGAAGAAGAAATTGTTTCACCTTCTCCTCCGATGAGAACAAATCAAATCATTGAAATTATGGATGAGAATGATGAGAGATGTAAATTTACAATTCATATTGAAAATAAGACCATTCAGAGTATTAAATTGGATACCAGCAAGGCAAAGATTGTAAAACAGAAAACCATTACAAACTATTTTAAAAAATCAGTCAAGTTGGAAAAGTCAACTTTTAATTCATATCTTGTGGAGGCTCCTTCTAAGGATTGGTTTGAAAAGAGGAGGAATGTTTTGGAAATAAGGGATGTGGAATCTAATTTTAAGAGTACTGATGGTGGTCCACTAGTACCAGTTTTTCAAGTCATTGGAAATAACAGCTCAACTGTGAATATTAGATCGAGTGATAGAAAGTTGACATTTAAATTGGATACTCTGATTGAATGTGGTGATAATTCAATTTATCATCATGTAACTGTGCCAATCCAAAATAAGAAGACACACTCTGTTTGTGTTTCGAATAATTTATCCAATAATAGTGAGAAGAAGATAATACCAAAATTATCCCTTTCTTTCCTTAAATCACTGCTCCAGAAGAATACTCGTTTGGGGAGAGCAGAATCGTGCGTCAGAATAGCATCCCTCATGATTTACAAATATTCATTCTTGGAATTTCTGAGAAGGATACAGATTATCATTGTGGAAGATTGTCTAATGCATCCGTGTGCTCATTTGATTACTTGGTTAATGATTAATTATGGAAGTAAGGAAGCAACTACACCACAATTGGATAATAACTTTTCCACAGCAATTATACCAAAGATATTTATTGATGCATGTTTACAAATTGTTTATGATATTGCCAAGGTAAATTATAGAGAGGATTTGTCAAATTGTGAAATGTTTATTTCACAAGATGAAATGAATGCCTTGTTTGGAAGCAAATCTGCTCAATTTTCAGAATTTGAAGAAGATTTGTGTAGATCCCTATTTATTAGATCATGTTTTGGAGGAATGAAGGGTGATATTGTACTTTTACATAGTCAATGCAGTCTATGGCTTTACAGGTTTTCAAATAGAGTTTCTCAGCCACCAAATGAGAATTCAAAAGAATACAACATACCTGAAATATTCCAAAGCATGCTTAATCCTGCAATTGAATATGGTTCACCATGGTTCAAGTATTTATGTTCGTTGTACTATTCAGAGAAGAGAGATTTGAACTTTCTTGTATCCTTCCTAAAATCAAAACCTAGTGTGGATTTGTTATGTGAGGATATTGTACTTTCAGCCGTTGATTTTCATTGCTTTCCAGTTCTATTAGGGAAGTGTTTGGAAAAATTTAGAGAGCTATCCCCAAATTCTGATATACAAGACCAACTATTAATGGATGCCCTTAAAAAGATTATTTGGCATAAGGCATCAAAGCTCAACATTCGAACATTTATTGCAACCCTTCCAAAGGAAGAACCGTTCGAAGATACTGATTGGTATTCAATGGAATGGGATAAATCTCTTGATCCATTTGAGGAGGAAATTTTCCAAGTGATAGAACCTCATTTAAGGGAGATAGAGGCTGATACATTCAGACAGCAATGTTTATAAATTTATTATAAACTGATAACTCACACAAAATATATATTCAGTAATTTTACATGTTGATCTTTTGTCTGATTGGAATGACATGGTTAGCAATAGTGAGACCAATAAAAATGGCCACACCAACCAAGAACACATCCAAGAAGAAATTCATTCCAGCCTGAGTATTATTGGTATAAATCAAAGAGGCCATACCTCTATATGACATACTACCTGGACTAAGCATTAACACAGCAACCCCAGCAACTAAAACAGGGGGACAGTGAGTAAAAATAGTAAAAATATTTGCCATTAAACCAACTGCAACAGCTGCAAGTACTGTAGAAATTTCAATTTTAAGGAATGAAAGAGAAAAATTCAACAGGTGAGCAGTTAAACTAGTTCCTAAAACAGCAACAATAACCTTTGGATCAGAAGGAACTTTTCTTGAAATCATTGTTGCTAAACTCAATGACAATACAACAATAATTCTCAACCAAATAGGAATTGCTAATCTTTCTATATCCTTATCCTCACTTTCTGATAGTAGTGGAATTTGATTAACAATACCTGCTGTAAATATGAGGCCAAATCCTAATTTCAAAATAATACTGAAAGCATTGGTAAGTCTTATTACTCCTGCTAGAGAGGCACCTATCGAAATTTCAGATAAGGCCACTGTAATGATTGACCCGGGTAAGAACTGATACGATGTGCACAAACTAGTTAAATTGTAAGAATATTAATCGATAATGCTAAAACTTACGTAATCAATGAAACTGAAATATAATACTTGTCGAACAAGACCCATTTCATGAAAATACCAACCAATCCACCAATCAAACTAGCAACAGCTGGAATAATCGTCGAGAATATTGGCATTCTCGAGAAGAAAAAGTTAACAACACCAATAATTAATCCAATGAGAAGACAAGTAAACACCTCAGGTAAAGTTCCCTTCCATAATAATACAAACAATCCAGGTGTTAAAAAGTGGAAGAATAAATTAATCATTGGATGGGAATAAATAACTGGTTCTTGAATGATCTTATTGATCTCAGCTTGAGCTTCATCAATTGTGAAATGTCCATGAGAAATATCACTGGCAACTTTATCAAGCTTTGCCAATTTATCCATATTTACAGTTTGTCCTTCTAATTTGATAAAATAAGTAAACATATTGTCATTCGATTCTTTTGGTCTATGTCCTAATCCAATCCAAATTCCATTAGTATTTACAGAAAAGTATGCATCTATACCGTAATACGACGAAATTAAAGTAAGGTGGTATTCCACTTTGTAAGAACTCAATCCATATATTGAGAGAGCGTACGCCAGATCTTGAAACTTGTCAAAAAATTATCCAAACAGAAAACATACCAATAAGCAATGAGTGTACCTTCTTTCTATCGTCTGTCGATAAATCCTTATATAAAACTCTTGATTGATTCTTTTCTGATTGTCCTGTGAAAAAGTATTTGAATGAGCCAATAACTTTTTGTAATTTAGTCTTTGGTTTAGACACAGGCTCCTCCTCTATGGAGGGAATCCTCAGCATTGCTGTATCATTACCATCCTCTCCACTGCAACTAGATTCAGTTTCCACAGATACATCAGCTCCATCTATCAATTCCTCCTCATCACCTCCTGATTGCATTTGCTTTTCCTTTGCCTTGAGTAATTTTCTCTGATACCTAAGAGTGTTTCTGAGCTTTTTGAAATTGTAGGCACGCAAAGTTCTGGTTTGAGACGGAAGTAATACTCTTGGTGTTTCCAGAACAGATGCCAGCTTTTTTGTAGCTCTCTTAATGAAAGATGGTTTTTCTTCCAAGTTTTTCGATGAGAATATCATTGGCATTCGTTCTTTCAATGAGACACCTGTTTTCTTTTCAATTTGTCTTGCAAGATTGTGAGCTGAATTGAACAGAGCACCTATTGCAGAATTTCCTCCATTTGTGAGTTCTTTTTCAGCCAACTTGCGCATATATTCATCCTCCAAAATACTTGGCTGCATAGTTGGATCCAAAACAAGAGATGAAATAGATTCCATTGAATCTGATGGCCTTAATAAATAACCAGGAATGGTTGGCAAAACAATTCCATCAATAGATACTTCCTCCTTTCCAGAAAGTTGCAAAGTTGGTGGGATATGTAACAATCCTTCATCATCCACAGTTGCATCCACAGAAATTGTTTCATCATATGGTTGCAATTCATCCAATTCTACTTGTATAGGGGTTGAAGGTTTACTCTGATTTCGTTTAAGAATGATTGATCCATGTTGTTCACCAGTTTTCGATCCTCCAAAACTGAATTTAGCAGCCGATGATGTCACTGCTTCCTTTTGTAAATTATTGTAATTAGAATTTGGAATATCAACATTTAAATTTGGCTTGCTCCTAAATGATGCAGGTGTAGTAGCCATAGTAAAATGTGATTGATTATTTGCATGATGATTTAAATTATGAATGGTTGGAGAACTACTCTCGGAAGAATCCTTTGAAAGAGCAACACCTTTAATATTCGATCGGGTTGATGTATTAATTGTTGTTTCATCATAGTGAGTTGCTGATGATTCTTCCACTGGTGTAGAGTATGGATTAACAACCTCTTCATAAGTAGATGATGATGATTGTAGAGGATTCGTAAATACCAACAAATTAGCTTCGGAAGTTGCTGAAGACTGAGGATTTTGATGAGTCGTATTATTTGCATGATTAGCATGCTGATGATGATTTGCTTCAAAAACCTGATGTAGCAGAGATGATCCTCCTTTGTTCTTGCTATTCATAGTAGCACTGCCCGTTGTTGGTGTTTTTGTGGGTTGAGCAGAAATAGAGTTTGAGTTTGCGCTCATTTTTTTTGCTTTGATATTTTAAAAAAATAGACGTTGGACGATGAAAACTTTCCAACTATGTATTAATGTACAAAGGTGATGAAATTTGTTGATATTATCATCTTCTACCTCAAGTCAATCGCCTCCCCAATTAACAATGAGCAACAGGTATTGTTTTTACTGTGATAACAACCACACTAATATGGATAACGTGCCGTTTTTGCATCATGGCTCTTGTTTTGGGTGACGAAATTTTTTAAAACAAAAAAATTAACAAATTTTCAATCTTCCACAAAATTTCATCATCACGAGGTGAGAAAAGGAAGCAACAACAACAAGGCTTCTTATTAAATTTATCAGACCAACAACAATAACATCATCTGACAGAATGGCCTCATCACCCGAGATTGTGGAGGTTGTTGATTCATCATCTACAATAGATAATTCTGAACAGAAGAGTTCTCTGATACCATCTACTGACCATAACTCTTGGCTAACACCAGTTTCTATAAATCAACTTCTTCATAAAGCACAACAAGAAAAGGAAGAAGAAGAAAATAAGGAGGAAAATACAGATCCAAAGAAGAAAAAGAAGAAGATTCGTTGGTATCACACTAAATGTTTTATCTATTTTGCTGCTATTATACTTGCCGCTATTTCAATTTTGACCATTATAATTTCATATGTCTTGTTTGTTAGACATAATCACTTGCTTTTTGTTTGTAATTCTGCAGAGTTTATTGTTGTTTCCTTCTTTGAAGTTATTATTTTGATTTGTGCTGCCATTGTTGCTTTTAAACTTAATGAATGGTACAAACAGCATCACTCAGAAGTTGCTGAATCAGATGAGGATTTAAAGTTGAAATATTCGGATAACTTGGCCAGAGACAAGTTGATTATGAAATTCCAAAACACAAGTGTAGTCATTTCACTCTGTTTACTTACAATTTTCACATTAATTTATTTAGCCCTTTTCGTCATCCTTCTTTACGGAATTTCTAAAACAACACCTTCGCTTTCAGGAGTAGAATATTATACACCAATTCAACATGAAACTGTGATAGAAAAGGAAAAGACAAGTGGTGTTTTTCACATTCACGCCAAGACTGACTATGAGTTATTCTTTGCACAAGGTGTAGTCACAGCAAAGGAGAGACTATTCCAAATGGAAATTATGAGAAGAATGGGTCGTGGTACATTGTCTGCTCTGATTGGTGAAGATGCTCTTGAATTGGATAAGTGGAGCAGAACTCTAGGCCTTTTGAGAAATTCCAAAAATCATCTTCAAGATTTGGATTATCGTGCTAATTTAACTCTTACTGCTTTCTTTGATGGTGTAAATTCCTATTTGAAAACTAATCCTAAAATGCCACCAGAATATTGGTTAATATTTAACAAGAAGACAATTCACAAGTTTGAGGTTGTTGATGCTCTCGTATTTTGGAAATTAGCTGCTTTGGATATTTCTACAAACATTTTTATGGAAAAAGTAAGATTTAATTCTTTAAGAAAGAACAATACTCTTGCTCATACTATGGAATTTTATCCAACCTATCCAAGAAGTTGGCCTGAACAATTCAAAAAGACTGATTTGAACATTCAAGCTACTCAAGAGGAGATTGATGCTCTTGAAGAAAGATTTACCAACAACTTTGGAGCCTTTATGCCAAAGAATGAACAAAGTGACAATGATAATAACAATGATGGAGATGGTGATATTGTTCCTGAAGACCCAGAAGATCCAATCGTACAAGAAGGATTCACTAGAAAATTGAGAAAGATTAAGAAAAATCATCCGGCCGTCTATAATTCAATTGAATCATTCTTCAATAAGAAATCACACGAATCATACTTTGCTTCCAATGCTTGGGCAGTCCATGGATCAAAAACAAAGAATGGAAAACCAATATTGGCCAACGATCCACACATGAAATTAACTGCTCCACTTCCGTTCATTATGTTCCACTTGGTTTCAGAAGAAAGTGGTTTAGATACCATTGGTGCTACCTATCCACTCATTCCTGGTATTGTTATCGGAAGAAACAAGAATAGTTCATGGGCTATTACTTCATCAGGATCTGACGTTCAGGATTTATTTGTATTGGATCAAATTAGTGACTCAACCTATGTTGTCAATGGAACAGAACATGACTATGTAACACATCAAGAGGAAATTCACTTTGATAATACTCAAAGTGTTACCATTCACGTTAAGGATAGCATTTATGGACCTGTTGTTAATACTCTTTTGGGATGGGAAGATATTCAAGAAGTTGTTGCTTTGAGCTGGACTGGTATTAAGGATAATGATACCAGTTTGAATGCTGTTATTGGAATCATGTACCAAAATAATTGGCCTCAATTCCATGAAAATATGAGACATTTGGTTTCTCCTCCTATGAATTATATTTATACTGATGCTGAAAATATTTGCTCACTCGTTGCTGGAATGGTTCCAATCAGAAAGTATGGACATACTGGATTGTTCCCAGTTTCTGGAAATGGTACCTTTGATTATGAAGGTTATGTTCCATATGAAAAGATGCCATATGTATGCAACCCAGAGAGAAAGTTTGTTGTTGCTGCCAATGCAAGAATTGAACCACCAGGATATCCATATTATCTTGGTGCTGATGTAGGTACAAAGTACAGACTGGAAAGAATCGAGGATTTATTAAGTTCAAACAAGACCTTCAATATTACAAATATGGTCGACATTCAATTAGATACCTATTCTAAACTCTTCTTTGATTTGAAGCCATTTATCTCCAAGTTGAAAAATACTAGTTTAACATTCCAAGAAGAAGTTATCAGAAAAGATTTGGAAAAGTGGGACGGCTATCTTATTCTTGGATCTAAACAAGCAAGTCTTTTCGAAATGTTCCACACCAAACTTTGGAATATGTCTTATGCTGATTTGGGTGTTGAAAATTCAAATATTATTTACATTAAGAATGCTCTCAACAAAACAGGACGATGCTCTCCAAATCTTCCAAAGACTTGTATGTCATATGCAGTATCTGCATTCAAACAGTCTATTGCTGATTTGAAGGTACTCTCCAAGAGTACAGAGATTCCTTCTTGGGGTGTTGGTATTCACTCAACTACATATTTCCATCCAGTTTTCCACTCATATGCATTCTCTTGTGCATGCGACAAACGTCACTATGTTCCTGGTGGAACAGACACAATCAACTTTTCTCGTGTTACTGAGACCAATTTAGATTCTTCACATGGTGTTGCTTTCAGACAAATAACTTCTATGAGTGATGCTGATGGTGATTTATTTATTACTCCTCTTGGGCAAAGTGCTAACTGGTTAGACTATGACTATCACTCTAATTTGCAAATATTTGCTGAGGGAAGATATCACTCACTTAAACGAAAGAATTACAAGGTAACTTCAACACTTACTTTGAAACCTAAGGTCTCCCAATAAATCGACTGATTAGTTGTGAATTAATGGTATTGTTGATTGGTAAACCCAATCAATTTTATTGTAAAAGTTCCACAACAATCAGAATAAAAAAAATGAAGCGAAATCTACTTCGTTCTTCTCATGTGAGAAATAAGATCAAAACACATGCCAACAAGATTACACTTACCCGTCCAAACATATCACAGAAAATATCTCTCCAATCAGAATCCTACAATTTGTCCCCAAATGTTCGTTCCATCAGCTCCACGATCACACATGGTAACCCCTTGTTGAAACAGTCAATCAATGTTAATGATATTGGCTCAACTAATACTGCCAACATCAATAGAACATTCTCAACTAATATATTGGTCATGCAAAATAATGACACAACCAAGACAGATGCCTTCTCCAATTTGATGGACAATCTCTTTGTGAAAGTTAAACGACACGATGTATCTGAGCATGATAGGACATTTGCCAAGTTTTATGATTTGGATAGTGATGAATATGGATATGTGGATCCAAAAACAGATCCAAACAATAGGACTGTGACTGAGAATGGAGCTACAACCTTCAGCTCATCAGGATCAAATCTTGTTGATTTCTTTTATTTCACAGTGGAGGGAATTTCTCAACAAAAAATTCACAAATTGTTGGATGCAAGTTGGAGAGAACAACCATTGAAAACTCTTAAAGTAATCTTCTTCATTAGAGATATTAGAAATGGAAAGGGTGAAAATGAAATCTTTTACGAAACTCAAAGATGGCTTGCATTAAATCATCCTCAAACATTCCTTGAAAATCTCAAAAATGTTCCAACATCTGGTTATTGGAAAGATTTACAAAACGTATTGCTCTACATTCGATATGGTGGTCATGAGCGAGACGAACGTCCTAATTGGGCTAAGGAAAAAAATGTATTATTGAAACGGTTGCCATCAGAAAAATCACTCTATGAGAAAGCCATTTTCCAAAAGAGGCGTTCATATAGACCAATTAAAACAGAAGAAGATAGAAGAATAAGAGAGAAAGATATTGCCAATCAGGTCAAGCAGTCATTCTCACCAAACGAGTTGTGGAACCAAGAAGTAAGAAATACTGAAAAATTGGTTCTTACAAAGGAGGAAAGTAAGAAGTTGAAATTGGTTTATGAGAAGGCTAAGGATATAGTTGTTGATTTGTATGTGGACCAATTATTGAAGGATCGTGAAAACCTTTCTAAGGGAGAAGTAAAATCTCTAACATTATGCGCTAAATGGGCTCCCACTATTAATCTATCAACTGATAGACAGTTGGGTATTGGTAAACAAATAGCTCAGAAACTTTTCCCATTCGATCAACCTGATGGTATTCAACTTACAATTAGAAAAGAAGGAAAGGGAGATAAGAAATACACAGACCAACAAGTTTACAGATATTTGGCAAATATCAAGTATCAAAAGCTGTTGAGAGATTTGAGAAAGGCAACTGTTACTATTGAAACATTCATGTCATCAAAAGAGTGGTCCAATATTCCATACGAAAGGGTACCTTCTGTTTGTATGAATAAGAAGAAGAAATTATTTTCCTTAAAAGACAATGAAAGATTTGTATCTTTTTTGGAAAGTGTTAAAAAAGGAGAAAAGAAGATTAATGGAGCTGTTCTATTCCCTCACCAACTGATTGAACAGTTATATGCCTCACACTCAAAAGAAGTGAGTGATACTATTGAGCTACAATGGAGAGAAATTGTAAAGAATGTAAAAGAGAAATCAGACAATGGAATATTCAACTGTATTCCTGTTTGTGATGTGAGTGGAAGTATGAATGGCACACCTTTAAACGTCTGTGTAGCATTAGGTCTATTAATGTCTGAAATTAATACTGGAATATTTAGAAATAAGATTATTACCTTCTCTGAAAACCCATCCTTTGTCGATTTATCTGGAATTGAAGGTGTTAAAGAGAGGTTTGATAATCTATGCAAGGCCGATTGGGGAATGTCCACCAATTATATATCCACTTTTAAATTAATATTGGAAATGGCATTGAAAAATAATCTACCAAAGGATCAAATGATTAAGAAGGTTGTTGTCTTTTCAGATATGCAATTCAATGAAAGTAGTGCTGATACGACAAGCCATCAAGAAATTGTGGACATGTTCGCTGAACATGGTTATGAAGCCCCTGGAATAATTTATTGGAATCTAAGAGGAGATGTCGATAATATTCCAATCACAGTGACAACAGATAATGTTGCTTGCATGTCTGGATTTAATGCAATTCTATTGAAAATGTTGATGGATATGGACTTGAGCATTGAAGGTCTTGTTGATGCTTCCATTAAAGATTATGATTTTGTAACATTACACGACTAGTAACTTTACAATAAAAAACATTGTAAACATTTCTTACATTAACATATATAAGGAAATTATAAGAAAAAATTAATATTGAAAAAAGATGTAAGGTCAATATTGGTAATATAAATACTGTTCCATCTTAATAATATTTTAATATTCAGGCTAAATATTCTCATTTGCATTTCGGATAATTTTCCGATCGGAAGTAAAAAAAAGACCAAAAACAATGAAGAGTTTCATATTCCTACTTTTCATCACAATTCACTATTGTTGCCAAATTATCAACGCCTCCAATCCGATAATCAATACCAACGACAACGACAATATTAAATTTAGTAATATTAATAATAATAATAATAATAATATTAAATATATTAATATTAATAATCAGAATGAAATTTCCTTTCTATTAATGCACACTGATGATATGCACTCACATTTCGAAGGCTCTGGTCCTGATTCCTCACTCAATGATCGGAGTGTGATGAATGGAGGAAATCAAGTGATCGGACATTATGCTCGATTATTGACATTGATAAGGAAATTGAAAAGCAAGTTTAAGAATAATTTATTATTGGGTAAGTAGTAGTTGAATGGGTTTGGATTTGATGGTCAATTGGGGTTAGATGCTGGTGATTCACATATTGGAACATTGTTTCATACGATTTCAATTTCTGGAGTGTTGCCACAGGTTGCTCCTCCAGAATTGGACTTTTTTAGGATTGCTGAATATGATGCAATAGTATTAGGTTAGTTTCTAATAAGTGTGAATTTTTGTAATGGTTTGGAATGGCAGGTAATCATGAGTTTGATTTATTTCAGGATGGTTTATTGTCAATTATTGATAGAATGAATAATCAGAATTATTCCTTCTCACTTCCAATCATTTCGTCCAATTTAATTACTCAAGGTGAAAATAATATCTATCGTGAGCAGTGTGGAAAAATATGGGAGAAACATTATCAGAAACCAACTAATCTTAATAGTCCAGGAAATAATGGTGTGTTTTTAACACCCTATGCCACTAAAACATTCAAATCTGATAATGGACAAGATTTGACAGTAGGTATCATTGGAACTATGTCCCCAGCTAGTGCTATGGTTTCCATTACAGGTCGTCAACCATGTTTCCATTATACTGGATTCAATGAATCCAAGAAGGAAGTGAATGCTGAGGAATATTCGAATCAAATTTATGAAATGGCTATGGATTTGAAATTAGGAAGAAATGGAGCTCCAAAATGTCAAGTGATTGTAGTGTTATCTCATGAGGGAGAGCCAGAGGATAAACAAATTGCTGAAATGATTGTAAAGAAACACAAGTCAACTTACAAGGAGGGTATGCCAAAAGTTGCTGTAGATATTCACATTTCCTCTCATTCCCATAATATTTATTTGGAAAAGCTTCAAATTGATAGTGAACACGAGGTATATATTCATCAATCTGGTCCATATGCTTCAAATTTGGGAGTTCTCCAACTTTCTTACAACTTTGACACGCAACAAGTAAGATTACTCAATGAAAAGGTAAAAGTTCCTCTTTCAAACTTGGTTGGGGATGCTTCCAACAGAGACCTATTCGAGAAGGATCATCTTGGTCCATTGAGCCCATCAACCTCGCTATTTGAAACCAATGGAATTTGTTTTGATTGCATTTCAAACTCAATCTTGTTTCCTGTGAGAATACCAATTACTAATGAAATACCTATGGATCAACCGTATAGAAAAAAGATTGAGAATTACAAACATCTCATTAACAAGTATATTTTGGGAGATTCTTTTGGATATAGATTTGACAGCTTTGTTGGATCCATTGATGTTTCAAATGTCCATGACAAAACTGGTGTTGGCTCTATAGTTTCGAATTGTGTTATTCAACAATTTAGAGAGAAACAAGCAGAGGCTCTTGTCCTTTTGGAATTTTTAAAAAAGCAAGAACAATATAATGAGGAACAGTCAATTGAGGAAAATATTCACAAGTTGGACAAGTCATTGAACGTGCCAAAATTCCATAGATTCTTTTCCAAGCTCAGAATTAAGGACGCTGAAAATATACTTGACCAAAGATATGATATTTACTTGATACCAACAGACGGTTTGAGAACTCATATAATTTCTCTTAAGCAATGGAACGAAACCAGACTAAACTTTCAATTTTCTGATGCTTACACTTTCCTCTCCTTGGGAAGACTCAGAAGCAGTATTAGAGAGGATGTATTACCTGGTGAAACAATGGAGGTATACTATCTCCCTCAAAGAATAGCCAAACGGTTGTTTGTTTATACCAGATTTTTGAGTGATTTGCTTAATTTACATATTATTGCTTTTTGTCACAGTACTAACTTTTCCTACAAAACTAGATGGTATGGAATTCCGTTCTTGGTAGAGGATCAACTTCACAAGAAGGAGGAGAAGGAATTGTCTTGGTTCTGGAAAATTATTCGAAAGGTAAAGAATGCCTTGGCAAGACATTACGACTTTTCATTGGATGGAAAATCTGAAGCTCAATTCTTTGATGAATATTATTCTAAACCACATACCTTTCCTGAACCACTATATGGTATTACAATTCCAGGATGGTTAGTCAATTTCATGTCCAAGACTGCCATGTATACAGGTGGTTTCTTAACTCTCGATATGAGAGACAAGTATGGTAGAATTATCAAAGTTCCCCAAACAAATGAAGGGAAAAGAAGTGATGGTCAATACAATGCAAAAGATGAAACAAGATCACTACTTCAAACCTCTGTTAGTGCCACTCCTTTTATGGATTATCACATGTTTGCTGAATGTTTGGCCAAACAAAGAAATAATTAAGGTTGTTTATCGTGAGATTCGGTTTCAATCTCTGTAACTTGTTGTTTCTTATTAAAAAACCATCCACCTGAATTCCTTCTCAAACTCTTTTCCTCTAGAATCCAAGCTGAAATAGCTCTGGAATAGCGTGTAAAGAATTTCGCCACTGCAACATCTTGAAACTCAACCAAACCAAACTTACATTGGAATAAGTTGGAAGTACAAATGCTATCCCACAATTCTTGTGAAATAACCTCCCTATTCCAATACTCTACTAGTTCATGTCTCGAATGAGTAACTAGTAATTTTGCCATGTGAAAAGCATGTTGTTGAGCTGCTCTTGGCATTGTAGCCAAAATGATTTGAAACATGCTATCAATTTTCTGTTTAAACATTCTGATATCACCACCAGAGTTTATCAATTGTTCCAACTACTTTAATGGCTTTGGATATTGTCTCCTTCTTCAATCCGAAACTCTTAAATATTGAATTACAAATGGCTTTGATAAATTCTTCATCTTGACGAAATCAGTCTTCCTCCAATCGAATCTTGTGAGCATTTCTAACAATTATGATTTTCATAAATAATAAAATAAGACAGCATTCTCCCATGTTGTTATTATTATTATTAGTAGTGGTGGTCGTAGTAGTAGGTACTGTGATTGTTCTCTCTGGACCGTTATTCAAAGAAGCTTTGAGGTTTTTTCAATTAAGATTTCCAACGTATGAGTTATCGAGAGATTGTAAAATTGATGTTGAAAGAAGAAAATGCAACTTTTCACAATTGTTCTAAAGAAGTTTGTGTATAAGCTTGAAGCTTTTGATAAATTTTAATGTTGTGGTTTGTTAAAGAATGTGTCAATTACGAACCAACGGGCCTGATAAAACTTTTGTCTAGCATATCCAACTACTCGTTTACCAATAGAATAGAGAGATGGAAGTGATTGATAGGCAGATCTGTAACCAAAGAAGAGGAGGTACCGGCGAGCAATCCAAATCAAATATCCATTAATGAGCTCGGCTCCCTTTCGATGAAGGAAAGACGTATTATTGGATAACTTGGCTTCAATCAAGTAGACAAACAAGATGAGGGCTGAAATGTTTTCTACCACCTTACCAATTTGCTTGTCCATTCCTGGAACTTTCTTACTGAATCTATCACTAATACATTTGAGTACAAGAGAAGGCCAATTAATAAATAAATAATACAGAGCCAATCCTATTTGCAATTTAAAAATTTCAATTGTAAGTCTCGTTGCCAAGAATTGAGAGAGTGGCATTGATCGATCAGGACTTTCGTTCAAGTATTCCATATATTCCTTGTACAATTTGTATGTTAAATACAAAGAGAGGGAAAGCAGTGATCCCTTATATAAAATGATATTTACAAGCTCTGCTGGAGTGCTTATGAAAAGATATGGTGAATTGAGTCTAATGTCATATGCTAAAATTTGATTTGTATCCAATAATCTACCCTTGAATTCTATCAAGTCTCCTGGCTTGAGGAGGAATTTGAGTGGACGTATTCTTCCAATGGTATTTGGCCACAGCAAATTATAATTGGAAAATAACTTTGGATGGATATGATATAATGTGAAAACATTGAGCTGAGTAGAATTATTCTCCAGAACTTCCTTTGGATTAAATTCTGAAAAGAGACCCTTTGTTCTTTCCCATAAGTTTCTGTGCAATTTTACAGAGGCAGAGTATGGTTCAACTTTTAGAGTTAATCTCTTGTTATCCCTCACATCTTGATCGAGAAGGGTTGCTTCTTTACAATAAACGAGAGAACCAATATATCTTGAACTTAACTCCTCAGGGTTTGATAAAAAGTGTTGAATATTCTTCAAAATAGCATTTCCTCTGAGATTGGAAAGCGTTTGCTTCTCACGAACTGTTTCCAAAATGTCAAAATCTTGGACATCAATAATGTAATGCTTAATGAGAGACTGACTTTGAGACACTTGTAAATCACCTCTTACTTGAATCCATTTTGGAATAATCCATGGTCTTTCGAATGGAGATTCATAGCTTGATGACCTCTTTGTAAATGCACTACAAATTTCTTGTAACTTGGAAATGTGGTCTTGGAAAAACTGTTGCAAGACATTTTTCAAATTGTCTTGTGTAACTTTCACATACGCATTATTTGATGGGCTAATTCCATGATTGAGTAAAAGTTCCAATTTTTTACAGAGGTCATTCTTGTTGAATCTCAATTGGATTAATGATTGATAGCTTGTAACTTTTCTGAGTGTGACAGAATCGCATAATCTTGCAGGAATTGAAATAGTTTCCTCTTCATCAGATCCCCAATTCACTTGTTCTCCAATAGATACATGAACATTCCACCTCACATTATCAATATGAACATTCTTGACCTCCTCTTGATTATCCACAAGGAAATAGGATTTAATATTCGGAATGGTAAAAGTTAAGCTTCTCCACTGATAGATAATCTTCTTATTCAACTTGAGCCACAATCTTATTGGCAAATATTGTGTTGGATTATAAGAAAGAGGTTGATCATTCAACAAGTAAGTTGTTGTCGATAAGAGAAAGTACGACAAGGACTCGGAATCACCACATACTTTAACACAAGCTTCTCTTTCCCTCTCATCAACACACCCAATCAGTGATTTATATGAATTACCAATATACTCGAGTGGAATCTTTGATAATACTCTCTTCAGACTCCTAAAAGCAAATTGATGAATAAATTCCTCAAATCTAACTTGACTATTCTTTGATGGAAGGGAGTTTTTAAAATTGGCTACCAGTGATCTTTCATACTCCTCTCGTGAGATGAAACTCTTCTCGAGTGCTGGCATTAATCCAAATATTAAATCATAGGTATCAAGGAAGGGATTTATATTCTCTGTCAATATTTCAGAGGAGAGAAAGTACTTGATGGTATTCTTCTCCTTCTTCTTTGCATATAATGATTGATCAAAGGACAAAACAATCCCAAAATCAATATTCGGATTTTCAATTATTGTGTTCATTCTATTTTTTTAGGCTTTGATTGTTGTGGCTAATCATTAACACTTTAATCAAAATCCCTAATCAATCAATATGATCATCAATTAATATTGATTTAATTTCATTCCGTGATGGTGATGAAGAACATTTTCGAAAAACACCACAAGTGTAATACATTTGAGTAGTGCAATATCAGAGATGACTTTTCATAGCCTTTCAAAGAGCAAACATAACATTACAGTAAAAAATGAAGATAAACGTACATTTGAAGGTGAGTATTGAAGAGAATAACTCTTGTAATTGTCTAATAATAATTGGATGACGGAATTTGATGATGACGATCGGATATGGTTATATTGATGCTGGATTGAATGATGATATTTTAAATTGTCATGATGATTTTGTATTTTGGAATAGGAAAAAACCTTCTCAGTTAGTTGTGGATCAGGAGAACAAAGAGTCATTTGGTTGGCTCATGTTGCTCTTGCTAGATATGATAATAGTTTTGGTTTGGAATTGGGAGTGCCAAAGGGATTAAAGACAGATGAGGGAGATTCATTGGACTCGGATTCTTCAATCAATGAAGTTTTAGAAGATGGACAACACGTGTGGGTTGTTCTTAAGGGTAAGTAATTGTAATTCTATTACAAATTTTAGGATTAATAATTATTTAGGATTTGAAGTTAATCCAATTAGGGTCAATTCTACAAAATAATTGGCAATTGTTTGATGAGGAGAATTTAACAATGTCGGAAAGAATCACAGATAGTTTTTGTCGATTATTATTACATGATTGTACATTATTGATCAATATATAGAGTGAATCTCTTATTGATAATAAAAAAGTTAACATATTTCAGTAATTTTGGAATTAGTTCAATAAGAGATTATACTTTGGCAATACTTTTGGATTTTTCATCTGTCATAGTAAGACAGAGATTGTTTATTTGACTGGGTTAAATTTGTAAAAAACTAATTTTGAAGGAGATTCTTGATCTAAACTAAAAGGTTCTTTGACATCACCATTGTATGAGAAAAATCTCCAATTGCCTGTTTCTTCATTAAGTGGAGAAAAGTTGTTTGGAACTGGTTGACATTTTCTTCCCTTTCGAGATGGAGATCCTTTTGTCTTGCTTGCTTTAGTTATTTGCTTTCCAATCGATCCTGAAGAGCAAACAGAGTTCTTTCTCGATGCTTGAATGCATTTTCGATTCAAAGTTCCTGTTGGGATAGTTTGCTTTCCAAATAGTGATCTCATTATTTCTATTTCAGCATCTGAGAGATCTAGCTTGAGATTTAGTGGTTTTCTATATTGCTCGCTTGTCAATTGTGAACTATCATAATATACAAATTGTTGTGTAGTTAACTGGCTATTGTAAACATCTTCGCTTATTGCATTTCCAAATACTTGTTGAAATCTTGATTGCAGAAGAGATGAATAGTACTCTACGATTTGTTGCTTTTCAAGCAAGTTATTATTCGAATATTCTAATGGAGTGATCAATTCAGAGGTTTGCATTTCAGAGAGTGAAGATATGCCATACATGGAGAAAATATTTGGACTTTCATCAGCTGTAGTTGATTGATGAGAATTAGATTGAAATAGATCTGAAATTGTTGCATCTTTCAACGAAATATTGCTGTTTTTGATATGGTTACTTCCTTGATCATCGTGCATGAAATCCTTAAACATTGAGGGAGATATTGCTTTAATAAGGGGAGCTGAATTTTTGGTTTCAAAATCCATGCAAGACCATGTTTGATCATTGAATGATTTCAGGAGAGAATCACTATCATTATGGATGTTATTGTTCACTTCTTGACATGTGGAAGAGGATGACGGTATTGGATAGAGCATATTAAACTCGTCTTCAAGAATATGATGATTCGAATTGAATGAATCGACAACGGAATGTGATTCGGAAGGATGCATCTTGTTTGCCATCTTGTTAGTGGAGGGAGTTGAATATTGTACATGTGGAAATGTTGATTGAAGAGTGGAGGAATTTGATGCGTTATTAGTGAGGTTATCAAGGAGAAGGCTGACTGGAGATGGTTGATTAAGGTTCATCAGATTGGAAAGGAGATTGGCAAGGTGTTGATTATTGGTTGATTCATCACTACTGGATGAGCTACTAAACGTTAGGGTGGATGCTGAAGGATGCAATGAGGAAGTGGTAGTTGCTGATTCCATCATTAACATTGAAGGATTCATCATATTGTTGTTGGATTCGTTGAATGATGATGTTGAGGATGCTGAAGGAAGATGATAGAGACTGAGCATGTTATTATTATTAGTGGGGTTCAAGGACGTTTTGGTAACTGATGTTGTTGTTGGAGTATAGATAGTTTGAGTGTTTGGAAGATTGTTATTAAGGCCCGATAATGTTTGTGATAATGATGAATGTTGTGCTTTCTTACTTGTTGACAATTGGTGTTGCGATGATGATGATGATGATTGAATGATTGGTTGAGGGTGTTGATGATGATTAAGATTCATCTCGCAGCAGAGAAACTATTAAAGGGTATCAAATAGCTGACTATTTCATAAACAATGTTTGCTTGTTTTTTTTGTGTTTGTTATTTCTAAGGTCAAATCTGTTGGGCGTTTAATTGAAAGGTTTGCAAGTCATAGAGAATCCCACGAGGATTCTTTGCCTTAATAAGCTGAAAAGTCACATGGCAACGAAGAGCTCTTCATCACCTTATTTGAAAAATTGCCAGATCCTTGAGAAGACCACAGAATTTCAAATAAGGATATTCGATATTGAGCTGTAGGAGAAATGTTGAATAAAGCAATGAGAATCCTAGGTTTTTAATCAGTTTGGCTTTTCGTTGTGGCTGAACAGACAGAAACCAACAGTCATTAAGGCGTTTTGGAAAATAACTTTGAAAGGAATAAACTCTTCGTGAACATAAGGAGTTAGAAAATGTTGCGAGAGGCAATTTGTTGAGACCACCAGTAAAAGTTTCGGGCACTGGTTATTTCTTGAGGAGAGTTCATTCTAATCTTACGTTCGCCGCCACTTTGGCAGTACAGGACTCCATGATAGAGATCTAGCAAATCGAGACATGAATTCTCCCTTAATAATTTGGTATTATATGATTGCATAATTGGCTGAACATTGGATCGAATATGTTCAATTTCTAGTTTGGTAATTTTGTTATCTCGCTCGAAATATCTTGAAACATGTCCTTGACCATCAAATTCTTCAATAATGAAAACATCATTGATCTTTTCCCATAAATCACTTCTAGAGGAATTGATTGTGATTTCATGACCCTCACTTGTCTTACAGGTAAGGTCAGATTGAGTCAAGTCCTTATCAACACTCTCCTTTTGTTGTTTCCACATTTGTTTGATAACCTTCTTAAAGATTGCTTCATTATTAACACTGAAAAAGACAGTTTCATAAACAGCACTCTTAACTTCAGGCTCTTGATCTTGTGAAGTCATGCACTCTTCATATTCTTTGATTTGTGCCTTCATTCCATCAATAATATTATCAATATTTTGAGATTCCAATCCAGCAGCTTCTGATTTAATAATGGAAAGTCTTGATTCCAAACTAGACAAAGTTCTCTTTACAAATTCCAAATATTTATGTCTGTTAATAACTACACGAATGGATTGGGCTTTTTTATCTTGTCCATAACTGGCTTGCATTGATAACATGGACTCCGTATTCCACAAAGGAAAGTTAATCTCTTCAATAAAATCCAAACAAAGTGGCAAGATGGCATTGGCTCTAATTGAGCAAGTAGGAAAGGCGCTTTCATAATTTGAATTAATAAATAAACATGGTGTTTTAAAGAGTTCTGCACTTTCCGAATCAAAATTATCCAAATCCAATAATTCAACAGTAGCTTGTTGAGCATTTACAACAGGCATATCGAGAGAATAGGTTTGTTTAACATATCTCTGATGGGAATTGGATTGCAGGTGTCGGAATGACATTTTGTTATGGAATTGGTCATCAAGAGGTTGAATCATCATGGATTTAATACATTGGTGATAATTTAATGTTTTGATGGATCCAAAAACTGTCAATGGAGTGTAATTTCTTCTAGAAATTCTAGGGAGAATAGTTGAGAGTGATGAATGGTTTGTTGCGAGTTTTCTCATTTTTTTAATTTAATTATATTTAAATATTAAATGGATAACTTAATTATGGAGTAATATTTTGCAAATAGAATGGATTGACAGTTGACCTTTGTTTTTTGTTTTCTGGGAGTGTTGGTGTTGAGGGAGTTGATGTGTTTAAGATATTTGTATCGTTTCTTTTGTGTTTCCTTCTACAGTAAAAATCTTTTGCTGCTTGTTGGATTTCAGGATGATTCTTGAAGGTTGTGGCATATCCAATAGTGATTGGATCTTGAGAAACAGCACATAATACAATATCTATTGTTTTTTCTAAAGCATATTCTAGAAGGTGGGGATTTCTCTTCAAGCATTCTTTGAGTAGGTCTATATATCCATCAAATTTGTTTGTAACATGCATGATGGCGCAAGCTGTTTCATCTGTTGCTATCTTTACAAAATCCTTGTTCCATTTCAAGTGTTCAGCAGCATACTGTAGTAATAGCCCATCTTTTCGAATATACTTTTCCATAAATTCAGTCTTACTTGTTAAATCAGAATGAACATATTTCAAAAGGTGTACATCTTTTTCCAAAACCATTTCAACGAACTCTTGCTCTTTTCTAAGAGTTTCATGAGCAAACTTGAAAGCAATTGGATTGATCTCAATTAATTTCTGCATAAAATTCTTGTTATTTGCTAAGGAAAAGGAGTTATACTCTAACGCAAATTCTGGTCTAATTGTAAAGGCCATGATTGTAAAGCTCTTGAGAATCTCAGTAATATTTAAAGGTATCTCTTTTGAAGATTCTTCTTGAATTTTGTTGATTAATTCTTTCAGTTCGTTTTGATATTTCCAATTTTCTCCGTGGGAATAAAGTTCCAATAAGCAATCCCCAAAATTTTTCAAATCTTCAGCAAATGCTTGATTTTGAATTTTTGATTTGGTGAGGGTTTCTTTTGATTTAATTAAGGAGGTCAAAGACGCAGCATATTCCAGATCAATTAGAATTGGATCGTAAATTACATCGTACCCTCTTATAACTTTCGATCCAATCAGAAAGTTACTTAGCTTCAAATCATAATGTACATGCTCCATTTGCTGTAAATATTCTATAATGGAGGCCATTCTCATTGCAATTATCAAAAAGGATATTTCACTTAATGGCTTTGGAATATTTGACAAGTCACCATTTGGATAGAAAACCATATGATAACCCATGTAGGATTGAAAATCCTTATCATATGCATCCATAAACTCAATGGCACGTTCATAACTAATAATGTTTGAGCAATTTTCTAACAACATTACTTTCTCAACCTCTCTCTTGACCTCCTTTTTCGGACCTTTGGTAATCTTTATCACTACTTTTTTTCCTTTCCATAGGGCTGTGTATAAGTGACTTCTTTGACCCTTTCCATATGACTTTAAATCTCCGTATCCTAATATCTGTAAATAATTTAATATGAATCTCGTTTCATAATCAAAGAAAATCTTTTTCTGTTGTTTTGTGGTGTCAAAGTATTGCCACATCTCCTTCAAACAATCATCATTCGCAATATTGACGATTTCTTTCTTGGAATCATCCAAATAGTAAAACCTGGCAATATAAGGATCTTGTTCGTCTAAAAGTTTTTCAAAATTTGTTTTAAATTCCATCAAGTTTAATTGTTTGAATTCCTTCGCACCAACAACTATGTGTGGTGTAGCATCATTAACAGACGTGAAGAAATACACTGTTTCATTGTCATAAACAGGGCTGTTACCATTTAGCAACATTTTTTCTCTAAACCTCTAAAAAGGCTGATCACGTTCTAGTCATAATCATTCCGAAAAACTGATGGTTGATCAGATGATTAAGATATGGAAGGATTAATTTTTGTTAAATTTTTTTTAAGAAATTCAAATTGAAAGACATATTATAAATTTGAGGCAACAAATTGTTTTAAATTAATTGAGAATAGGATTTATTTGTAAAATTGTAGGCTAATCCTTTGATTTCACCAAATCTTAGAATTTCACAACACTTCCTTTACTGTTTTGGTTGTTATAGAATTTGTATTTCGAAAGCATTAAATTGAAACAAACTGAAAGCTCAAAACATTCCACTCATCTATGTACTCACCGTTTCAATTTAATGCAAACACAAACAATTGACTGCTTTTATGTTGTTTTATTAAATTGTTTGAATAGGAATCTTTCAGCTTGCACTAATAACATGAAATCATCAAGTTATTTTGTTGGTTATTTAAAAGAATCTCACGGAGGACAATATACCACTCCGAATCATCATCATCAACACAAAAAAATAACATTCAACACCTTGTGATGCTCTCAAAGAAATTTCTTCTTCTATTAGTGCTAAATCTTCTTTCAATTGCTGCTTTACATGTTAATGCTGCAGGTAGTCAAGCTTTTTGCATTCACACACTTTCGGATGGAAGAACAATTGACTTGAATAGAGCAACCAAATCATCAGCCGATTATTTCCTCTACGATAAGGATACCAATTATTACTTTTATATGAATATTTGCAAGGATGCACTCAAGAGTTGTGATGGACAAAGTTACGGAGGAGTTGCCTATACGAAAGATCCAGGAGCTGAGAGTGAATTTTGTGCAACCTACATGAGTGGATCAACCAGTGAACAGAATTATCAAATTTCACTTATAAACTCACAGAAACCTGAATTGGGAGTTGTTTTAGTTGTGAGAGGAGGTGAAAAAGTCCTCACAAGAACACAACAAATGAAAATTACAATGAATTGTGCAAAGAGTGTTGGAGATTTGAAATTTGTTCAGGAAAACTTTGTGGACTCGAATATTGTTTTTGAATTTTCATTGGATACTCCAGCTGCTTGCATTGTAACTGATGATAATAATTTGGGAGGATTGGGATATTTGGGTTTAGCTCTCTTGTTGATAATTATTATCATGATTCTCTATTTTGCAATTGGATACATTGTAAATTGTCTTGCTTTGAATAAGGAAGGTGGTTGGTCCTATACTCAACTTCCTCAATTCAAATATTGGAAATTACTATTCCAATTGGCTTGGGAAGGATGTTTATTTATCAAGGAAGGAATTCAAAGTTTAATTTTCAAATTTATTTTGAGAAGAGCAATTTATGATCAAATATAATTCTTTATTTTCATTGTTTTCATTTAATATTCCGATATGACAAAGATGTTTAAATGCCAAGCTGTCAAAGATCAAAAAAATGTTTCATGCAATGCTCCCACAGAACAACAAACACCACACAACCACACCACAACAGGCAAGTAAATTATTTTCATTCCACTCTAATAATTAATCCAGATATTCCTTCGGATTGGGTATTAATTGGAGAGGGAGGTTTCGGAAAAGTTTACAAAGGTAAAAAGGATGGACAAGTTAAAGCTTTTAAAATTATTAACAACAAAGATGATGCACTCACTGAATTCACGAATACTGCCACAGTTTCTGGTCATCATCATGTTGTCAAAATTTATAGTGCAACAATTATTACAAATCAATCTCTCTGTATTGAGATGGATTATTATGAGAATGGTAGTTTGCATGATTATTTCATTAGAAAGAATAACAAACCTCCTTCTGCTAACATGATCAAGTCAATCATGACACAAGTACTTGATGCTCTCATGTACATGAAACAAAATTTTAATATGGTCCACAGAGATATCAAACCAGGAAATATTTTGGTTAGGAGAATTGAAAATGATAGTATTGATATTTGTTTGGCAGATTTTGGAATGGCAAAGAATACTCCTGGTTTATCTGAGAATTCTTCATTGTCACGTGCTAAGGGAACTGAGGGATTTATTGCACCTGAAATATATAGGCCAATATCTGAGCAACGTTACTCATTGGCATCTGACATTTTCGCTTTAGGTGCAACCTTATTTAAACTCATGACTCGAATTTCACTAAATGAGTTTCCTTATTTTCAATGGAGTCTGGATGAACCAACAAAAAGAAATCATTCATCAAAACTAGAAGAAATGATTTACAAAATGTTAAAAATCAACACCTCTACTCCACATGAATTAATCCAAAACATTTCGAAAATGTTCATTACAGATACAAAACTCGATTTTAATTGTGAAATACTTTAAATTTACAATATTAAATGAATGAAAATAAAGAAAATAAAGAATTATATTTGATCATAAATTGTTCTTCTTAAAAGATTTTGTGTGTTGTGATTTGTTTCTTGTAAATGAAAGAATTTTAACAGTTATTGATTCACAGAGCTGTTCTCACTACTAACATTGTAACTCAAACAAAAGAGCGTTAATTTACGAGCTAGACATTCAGGATCTTTTTCCTATCGTAATCTTTCGATTGGTTCGCTAACCTCACCTTTGGAGAGTTCACTTAATTCACTTGTTAACTTTTTAACTTGATTGAAATTGTAATTACATAGCTGATTAAGTCTGTGTTCTTTTGCAGCTCTTCCATAAAGTATTTCACAATTAAAATCGAGTTGGCAGAGATTTTTTATTATCAAATGTCAGCACGTCAAACTGCCAAAATTATAATCAAACGATAAAAAATGAATCACAAGCTGGTGGGCCAAGGGTCTTTGTCATCCAACAGGTTCTCATCCTCACCATCTAACCACAATCATCTCAACAAATTATTCCTTCTCCTCGTAACAATTTTCACAATTTTCTTTATTAATTTTTCCACATCGACCTTCATTCCACCGATCAATGAAATTCTTTCCGATCAAAAAGAATTTAACTCCTTGACTGGTTCTCCATCAAGTAGCCCCCCAGGTGCTAGCAATGTTGTAATTCTTCAATCACCTGGAGTTTACAATTATTCAGTTTATGATGATTTGGATTTTTCATTCCATTTGCCTGCTTGTCCAGATTCATTGTACAGAAATAAGAATACTAATCAATTGGAATTAATTGTTCAATCACCATCTACTTTTTCATTATTTATTGTTATTGCCTTTTCCTCACTTTTATTTGCTAGTATTGTTTTTAGTTCTTTCAATTCTGTTTTCTTACCTCATATTAGAAAGAGAATTAGAACAAGTTCAATTTCTAATAATTTGTGGATTGTTTACTTTGTTTTTGTTGGATTGAGAGCTGTTTTGAATGCAGTTCACTTTGGAAAACCAACAAGTTTGAGAAAGGACAGTAAATTCCTATATGCCATGACCATAGTAGGAATGATTCTTCATTCATTGACTGCCTACTTTTTAACACTTGCTTTGAATTATCAGAGAAAACATAGAAGTGGATTTTCTGTGGAGGCAACAGGTAATAGTAGACTCTCCTCATTCCACCAACAAATTTACGAAGATAGAGAGGAAGAAAAATTACAATCAACATTCCAGAGAAGAACTGCATGGATTAGGAAAATTGTGGTGAAGGGATTTTGGGTTATTTTCTCATTTGAATCATTGGCAACTATTTGTTTCACATTTTCATTGATTGCCATCTTTTTACGTGCCTTGAATGCCAACTCTGCTCAAAGTGGTGAGCTCTACAGATGGATTCAATTAGGAGCAATGCTCTTTCAAAGAATTCCAATTATTATCATTTGCTTTTTAATTATCATGAGTGGATTCTTCTCAATTTTCAAGAAGAAATCTTCACAAGATCACAGAACAGGAGGTCCAACAATTTTCACAAGAATTCTCATCTTTGTTGCCCTACTCTTAAATATTCCCAATGATCTTCCACTTTCGTATTGGAACTATTTCCTTTACGGATTGAGAGAGGATAGAATTGTTCCTGGATGCATGTTCTATTTTGCAAGTATTTTCGATGCTGTCCTGTTGCTTTTCTTCTTTTCACTTGTCTTGTGGCTTTTTGTGATGATTATTGAGTTTAGAAGATATAGAAAGGAAACTGTTGAAGCAGCACTTTCTGATACCGTAGAGAATTTCGAATAAACTTGTATGGTTTCAAAGTTCACATCCTTTTTGTTTCCTTTAGTTTCTACCACTTTCTAATACTAAGAATCCTTAGATGGAAACAAAAAGGAAGTAATCATCCCTTTAAATATTGTGCACAGATCTCTATTCCTTACCTCACTCATACAAAAACAAAACTCACCAGTCATGATTGTGCACCTGTCAAGAATCAATATACTTCAACGAACACCAAAAAAAATTAGCTCAAAATCATCTTCCGCTATAATGCCCCTCTTTTCCTCTGTATTCAATCATCATAATTCCAACAATCAAAATGATAATGATGAAGATGAAATTGCCTCGGCACTGATGAGAACAAAAATCAACACTCCTTCATCCTCACAACCATCAACTCCGTCAGAGAATGGCACATCGACCACTCCTAGAAAGGGTCAGTCACCTGCAACACCTAGAACACCAAGGGATAATGGTAAATTTGATATGGATAATAATATTGTGAGCTTGGCAAGAATATTTAATATTGAACTTTGTCATACGGAACATGATAATCAGAAATTTGAAAGAGATTTGATGAGAATGTTAAAGTAAGTTGTTTCTTACATATGGATGAAGTAAATATTTTGGAAATTAGGGTTATTTCAATCGTGGTTGTGAAAAAGAAACAAGTGGCTCTGAATAGTAGTTTAATTGGATATGATTCTGCAGTGGATTTGTTAGCTGTTAATGATCAACCAAATGAGTTTGAGGAAATTCAGTGGAAATCAACAGATAAGATCACTGTTCAACTCTTTGTTGATTTTATAAATGGAATTGGTAAATTATTTAATGGACATGATGAGAATATTGATTTACCAACTTCATTTACGGAGGAACAATTCTTTGAAATGGTCGGAAGAAATAAGAGATCTGAAACTGATAATGATTTGGATGAAAATGAAATGAAAACAGTATTTAAAAAGCTCTATAGTGAAAAACATCCAGAAGTGATTAGATATTTGAGTGGAATAGCTCAATTGGTTGTAGTTTCAACTCTAGGCAAACTTGCATCTGGAATTATTGCCACAAAAGCTCCACTTCAACCAAAGGATGTCAGAGGATCATGGACAGTTCAATTCAGAAGGTATGAGCAAGAGGCCGATGACGATGATTGTGCATTTGGAATTCTACATGAAAGAACTGATTGTATCATGAAGAAGGAAAGTGCAGCAATCATGAAACCAATGTACAATTTCAAATGGCAAGTTGAAATCAAATTCAAAACTAGGGAAATTCTTGATGTTCAAGCAGTTCATGTGAGATTGGTGGGTATTGAATGGATTTGTGATCCATTATTGAAAGTACCTGAATCTGAAAAGGAAGAATTCATTGCCTCATGCAAAAAGTTTTTCTCTGTGGAAAAAGCTGCCCTGCCAAACCATCAACATGACAACTGTCCTCTCATTCCTTCTGGAAAAGCTCTTATCGAATGTGTTTGCCATGATGTTCTGTTAGCCCTCGTATCCTACACACCACCAACTCCATCAACACCATCCAGCCAAGCCATCTCAACCTCATCACTTAAACCAAAAAAGAACAAACATGAATTGTCCTGGCTAAAGAAACTCCTTCTCAATTCAACCTCTGATTCTGATGAAATATTTGCAGCACTCTCCAAGAAGAGTTCTTCCAATATAGCAGAAATGAAACACTAATTGTAAATATATTGAATTCAATTTTTAAATTCCAATAAATTCTTGTAAAAAAAATCAAAAAAAAATGCAAGAACGATCTTTGGTTTCCTTGCTCATCACTCAAGAGAACGAGAGAAACAAGCAACAAGCCAAGAAGAAAAAGATTAAAGCCCTGACCGAGGAAATTTCCTCTAAAATACAACAAATTAATTTATTGATGGAGGATGAATGTGATGAGCAATTTTGTTTGGATGATGATGATGGAAACACTTCTGATGATGGAGAAATTATTAAATTAAAGACTAGTCTTTTAAATTGGAAGAAATCTGTAAATAGTAAACTTGAACAAGATCCTAAAGGATTGGCCATAGTCGGTGGTGAAAATTATTACCAAGCTAGAGATACAATATTCGAATTGGATGAATGTAGAATGATTTTGAGAAAGGAAGTTATTAGAGCAATTTTTAAAAAAGTACCACCAGAATTGCTCCGTAATATTTTCCTGTTTATAGATCCTATTGATATCTATCAATCTGTAAGTCAGGTTTCAAGAGAATGGTTGACCATTTGTGAGAATTTGCAATTTTCTGCGAATTTGGTTCAGAAAATTCCAGTTTTAAGATTGAACTTGAAAAAATTTTGTGATTCTCCACTAGTTGGACGAACCTTGACTAAACTAGATCTTTCATACAATGATATCCATAATGAAGACATTAAAGCAATTACACAGAGCAAGGAGTTAAAAAATCTTACTTCACTAATTCTATGCAACGAATCATTGACTGCCAAGGGTGCCGAATACATTGCCAAGAGTAAAATCTTGTCAAATCTAACTGAACTAGATTTGGATTTTAATTATTTAGACGATGAAGGAGTAGAGTATATCGCAAATAGTCATTATATGTCCAAGTTGACTTCTTTGAAAGTTGGTGATAGTGGATTAACTTCTCAATCCATTAGTGCGGTTTGTTCAAAGCTCAAACTGAAAACATTTGGAGTTTATCTTAATGAATGTTTGTCCGAGGGTATAAAGCCAATATGTGAAAGTTCAAAATTGTCTAAGCTCACTGATCTTAGCATTGGATGTAATATTATTGAAGACAAGGGCATGAAAATTTTTGTGAACAGTAATAACATTGCAAATCTTACCAGACTTGACGTTTCATGCAATATAATGACAGATATAAGTTTGATTTTGTTATCTAACTGTAATAAGCTATCTAATTTGACCGATTTAGACATTGGTGAAAATGATTTTACTATCAAAGGAATGAAATCATTTTGTGAAAGCAAGTATATTACAAAGTTAGTCACTTTGAAAGCTAAGGACTTGAAGTTTGGAAATGCTGGTATGCTGATGTTGGGCTCCTCTTCTAATATGAAAAACCTGACACATTTGAGCTTGCAATCAAATGCATTGACTGAAGATGGACTGAAAGTATTCTCTCAATCAAAAACATTTGAAAACCTGAAGTATCTTGATATGTATGGTAATCCTTGCAGTTCGGGAATAAGACATATTTTACAATCCAAATTTTTACCCAATTTGACCTATCTGAATGCCTCATCATGTTCCATTGGCAATGATATTTTATCCAAGCATTTCAACTCTATAGAACTTCCTAAACTCAAAACATTAGAATTGGAACTTAATAAGATTTCATCAGAGGGAGTCAAATTTATTGCCAAACACAAGAAATTATCCAAAGTAGATAGAATATATCTTGGAAATAATTCGTTAGATCCAAAATATGAAAGATTTTTCTCCATGTATCCTTTCATTCGTATGGATAGAAATTGGGATGTTGTTATATAGGCCTACTTCTCTCATCAACAAAAATAATGCCCATAGAAATACATAGAAATATCTTTTTTTCTTGTTGGAAATAGAGCTGTATTGTATAATACGGAATTGTAAGATTGGTTTAAAATCCAAGATATAAGAAGAATAACGGAAAGGTGATGAAAAGTTTCCCGCCACAACACTTTGCGCCCTTAATTTTCATAAACGACCGTTTAAAATGATTAAGAAAATCATCTTTAAAAAAATATGTCGACCACCACTAGGAAGCCATTGCAAGACATTTCCAATAAGGTACACCTTGTGAAGTCTACTACTAGCCAATCCACTAGTAGTCAGATGAAGAGTAAAGCTAAGGAAATGATACCTGTAAAACAATCAAAGAGCTCTAGGATGTTTGATATCAGGGCCAACAATAACAAATACGATACTCCGGAACGTGATAATGATATGGATTATGGTTCTCCAACATCGATTGGTTCCTTGGAAGAGGAATTTGGGGAATTGTCTGATTTAAGGGAGTTTTATGATGAAGTCTCATCAGACATTAACGAAAAAATTGTAAAGTCTCTTGAAAGAGAAAAGGAAAAGAATACACGATTAGAGTTACAAAGCGAGAGGGATAGAGCTCAAATTATAGAACTCCAACAAGAAAAGAACAAGCTATCACGCACTATTGAACAACTAAAAAAACCTGCAAAGGTTGAAAAGCCAGAAATTGATTTTAATGGGCAAGTTAATCAACTAAATGAAAAGATTTCCAAATTGGAAAAGAAGGTTGAAATTGAAACTCAACAAAAAGAAAGACTATCTAACTTGTTAAAAACTAAGGAACAAGCACTCTCTAAAATTAAAGAAGAAAACGATAAGGCAGTAACAAAAGGGCCAATAGAGGAAAAGTGCTCTAGAAAACTCCAAGATCAAATCAAAATCAAGGAAGAAAAGATTGAGCGTATGAGTAAGGAAATTGAAAAGGAAAAGAACACAAAACAAGAATATGAAAACCTTATTCAAGGGCTTCAAGAAGTTTCAGACAATCTGAGAATGAAATTATCTGCCTCCAACGAAGAAATTGAAACTTCCAACAAGCTGATCGAGATTTTGGATGCCAAGCTCAAGATTGCCAACGATAGATGTAAGGACTTGGATGAGCGATTGAAAAAAGGAGAAGAAAAGAGAGAAGAGGAAAGTTCAGAACTGTTAGCACTCAGAGAAGAGATGTCACATTTATGTGATTCAGTGTTGAAGGAAAAGCAGGAATCAGAGAGAAAGACTCAACAACTCAATCACATCCAAGCAGCTAAAGAAAAATATGAAAATGAATATACAAGAACTTGCACCAAGCTGAAAGAAAAAGAGGAAGAAACTGAAGAACTCAAAAAGGTTATTGAAAGGCTTGAACAACAAATCGAACAAATGGGCCACGATATTGATGATTCTTCAAAGGAACTTGAAGAAATCGAGAATAACTTTAGAACAAGGCTTACTGACGCAGAAGAACAACTTGCTGAAAAAGAGGAAGAAATACAGTCCATGAAAGTGAAGGAAGAAAGAACAATGGAACAATTAAAAGAGCTTGATGTATTTGTAGAGAGAACTAAACGAAAGATTGACAAGGAGAAAGAAAAGACCAAAGACTCTGAAGAAAGAGCCAATGCAGAATATGAAAAGGCCCTTCAAATGATTGAAAGAAACAATGCTTTGATGAGAAAGTTAGAAGCTGTAACAAGAGCAAACCATTCCTTGGAGGAAGAAGTCAAGGAAAAGGAAGACTTAATGTTAAGATTCAAGAACTATATCGAAGATGTTGAAAATAAGCTCCACAATAAGGAAGATGAATGTAGTCAAACAGTATCCAGATTAAACTCAACATATGAAGAGTTACAAAAGGAGAAGGCAAAATCAGACAGATCATGGAAAGAGCTTGAGGAGACTGTCAAAATGCTCCATCAAATCCAAGCTGAGAAGGAAGTTTTGGAAAAGAAGAGCAGCCACTCAAAGGAAGTATTGGAAATGAAGATGAATAATAAGATTTCCATGTTAGAAAAGAAGTGTGACTACCTCAAACGTTTGCATGAAATGAATGGAGCAAGTGAAAGCGATCAAATCAAGGAAATGGAAGGGTACATTGAAAGATTAACAAAGGAAAATGAAAAATCAGGTGAAGCTGTTTCTCAACTAGAGATTACCCTTTCCGAAAAGGAATCTGAAATTTCAGTCTTGCAAGAAAAGGTAAGACAATTAGAAGATCTCCTCAACAATCAAAATCAATTACATTCAGCAAATCTTAAACCTAATGATCTCAAGAAGAGACTCATGACTGTTGAAAAATCCATGGATGAAATAATTATTGACCTTTCTATTGAAGGAATAACTTTGAGTCAACTTAATCCAAGAGAAAAAGCTGTTGTCATTCTAGAAAAGTTTACTGACATCAAGAAGGAGTGTCAATCTTTGGCTAGTATTAAGGATCAATATAGCGCAGAATTACAAAGACTTCGTGAAGCCAAAGCAAATTCTGAACGCCAAATGATCTCCCTCAGAGATGCTCTAACCAACGAAGTTGTTGAGAGAAACGAAGGGTGTATTACCGATCTCACTGACAGTTGTACCTTCCTTTACAATACTCTCACAGATGCTATTGAACAAAGAGAACTAGAAGATGCAAATATTCCACTGAGTTCTGAACTCTTGGATGAATTGTTGGAATCTGTTCTCTCTATTCAAGTTAACTTGAAGAAAGTTAGTAACCATTTGAATCAAGTTGATACTCTTCAACAAGTGATGGATTCTCAAAATGTATTTAATAAGGACTTTGTTTCTTTATGTGGGGAATTGGAAAACAGAGTAAGATCATTAATAGAAGAAAGAGATACTTTGCTAACTGCTCAATTCCAATTAAAGGACAAGGAAAAAGGAATCTCGAATGGTGTAAAGAAAAAGCTTGACAAGTTAATGTATAAGAATGTTATGATTCAAACAAGTTCACAAACTCAATCTGCAGAGGGTGAAACCCAAACAGTGGAAAGTGGAGTTGGTTGTGAAGCAGAACAAGATCAACCAACCAACGCAGAAAGAGAACAAAACACTCACACAGAGCAAGAACATGAGAGCCTTAAGAATAAGTATCAAAAGCTTTTGGCTACCTGTCACAAGTATAAGAAGCTCATGCTTAAATTTACTCAACTCCACACCAAAGAAAAAACCAATGTCAGACAATCCATCCCAAGAGTGACCAATCAATCGAATATTTCACAACAAGATTCTATTCACAATGAAGATGAAACTCATCAAGATCAATATGAAGAAGAACAAAATGAGGTGGTTGACCATGATGATTATCAAGACAATTACCAAGATAATTATCAAGAAAATGTTCCAGTCATTCGTGCCTCTCTTCACCACCCACTTTCATTTGATAAGGAAAATACCACACCAAAATCAACAAGACATAACCAATCAAATGGTGACAGTAGTGATAATAGCCCTTCCAATGCCTCTGTTTCATCTGTAAGATCTGTCTCTACAACATTGAGTGTAGCATCTGAAAGAAGTTCCTTCTCTACCATTTCCTCCAAATTTAGAAAAAATCAAGCTCCAAACTCTTACCTTTCCAGTCATATGTCAGTAAGAAACAGACTCAAATAAGAATGATTCTCCAAATTACTGAACATAAATTGTAAATCAAAATAAACTTAAAATAAAAAAAAATGAAAAACGAGTATTCTGCTATTTGTGAAATTTTCCAGAAAGATTTTATTGTTCACATTCTGCAATCTAAACTGTTAGCAAGGAAGGATCCAATGTCTTTGGGAACATCTAATGGAAATCAATTGTTGTACAGATATTTATTCCGACATGTTGAACCGAATTTTGGAAAAATTAAATCATCACCAATTTCATCCTCCGAATTATTGGATGATAATTTCGAAATTGGACAAACAAATAGCAGAGACACTGTACTAACAAGTTTATCACGAGCCGAATATGAAATAATAATTTCTAAATTCTTAAAATTACAACATTTTCTCGCAAAGGAAAATATTAATCCTTTGACCTTACTCAAAACCATGGAAGTAACAACAGAGGAAGAACAAGCCAAACAAAATCATTTGCAAAATATTTACAATTTCATGAAGGATAAGTTGGAAGAGGCTTTTATTGATTCTATGAGTGAATACTACTTGTTGGATGAAAATCAAGTGGACAAGTTGTGGAGATTTGGTCTATTAGAGTATATTCTCATTGGATCCATGTCTGCATTCCAAGCCAATAGACTTACCGGTATCATTGATGAAATTGTACAAGGACAAGTTCCTAACACATTTCCAGAGACCTTAGATCTTACTGATGCAAATAATCAAATTGTAGATGTAAAGAAAACACCAACTCAAATCTATGTAACTCCAAAATTCGAAAAGGAAACTTGGAATTGGCAAGTTGAAGACGAAACTGAAAGAAAATCAAAAAAAGATTAATATTTTTGTTTTTATTGAAATTATGAGTATAACTTGATCAACTCATCAGAAACTCCACTCGGTGTCATGATACCAAAATCTGTGAAAAGCATAGTAATATACTTTGGTGGAGTGAAATCACTTGTTGGATTACTGATTTGAATAGAGTCTGATTCCAATACTGATTCATCCTCAAATCCTAAAGCTGGAATCATCTTGAATTCTGGCTTATTAATATAATAAATCCATCCCTTTTCTTCAAGTTCAAGAATATCTTTTTGGTTAACTGGATATTGTCTAGCAAATCTAAATCTTTCAGCAGCAACATAGAATGGTTTCTTGTGTTCCTTTGCCAAAATTGCAGCTTGATATGTACCAATCTTATTAATAATACCACCACTTTCAACAACACCTTCAGCACCAGTCAAAACAAAGTCAAGATCATGACTGGACATGTGATAAGCAATACTGGCATCAGTAATAATAGTAACTGGAATATTACAACTTGAAAGAGCCTTTGCAAGACGATAACCACTTCCATCTGGTCTACCTTCTGGAACGAGAACACTCTTAAAACGATAAGCACTTTGTTGCATATATGTAGCAATACCAGTTAACACACTAATAACAGTTTCACTATATCCACCAACAATCATCACTTTCATATTATCTCTACTAAAGAATGGTCTAAATAATTCTGTAATACGTTCCTTAGCTTGAGCACTGACAAGTTGAATTTCGTTTCCTCTTTCTGTTAATCTCTTTCTACAAGCTTTGAAATCTGTAATTTCCTCTGTTAATCTTCTTGTAACAAAACGTCTATATAATTCACAAGCAGATCGGAGAGGAATACTAGATTGGAAGAAGAGTGGGAAATCCTTCAATTCATGTCTAGCACATTTAAGTATTTCTTCTGTTGCATGATCAAGTTCGTTTGCCATTTCCATGATTGTTGATGATTTACTATGTTCAACAACACTTGTTAAAAGTGAAATACCAACAACTGCTAAATCAGTAGTATTATTCTTAATCAATTCACGTAATTTACTCTTAATATCAACACATAATTCGAAAGTTTGTGGAAAAGGTGAAGAACTTCCTGTTGGAGTCAATGGTGATTCTACAATTATTCCGACATTTAATTTCCAAATCATCGTCCAATATTAATATTAATAATAATAATAAATAATCATCATCACAATTTTTCATCATCCATCATCATAAATATTGACACAATCATCATCAAGAATAACAACAATATTAAATCCTTCCGCAACCAAATTCAAACTCTTCTCTTACCTTCTTCAATATTTACTTCACTTCTTGCGCTTCTCATTTTTTTATTTTCGTTTTATTTTAAAAATAAATTTTTCTATGAATAATTTAAATCAATTTTTGGAAGCATTTCGAAATTGTTGTGTTTTTATTATTACTGAAAGAATTAATATCATCACACATTTGAATTTCAGAATGGAGAAGTTATCCAGCCAGTAGAGATTATTTTGAAAATTTTCGTGGAGCTTTTTTCATGAGAGAATTAAGAGAGCTTTCGTTTAACATATTGAGAGAGTGGCTTCTCCTTGTATTCCTCTTGTGCTGACAATTATGGCATGCTTTGGAGTGAGTGTAGGAGACCATTCACAGACAGCCATAAACAGTTGTTGTAAAACTTCATCATCTCTTTGCAGTATTATATTAAAGGAAAGGTAGCAGTCAAGAATATTTCCAGTTACTTTGCCCTTCTGTGAGCCATTCTCAAAGGTTCCTTGTACGTATTTGGTATTTTCTTTAAATTTAAGAGTGAAGACATCTCCACCAGCAATACTCAACTTCCAATCTTGTTTTCTTAATAATAATAAGGAATTCTTCTCATATTCAAAATCAAATGTATCATAATTAATCTTGATGAGCTTGTTATTGATGTCCACCACATTGAAATTTTTGAATTGTCTTTGATTGACATTTTCAGAACTACAGAAACCACTTCTATTGATTGAATCACACCAAACTCCATGAATGGCAACGTCTATATTTGCTCCCTTATCTTCTCTCATATTGTATTTGTAATTCTTTTCCTGTGTCCACAATTCCTCTTTACCTTGGCCTTCTCTCTTTTTCTTGGCCTTATAAACAATTTTTCTACCCAAAACATTTGTAATGAGATCTGTTGAGGTATGCCAAATCTGAAAAATTGAAATATATAAACCCCATGATATTCCAAAATAAATGTAGTTATCAGAATCGGGAGCATCAATTGCAAAACATTTTCCTGTAAAGAACTCAATATTGTACAACTTGGCTTTCTTAAGAGATGACTCAACCCATGAAAAATCACCCAAATCATAGGAGCCATAGTAATCTACAATTGATCTCATACTTTCATAAGCAGTAATATCAGTTTTCAAAATATAAGTGTAAGACTGAGCAACTACTTTATGAGTTCCACAATTGTAAAATCTTAAACCAGCCATTTTACCATCAACTATTTGCCATCAGATGATCATTAGTCCAATAATAAACAAAGAAACATACCAAAAACTGATCGGATCAATTTTTTGTAACTAATATCTTTCATACTAATATTCATCATAGATGTTTTTGATATACTAGTTTTTCCCAACAAGGAACTCTTCCAAACACTTTCAAAATGTTTATCGGTTAACATTTGTAATTGCCAATCAGGAAAGATACGATAAAACTTTTCCTTCCAACACTCATTGTCATCCAACATTATTCTTGCTCTTTTACATAACAAAAACAATGAAAGAACATCAGATACTCCAATAAATGGAAAAATTGAGTGTTTAATCAATTCGGGTGGCAAAACATTTAACCAATTAACGCGTGATTCATTAGAATCAAGTTGTGGCATTTTTTTTGAGGTTTTTTTAAACAAGTTCACCACTTTGGAAATGATTAAGCTATTTACAATCTAAAAAAACTTCAAATTGATTAGTAGTTGGGACGGTGCAAAACACATGAAAAACACTGTAGTTGGTTCAAGTTGAAAAATGTGTTTGGATTCTTTTTTTTGAAATGGAATGAACACACAACAATTTGGAACTTTAATAGTGATTGTTGAAGGTACACTACGGAAAAAGAGAATTTAATAGAGGGTAGTGTTTGGTCTTGGATTTGGAAGAACACCTTTCGATTCAAAATATGTGACCATTTGTTTAGGTATTTCGGCTAAGACTTCTGAGGCCAATTCTGTTAAATTAGAGCATTTTGAAAAGCTCACAAATTGAACAATGTCTCTGGTCATCTTCTTTCCATTGCTGTGGACGAGTGGTTCATCATCTGCGTCGAATTTTCTACAACTAGGGAATCTACTATCACCAACACCAACAATGATAATTGAAATTGGTTTGTCATTGGCCTCAACGATTGAATCTATTGTGCCTTGCATGTCAAATGCATCACCATCAATAATTAACAATAAAATATTGTAGAATTGTTGGTGTTGAGTTATTGGAGGAGTTTTTTCTACAACGTGTTCAATTACACGATAAAAGTCATCACCACGATATGCCTTTCCAGTTTTTGGATTGGTAGCAGAGCCCATATCTCCAAAACTTAATTTTGGAACTGCCTTAACGTAAGCATCCAGAATTTCTTCAGCTCCACACAATTCTTCCTTATCAGAAAGTGAAAGGTTAAACATTGGGTGCATTTTGGATTCCTTCTCTATAGTAGCACCGTATCCATAAGCTTCCAATAATTGGTGTAAAACGATTGTAGATTGTATAGTACTTACCGCCATACATCTTGTCAGAATCGTAAGGCTCCAAAATATGCAATACTTGCTCAAGAGCTTGTTGATAATCATTCTTGTTTTTGGCGTTCAAATGGTGGAGGGAATAGGGATAAGTGTAAGTACCGTTTGATGCTGTAAAGTCAATTCCAACTGATACTGAAATATTACATCCTCCAAACAGATAATCCAAAAATTCAGTTTGTCTGTTTTCCTTTCGTGCAATTGTTGATTCATATATTTCATGGATAGGATTGGGAATTGGAACTTGTACCACATCAATAGCACATAAAGAAAACTCAAATATTCCAGAATTTTTGTACTTCTTCTTCTTTAGTTGTATGGTTGGCTCAATCAAGTCAAATTGCTTTACCTTGTTATTCAATACTTGATCTAGAGTGAACCTGAACTCTCCTATCAAATCATCTTTAGAAAATTTGTCCTTATCAAAGCATTTTACAAATATTTCCTTTTGATAATCGTTATTGAACTCATCAAGATTGATTTTGAATGGTAACCAAGACGGGTTCAATGTCTTGCAGATAACTTCACTAGTATAGAGAGGGACTCTTCTTCCAGCCACATCCTTCTCAAAATAAAAATATGGATCTGATTTTCCAAGTAAATCCTTCTTGTCTAACCCAATTCCTCTACATTCGAATGAAATAATTTTCATTTCCGAGTTAACAGTTAATGGTATCTCAGAATGTAAACCATTCAATTCATCCAAGCTCATATTTGCAAATCGGATCATCATGGCATTCTTTTCAGCCTCAACAACATCTACATTCGAATCAGATTGTCTCACCACCTTCTCAACATGAACAAAAACTTCACCTTTAACTTCTCCACTCTTCAAAACCAAATCTAATTTTAATTTACCATCTCTAGCACAAACAGCTTGTGATAGAGTAAATTCTTTGGTCTTTCCAATAAGTCTATTACTATTTCCTGTATCTTCATCAAATATTTCAATATATAATTTCTGCACACACTCAAAGTAATAATGAACACTAAACTTGGTTTTGAATACTGGGTTATGATTATTCTGAATAGTTTCAGTTGAACCGAGACATGAAAAATCAGTTGATATCAAAGTTTGTGAATTTTCCTGTGGGCCACTATAGTAAAGCTTTGCAAACGGATCACTCTTAGAGTACATCCATTCGTACCAAATTACTACATGATAGGTAAATATCGACCGATTCTCTGTAGTTCATACTTTGTCAAAGTAATGTTTGTTAGGAAGACGTGTGGTCGATTTTTTTTTTGCTTTGTTTGATCGAATCCCAAAATGTAAACTACCTGAAGAATTAGGAAAACTTGCTCAATTTAAAAAAAAATCAAACACAAAAAAATACAACAGACCTGTTATGAAAGAATCATCAGCGTCTCTCGCACAGAGTTGTGTTGAACAAAAGGATTGGAATCATCAGCAGCAGCAACAAGAACAACTGCAACATCATGAGAGGGATTTATTTTCATCAATAGCAACAACTAACAATGAAACGTGTTGTCAACAAGAACATACAAGTAAAATAGGAAAGTTAATATCATCATTATGTATATATAATTCGAAGAGTCATAATCGGATCAGAGTTTCAAAATTTTGCAATGTAAAATTATGGATAATAATTGTATATTTATTAATATTATTAGATTTATTTTCTGTACAATACATTCATGCGGAGGTTTTATCATTTGAGAACAAACATCATCACGAAACCGATGTTTTAAAAAAGTTTAGGGAAATGATACGGAAAAGTGATTATCCATTAGAAAATTTAAAATCACCCTCTGATAATCATCCTCTGATATTTCCGATTTTTGATAAGAAACGAAATTCTTATCATTCCAAAGGATTTTGGAGGACAATAGAAGGATTTTATCCTGTTTATAACGAGCAACCAAAGAGAGTTAGCAATAGTGAAAAGAAGACATCTACTACATTGAAACTTTTTACTGCTTTACAAAAAGAGAATGGATTGGCAGATGCTGTTGGAAATTATCTAAACAAAGGTTTAGATATCGAGTCTATGGTCAATCCAAATGAATTAATTACGAGAACTGATTATCTTCCAGAAGACAAATCTAAATTATTTTACACTAATGTGCATGTTGCAGGTTCACTCAAGATGAATCTGGTTTTTAAAAAAACTATTTTGAGAGATTATTACTTTGTGTATGGAACAGTTGCCATGAGGAATGGTAAATATTTCCTTGAGCGAGAAAATTTGCTCTTTCTAGAAGGAGTCTACTCTCTCTTTACCAATCAATTTCATTTCATTTTAAAACCTAAGAAATACTTATTTTATAGAATGCCAGATTATCTAGATAAGGAATTATTGAATCAAACAGTATTTAATGGAGATGCTGGAGCAGAGTTGGCCTATCATTCCTATGTGGATCATTATATTGAAGAATTACAAGAAATGGGTATGGACTATGACTCATACTCTTACTATAGCTCAGCCTACCATTCTCAACAAGACTCTGTCAACTTTGAAAAATCTAAAAGAGAGAGTTGCGTATTTAAAGGACTAGGTATTGGAAAAGCTAATATTCACGATCAAAAACTTAAAAACTTTGTTGAATCATTTGAAACCAATGATTTTAATGAAATTTTGGAGTGGAGTCTCTCAGGAATTGTTACTGGTATTAATTGTAATCATACCCTCATGTTCTCTCAAACATTCCATGATAATAGTGAATTTACTCATGAAGTCAAGATTTTCTTGAGAATCTCTACACTTCTTTCCATCTTTCTCATATTTGGCATGTTGAGACAGATCAAGAGTACTGCTACAAGATCAGCAGCACAAAGGATCTCAATTCTGTTCGTCGGCTTTACATTTACACTTTCTTTCCTTTTCTTCTCTGGATCTCTCATTTTCCTTTTCAACTTTTACTCAGTTTTTAGTATTTCATTGGCTCTTTCCTTTATGAGTTTCCTCTACCTAACTTGCAGCATTCAGTATGTGCTTTACATTTGGAAGTCTCACTATCCAAATCATTACGAGAATGTGGTGAGAGCCTCTGTTTTCTTTTTCTTTTGGGGATTTTTAATGACTGTATTATTTGGAGGGTACGTATTAGAAATAATTGTTAATTTAACATTTGAGAAAGTTATTACCTTTCACACGTATATCCACACTTACTGAGATATATTTTATTTATTGGATTTTCATTCATTGTTCCTCAAATTATTTCAAACTTTGTTTACAATACCAGAAAGTCGGTGGATTTGGTCTATTTGACCTCTCTTGTGGTATTCTTTTCATTCCTGGTACTATGTAAGTTTCATTTATTAATTCATTGAATTGATTGGTTGAACTTCTGTTATTGTAGACTTTGGAACAAGACCTGAAAACTTTTTGGAATTTAAAACAAACTATACTTACTGCTTCCTAATTCTATCCTACATGTATATTCAGTATGGTATCTTTTTAGCACAAAACTTGATTGATCCTAGATTGAATATTTTGAGTACTCACTTATTTGGATTTATGCTTCCACCAAAATACAATTATCATAGACCAATTCCAGAATCGATGTTGGAAGAGGGAGAGTGTAAATGCGTTATTTGTATGTCGGAAATTGAAATACCTGAAAATGATACAACCAGTGATGCCTTACTAGTGGAGGTCAATAACAATTCAACTCTAACAAATAGAAAAAAGAAAGCAGAAAATTATTCGTCAAAAGACTTTATGGTCACACCTTGCAATCACGTTTTCCACACAGTTTGTCTGGAGAAGGTTAGTTTTTTCTGATTTAAATTAATTTTTAATATTTCTATTGTGATAATTCTCAATAATTATATATTTATTTTAATAATTAAAGTGGAAGGAATATAAGCTAGAATGTCCTTTGTGCAAAAAGGATTTGCCAATGAACTAGAAATTAGTTTTGTGATAAATAAATAATTGGTATTTCATGGTTGATTTATTTACATAAATTCATCAATATCAACATTGACAATGGCGATATCCAAAAGATTTTGTCCCTTCTTAGTAGTACTGACATTTAGGTCGTGGAGAACTGGTCTTTCAAACTCATCTGTTGGCACACTCTCAATTGAGTGAACAACCTCCATTCCTTTGATCACTTCACCAAACAGGGTATGCTTATTATCCAACCAAGGAGTTGGTACAGTAGTTATAAAGAATTGAGAGCTGTTTGTTCCTGGTCCTCTGTTGGCCATTGATAACTTTCCAGGTCTGTCGTGTTTGAGACTTGGTGAAAATTCATCCTCAAATTCCTTTCCAAATATTGAGGTACCTCCAGTACCATCACGATTATCATTATCACCTGTTTGAATCATAAAGTTCTTAATAACTCTATGGAAAATACAATTATCATAATATCCATTCAAAGAAAGTTGAGTAAAGTTTTCCACAGTCTTTGGACAAACATCAGGGAATAATTTAACTTGAATATCTCCAAATGATGTGTGAATGGTGGCAATCTTGGCAAGTTTTCCAATCTTTTTCTTTCCTCCAAATCCACTAAGAGATGATGCAGATTCTCCAATAGCATTAGCAATTTCCATTTCTTCCTTTGATGGTTTTTCGTTGAAAATGTCTCTACCAATGCTAGCACTAGCTGTAATGTAGGCAAATCGTTGATGAACAGATCCTGTATGTTCATCATCTTCTGATGGTTCTCTCTTGCTAAACATGTAAAATCTATTCTTCTTGTAGGCTGAACAGAATAAAGTAGGGTCCAAATAGTCCAATTTAATAATACTGGCCTCGTCGGAGTCACCCATTGTAAACATTTGAGAGGAACCATTGGAATTTTTTGAGGCATTATGTTTTGAAAGTTCTGCTCTAGATATTTTAATAATACCTTGGAAGAGCCCAATATTCATAAATCGTTCAGTACTTTCCACTTTACCCAAAAGTCTATCGACACGATTCGTCCTAATATTTCTAAATTTGATACCAAAGATAGTTGGATAAATTAAAAATTGTGAGCTATCATCAAAGAGAACATGTGGTGTTGAATGATAATCCTTGAAGAGAGGATTACTAATTGGTTTGGAAGAATGTTTGCTATCAATAACCTGCTCAATTTCATGTTCAATAGCAACTCTTCTACCAAAATCAAAGTTGTCAGTGGCATACAGTTCCAAATCATTAGTCTCCATTTTGAGTTTTTCTAAAAGAATCTTAGATTTTTTGATTTCCTCGCTTTGGGTTGGATCTTCAGATGTTGTTGATGCTATATTTTCCAAAGTTTCAATAAAGGCCTTGTTAGTGGCAGCTTTTTGTAAATTTTCTTGGAGTGGCAAAGATTCATCATAATCTCTCACCATTTTACCAGATAAAAAGTCAAAAACTCTAACATGACCATCTCTACACAAGACAACAAACGATTTTCCATCCTTTGAAATATCCAAGCTGATGGCATAGGTTTTTTGTTTGGCCAATTCAAAGAGTGAAGTTTCAGACTTGTACTTGAAAGTAAAGAGATTAGTTTGCTTTGTAGATAAATATTTGTTTGCTTCCTCAAGTGTTGGGAATTTACCAGTATGTGGATTCCAGTATTCAATCATTCCCTTTTCATCACAACTAATCATAGCTCCAAAAACTGAATTGAACTTGCAACAAGTAATCTTAGAACGATGTATCATTATAGATCCAGCAACGTTGTACTTGTAAATTGGGTCATTGGATGTAGCATCAGGATTACATGGATCATAAAATTCAATAGCTCCATCTTCAAAGAATATTCCTAGTATTTTGTCAGTAGCACTTCCTTGTTTCTTAGTGATATATTCACATAGATGCAATTCTCTCTTTTGAGTTGGTTCTTCAGGTTTTGTAAAACTAAAAACATTAATCATATCAAAGTTTGTAACATCATAAACCTTTAAATCACTTCTAGTCATACTTGCTGCCAATAATCCATCACATGCCATGGTACCATATTTCAAAGGACCCATCACTGAAGTATTATGAGCAGTAAAATGTTTCACATATTCAATATTATCAATTGTTTTTCTCCAGAATTTAACATGACCATCCTTAGACATGGTAATTATGAAATGAGTAGAACTGTGTGAACTACTGGTTGTTACCTTTGATGGTGGAGCTACAAGTACATAACAAATATAATCACGATGCATATAAGACCATTCATACATTAATCCTTCTGGTAATTGTCCTAAATGTAATTGATCAATTCTCTCTTCCTTTGATAATTTAATTTTAGATCCTAGATTATTATTACTAATTTCCTGTTGTTGAATACTTGATGAGGAGGCTTCAATACCATCGGAGGAGGAGGAAACAGCTAGTGATGATTGATTATTATTTGTTGTTGTTGTTGGAGGTAATGAAGGAATACTTGGTCCATAACCATCATCATCAGATTCCTCTGCTGATGATTTTGTATTACTAGTTGTTGTTGGTTGCATACCTGGAATGGCAGGGCCATAATCATCTTCATCCTCCTCTTCTTCATTATTTACTTCTTGATCATCACTCTTTACAGCAGTATTTAATTTAGCAATTTGTTCTTCCAATTGTCTCTTCTTTTTTAATTGTCTTTCAAAGTCATCGTCCGATTCCGATGATGATAAAGCCGATGATGAGGACGATGAATAACTTGATGAAGAGGACGAAGAATTTCTTCTTTTCATTTTTTTCTACTTTGTTGAACATGAAGGAATGATGATAATCTTCTAATTCTTTCTTCTTTGTGCAATGAATGATATTCATGAGCAGAATAATCTCTGAGGAATGTTTACAAATGGATGTAATATAGAGTTTGAGATTTGATAATTTATTTGTAAATTTGAATTCTATTATTCTTATTATCCACAACATATAATTCACCAGTTCTAATATTGATGGTGAGTCCTGTTGGATTGACGAGTTCGAGAGGTCCATTTCCCTTACTTCCAAATGATTTGATAAATTCACCTCTTGGTGAGAAAACCTGAATGCGATTATTACTGCTGTCACAAACAATGATATTCCCTGTTGGCTTGTCAACAGTTAATCCTGTTGGATATAAGAAATCAGAATTAGAAATACCCTTCTTACCGAACATGTAAATAAAATCGTCACCATTCTTTGACATGATCTGAACTCTATTGTTTTTCATATCGGTCACAATTAAGAAATTGTCTCTATTTGAAATACCAATACCATTTGGTGCGTGGAATTGCATTGGGCCTTTACCTTCACCTCCTATGTGTCTAATGAATTTACCTTGACGGGATACAAGAACAACCTTACTGTCACTCACAAAAATGTTGCCATTTGTATCATCAACAGCAATACCTTGTGGTTTTGATAAGAGTTCTTTTGATTCCAAAGACCAAAGTAAATTGTGATCATTACACAAACTATACTTATATACACAACTATTTTCACAAGTGACAATGAGGGAATCATCCTTGTGATCAACAGCCATATACAATGGCTTATCGGGAGTGTCAATTGTATATTTAAATTCTTGTGAAAACAAATCAAAAGCTTGAATTCTTTGATTTCCATTATCGCTTACAAATATTGTGTGATGTTCAAAGCTAATTTTTACATCAATAGGATTATTAAAGTTACCAGGTTGATCCGAAACAGGTAAACCTCCTATCGTACCAGTATGTAAAAAGTCTAATCTAAAAGAAACAATATTAGTTGTTGCTCTTTCAGCTTCGTGATTGCTGATAATCTCGTGTTTCAAGTGCATAGACATTTTGTATAGAGTTTAATGTGTTGTTATTAAAGAAGTGTGTATTGTACAAATTCAAATTGTAAGATGATGATTTTCCAGATGATAAAGTATTATAAAGCCTATCAATATATTCTTCTTCTTGTGTCGGTCGAGGTAATCAGTACGAAATGATGATATTGGTGAGGAAGATATGTTGTTGTATTGTTGAGGCCTTTTTTTGTGGTGTATTAGCAAAAAATAATATTGCGGCTTTGTGTGTGTTTTGTTCAGATTTGAGTTTGGCACATAAAAGGATCTTTGGCAACAGACACAAAAAAGCTACTGGGCCAAAACTATTTTAACACAATGAGGATGATTATGGACACGGTCAATGAAAATTAGTAAGATTGTGAGGTGGCCTTATAAAGCATTGTTGGATTGCTTTCATTGTTGTGTGTGAAATGTGTGAAATGTTTCAAGTTATAAGAGATTATCAGTGCTTTCATTTTTGGAATATTTGACGATTATGGATTGTTCTCCTTTTAAAATTAAAAACACTTACTGGAATAAACGCCATATTTTTGTACATTTATACAATAGATTTCACCAGGTTGACCTCTGTAGATGAAATTTACACAAGTTGTTCTCTGGATGGAGACAATCTTCTAGTTGGAGAGCTTTCATTGTCATCAGTACTTGTGGTTGGTGAAGTAATACTGCTTACAAGAGGGGAGAGAGTTGGAATTTCAACACCCATATTTCTCTTGGCAAGACTGAAAGCATAAATTCCAAGATTTGTACACAATTCTCTTACAACAGAAACAGCAAAGAATGAATAAGCCAAAGCAGACCAAACAATGGAAATAGAAAGGAGGGCAACTGAATTAATGAGAGTTGCACCAGTTTTTGAGAAAATAACTGTAAGTCCATTCAAGATAAAGACAATCATTGGAAGGACAATGACAAGATATTGCTTAGTATATCTTGGATAAGGTTGATTACTGACACGGGCAATATTCATTGTTGTCAAGAAGATGCCAAAAGCAAAACCACCAACAACCATAATTCCAATCCAGTGAGTTTGATAGAATGATCTATCACCAATAACATCAGATGGAATAACTCTAGCAATAAGACTCATACATAAATATAAAACAGCCATAACTACCAAAACACCTAAATCCAATGTGGCAGTACCAATTTCTTGTTTGGTTTTGATGATATTACTCTTTTGAGAATCTTTGAATTCCTTGGTTTGCAAACCAGATTCCAAATCAATAGGCTCATTATTGCTATCCTCGTCCAATGAAACTGTCTTTGACTTTTGTTTGTAGAAATTGAAAACATGATAAATTGAAGTGATTGGAGACATTGCAGAACTAAACATGGTGAGTAAAATAACCCAAAATCCAACATTAGCTCCTAGGAATGAAATATTACCCAATCCAACAACTGAATAGCTTGGAACAATAATGTTATAAATGAAAGCAGCCAAATGTGCACCAATAACAGCAAATTGACCATCACTAGCAGAAACAAAACCCATGTAAAATCTTCCAGTGTGATAGTGTTCCCAGTGAGCAGTGTAGAAGGCAAACATCATAACAATATGAAGAGCAGGCACAATAATATCACCGATAAAGTATCCAAATTCGCTTGAAGCTATTCTGAACGGTGTTTCTCCTAAGACAATGAGGAAAGACAATGGTAAAATTGTCAAACTCAAAGCATCGACACCATGGTCAAAGATTTCTCCTAAAGGGCTACTACTACCAGTTCTTCTAGCTTGTTTTCCATCACATCCATCCAATGTATTATAACAGAAAATCAATAATGAAATTAAAAGTAATGTAAAGTTATAAAAAGCTTGTGATGTAACTGAAGTTATCACATAGGAATAATAATTAATAACGGAAATTGTAAAAACTAGGGCAACACAAAAGAACCCAGAAAGAGTGATTGCATTAGGAGCTAACCACTCTGGGAAAATTCTACTAGTAATGAAATTCCAGAAAGGATTCAAAATATAATTTTCAGCTACGGAATTGTTTTGAACATCAAACTTGTAGAGAGCAGCAACCAAGTTTGGAGTGTCAGCACTATTATTATTGGCAGCAGCAAGGGCTTGTTGTTCACGTTTTGCTCTCATGATGGATTGTAAATATTCCTTTCCTTGTGGTGAAATGAATGAGTACCACTTTGGTCTAGTACTAACTTCAGTTATATATGACCACATTAAATTCAAGTTGGCCATAAATCCACTTCCTGATGAAAGAGGGAGAGTAGCTGGATCAAAACGTTCACCTGATGATTTTTGAATCATCGGAGAAGAAGATGAAATAAATTCATTTTGGAAAGTTGGTGATACTGCTTGAGATCTTTCATGGTCTCTTTGGGAATGACTATCAACTTCTTCAATAGAAAGTTCTTCCGATGATGATTGTCTAGAATTCATCATAAATAAGTTGCTTTAAATAAATAGTTTTGTTTTTCTATATTCAATTGTGCGATCCAACCTTTAAATGTAAAAAACTGCTCTTGCGTTATTGTTGTTGGCAGTAAATAAATGTAACAGCGAAATTTACACTCTAGCTTCTTTTTTTTAATTTAAATTTTTTAAATAAATTTTAAACGTTGAAGGTTTTGAATTATTTTCAAGGCTAAAAAGCAGAAGTTCTATTTGTTATCCATCTTCATCTGAAGTGACCTCGATACAACAGTTGTTTCATTGGGAGATGGATAATATTTTGAAGGAAGAGGAACTTTTGAACATGTGCTATTTTCCAAAGTTACGAATGTTCAAAAAGTTCAAATTAATTCAAGAATGAAAATTAATGAAATTGTTATTACTACTGTTGTATTAGAGTTAATTGATTTACAAATTCAATTCTTTGAATGCTTTATAACCAGAAGCTAATGCTTCATAGACTTCTTCAAGTTCAGATTCAGAATAATCCTCTGGAATGTAAGTTGTTCGATTGAATGGATACATGTAGTTTTCATATCCCTCACTCTCAGCTCCTGATTCAGGGTCAGCACAAATCTTGTTGTAATATTCTTCTCCTTCAGAGATGATTTTACACACAGCATACATTCCACCATCATCTAATCAAATTGTCATTTGACAAGCTCAATAATAAAAAAACAAACCTTCAAAATCATCCATATCATTATCTCTTCCAATACTAACCAAATGATCCAAAACCTTATAGAATTTAGTTTCAATCCTAGCAGCAATGTCAACCAATGAATTATCCACAATAATCTTTTCAACATTATCACATTTTCCTTCTGATTTTCCAACAATCCACCAAAACAATCTCTCAAGTCTCTCATCATCATTCTTTGTTACAAATCTTCTCTTCAACAATTTCATCACCAAGCCATTAAACTCATTTAAATGCTTTAATCTTCTAGAATACAATGGAAACTCCTCCATCATGGCCTTCTCATAACGTTTATCCATCACAGAAAGGTCATAAAAACTCTTCGAAACCAATTTAATGTTTTGCAATGCCTCAACATTTGCATAATCAAGAATTAAGGAGAGAATTTCCTGAGGACACTCAACATTATTCAATTTAATGGACGATAGAGTTGCTGATTCGGATCCGAATACAAGAACCTGATCAGTCATTGCCAACTCTATCATTTCATTCATGTTCATTTCGTCGCGTTTTGTTTTTTTTGCACCTTTAGTGGATTCTTCTTTTAATTGTCGTTTCATTTTTTTATGGAAGAGATGAACTTGGTTTTTTAAACTATCTTTTTAAATATGATGAACTTGGTGAACTCTACAAAATTCGAGATTATGAAGGAAAATTCAAAAAGTAGGAGTCCCCATTGTATTCCAGAAGATTAACAATTTTCTTTAAATATAATTGAGGTTACGTAGCAATGATGTCATCCACTGTTTTTCAAATCATTTCTGTATGCCACTATTTCATATTGAAATCAAAATAGAAAAAAATGAAAGGAAACTCAACCCAAACAATCACCCGATCGAATGCAAATTCATCCTCATCACTGACACAACCAATATTCGATAATTCAAGTGATGGAATATTGACTTCAATCCGAAGAGGAAATATCAAACATATAGAGCATGCCATTGCGCATCGTGAACACATTCCCGATCACTATTTTAATATTCATGTGGCTGCAGAGTGTGGAGAGTTGAGTATTTTGGATTTAATGATTAGGAAAATACCATGCAAGGATATTAATGCAGTGAATGGAGAGGTAGGTTATTGAGATTGGATAGTTCTTCTCAGTTGAATCGATTGAATGTGTGTTTGTGCGTGTGGATGAATTGGATGATTAGGGAATGACTTGTTTAACGTTGGCTTGTTGGAGGAATAGAGCTAATGTGGTGAGATATTTGTGTTCGTTTGAAAATTTGGATTTGAATAAGAAAGTGACGAGGGCAGAGAATACAGCTCTTCATGTTGCTGCTTCGTATAATTATGTGGATGTTGTTTTGATATTGTTGAGATCTGGTGCTGAGAAAACAATTGAGAATTATGTAAATATTTTTAATTTTTTAAACTTAATTGCTAAATTTGGATAATAGTATGGAAGAAATGCTGAGGATGAAGCATTGAATAGAGGACTTTCTAATATTGCTGAGTTGATTGCAAGATTTGAAAAGAATTTGGTAAGTTTAGTTTAAATATTCGAAAGGAATTTAAAATATGTTTTAGGCAATTAAATTGAAATTAAAAAGACAAATTCTTGATCAAGAATCTTACTCAAATTATCGTATTTGGGATATTTCCATAAATATTTCTGAAGATTAATAAATTTCAAACTTTACAATAATTGTTTACAATTTATTCTCAAAAACAAACATATTCTCACCTGTCTTATATTGAACAGATGGCAAAATGGTAGTTTGAACAAAGTGACTTCTACTTTCCCATAAATCAAGGAATACACGATATTTGAGAGTTTGTTCTAAATAATCAACTCCAGAACTGCCACCAGTTCCAACACGAGTTCCAATCATTCTCTCAACCATACGAACGTGACGAGTTCTCCACATCAATAGAGCTTCTTCCAAAGCAACTAATTTATCCAATAAATTGGCATAGTCCCACAACATGTGATGATGTCTGTAACTCATAATAAAGAGGAGTGCAGTACGACGTTTCTTAATACGTTCAATCTTTTCATTCACTGATCTCTTCATTGGTTTTTCTTCTTCTTCAGCAGCAGGAGTATTACTTTCAGAGCTAGCTCCAGTAACTGGACATTTTTCTTCAGTAGTGACATTTTCTTGTTGAGCAAAGAATGGACAACCTCTTGTGGATGGTTTCTTAAATTTGAATTGTTGTCTTCCCTTAATATGAGTTTCAGTATCCTCAATATGAATCCATTGCTTGGCAGGTTTCATTTCTCTTTCAATTTGTTCTTGAATAGTTTGCATCTCAGTTTCTGGATTAAACCATCGACATTTTTGGAACATTAAATGATCCTTCTTTCTTTCCAAAAAGATTTGAATGAATTGATTTGCAGGAATCTTTGGATAAACAACTTCTTCTAACCATCGATAAACCAACTTTCTAACAGACATTTCAGATTGTCTTTGTTTCAATCTCTTCATACCAATCAAATCATGTTGTAAATCTTCTTCAAAACTATTTCTACTTCCCATATTTCTGTTACAATCTCTCAATCCAAGCATGACTTCCAATTCACGCATTTGAATAGATTGGAAACCACTTGCTGGTCCAATTACTGAACGATATTCCAAAAAGTCAGCTGGATGCATGGTTTCTAAAATGTCAAAAGTTCCCAAAGTGTAACGAAGAATTTGATCAGCTCTATTTAATCTGTGAACAAGAATTTGAGTTTGTTCAACTGTCAAATCAACATCTTCATTGGAATGACTGGTTGCATAATTAACTACCTTTCTCAAAACAGTTTGAACAGAATCCAATTCGAATAATATTTGTTTAAACCATAATTCGAAACTTTGATGAACAACAATGAATAAATGTTCATCTATTTTAAATTATTTACCACCAAACATCAACCATTATCATGACGATCACATTAATTTTTACATTTCCGATAATATTTAAAAATTCTATTCGAAACCAAATAACAAACACTCTCAACTTACCATGATGATTCAATCCACCCTTACAATCACCATTTTGCAATTTCAACAACTCATCAGTCATAATATAATTATTATAAGTAACAATAACTTTCTTTGCATTTTCCAATGGATGCAATCCATGCAATTCTTCATACGAAATTGAATGATCGGAGGAGGAGGATGAGGATTTTGAACGTTCTTGACCAATTTGTGAATTGTTGGATGAGAGAGGATGGGAAGGAGGTGGAGAAGAGGTGGTGGAAGAACCGTTGATTGGTTGTGTTTCTTCAAAGTGTGGTGGAGTGATTGGATGAGTGTGGGAATCCATTGTTGACAGTTGGCTGGTGATGTGAAATTAAAATATTTTTTTTATATTCGAAAGTGGATTTGAGGTGAAATGGGTTTTACAATGTGCTGAGTTGGACATTTATGGGCAAATGGAGAAAAACTCCTTTTACTGTTTGTCAACCGAATGATTGAAATCAAAAATTATGTAAAAATTTTTAAAAACGAAATTTAAAAGATGAAATTGCAGGAACCAAAGTTGGGGAGCATTCATTTATTCACATAAACAATCGCATCAAGTTGCAGTACAGTTCCTTGAAATTCTATGAGTCCATACGTTTCGAATAATTATTCTATTCTTCGGTCCAACGAAATTGTGGTTTCTAAAATTGAAATTTTTGAAATTGAAACTTCGTATTTTGGCCATGTTTAAAAATCGTGACATGCGCACTCTTTCAATAAGAATATTTCACTAACAAGATTAGTCTACACTATTAGAATCTATCCAATAGGGTGCATTGCATTCTGCTGGAGTAGTTGGAGATCATTGTTGGATTCGAACGAGATTTCTCAATCAATTGCAGCAATTATCCAATTGTGGAAGTTTCCAAAAAGATTATTCTTTGAATATCCAACGAAACCAAACGAAACTAGATAGAAAAAATGTCCTCAAACCTATTTTCACAACCATTCATGCCTCTGAGTGGTACATCCTCTAATGTATCCCAATCAGTTGCATCATCTTCAGCACCAACTTTGAAAAAAAGACGAAACTCTGCAATTATGCAACATTTCGAATTGGAAAAGGAGAATTTAGAAGAAAGTATAACTGGCAACAATAGTGGTCCTTCTTCAAAGTTTAGATCTTCATTCAATTTTACAAATCCCAATGAAAAAGCTAAACCAAATTTGGGTAAGAGAAGAGCTTCCCTTCCAGAAGATAAGATTTGCCTTCAGTTGGAAGATATCGTAGAAGCACCTGGACATTTCATGACTAGTGATCCGATATTCGATATTTTCAAGAAGATTTCTCAATACATGACAGATAAGGATTGTTTCGAATCGTCACTTTCGTTAGCTTGTTCAAGTGCTAGAGAAGCTGTTTTGCAAACACATTTCCTTGGAAAACCTTCGATTATTAATAATTATTTGAAGAATTGGATTGTTTCGTAAGTAGTTTGTTAGAATTTAATATTCGAAAGTTTACAATATAGAAAAACATATCAAGATCATTCAAGAAAGGAATTGCCAGAACTTGTTCTTAGATTTAACAATGCGTTGTTTGTTCATATGAATCCAATTCTATTAGTATTGTGTGCACAACATGGGTAAGTAGTTTACAACAATTTTTTGGTCAACCACCAATTTATTGTAAACCAAAATTGATCAATCCTCAGCTGTGAAGCCATTCTATTCGATACAATCAACCATCCCTTCCTCACATTTTCCCTCTTCCGTCAATTGAGCACTCATGACATTGGAGAGTTGATGCAATTCACAGATATGAAATTTTACAGCATCTTCCATCCACTTGATTTATTCTCAATTCTGTTGTGTGAATCTGTGAATTGTAACTTTTACAATTTGGCCACAACTTTACATAATAATCACTTGGTGAATGCTACTTGTCCACTTCATGCTAAGGAAAAGGTTTCCAAGCTTGAGATTATGCTGGAAATTGCATTAGAAAGAGATTTGCCGAAAGCATACTTCTTCCTGTTGGAGAAACTGGTCGAAATGAAGAGATTGTACATTGAAGAATTGACAGATACCTACAATCGATTGAGTCAATCTCTAGATTCGAATCCAATTCGTGAATTAGTTGAAGGTGAAGATGCGTCAAATGTTGGCTGGGTTCCAATCTTTGAAGAAGAAGAACAGGAAATGGAATGGAGTGTCGAGAAGAAACTAGTCCAACGCTATTTCCACACCAAATTCAAACACTTTGTCTTGGATTGTCCACGAATTTTCTATGAAGGATTTTTGGGCAGTGGAAAAGTTGATGAGCACATCTTGCAAGTTCTCAAGAGATTTGTTGGACATTGCTCGACCATTCCAGAGAGGGAGTTTATTGTAGAGAAGTTTGTTTTGGCACTTGTTAGAAATTTGGATAAGGATCTTCCATATGTGATTGATTGTTTGTCTGAGCATGTGAATGAGTTTTCGTATGGTTTCTCCAGAGCTGTATTTGGTAATGAAGGTGTTGTAAAGAATGGCATTCTCAAATCAGTTCATATCTTTAAAACAATTGGTCATCTATTAGAAAGAGAGAAGAATGAGAAGGAAAACAATTCACAAGACTATATATTTAGTATTGATCAATTGAAAAGAATTTTCGAGGAGATGGAATTCAGACACAACTTTATGGCCCTTGACAACTTTAGAAAGAAACTTCTCTCCTATAGAGATAAGGATTTAGTTTAATGAAGTGTCGTCCTTGAATAAGATAATAAAAGCATACCTATTGTTCAGTAGTAAAATTATTGAGTCATCCTTTTATCAAGAGAAATTACTGGCAAATTGGTGAAATGAAACTTTATATGTACATTATTTTGTAACAGCCTTCTTCTTAATGAAGAACTGTTTGAGCCAAAGTGAGAATAATTGTTCATTATCCTTTCCATCCTTAAATTTCATAATCCATGGATGAGTCAGTAATTCTTCAGCGAAAGGTCTCTTATCCTTAGTTGGTTCACAACACTTCAATATAAAGTCCTTAAATTCTGCACTCAGTTTCTTTTCTGGTTTTAGTGTGGCATCATAATTATTCAATATTTGTAACAGTTCATTCTGGATATTTTCCAATTTATCTACAATATCAAAATGTGAGAGAGTTGTTAGTGTGCTTAGAGGGTGAACACCAGTCATTAATTCAATAGTTAATACACCCAAACTCCAAATATCAGAATTATAATTGTAGGAATACCCTTGTAATCTTTCGGGTGAAAGGTAAATTTTGGTACCATTCACAGTACTAAACATTGTTTTTCCAATATCCTTGTTAGATTCCTTCTTGTGACCGCAAAGACCAAAATCTCCAATTTTAACTTCAGCTTTTTGTGTATTTTGATCATAGTCCACTAAAATATTCTCAGGTTTAATGTCTCTGTGAACAATATGTTTTTCCTTTTGCAAATATTGGAGACCCTTCAAAATTTTCTCTACAATTACAGACATCATTCTTTCAGTTGTTCCTTCTGTTACTTTGAACACATCTTTCAAACTTCCACAATTGCAATAATCAAGCAACATGTAAAAACACAAATCTTTGAAATAGCAATTGTACACTTTGAGTAGATTAGGATGATCACTTTCGTAAATGGCCTTAAACTCTGCCCATATAAGTTTGTTTTGATCAGATTCATCATCACCAAATGGATTTTCTCCCTTCTTTTCTCTAATAGTTTTCAGAGCAAACTTTTGACCAGTTTGTTTATGCTTTGCGAGTACTACAGTTCCAAAACTACCACTTCCCAAAGTACCCAACTTGAAACATTCCAAATCATCATATGGGATATTCATTTGTTTTTTAGCTTCGTTAGATGTATCATCATCATTAAAGATGAGACCATTAGGACCAATATAATATGATTGTGTTTCTCCGAATGAAGATCCCTTTACTAACAAATTCCATCATGTAATTTCATCATTAATTCATAAAAATTCATTTAAATTCCATATTTGATTTGAATTAATTATTCATCTACCAATAATTAAAAACTTACATGCTTTACTACCACTCACTGGCGTAGTCAAATCCAAATGAGTTTCGACTCTCAAAATCAAATTCGAGACAAAATTTGTATTTCTAAATCCAGTTGCTGGTTTATGAGCAGCAACAACTGGTGCTTTTTCCTCCTCATCATCACTATCACATCTGAAATTATCCAATCCGTAGGCAATCATTGGTTTACCCAACGGTTGTTGTTTTTGTTCTTGTTGATCGCCAAATGTTGAATCATCAAAGGCAGACATTTTTTTCTACTTGTTTTGTTGTTTGTGTTTGTGATGATGAATTACAGTTTGTTTTGAGCCTATTGGAGCGGTTTTGTTTCCTATATTATCAGGTTCATCATCAGTGAAATTCGTGCATGTTTTTGAGATGCGAATCAAGAGTTTTGTTAGCTAATTGCTGTTTTTATATGTTAGGACGTATTTGTGCTTGTTGGATTTTTAAATGTGATGATTGAAAAACAAAATAGTTTGTTATATTATACGTTGTAAAAATTCTATTCTTCTTCTTTTCAATAATAATAATTGATGATGATCAAGTCCGTTCATAATACTACTTCCATGTTCATTCAATCGGAAGATCAATTATTTAAAAAAATAGATTGACGTTAATAATACTACTTTAACTATTTAAAAAACAACAATAACACTCCAATATTGGCCAATACAGCAATTTTTAAATGGGAATGAGTTATTCACAATCAGTTAGAGAATTAATAAAACAAGTCGAATCGGAGGATGCTATCATTGTTGATGATCATAGTAAGCTTCCACCTGCACTTGTACAACATTCGGATGTTGAGTGGATGAAGATTCTCACCTCTAAACAATATGAAGTGTTGAGAAGGGCTGGAACAGAGCCTAGTTTCTGCTCTGGATACAAGGTTTTCAAAGATCAATTGAAGGAAAACAATCAGGAGGAGGGAGTTTTTCATTGTTCGGGATGTGATGCTCCTCTTTTCTCTGCTAAAACAAGTTTTGATTCTGGTAAGTGTTTTATTAACAATTCTGTGTAATTTATTTCATACATCAATGATTCAATTATTTGTCAATTTGAATTTATTGGAATGCATTCGTCCATTATTTGGAATGAATTTTATAAAGGTTCTGGTTGGCCATCATTCTGGGCTCCTTTTAAGCCAAAAGCCATTGGATATGTAGTCGATAAAAAGTTTGGAATGGAACGTGTTGAAGTTGTTTGTACAAATTGTCACTCTCATTTGGGTCACGTATTTGAGGATGGACCTCGTGATAAAACCAAATTGAGATATTGCATCAATGCTGTTTGCCTTGCTTTGAAGAAATTGTAAATTAATAATATTTCCAAAATTGTAAATATGATTTTTGTGAAATGATTTTTATTGTGCAACGGTGTAATATTTAACCTTTCGTTTTATTTTCTTTTCTTCCTGTCGTTTGGACTTTTGGTCATGGAGACTTTTACTCCTAGCATTTGCAGTTGATTCTGCTGGTTCTTGTGGTGGTATTACATAAATAGGAAGTGATTTGGTGCCATGATTATGAAAAGCTCCACCCAAATTGATTGCAATTTTGGGAGATGGTTCTGCTTGAGGATAGGAAATGGAAGGTGGTGTTAAATTTAATACAGGCAAAGTGTTTCTCTTAAATCTTAATACCGATTTGTTTGGTAAATTACCTCCATTCGAGAGGAATATTAAATTCTTATTCGAGCTGGACCTCAGTTTTCTAGTGAGAGGTGAGAATTGTTCAAGGTTTCCAGAGGAGGACATATCTTTCATGGAACTGTAAATCTTAGATTGTTTTTCGAGTGTGATTGTTGTATTCGAAGAAGAAGAGGAAGATGAGGAGGAAGATGATGATGATGAGGATGAAGTAGATGGCCTATAAAAACTCAAAGACTCTTCACCCATGTGTGAGGTAATATCTACACTTGGCAAGGACCTTGCTGATGAGGAGTATCTTGTTACACTCTTTCCACGTCTGAACATGGCATCATTGAGGGAATGATGTTTTCTGTAAATATCTTGTACTTTCTTTCTTCTCTCCTGAGAAAGAACTCGTTTGCAGAGAGGACAAAATTTGTGCTTGTGAATGGCACTGGTGCTATAGGATAAATGTTCCAACTCGCAGGAACACTCTGTTATGAAGGAGGACTGGCTAAGACCCATGTTAAATATATAATGTTTAATGATGAAAAGTAAGGCGGAATTATTTAAGGATTCTCATACGAGGGTTATTGTTGAAGTGTATGTACAGCAGCAATTATATAACTTGATATTTTGAGAGAGTATTGCTGAAACTTGTGAAGTTTGTTTTTTTTTGTGTTGTGAAAAAGCAAGGTCTGTTGGTGTTGATTTTATATTGTTCGATGAAATTTCGCGTAGTTGAAGTTTCCTTTCATCACTTCGCTTAAGGAGGGTCGCTTTTATACATTTTAGCACACTACCTGATAAGGTGGTGGTCTCTTCTTTTATGCAATCCATGCATGGAGTTGTGTGCAATAAGGTTCCCCTTCAATTTACAATTACCTTAATATGTATCTAAAGGACGTCTGTCCACTCACAAGATTCAATTTCTGTGTGGATAATAACTCGAAATGGTATTAAGGATTCTTGAATATGCGGTTTACCTTAATAACAAGGTTAATGCCTGATTCTTAGAAATTTAGAACTGTCGGTAGTGGGAACTGTTGGTGGTTTTGGGTTTTGCTAAACGGATGATAGCACATACTATGAGGGATATAAGTAAACAAAAGAGGAAAGCGAGCAACAAACTGCCAATCACCACTGGTGCTATTATCCAATTAAGATTCTCCTCAATGCATTTTGATGGCGTTACTGGCTGCCCAACAGACACCTTATATCCTGCATTGCACTGCGAGATGATACAACTATCGAGCAGGAATCCGTCAATGCATTTCCTTACTGAATTACCGTTCTCAGTTGGACAAGACTTATCTGAATTACATTCATTACCACTGGTTGATCTTTGGCCAGTGAGAGTATACATTGTATTTGATGATAAATCTAGAATGGATCCAGTCATTGAGGAAAGGAGACAGTTTCCATCTCCTGATGAGGATCCTTCTTTAAGAACAACGTTGAAGGTGGCTGTCTTGTCATCAATTTGCATAGATCCTTTCCACTTATCTCCAAAGTATGTACCATTCATATTGAATCTGGTTGAGTAAGCTTGCCAATTGTATGACTCTCTAATGAATACTGTTTCAACACTTGTCTTGTTATAGGAATCTTTGAGAGTGATGGACCAAGTACCAATGATATAACAATTGAGTCCAAGGTAATACTTGATAGCCTGATGTGAATCAATATTCTTCAAAATACCATTGTGTGAATATGGGAATGAGAGTCTTTGGGTTGCTTCGAAACCATCTGCTTCCACAGATTGATAAGTGGCCAATCCATCACCAGAAATGTAGTCATCCATGGCATAGAAAATATTACTAAAGTTGGAAATTACTACATTACTGTTGGCATCAACAGAAATGCCTTCACCTTTGAGAATGATAGAAATTGGAGTTGGTTTATCCATGCCAATAATGTTGTAGAAATAGCTTGGCTGATCGAGTTTTGAAGAATCATAGATTTGTTTGATAATATTGTTGGAAGCTTTCGATGTGTAAATATCATCTCTGAATGGAATAACTCGTGACTTGGCATTATTTTCACCATAGTATACAGTATTTTCTTTCAGGAAAGATTTCAAACCTTGAATCACTTGATCTTCAGTTACTGAAACTCCATTAATTACAATTCTTGGAGTGAGAGAACCTCCAACATTCTTTGCCTTGTTGCTGAGTGCCATTCTTTCATAATGTGCAATAGAACCTAACGAAACATCTCTCACAGCCAAAGCATCCAACTTGATATTATTCAAATTTCCTCCAAAAAGTGATGAAGCAATCCAATCTCTTCCTGTTCCTTGCCAGGGAGTGGCAAAACTAATGTGAACATTGACAGACTTGTAAAGTTCACGGTTAACAACATATGCTGTTTTTGAGACGTAGCCTCCCATACTGTGAGAAATGAGATTGACCTTGTTCGCCTTGGTTAGAGTCTTAATATTTGCAATATAAGTTGACAATTTGAATGCTGAGTTAATGATAGAATCTCTCCAATCATATGGAAATGCAAACAAAGTCACTCCTTCCTCATATCCAATTGACTTTAAATATTCAATCAGTTCATGAAAATAGTATCTCTTCGGACCAACTCCATTATCAGAATCTGGATTTAAATTATCAACAGCATAGAGACCAGATCTTTGCATTGGTGACACAATATTCCATCCATTCTCCTTGGCAGCAAATGAATCCATTTCCACATCACCCACAATCGAACTAGACATCATTTTCATGCCAAATGTCGAATCAGGATAAGTTTCATATAAATTTCTCACAATTTTCCCCGGGTTTGCTATTTCTTCAACGGATAACATTGAAGCTGCATATCCAGGAATTAATATAATTGGCAATCTATAATTGTTATTACTAGTAGTAGCACCATTCAAAAAAACTCTCTTTAAATTATTTAAATTAATTGTAGGCTTTGATGATGACAGGGATGAAAATAAATTCATCATGAAAAGTAATACTACTATCAATCCCCAATAATAATTAATTATTGTTGCTCTCTTCATGTTGAATCACGGTAATGTGTTGTTGATTTATAAAATTAAAGCCTGTGATGATTCTTTTAATTTTCGCAAAATCAGAACAAAAAAGTTTTTAGATTTTTTTTTGAAATGTTTGGTGAATGAAAATTTCAACATGAAATTCAAAGATTGAATATAAATTGTAATCGTCCAATGATTACAAACAGTGTATTTTACCGGTAAAAGTGAATCTAAATGCTTCAAGTTTGAACTTGTGGAAGGTGGCTGGTTATTGATGTGGCTGCTGATTTGAGTCTATTTAAGGCTGTTGCTTATTGTTACAAATTTACTTAATCATATCTAATCTTCGTGAAGTGCATGTATGCGTCCACAATGGTGGAGATAAGATTATAATGTGGCTGTACGAAATTAATCAGCACTAAATTTTTCAAGCGAAATTAACTAAGTGTTTGGTCCCTTAGAAGATAGGTCCGGCAAGAATGAGATATTTTGCGGAAACAATGATACACCAGCAAAATAGTGCCTTGTTAATTTCCTACAGATGCAAAATATATCTATCGATTTAATTATTTGCTTCTATTGTGTCTTTCAAGTTATGCATTTATAAATCCACTCCGATGATATTCTTTGTACATTTCATCAAGTCCTTATCAGAGGAAATACATTGATAGAAATCAACATCTACTGAATCATAGTTGAAACATTTTTGAATTTGTTTTGCACACACGACGCTAGTAGTGCATGTTGAGAAGCTGACAATATTGATTCGATCATCTCCAGCAATCCATTCTTCCAAGCTTCTTTCCTTGTCGCAATGACGGCTAACCATTTCAAACATTTGTTGAGCTATTTGAGGGTTGAGAGGATTCTTCTCATCCACATTGACAGTAGATCCAAACTTTTTCAAGCTCAATTCGGACAACTTGTTCCACTTGGCGAAAGCTTGCTTTGGGTTCATATGTAAAATCTGATCAATTCTACTTCCCATTTCTCCAATATTGTCTTGATTCTTTGTTAGGAATAAATCAATATTTCTACTTGGTTTTCTCAAGTCTCCATCAAACAATTCTGAAATTTTCTGTTGTGCTTCATCATCACTCTTTGTTTTGTAAATTTCCTCAGTGACCTTATCAAGTTGAACCAAATCCAAATCCAAAACATCTTTCTTATTCACATTCGGAGTCTTGGATGTTTGCATTGGTGATCCCAATTCTCTGTTCATCAAATAGCACATGCAAGTATTATAGAGGGAAAGAATAACAGTGTGTTTTAAGGTATTTTGAGGTTCTTTCACGCGAACAGCTTCGGCCATGATTGCTTGCTTGTTGCATGGAAAATTCTTAATCACTGTGGCGTTCAGTTTTTTAAAGTGAATACGTGGAATGAAAGTGTCGGAAGGCTTAAACTAATCAAACATTTTTTATTAAGTTGAAATTTGAAAAACCTTAAAAAATTTACGTTCACCGTTAGTACTAATTACTACAATTAGTCGTTTTGTAAACTCTAAAGTGACCAATTTTCAAGGAAAAGAATTCAGTAAACCATCCACTGGAAGAAGATAGTTCGGAAAAATATTAAAACTTTACAAAAAAAATGCTCAACTTTGATGAACTGGGCATTGTTATTCAATTCTTATCAATTCACGAGCTTGTTTCCTATAGGGTTGTATCTAGACAGTGGAATAAATTCATCACTCACAATAATATTCTCTGGCAACACTTTTGCAATCAGTACCTGAGGAATGATTTATTCCACTTTGATAAAGATGATGAAATTCTAAACGAACTAATGCAACAAGATGAAGATCATACATTAGATTCCGATTCAACTTTTTATTACAGATTATTTAGAAAATTATTCTTCTTTCCGAAACTAATTGCTATGAGGGAAGGCCAATATAATATTGATGAGATAAAGATCATGAGTTTACCAGAGGGATTTGAGAGATTCTTTCTTGAAGATGAATATTCGGGGAGGGTTTCAAGATTTGGATTTATTGCCATGCTGATTAGCTGCTTGTCTGGAAAGCATCAAAACTTGGTCGAGTTGGATTACTGGAATGATTTGATTCAGATAGGAAATTCGGATGGAAAGGTAGTTGTGATGGAGATTCCTTTGTGTTCATTGTTTGCTGCCATTCTGTTTGCTCTTCCACGGCTGAGTTCTCTGTGTGGAGATGAAATGTTTGTTCTCACACCAAAAAGATTGAAAAGGTATGAGAGATTTCCTGCTTTTTGTGATTTGTGGTATGCCTTTGAGGATAGACCAAGGAAGAATAATATTTTGGAGTGGGATGTGGATGATGATAGAGAAATATTTCCATATTCTCTTAATGTGAGCTATTCTATTTTCAAAAAGGTCAGTTTTAGCATTGAGTTTACAAACGACTGGAAAGAGTTGAAATTGGAAGTGGGATTTTGGATTGATTACTAGCTCTGTGAACATAAATTGTTTCATGGATACATCCTCTTGAATTCACTTTTCAATTCATCTCCCTTCTTTAAAGCTACACATTGATGAAAACAATTGTCACAATCGAGCATTGGAATGAATTTGTGTTCAAAGCGACAAAAACATTGAGCAATACATAGTAACCATTTAGGCAATCCTAAAGGATTATTCCCTCCTTCTTGGCCTTCAGCTTCATTAGAGTAGCAGCAGCAACAAGTTGCACACCAACATGAGGTAATTGCACAACAATTACACAAAGCACAAATCCTACTTAGGCAACACAATCTTCTATAATTACTATCCATCACACCAACTGCAGTTAATTCAGTCATATTTTCATTTGGAGATGTATCTTCCTTAACTTGCCCTATTAAAACACTTGGAAAAGAGGGGAAACTAAAAAGGTGATGATCAAAAATTGCTCGCTCTCTTTTGAATGTAATCTTTTCAAAATCAACCTTAATTGACTCAGAATCGTTCGCTATGGAAAATAATTCATTTCTATGATCAATTTTGAATTTCTCAAAGAATTCTTGCCTCTTTTCATCGGATAGTAATAAATCAGAATTGTAAATGTGCTTGAAAAACTGTTTGATGAATTGTACTCTCTGCTTATCATTCATTGTTTCTAATGAGGCATAGATGAGAAATTCAGGAATTATACCTCCATTAATTTTAAAATATCTATGTGTGTTGAGATGAGGAAATTTAACACTACCTCTCAAAAGTCCATCCCTGTATTTCTTGATAATATTGTTTCGAACTGTAAGGTAATAGTAAACGTCTTCTCTGTCCATTAGTTTGATATCATTTACAATACTTTTGGAATATAATTGCGTCAAGTCTATTGAGAATTCGTCCATTCTTGGTATTATCTTGTGTCTTAATAAGTAGTATGCAATTATAAGAGAGTTGTTTCGGTAAGTTTCAATATGACTCATAAACTTGTATAATTTCCTGTGTTCATTGCATATAGATCCCACGTACAAATTAATTTCATCTCGTACTGTCTCTGAAATGAAAAAACCTTTCCTTCTCCTCTTAGTACAGAATATGGTTGATTCTGTGCTAATTCTGTCTGATCGATCTGGTCCATTTGAATCCTCAAATCTCAAATGGAGTATCACTTTTTTAGTCAATCTACATGGATTTACCTTCATATCTTTATCCATGAACGGTTGAGATTTCCAATTTTCATATAAATTAATTAATGAAATATGTTTCTTAAGCTTTTTCTCCTGATCCTCTGCATTTTTCACCACATGAAATAGCTTGTAAGCTTCCTCATCTGATGGTCTAGCATTAACTGTTGCCAAATAACTATACAAGTTCTCGTTCTTTGGAACGGCAACCTCCCTATGTATCACCTTCTCCATATCTTCCAACAATTCACTTCCCATCTCAAAATCAATCTCAATTTCCGAATCAGATATCTTTCTAAATGAACTGCCAAATATCGTATTAAAAGCACGACAGTAAAACTCCACAACAGATGGCTTTCTATCTTCCAGAATATCCTCCTGAGTGAAATCTGATACAAATACTTTTGGTGCATCTTGAAATGGAACGAAAATATGAAAGAACAATCGTGGCATGTATGCTTCTTCAATTCTATGCAATAATGATGTACTTCTAATCGATTCCTTGACACTTTTCGATATTGATTCCTTCGTTGAGGGATTATCCATGATTCCCGAACCTTCCATTAGTGAATTCCACGTTCTGCAGCATGCCTTGAGCGATTGCATTTCATAACTTGCCCTATTGGGACAATATGATAATATATTCTCCAAGGAATCATGATCTAAATTAGTAATATTATTAGCATTGCTTGATTTTTTCACAATTAATTGATGATGAATGTCCTCTTCGTGATTGCTAATAATCGGAGGAATAGTAGCAGTTGCTTCAATCTCTTCTTCTTGTTTGTGATGATTGTTTGGAGAGAGTTCGTCCAAGAGAACGTTTTCTTCCATTTTTTAAAGATCCAAACAAAGAACATGCAAGATGTTCTGTGATGTGGTGTGAAAATTTACTACAGAGCTCTTCGATCTAGTTGAGAGAAGGATTGATGTGAAAAAGTTTGGCTTGTTGGGATTTGTCATTCTCTGAGAAGGTTTGTAATAGTCTGAGTTTCCATGGGATTGGCTCGCCACCCAATTGATAATCTTTCAATTCTTGTAGGGAACGAGTGGAGGAAGGTGGCGTCCTTCCTTTAGTGAGGATTTTGGAAATGTTGATATATTCAGTTTGGTCAATTGAATTTTCCTTTGATAATCCAGACAAGACGCCATGAAAGTAGAGATTAATTTCAGAGAGGAAGTTAATGTACTGATTTCTTTCCTCATTTGAGCCATATCTCCATTGATCGAGTTGTGAAACAGTTGATTCTGAAAGTATTTGAAAAGCACATTGAATATCCCCGTTAGAAAATTGAAACCTCTGAACCACTGTATATAAGAAATTATCCAAGAAGGCATTCGATTCCTGATACAATGCAACCATTGAATTAAAATCACACACCAAACCCATATCTAAAATGGTTGCCAAATCCAACAATTTAATTCCTCTCACTGACACTGATCCAAATATCGATGTTGGAACATTTGGTATTCCAATATTTCCACAACTATTCTTTCCACTCGCTATTGATATTTTAAAAACAATTCTTGGCACACCTTCACCTTGTCTTTCACTCAAAAAGGAAATGGCCTCAATCTCTGCCTTAATTTTCAAAGCATTCTTCATAATATTATTCATTCTCTGATGTTTATACATTATCTGACAATACAATTGAGGAATTGATGATATTGAGACTTGTCCCTCATCTTCCTCTCCAAGCTTTCTAATCTTTTCAAAAAGTTTACTTGTAATATACTCAACAAAGTCATCGGGAATCTCATGAATATTACCGAATTGTATAATTACTAGAGTCATTATTTGTGTTCGGATGGGTTCTCTATCGAGAATACTACTACTCGGAGGAGATGAAGGCTTTGAATTATTAGTATTTGATGAAGAAGCCTTCTTTACGGAAACTTGATTGGAATGTTTATCCTTTTTACCAAATAAACCACATAGAACCATCTTTCAATCTCTTTTTACTTAGAATTTGAATTTTACTAATAATTAATATTAATGTTATCGAAAATTAATTTCAAATGGAAGGAATTTAATTCGATTTTTTGTGATGAAAGAGATACACTGCTCTTTGTTCTTTCATGATTCTTTGTAATTCGGAACCACTAATTATACGAGTCGCCGAAACATAAAGGTTCATATCACATTATTTTTTTTAATTTTATTTTTAATTATTTAAAACAATCGTTTATGGCGGGAATTTATTCAATAATTTATTAATACAGATAAGGTAACATGTACTGAACTACCAATTGTTCACTTTCAATCCATAACATGTGATTAATACCGGGAACAACATGAACGATCAATCTTTTCTGAGAATCCAATGTCTTTAATCCAAAAACATCGTTCTTATAAATTTGTTGATCTGGCATGAGTGATTGTGCTAATTGATTTTGATTATTCAATGCGTAAAATCCAAATAATGCAGAGTAGTAAGGTTTGATAACTTCATCATCTGGACTTGTTGTCAAAACCATCTTGTCAATTTGAAGGAAATTGGAACGGAATTGATATTTACTGGCATAGTCATGAATTAAGGAATCATTATTCACAACTGCTAGAAATTGACTGTTTTGTCTATATTCATCATAGTGGAATGGCTAAATAATTCCAAAATTTCCAATAATTCAATTTTTTTACAATACAAATAAGAATTTTGTAATGATAAGATTTACAATGTTCAACCTACATCTTTCCAATAACCGGCAACTGACATGGTCTTTTGAAAGAAATCTGTATAAAAGAAATGGAATGCTTCCTCTTTTGTTAAATTCCAAAGAAATGGAAAGTTCTTTTTCCATTCTTGTTCCCAGCTCAAAATTCCAGGAATTCCAAATTGACCATTTTGAACACCAGATAAACTGATAAATACCTTAACTCCATGATTAGGATATAATTGAATAAATGATCTACAAATCAATCCACCTTGTGAATGGCAAATCAAATGATAATTCTTGAAATTGTAAAGATTTTGTAATTCTTGAACTTTGGAAGCAAAATCTTCAACTTGATCCATCATATTCATTAAGAGTGATGTTTCAGTATTGGTGCTAGGTACTGAATAGATGAGAGTCCCTTGAGGAACATACTTTGCAAGATACTTTTTGACATCTGACATTGAATTATTATCAGCAGTAACACCATGCATCAAAAGAATCGGAAGAAAAGGTCCTTTGACATCTAAATGATGTTTTTTGTTCTTCCCTCCTGTCATATGATCTTATAGAAATTTGTGATGACAAGACATTGACAGTTAATAAAGAAACAATAAACACTAAACAATAAACAGTTAATCTCGTGACTTCTCTCCCGTTGTTGTTGAAGAGTTTCATCTTTTTTTTCTGATGTTTTTTGTAATTTCAAGAGCAGAATCCGAATTGTGAAATTTCAAGGGATTCTTCTGCCGAATCTCAATTATCCACACACAAGTTCACTATCCTGTTTCCACCTTTTTAACAGTTACGGATAATCATCTCCTAAATCCAATGAAGAAATTACAAAATTTTCTTCCTTTCAAAATCACAAAATTACAAAGTTTAAAAAAATGAAAAATCCTCAACGACTCTGCACCACTTGCCTTGAAGAAGAGAATGAGGAGTTGCTGGCTACTCATTCATGTTCGACATGTTCATTGAAAGATCTTTGCTCATATCATGCTAAAAAACATGAGAGAAATTTGCATCAAATTATTCAATTAATTCCCGGAATGATTGGAGGAGGAGTAGATGGTGAGGAGAAGGCTCCATTTTGTAAGGATCATTTCATTCCGATTAATTGTTATTGTAGTGATTGCAATGTTTTAATTTGTTCAACTTGTATTGTGAGTGGTGGACATTTAACTCATGGAATTTCATTGATTTCGGAAGTTGTTATGAAGGAAAGGAAGATTATAGGGGAAGAATTGGAGAGATTTATAAATCGGGTGGAGGAATGGAGAAGTATTCATCAAATGGAAGAAAATCATCTTTTGGCAGAAATTGAAAAAGTAAAAACGAAAGGAAAAGAATTGGAAAAACAAATTCATTTAAAATTTGATGAATTACACAATAATTTGACGAGTAGGAAACAGGAGTTGATAACTCAAGTTTACTCAGTAGTAGAGAGACAGTGTGCAATTGTAAATTATGTTAAGAAAAATGTTAATGTGGAAGAATTGAAGCAAGAATTTAAAGATTTGTTAATTATGGATGGATATACAATGATGGAAAAGAAAACTAGAGTTTTGAAAAAGTCAATTGCTGATTTCGATCTCTTATTGGATCAATTATTGCATCATGTTAGCTTGGAATGTCTTGATAATTTTACAATTCGAAATATTGACACGGATGATATATAATTAAGAATTGCAACTCTGGGACAAATAGCTGTTGAAAAGGATGATGATGAACAAGACATCAAGATTGAGTAGTGACTCTTTTCTGAAAATATAGATACAGTCCCATTCACTTTTCCACACAGTAATGCCTGGTTGATATGAATTTCAAAAATTAGATTCCAAAATAGAGTAATCATGTTTTTGTGATTGTTCCTCCAAACATTTACCCACAGAAAAATGATTACGTGTTTTGATTCAATTAACTTAGGATTATCATTTTGTATTTAAGGAATTTAACAGCTGCAGGTTATCTATATGGATTCTATATATTAGATTTTGATCATTTTTTGCCAGTTTTTATGATTTTACATATTTTAGTTTGTTATCTCAATATATATATATATTTCAAATGGAAACCCCACTTATTAATTAGTAGCTTAATTTTTTTTTTGTTATAAATGGAGAAAAACCTAAATTATTGATCAATAGGAGTTGCTTAATGACTACTAAAACAGAAAAATTGTTCAAGATGAATAGAAACAATATCAGACTCGTATCATTTCGTTCTGTTGGTAATCTGTTGAAATACCTTTTACTCCTTAAACACAAAGAAGAACAATTCTTGGAGTTTTTTTGCAAACTTTCCCTTACTGTAGTGCCATAAAAATTGAACATTCAAATATATATATATATTGATAAAAATAGAACTCGTTACTAATTTCACAACACAACACCCCATAAATTGGATAGTTGTAATTTTCTAATATATATATATAACAGAATTATTACAATATTCGCCTTTTTTAAGGTGTTCTATTTGTTTTCTATCTAGTAATTTAACTTTAATGTGGTATGTTTTGCTTTTCAAAGAGAAAATCTTACTAAATAATCTTGAATGTAATCTCTCCTGTTTCTTTTCACCCTTATTGAATAATATTTTCTTGATTGCTCTCCTTTTATGAGAAGAAGTTTGGGTAACCTAATATATATTTTCATTTATTTAACATGGCTAAAAAAAATACAATAAATTTCAATTTCTGCATTAATTGGATTGTAGAGGGTCAATATTTACTGAGGGTGTTGAAGGCTTACCTTTACAGGAAGTTTGTACAACAAGATTTATTGTTCTCTCCTAAAAAACCTGTAATGGGATGTTTGAAAATCGTTGACAAGAACGTTTGTACGTTTTTAATTATTGATAGAGAATGCTGCTTACCAAGATGTAAGTAGTACATGTTGAACAGCATTGAAAACAATACAACTGAGTGCATTGTGATATGTTGATATCACCAAATCGGTATCACTATTTTAGGGTGTTGTTCAAAGAGGAAATACTTTTTCTGAAAAACAGTACATTTAAACTCTTTCGTAGTTTGTTATATATATATATATTACAAAAAGTTCTCCTATTCCTAAATACTTACTTGTTGTTTTTTTGTAAGTTTTGATCCTCTTCAAGTCAGATTGAATTAGTCCAATTATTGTTTAAATAAACAAGATTATCTGCTGAAATTCCTGAAATCGGAATTCATTAAACTGATTTTGTCATAATGCATGTTGTTGAAAATATTTCAATTTAATAATCTTTAAATATTGATTAAGAAAGGAAACCAGTAAATTTATCTTTAAATAATATATTAGTTTCTTTATGGAAAGGTATGAGTTTTCGTGGTTATTTCAGTGATCAAATTATCTTTATTTAGCTTCCTTATTACCTTTTGTTCTAATATATATATATATTTCAAAATAAATCAAGAGTATACATTTTTCGCAAAGTTTAATCTCTTGATAGTTAGTAATCTGAAAGGGAATCTTCACCTATTTATCTCTCAGTTTTCATAAAGAAAAATATATAAAACAAAATGATAATCCTAAGATTAATTGGTCAACCAGACAATTTTATACAAAGTTTTGATTTTTACAATTTTCAACTGACAAGAGAAAATAAAATCTAATAAAATCAACAAAATTGCAAATCTTCTTCATTTATTCCTCGATATTTTCCAATTATGACAATTATTTAATAAATTAGTTTAATCATTACAAAAAAATGGCACAACATAATTCTTCATCCTCTCCGATCACTGCTTCAAACAATGACCATCAGCAACGAATTCTCAGCAATAATAATAATAATAAGGAAAAGGAAGAATTGGGAGAAGATGAAATTTCGATTCCGATCATGGCAACAAACAATGATCAATTAAATAATAAGAATGTAGAAAATGTAATTATTAATAATAATGAAGAAGAAGAGGATGATCCGATAAGTAATATTGAGGAAAATGTTGAAGAGAAAGGACTTTTACAAGAAACAAGCACGGAACAATCAACAACAGGTTTAACAAGAGGAAATATTCTTCTCATTTTGCAATATATAGTTTTGTATTTTACCTCGAGTATAGTATTGACGAGTTTTATTAAATTTACTGTCTCGTATAGTAATTTTAGGTTTCCATTGACGTTCCTAACTCTGCAGATGGGATTGAACACAATTGTTTGTGGAATTATCTCGTTTTTCATTATTAAGAGGAGAGTGACTAGTGTGGCGTTTGTGAATAGATCGGAGGAAGAGGGAATGTCTGGTGTATCAGCTGTTCCAAATAATAAGGAAATTTACTCACATTTATTCAATTGGAATTCATTCAAATCATTGGCACCTTTTGGTGTTCTGACTGGTTTTGACTATGCATGCTCAACTCTTGGTTTGAAATTTATTACCATCTCGCTGTATACAATGCTGAAATCTTCCGTTCCTGTATTTGTAATGATTATTTCATTTATTTGCAAAATGGAAAAAGTGAAATTTATTTTAATTATTTCAATAGTTTTGATTTCAATTGGAGTTGGAATGACATCGAAGGGTACAATTCATTTTGATATTATTGGATTTGTACTAGTAATGGTTGCTGTTGTTTTTACTGCACTACGTAAGTTGTTCAACTTGAAAATCTCATTCATCATTTTTAGGTCTTGTGATTGCACAATATGTTTTACAACGTAGTAATACTCAAATTATCTACACAAGATTGAGCTCTGCAGAGTCTTTGGACTCTCCAACCATTGGAAATCCAAGTACTCCTACGGCTCAACCTTCAACTGCTGCAGCAAGTATTGAAACTGGACAAACATTTGAGTATTTCTATGCCAGGGATAGTGGAGAGCAATTCAGAGCTTCTAAAGTAGAAATTTCATCTGTGCAAATCTTCTTCTATACTGCACCTGTCATTGCCCTAACTGTGTTACCAATTGCTCTCATATTGGAATTGAATTCAATTATATCTGTTTTTTCCAATCTGCAACAAGCAGTCGATGCAACTCACAGTATTCACATGTTGAGATTCCTCTTCATTTTGAAATTTGTTGCAATGGTATTTGTTGGATCAATGTTAGGTATAATATTGAATGTGAGTGAATTTCTCCTCATCAAACAAACATCATCACTCACTCTCACAGTCCTCTCAATCTTTAAAGAATTGCTAATGATTGCCATTGCAGTAATGATATTTGGTGATCATATTGGAGTGTTGGGCTACATTGGATATGGACTCTGTTTAATAGGCCTAATCATTTACAAGGTCCACCGATTTCTAGATTCTAAATCTTCACATTAGACTGTTCAATTCTATCATCTTCTAACATATTCATCGAAAGTGAGCTATTGTGACTTTATAAACTTCATTTCTGTGTGCAATAGTTAAATTGTTTTTGTTTTCATAAAATCCATATTAACATGTGCCGATTCCATTTGCACTTCAAAATAAATTTCCAAATTGCGGACATTAAGGGTAACCTTGTAATTTTTGCTGAAATCCCACTAATAGAAGAAGTAAAAAGGAAGATAATTGAAGAAAAAAAATTGATAATCAAAATGAGCGGTGAAAAGGACGTTATGATTGCCTACTTGTTGTGGTTCTTTGTGGGTATGCTTGGTATTCATAGGTATGTGGATAGTGTTTGTTGCATTATTAATTGTGTCCCGTATGATTTTTTATATTGTTGTTATTGATGATGATCAAATTGATAATGTTGATGGTATGATGCTGATCATTTTGTGTAGATTCTACTTGGATTCACCAGTGATGGGTATTGTTTACTTCTTAACCGGTGGTTTATGTGGTGTAAGTTTATAATATTATTAGTACATATTAACATGTTTAATTTATCTTTATTAATTTTGATCATCTTCACATCTAATATTTAGATCGGTTGGTTAATTGATATCTGTTTAATTCCGGGTATGGTTGAAGATTGCAATAGACAATTCTCTACCATTCATCACACTACCACCACTACCTATGTTACTACTTCACCAACTCCTCAACAACCAATGTATGGTTCAGGCTACAGTCAACCAACTGTTTATCAACAACCAACTACCTATGTTTAAATAACATGAAGCATCATTCTAACAATTCATTAATAACAACAAATATTTGGCTTATTAGAGTTTCATCTAATTTTCCAAAAATTGCAATAATAAAAAAACAAATCTATTTATTAAATCGATAATTATTTGACCATCTAATTCAAATTACCAGTAGTATCCGGTCAACATTCTTCACTTATCATTCGAATCTATTAATTGATCAAACCAATTAAATAATTAATAAATTGCCAATCATCAATATTATATTAAAAAATGAATAATCAACAACCGCCTCCATTTCTCAACTCTTCCCAATATCAGCAGCAACAACAACAATACTCGAATAATACAACAGGATCGGGTGTTGTTGGAGGCTATTCAAATGTTCCTCATCCACTTGATCCACTCTCTTCGCAGAGAATGACCACTTCCTTTTCAGCATCACCTCTTCCACCACTTCCTCAGGGTCATCATCATATTAATCATCAACATTATCAATCATTTAATCAGCCTTCACCAACACTTTCTGGCGGTATGAATACGAGTGGTTATTTAAGTACGACAGGAGGTATGCCACACTCTCATAGTTCTTCATCAATTGCTTCTGCAACTTCATCGGTTGGTGTTGGACAACCACCAGAATATATGATGCGTTCGGGAACTGTATTTACTGCTGGTCCTGGTATTGGAAGTTCAATTTCACTCTCACAACAACATGAAGCTGTCAGAGCCTTTTTGAAGGGAAATGATTTTCCAATTAGAACACCTAAAAAAGTACAAGACATCAAGGGAACTTCATTGGAAGAATGTGTAGAATTGGCAAAAAGTGAATCATGGAAAGAATTTTTAAAAGTATGTGAAAAACAAGTCAAAGAACCTGGTCAACAGCATATTATGTTACAATGGAGATTATCTCAATTGGTCACACTTTTGAGATTGAATCAAACTGAATATGCTCAAATGTGTATCGATAGTATGGGAGATTTGGAAAACAATTCCACCTATTTCTATGAGAAATATCCAAATATTTACAATGTAAATCAACAAAGCAAGACTGGTAACATGATGCCATTTACAATTTTGATTATCAAGGCCATTCTTCCACTATTACAATATTTAAAGAATCCAAATGCTCAACAACAACAACAACAGCAGCAACAGAGTCAAAATCCAAATCTCCCTCCCCTTCCAGGGAGTGATGGATCTGCAATTGCTATGGAAAGATTGTATGCCCTGTTGAAGATTTGTGCAGATCAAATCAAAGAAGGTGGTGGATTTTTGTACAGTAAGAGATGTAAACTTCATTCCAAAATGACTATTGTCTACACACCATTCGAAGGAACACAAGAAGAATGGAAGTTGAGAGAACAAAGAGTTGTATTTTATATTATTACTTGTCACATTGCTAGAAAGGAATACTATTTGGCAATTCAAATTTTGGAAAAGCTGTTAAAGCATTACTCTGGTTTGATAGAATCAGATTTTAGTACTTATCAAAGACTCGAGTCATTGTTGGGTTGTTTATATCTTCAACAAGGTCTTTTGAAACCAGCAAGAGATCACTTTGTAAATGTAGAAAAGAGAGAAACAAATCCAGAAAGATCAACCCTTGTCAGAGCAAACAGTGGTTATCTCAAGTTTGCTTATGGCCATTTTGTAGATGCTTGTAAAGAGTTTACATTCATTCTTACAGAGTTGGATCCTCTCAGTGTCAATGCTGCCAATAATAGATCTATTTGCATGTTGTATATGTGTGAACTTGGGAAGGCTATTGATGGCGTTGAGGAATTTGTGAGACAAGATCCAGCTGTTACTTTGGAACATAATTTAGTCTATAACCTCTGTACATTATACGATTTGGAGAGTACTGAGAGCAGTGAAAAGAAGATGATTATTAGCTCTCTAGCTCACAGATTTAAAGGAGACGATTTTGGAAATTGGATTATCCAATAAATTTATTATTGGCTTGTCATTTTGACCACTTCAGATGTTGGAATTGTCAATGCTTCCATATTGTCGTCGTGATATATTTCAGTAGCATTTTGTACTGGTGGTAAAATAATAGTGCTGTATGGAGGAGGTAATATTCCATTACTTACTGGCATATTTCCATATGCTGTAGTGTTGACAGAAGGAGGTTCATAAGAATAATATGCAGTTCTTGGTGGAGATCTTGGAGGACTCGAAGTAAATGCTGATAATGGTTGAGGATATGGAGTATAGATTGGAGGTGGAGTATTGAGTATTGGTACATCAAACATTTCATACTCATTTCTTCTCTTGTTGAGAGGAGTATTGGCTTCCTTAGTTGGGAAGAAGACTTCATAGTCAGCAAAGGTATGTGTAGTCTTATTGGTTGAACTAGTTGGACTTCTGTGAACAGATTGTTGTTGAGGAGTAGTATAGATTGACTGCTGTTTCTTATTGAGTGGTTTACCACTGGTTGATTTGATTGATTTAGAACTACTACTTGGAGGAGCTTTGATGGCACACTTCTTTCTCTTTGGTGCTTGAATGCAAGCAATGAAAAGGAATAAAAAGAACCAAATAGCAAAACCAAGAAGGAATAACCCAAAGGTTGCTGCAATACATAGATATCTTGCAAGCTCAAATTTGTTTGGAACATAGAGAACCTTTGATCCTTTGCATTGTAAATTACTCCAACCAACAGCACTCAAACCACCCTCAATGTTTGCCACTTCGAGTGGAGTGGTTGGTTTGTTGGAATTTACGAAAAACTCAGTAATAGGATTAGATGTTGAATGTACATTCAAACACTTGTAAGTATTTCCAAGTGTGATCATCTCAAAATCAGTATACACTGAATCAGTATAAGTACCAGATTGGACAACACAACAAGCATAGGCAGAATTACTTAATAACAATTCGACGTTTGTGTCTTTCATCAAGCTTACTGTTTCAAAGATGGTGATACCTACAACAGATCCAAATCCTCCCAACCATAACACTGCAAGTAGTAAAAGCATTGTTCCCACTATAAACACAGAGCAATACCTCCTTTTTCTTTCATCCTGACTTTTAACACATCCTCTGCAAACTCTGATGGCAAGAAACATGGGAAGAGTTGCGAACAGAGCAGGAATGAATGATTCCCACTCCTTTTCATTTTCAATGTTAATCTTCTTTTTCCTGATTGTTTGAATACAGAATACGCAAGTGAAAAAGAGAGAATACAAGAGAACAATACCAACAATACATCCAGCAGTAATATACGACTCAAAGAAGTAATTTTCAAGGTACACGTTTTCCCCAGATTCTACATTTTCAGCAGTTCCTCTGAACGAAGCACTTGCAAACGTTTGATCTGTTGGGAATCTTATTAAAATCTTTGAGTATGTTGCAAGTTTGGAAGCATCAACATCCAAGATGAATTTGAGGGCTTTCAAGGTTGTTTGATGTTGCTTGTAGACATAGTCGTTTCTTGTGGGAGTAATTGTTTCCAACTTGTTTGGATATAACGAAATTGCGTATACTGTTGGAGTCGGAACTGAGGTAAATTGTTGACTGAATAATTCAATCAAATACTGTCCAGTGTCTTTGGCATCACTGTAATCCACTTCAACAATAGTTCCAGGGTTTACAACAAATTTGGTCAAGTAAGAAGATGATGAGATTGAAGCCTTTGATGGGGTTGTTGTCATTAAATAACTGAACTTGGCTTGAGAGGAAAAAGAGGAAGAATCGCATGATTGGGGAGAATATGTTTCCAGAGGATGTATGAGCATATAGATAGCCTTATCTTGTAGTTTCAAATATGGAGTGTTCACAAAAGATGTACCTGAACTAGTCTCAAAGATTATTCCATTTTCGTATCCAATAATGTTGACCTTGTAATTGGTTTGAGATGAAATATCTAGCTTAATATTATAGTTATTAGAGTCTACAGGTTTTCCTACCCCAAGATAAATATTGTACTTCCTACCTGATAACATTAAATTTTGACTGTCCATCAACATTGTAATTTGGAAATTATTAGAAACAGTATTTACAACCATTCGTTGCGTTACATCTTCTGTTGGAGAAGCATAATATGGTAATTGAATTGTATTATATCCAGGTGAGGAGAGAGAGAAGGCAAGTTGAGGGGAAGATATGGATTGTACAACATAGTTAACTGTTGTATTTGAAATTGTAAAGGCAGGATCTAATTGAAGGTTAAATTTCCAAACTCCATTAAGGGATGGCTGAAGCCATGTCGAAATACCAATAGTGTTTGTGAATTCATTCAGACAGTTAACAGTGACAGTCTTAGAAAAAGCAAGAACAAATCTCTGAAGAGTTCCTTGTGCGGCTGTTAATTTCAATGTTGGAGGTGTTAAATTGAATTGACCCTGACTTATTACCGGTTGTAAATTCTGAACAGTTACAAAAGCAAGAAGGTAACTGTCCTCTGTTGGGTTATAGGAGATATAGTAAGGGTAGGATCCTGTTGAAGATTGAGGCAAAGCTTGGCTGTAAACACCATCAAGGGGCAGGGAGGGTGGATTTAAGTACATGTTTGGAATTGAAAAGGACAATACTGCAGAACAAGTATCACAATTGTTCTCTACAATCACTATCAATGATCCAATAGGAATTTGCTTAAATGAGATTATGTGTGTATAAGTGTTTGAAGCAGAAATGACTTGGTGGGCTTTTGAAACATCGAGAGTGATAGGCATTTCACCACTTTGGATAATGAATAAATAGTATGGACGAGTGGAGAGTGCAGACGTAGAAATTTCTATATCTTGTGGTGTATTATCCCGAGTGGAGTAGCTTATAATTTTTAAGGCATTTACCTCACCATTAACAATTGGTTTAGGAATTGTAAAAGATTGATCAATAGCCATACTCTTAATGCCTTAGTAGTTGAGTTAATTATTTTAACAATTGGCTTATACTTACTCTTTTTCAACATTGTAATAGTACCTGTGGTGTTAGAAACTTTACTATTCGTGATCTTGAAAGTTAGAGATGTTGCTCCATTCAGTTTAGAATTTAACAATGTTGATGGAATAATAAAGGAAGTGGTTGTGACAGAGATTTGAGGAATCGTTATTGTCTGTAATGTGGCGGAAGATGATACAACAATCGTTCCGTTGAAGGTGCTGTTAAAACTAATGTAGGTCTGAATGAAAGCAATCGCTGTGGTAGTGACATACGAAGCAATGATAACTCTCTTTGAATTATCAACCTTGAATGCTAGTGCTTTTTCATAAACTGAATAATAGGTATTGGGAGAATAAGGATCGACATTGACTGTCGAGTTGCTATTTGTTGTGGTATTATTATTACTTGCAGTATTGTTGGATGTCTGGGTTGAATTTGTGATTACATTACTAGTAGAATTGACAGACGAATTGGGTATGCCAGTATTATTTGTTTTAGACAAGTATGTGAGCGAGATTGAGGAGGATTGAACTCTTGAGCTTATCAAAGGATCATAATATTTTCCATTCATACGAGTTGCGTAAGTAACAGTGGAAGTGGTATTTGTTGTGATATTGCTGTCGTTTCTCCATTTATACATGATGTAAACTTGAATTGATTGACTGGCTTGTAATGTCACATAACTGACATAAAGACTGGCTGTGTTTGAGCTGCTTATTGGTATGAGAGTATATGATTTGATGGCTGTTTGTACATTTGTTGAATGATTAACCCTAACAAGCTTTACAATTGAAATATCGAGGTTTGAAATGCTTAGAGATTCGAACTTGATATCCAGATATACGTCTGTTATTGTATCTATACCAGAGTTTTTAATGGTCACAACATTGGTTGAATTTCTATTTGATTGATTTGATGCAATGACTACCGTTGATGGTTTTGAAGTGATACCCAAATCCACAACAGGTGTTGTTGAAGGAACATAACACAGATACAAATACATGGATTGAATTAACAATTCCTCTGGTGTCAATCTCTTCAATGTCAGCTTGTTAGAATAATCTTTCAAATACACATACGAAAGACCAGTAACATCCACACTTGATGCTTTCGAAATTCCCAAATTACAAGCATCCTTCGTACCACAATAAACACTGGGATTCAGATAGGGATATTTCATTATATTCAAATCATTAATAAGCATTGAATAATTTGCTGAAAAACTCGATGAGGAGGAACATGAAGTAAATCGATAATTAATTTTCGATCCAACCATTCCCTGATAAATCAATACTTTCCTACTCGACCCACCAGTATATGAAAATGTTCCATTCAATGAGGTACTTTTCCAACTCTTGTTATAATCATTGCAAACGTAGGAATAATAATTATTGGGTGTAAAGAAAACTTCAACATTCTCGCATGTGGGTGAAACATTCTGACCGAAGACTGTAATGTTATTATGTATTACTAGGAAGAATAATACAAGGAAGACTATTTGATAAGCATTTAAAACTTTTGCAATATTTATCATGTTGATGTTGTTGGTAATAGTTGTATTTAAGAGTTAGGTATTTATGATGATTGTTGTTTTTATAATCCGATAATGATTATAGCATCATTAAGAGACTATGTTTTTCAGCTATTCTTTTAATGTTGTTATTGTGCTTATTTAAAAATTCTAGTGGAGGGATAATTCATTTCCATTTGAGAAAAAAATCCCAACTCAGAATTTGCATCTCCTATTCTCTCTGTAGTAAAAAATGGCGCCTTTAAAAAAACATCAACAAGCCTATCAAAGCACATTAAGGTCAATGTTGATAAAAAAACTGTATTGTGTAAAGGGAACTCGAGTTTGTCGTTGAGGATGTATAGTTGAATACAATGACAATATATTCGGATCCCTTTGAAAGGGAATACGTTTCATGTAACATGTTGTGATGCCTTTTCATGAACAAAAGATATTAAGCTGGTCTGGTTAATACATCTATTAGTGTTATTCTCAATTAAAATGATGGGATTGGATTAAAAAATGGTCAGTTTTATTATAAACCAGGGTAACTATCAACAAACTCAACAGTGAAATCAGGATAATCCTCAACGATTTGAATCTTGAAATCTGGGTAGCTGTCAACTTCTTCCCAAAGACCAACACTGATTGGATAACTATCAACCATTTGAACTCTGAGATCAGGATAACCGTCAACTACTTGTACCTTATAATCAGGGTAGCTATCAACAAATTCAATCTTTCCAAAGATTTTAGCAAGTTCTGATTTAGAAACCATTTTTTTTTGTTTTGTGTAATGAATAAACGTGTGCGGTTTTATCCACTTGCAGAATGCATGTGTGTTAGTTGCAGTGAGGAATAATCGGAACTAATAATGTTTGACCTTAATTCTCTGTTCACTGAATGTTACATGCATTTGGAGACAAAACTGGATCTAACCAAAGACCAGGATGAGGGTGGGATTTTCTTTGTAATCCTCTCTCTTCTCAGTTAAACAATAAGAACACCCTCAGAGAAAATTCAATTTCTATCATGGGTCAACTACAAGTATAGGATACTTCTGACAAACATAATTCAGTTGACCTTCACTGGAAAGTTCATACCTTGATCCAAAACCAGTCCTCAAAAGTTCATTATTTTTATTATTAAAAAAAATTGCCAAGTCCTTTGTTGGAGGTTTGAAATTCATCGTCGTCGTCTTTGAGAAGGATAATAATAATGGCCAGTAGCAGTAATAATAATTGTATTCTCACCACATCGGATGATGGTGACTCTATCTATTTTGTCTCATCACGGGATAAGCAACATACACTCAAGCAATTACAAACGAGTACGGAACATTTTCAAAAGAAGGAATACAAAGTAGCCATTGAAATATTGGAGAAGTGTGTTCAGATACCCTCGGATACATTGATCACTGTTTCAGGGTGTGATTTCAATGATGGAGAATGTATCAAGGGAATAGCTGAACAAGCTGATAAACAAATTGTTGAATTAATTGGAAAGATGTTTATCACTAAAGGACTTTGCTATTTTAATTCGACAATTGTTGCTGAGAGTGATGAAAAGAAGGATCTGTATTTTACTAAAGCACTGCAAGATTTTGCTGCAGTTGCCAGACACTACAAACTGTACAAACAATTGTATTATTATGATAATCAACAATCACTCTTGCAAGATATCGATGGCTTGTATGTATTTGTTACAACTATGAAGTCGTACTTCCTTGAGGGAAGATGTCTTCAACAATTGAGGGGATATCAAGTGGACGGAATTTCATCTCTGGAGAAGGCAGTCATTGCATTTAGTGAGGCAATTCAAATGGCCGAGTATTTGAAGAGTAATTCATCAGGGGTGGCCAGTGAGAAGGTTTGTCTCTCTGCTCTCGAACAATTGCCACAATATTATCTCAATAGAGCCCTCTCTCATAATGATATCAATTCTTACAGACCAGCAGAGGCCGATTTTACGAGTTACATCTCACTGATTGGTAATACTAACGATAAAGAAAGAAAATCTACATTATTCATGATTGCTTATCATAATAGAGGAATTTCACTTTCCTACATGCAAAAGTACGTGGAGGCAATTGAGGATTTCACAAAATCAATTGAACATTACCAGGAAATTCCACAAAATAGTCCAGACAAGAAACAACAATTTGATAGCTTTTTAGAAACTCACTCCAAAAGGGCTAAAGCAATTCATAGATTCATTGTGGATCATGTACACGACTGCAGAGATAATAACGACAAAGCAATGATGGACAAGATTTTGAAACTCAAAACTCTTGCATGTGAAGATTTTGAATTTGTAAGCAAACACAAGCCTAATAGTGTTTATAATAATCATTTCAACACGAGCCAAATTTTGAATATGGTGGCAACCATTCTCTCCCCAATATTACCAAAGGAAGTTCAATTTGAGCTTTACTCTCAATCTATTCCACACTTGAGAGAATGCATCAAACAGGGAAATAACTACAAGACAAGTTTGGATCTTGCTAAAGCATTGTCAAAAACTGGAACTGGTCAAAATGAAGAAATTCTCGATTTGTATAATAGAGCTGTGAAATTATTGGATGTTGAATCAAGCAAAAAAGTTTCTGGAGAGCAGAAGGCAAATATATTCTTTGAGAGAGGAGTTTTGTACAACAAAATGGAAAGAGTAGAACAAGCCATTATGGACTTTACTACTTCTATTGATTTACATCAACAGTTTTTGGAAGCTTACTTTAATAGAGCCATTCTTTATTATACTAAAAGTAGAAATACAATTTTAGCTATTAAGGATTTGGAAAAAGTTATTGAAATCGATCCTAAAGATACCACTGCCTTGATAGAACTGGCAGTTTTATTGGCCTCTAATGGTCAAGTTGAGGAAGGTACCAAGAGATTGAATCAAACCTTAGAATGTGACCCAAACAATGAAACAGCTCACAAATATTTGAAAATTCTCCAAGAAAATGAATCTCCTCTTCCCTCCAATGATATTTTCGAGATTAGAGAAGATCATGTCGAGGAAGTGCCTTTCACTATTCGTCAAGTTCAAAGACCCACTTCTGACAACTTTGGATTCAAACTCTTCAAAAAGAAGACTAAGGAGGTTGATCCTGAAGAACAACTGAAGCAGTCAGTACCTCCACCAAAAACAAGATCTACCAATTCAATGTTTTTGGACAACTCTCTTCCACCAATAACCAGTTCCATTCTAGGAGCTGGAACTAGAGCAGATTTTGATCTTCCACCTCACATTGTAAATTTGGATACAGATCTTGTCTGGTTACGTCCTTCACAAATAACTGGTGTAACCAAGCCAGCACTTTTTGTCGATGGTTCCAATTATAAGGATGTCATTCAAGGTTCTCTTGGTAATTGTTGGATGCTTAGTGCAATGGCCATTGTTGCTTCTCATGATTTTGTAATGAAAAAGGTTGTTGTTGAATCAAAAACAAACTCTGCAATTGGAAAATACACATTTTGCCTTTTCAAGGAGGGACGGAATAAGGAAATTACTATTGATGACTTGATTCCTTGTGATGTAACTACAAATTCGTATGTGTTCTCCAGATCAGCAGATCCCAACGAGTTGTGGGTGCCACTGTTGGAGAAGGCTTACGCAGCTCTCTATGGAAATTATTTCTCCTTGAAGGGAGGTCATTTGAAAGATGCTCTCGTTGATCTTACTGGTGGTATTTCATTTTCATATGATATTGACCCAAAAAAGATTGAGGAAGTGTGGCAATACCTTTCGTGCCTACCAAAGCAAAACAGCTCAAGTAGCTCCTTCAAATTGATGGGTGCAAGATCCGAGACATCAGCTTCTGACTATACTGGTATTATCAATTTCCATGCCTATGCTATTTTGGATGCTATAGAGTTCCCTCCACATTTAACCAATAGTCAGAGAGTAAGATTAATCAAAATGAAAAATCCTTGGGCTAACGGAATTGAATGGAAGGGAGAGTGGTCAGATTATTGCCCTCGCTGGAGTCCAGAGCTTAGAAAATATGTAGGAAATGACTTTAATTCTCAAGATGGTATTTTTTACATGTCATTGGAATATTTTGTTGTCCAATGGAATATGATTGAAGGTGTGGAAATTTTCGTAAATGGAAAATGGAATGAATTCTTAGCGACTGGAAGATTTGATTCAAATATTAGAAGCGATAACAATTGGATGTTAGATGTTTTGGAAGAAACCCAATTCTTTATTGAAAACCCATATGAAAATAATCGTTTGGTAATTTCACTCACTCAGTTGGACACCAGATATGTTCACGATTCAAAGGATGATGATTCATGTATTGCAGTTCATTTGATTAGAGTTGATCAGCCATCCCCATCTAGATTGATCAAGATCAACAAGAAGGATATCATAGTTCAAGGTGATTACAAATACGACAGAGAAATAGTCGTTGATTGTTGTCTTCCATCAGGTTCCTACGTTGCCATACCTCACGAATATTTTACTACCAATTGTAAAAATACTGAACTGGGAGCATATACCATTAGAATTTTATCAGAAAGTAAGGTAAAGGTCACTACGATCAATCCTTAATAGTAATTGTTTCATCAACATTTATCTACATTTTGACTTTCTTTGTTGATGGTTCTGTTTCATAGTCAGTTAGAGTGTCGCAATTATCCCTCTTTTTAGAAATTTCCTCTCCATCCTTAACCAGTAACTCCGCAAGTTTAGTTTTGTTCACTTTGCATTCCTCTAGCGTATATTCATTTATATGGGGTGAATAAAGTGATTTTTCAATAGTTAAACGACCTTGACCTGTTTGGTATGACAGACATTTGACTGGAGCGAATTTGCTCTTGATATGATTCTTAACTTGGTAGTTTTGCTGAAATGTTTTGGAAAGTAAGGTTGGTGAATTAACAAATTCCAATACCTGTTGACAATCGTAACATGTACAATCAGTTGTTGCTCCAAGATTAAAAGTGACTGGAACTGGGATTTTCTCTTTGCCATTCGTAAGATCATCACAATAATTCAAACACATCTTGACAAGTTTCTGCATTAAAGGATCTTTGATATTTTCAGGAGTTTGTGAAATATGGAAAAGGAGTGGAATAATGATATGATGATAATGTGCTTTTCCTACAAGTGTAATTAGAGTTCTTTCATGATTTTTGGAGAACAAAATCGGTGTTTCACTATAAACAGTCTGTTTGTTGTAATGGTGTCCATTAGAAAAACCATCAACTGTTATTTTACCAATAAATTCTTCCAATTCAGTTTTTCTATTACAAGCCAAGCAAATTTCGAATATTTTCACTAGCTCATCAACTTCATAAAAGTCGTCCTTTAGTAACAGAGTAACTAGCTTATTCAAAACAAGCCCAAGTATACTTCTCTCCTTATCATTCTTTCCAATGTAATTGTGAAATTTCATAACTAAATTCAATTTGTTTGATTTCTCAGCATGCTTCCAAAAATCTTCTGAAATTACATCAAAGAAACCAGTACAATCACTCAATTTCAAAAAAGAAATGCACTGTAGCATATTCTCAATATCAACAGTTTTTACAGTCCAACATCTTCTCAACGCCTCAAATATGAATGTTATGTTACTATGTTTGATTCCTGTCAAGAGCAATTTGTCAATATCCATCCTGATTTTTGAAGTAATATTCCTCATGGAACTGTAGTCCAATTCTATATTGCTTTGTATATAAACCTCCATGAATAAATCAAAATTAAGATTGACAGAACCGCAACGTGATCTATAAATCTCTTCCAATTTGTATTTGATAATTTCGTTTTTAAGGTCATACCTATCTGCAGCCGAAACGAAACGAAGAACACTATTAATATCTAATGTTTTCAAATATCCTTGAAGTGCTAGATGGATTTGTTTGTTAAAATATTTTTCCAATTGAATCAAATCTTCAATACTGCACTTGCTACCTTTGATAGATAATAGTTTGTTAACAAGTCCAACATCTTTGAGTTTTTTAAGGTAATTAACTTCCATTTCTTTGTAATTTGCAATAATATACTCCATGTATTTTTTAATCTTATTGAGAAGCTCTGTATTGGAATTATTCTTGTTATATTCACTCCACAATTTAGCAAGATATTCCATTGCAACTTGTATTCCAAGACGAAGGGATAATTCTCCCATCTTTTTCTGAGAACAAATCATCACTGCCCAAACTTCCTCATATGTTTCCGTTGATATATGGTCGAACGTATCAACCTAAACACAAATGAAAGATTAGTATGAAATTTCACAAAAACATTACCTTTTTCGAAACTGACTTGGCATTTTCCAAGGCATCTTCTGGACTAATCTTTTCCTCTGATATTTCGTATTTGCAAATGGACGGTTTATCCTTTCTTAAAGCACTGGTAATGAAATAATCTGGTGAATCTGAGCCATATCTATCTTCGTCAGATCCTTCAACTTCTTTTTGTAATTTCACCAATAATATTCCCAAGTCATGAAACTTTTCAGTGTAACGTTTGAGAGTTGAGACTAAATTCTGGTCTTTTCCCTTTAAATGACTATAAGACAACTCTTGTCTTTTGTATTTTTCAGCTAATACTCTTATCATATATGAATCATTTTTGAATTGGTCAACTATTAACTTTACAGTATTCAAAAATGGAGAATTTTCAATAGCTGGTGGTTCAGTTTCATTATAATCCATAATATAAACCATAAATACTCGGTGTCCTCTAGTAACTTTTGGTATTTTGATTTCACAATCAGGGTGAAAGGCAATATAATAAGTTGTGAATGTGGAATTTTCTGTAAAGTTGAATTTCTCCACATGTCCATTATATTCGACACAAATATCTGTATCTTCTGATTCAAAATCAGATGGCAATTGAATTAGCATTGCTGAAAAAACATTGTCGTCAATTGGTGATCCAGAGAAACTGCATCCTTCACTTAATACCATTATTGAATCTTCATACATGTTAAACCTTATAGATTCGTCAATTCCCAACTTGTTCCTAATCTCAGAGTTTACAAATTGCTCCCAAGCACGACTCCAATTATTGTTTTTCACACAACACATAAAATTGTAAGGATTATTAACATTAGTTTTGGTACATGTATAGGAAAATCTCTTCAAATCATTCATATATTCATTGGATATTATTGGCAAACTGAGCATCATACTGTTTTGTTTATCAGAATAATCACCACTTGCATTGCGCACTTCAATACCTGGAAGAAAACTCATCGAATCATCCAATTTACCTCCACATGCAAAATTTGCAAATTGTAAACTTCCTTCCGAAACCAAACCACAAAATCTCTCAAGTGCTTCATGTACCTTTCCACCTCCAATCAATTCTTGTATTTGTGAATCAATTCGTGTTGCAACTTTGGTTTTATATAGAATTTTCTCTTGTTCAATTTCTTCTTCTTCGGAATCAACAATTTGATTCGAATTGGCTTCTTCTTCTTCAGAGGAGATGATCATTGTATGAGGCAAAGTATCGCCATTGATCATCATTTCTTCATCAGCATCATCAATGATGATAATGGGACCGTTTGGTGCTTGCATTTTTTTTGTCTTTGGTTTTTCCATTCATTGTTGGAATTTTCTAGTGATCAATTTGGCCTAATGAAGCACCAATAAATTTGTTTCAGTAAATCACCATTTCATCTGAATTTGAATTCATCGGATTACTAGTATAATTACTTTCTTCACAAGTTTTGTCTTCACTTTCCTCCAAAAATTTAAAGAGCTTTGTGGGAAGGCTGAATACCACCTTGTTGAGAGTTGGCAAATTCCATTAGTTTGTTTAAATTGTTGGTTTTCTATTAGAAACATAGTAAATTATTGTTATCATTAAAAGAGGAGAATTTATGTACAATGTTAAAATCAAATCATTTAGCAAGATTTGTTGACTAGTTCAGCAAGAAGTTTTTTCATGTCCTCTCTATTAAAAACATCCAAAGTTACAATTTGAATTTGATTTCTCTTTTCATCATTCGAAACTTGATTTAAAAATTGTTTGATAATGTACTTGGTATTCAATTCTAGATATTCATCAGTGACTTGAATTGATTGCTCAGGTTCTTTGAGGTCATCTTCGGTGAGTGGAATAATTCTCTCAGGAGGGTTGTTGAATTTGAGACAAGAATCAATCATTTCTTGAGTGATTCCTTCCTCAGATTGTTCATGCGTAAGAGATTCCTTAATTTGCTTTCGTTGACTTTCTAATTGTTGCTCCAATGTAGATAAATTAATGGAAACACTCACACAACGATTGTCTTGGAATCTTCTGGTCTTTCCTGAAGAGGCTTCAATAGAAACCTCAATGAAACTGCTTTGTCTTGAATGAGATTCATCCAATGATGATGAGCTTTCGTCAGTGACATTTCTTGTTGTTGCTGGCTTAATGACTTGATCGGAAAGTTTTGGTTCTTCAAAGGTTTCAACCTTTTCCATACAAACAACTGGAGAATCCACAGAATCTTCGTCTCTCAAATGAGATGGAATTGGAGATTTCTTTTCTGGAGTGGCAGGAGGTGGAATTTGTGGGCTAACTTGAATAGTTTCCTTCTTTTCTGGCATGGTTGTTGGGTCAATTTTAGATGTTCTCTTTTGCATAATTTCCTCTGGGAATGGATCAAGACGAACGAAATTTTCTGGAGTTTCAGATAGTAAATTAGAAAGATAGGCATCTGACAAGTCGCAGTAAACTAATTTTCTCTTGAGTGATTCCTTCTTTGTAAAGACGAGAATGAATGGAACATGTTCCAATTCTGGCATGTTAACAGTTCTGTTGAAAAATTCCAACGAATCAATTAATTGATTTTTCAATGTCAACAAATGGTTGTGTTGTAAACTTTGATGACGTGATAGGAAATTAGATGAAGCACTGTCGATGAGTGGCTTGAATTTTGGTGATTTCAAAGTCTTTTTCTTGGCTCTTTCCTTTTCCAATAGATCAGTATGTTTCACATTGACACTACTACCAGTTGGTGATGTCAAGGTGGAAATGAGCTTGTCATTGGATGAGGCATCACTACCACTTTCATAAACTGGTTTTTCAAGAGTCAATACCTTATCTACAAGTGGAGAACCAGGAGTTCTCGAATCAGTTATTGAAATTGTGGAGCCGTACAATCCCAAAATATCATCAACTGAATACTGATTGTAACAAGTGAGTGAAACAAAGTACAAAATGGCAACTCCCTGAGTTTTGATTGGTTTCTTACTGGAAGTAGCATTTTGTTCACTTGAATTGGCGGATGTATTGCTGTCAGTTGTGGTATTGAGTGGAGTAGATGAAGCATTTACAGATGATGAGCTAGGTGCTGTATTTTCAGATTTCTTCTTCTTCTTCTCTTCCTTTTCCTTATCCTTTCCAGAGGAGGTTGTTGAACTTGTCAATGGTTGAGATTCTTCATAGAGCTTGGAGAGCAAAATCTTCTTCCACTTTTTTCTATCTGATCTAACACCTGCACTGTCAATCATGTGAAGTGAACGAATGATTGGTTTTGGTTTTTGAGGGAGTGCATTCTTTTCAGAGTCCTTACTCTTTTTAGAGGAGCTTGTTGATGTGGTTGCATTCTCAGTGGTAGATGTGCTCTTTCTCTCTGTAATGATTTTAATTTCACTCTCATAGAAACCTCGAGTCATATTCGAAGCTAACAAGTATTCAGTTTCAGATTTCAATTCTGTATCAGAAAATCCCTTTCTAGCTCTTCTCAATCTTTCTGCTATTTGATTACAATGAGTAATGACATAATTGAAATGTTCGAAATGTTGCCATTGTGGTTGTTTTGGAACTGTATTCACATTTCCATTTTTATCCAACACATTTCCTGAAATAATCGATCCCACTTGAGTATTTCCAAACAAGTACAATAATTCTGGTGAAATTTTGTTATAATACAAGATGGTGTAAATTTTGTGTAAAATTGTCTCAGTTGCCCACAACATTGAAATTTGTTGCATCATTCCTGCATCACTCCATAACAATTCTGGCTTAACAATTGCTTGTTGCAGTAAACACCGAGAAGCATCTCCCTGTTCTCCACCATTCTCATTCTCACCTGCCCCTGCCTCATTCGAGCACTGTTCCACGATTGAAATTTTTACAATTTTCAACAATTTTTCATCAATTAAATTTTTTGATGATGGAAATCGATAATCAATTTCGTTGAAAATTTTCTTCTTGACACAAATAATGAACAATAACCATGAGAACATGCTGCTGAGTAATTCTTCGTGGAATTTTAGTGAATTTTTGGACATGCTGCCACCCAATAGGAGATTGGACATTTTGCAGAAGGATGTCTTTCCCGAATTGCTTACACCCATAAGGAGAAGGTGATGGAGTTGTTGTTGTTGTTGCTGTTGTTGGAGATTATAGTCGAAGGGTTGATCTTCGTCTCCGTGCCGACTCATTTGTTGTCCCATTTTGTGATGATGAGGTTATTGTTTTGTGGTTGTGATGATTTGATTGTTTTGTGTTTGTTGGAAAGTAGACGAAAGAGATTCGTATTTTTTTTTTAAAGTCAAGGTCTTGATGGTTGATGGACGTTTTGCAAGTTTGAATAAACAAATTGGGAATTTGAACGAATTCGGAAAAGCTTAAACTATGTCGTTGGCAAGTTTTATTCTTTCAATTTGCTTTCTAATAATTTTCTGTTATTGGAAACCTACAAATGCAAAAATCAATAATAAAACCAAGTAGGTGAAAGTAAATAATGAATTGCTAGACGATTCTCTAATGCTCTTTCCAGGTTGAATATTCTTGGATTGTTGTGGAATCAAAATACTATTCGAAACTTTAGGAGTAATTGGTGAGCTTTCTTTTGGAACTATTTCAATAATTGACATTGTGTCACTAGCAAGGAAAGTTACATTACTTGAAAAACTCAAACTTTCATTACTCATGTTTCCATCCAAATCGAATGTATATTTCGAAACTCGAGAAATTTCCATGGAAACATTAAGGTTGACTGAAACTGGAGAGAAACTCATGATTCCATTATTGTATGAGAAAACTTCTTGCCAAATCAATAGATACTTATTTCCATTACTCTTTTGAAGCCACAATTTTTGTAAGTTTGCATTTTTAGTTTCGTTTGTTCTCAATTCGAAACTCAATTCTTTCAACCCAAAAATAGCAAGTTTAGGATTTTCACTCAATACTTGAATCATTCCCTTCAGTGCTCTATAAACTGGTTTTGGAGATGGAGAATCAATATTATCAGTCGAATTATATCTCAACAATCCAAAGAACTCGCCATCATCACACATTTCGTATAGATAAGTCTTTGAGATTCCTCTCATGTATTGCAACACCAAAGATCTCAAAGTATATCTCGCTTGGATAATCTCAGGAACCCAATAAATTACATGAGCAGGCAATGTTTGCCATCCAGTTTCAGTTGTAATAATAGGTTTCGAATAACCACCCTGCAAGAGTGTTAAATTCTTGAAATAATCAATGGTTCCAGTGAATCCATATTGAGTCTGAGGTCCCCATCCCTTCACAGGATTATAAGTTCCATAATAATTATGCATATTCACATAGTCAACCCATTTACTGACATCACCCAAAGCTTCGTAAGCAGAAAGTGAGGTTAACGAAGGAGCGTAAACTGGAAAACTCGAGTTGTGATTTTCCCAAAGGAATTGAGTCCAGTTTCGTGTGATTTCAACCCAATTAGAGAGTCCTTTCAAATCATATTCGTTGACTCCTTCGTAAGCTTCGAAAATGTCTGGAACTTTCTGTGGATAGTTTCGAATTAAATCTGCTGGTCTAGAAGGGTTATCTGTTAGGAAAACACCTTTGATTCCGTTTCGTCCGAGGTAGTTGTGTCTGTCGTAGTAATATTGTGGACCATCACGTAACGAATCTCTGATATGTCTAATGCCAGACTCTATTAGAAACTTGGCGAAAGTTTCCCAGTGATTATTGTAACAACTATTTGGATACGACAAGTGTGTATTAACTCCGATTGTGTCCACGAAAGCGTCAGCACTTTGTGGAATGGCAATACTTGCTTTCGTTCTTGAACTAGTTTCGAACAGCAGAATCGCGAGAAGTAACAACCAAGCGTTTAGTTTCACCATTTTTTTTAACTGGAACCACAAGATCTCATCAAAAATCAACATTCAAACTCTTGAATTTTCCAACATTGCATTGTAAAAAGTTAACTTGACTTTCAAAGATTCGGCAAAGAACAACAAGGAACAACAAAGTTGGATTGAAACAAATTGATGATACACAGAAATCCATTAGAATGGATTTTTTCTCTTTTTAAGATTGATATTAACTCTAATAACACACCCTTTGGAACTTTGGCGTAACATTCCAGGAACAATGAATTCAATTCTTATTACAATTTTTCATTTTAAAAAAAAAATGCTCAACACATCTGCTGCTACCGGAATCAACCAATCTAATAATAGCATCAATAATAACCTAAAAGACGAGAAGAATGATGATGAAATAACTAGTGAAGTGTGTCCTCTTTCATTCTATGAAGAATCTGGTTTTTATCACAATCATTTAGAATATACAAACAAGTATTTGTATGATCCGAATCAATTTGTTGATCAATTTCATAAGAGTATAAAGGAGAAGAATTTTAACAAGTTGAGAAGTTTGAGAATTTTAATTCAACAGCAAACAATTGATATTTGTAGAAGTAGAGTGTATAATTATAGACCTATTGATGGAGAATTTTCATTGGATAAGAAGAAGAGGATAGAATTGAGTGAGAAGATTCTCGTGAATGCCTCTGTAAAGAGTAAATATTATAAGAATGAAGGATTGGAGGTGAGTGAGAAGGTTGGAGATTTGGAAAAAACTCAAGTTTTGGTTATTAATGGTGATTGTATTGATATTGCATTCCATATTCAAGATTTGTTGATTAAGGAAGGTAAATTTGGAAAGGAAAGAGTTGCTGTATTGAATATGGCTAATCCAAATACACCTGGAGGTGGATACAAGGGAGGATGTGGGTAAGTTTCTTTCAATATTATTTAATCCAAAAATTCATATTGAAACTATATTACAGAGCTCAAGAAGAAAATTTACACAGAAGATCAAACTTGTATCAATGCTTGGACAATTATGTAGACAAGATTGACAAGACTAGAACATGGAATTATCCAATAGGATATGAAAGTGGAGTCTATAGTCCAGATGTTACATTCTTCAGAGGATGTGAAGCTAAGGGTTATCCACTCCTTTCTGCTCCAAGATTAGTCGATGTCATTACCACTGCTGCAGTTCCAAACTCTCTCAATCATGGTGATGGAGAAATTGATGAGAGAAATATTGGCAGTATTGAGGCCATTTTAAAGATTGCAGTTCAACACGGAGTTAGAAATGTGGTCTTGTCGGCTCTTGGTTGTGGAGCTTTCAGAAACTCTCCAACAGCAATTGCTAAAGTTTTCAAGGAAAAGATTGAAGGTCCACAATTCAAAGGCCACTTTGATAGACTCTACTTTGCAATCATTGAAGATCACAACTCAAAGAAGGGACATAATCCTGATGGAAATATCAAACCCTTTGTCCAAGTTTTCAATGATTATTTGAAGGATAGAACCGATGTAACAGAACTCACTGACTCACAATTCAATTATGATTATGATAATATGAATGATGTATATCAGCAATACTATGAAGAAAGTAGGTGAGAGTATTATCAAATTGTATAATAAATAATCAATATTAAATCCAATAACTATTAAATAATTGTACTCTCGCTTTCCGATAGCCAAATAAATATTTAATTCACCATATGGTGAGAATGACCGATTTCTTATAATTGTGTTGGCAGTCCTGAGCCCGAGGACACAAGCAGCAAATTAATTTTTTAAGCTTAACGAAATAGCACCTCCTCAATAAACTTAAAACTTCTCACACCGCCAAGTGCGCTCTGATTCGGACACCTCAAACACCAATGCTTAATTTCTCATTTTGCATTATGATAACAGAGAAAACAAGATAAAAAAATGGAACAATCGGAAGTGACCATTGCATACTTTAATAATGGCCTTGATGTGCTGAGTATGTTGAGTAGGTGGCAAGTACCAAGCTCGGAATCTGTCATGATTTTCATGTCAAGTGTTTTGTTTTGCATTGTGGCGACATTGGTTCTTCCTGGAAAGATGGTTCAGGGAGTTCCATTGAAGGATGGATCGAGGATTACATACAAGATTAATGGATTATCGGTTGTGTTGCTTGGAACTTTATTTTATGGATTGTTGTGCTATTTCAATTTCCAAATTGGGAATGAGCTTATTTATTCATTGGTTTGTAAGAGTTTTGGACAATTGCTGGTTACAAGTTTGGTGTTTAGTTTTCTATTGACCAGTTTCTTAAATTTGAGATGTGTCCTTCAACCAGAGAGAAGTAATTACGTTTATCCTAAATGGAATATTATCATGAATTTTTGGTGTGGTGTTGAATTGAATCCACACATTTTTGGATTTGAAATTAAGCAATTTTCGTATAGACCTGCATTCTTAATGATTGGAATTTTGAATTTAAGTTTTGCTTTCGAACAGTTTCGTCTCTATCAAACACTTTCTCAAAATTTCATAACTTTCCAAATCATTAGTTTCCTCTACTTGATTGATTGTTTCGTATTTGAAGAAGGACTCATTTTCATGTTTGATATTATTGAGGAAAACTTTGGATTCATGTTAGTTTTTGGTGATTACATGTGGACTCCATTTATTTTCACACTTCAAAATTTATATTTGATTAATGACTTTAATGTTAATCATTTCCAAACAGTTGCCAATATTTTGATATTCATTGTTGGTTATATCATCTTTAGAGGAGCCAATAATCAAAAAATTACCTTCCGTCAAGATCCAAAACAAGTTTGGCTTGGACTAATCGAACCTAAAGTATTGGAAACTTCTCGTGATAGAAAGCTGCTCATTTCTGGATTCTGGGGAATGGCCAGAAAGATTAATTATTTAGGAGATATCCTAGTGGCCATCTCTCAAAGTTTCCCATGTCTTCAATGTGGCCATGTCCTTCCATGGATGTATCCAATTTATTTAACACCACTTTTACTTCACAGAGCCATGAGAGATAATGAAAGATGTAAGGAAAAGTATGGAAAGTTTTGGGATGAATATTGTTCAAAGGTTAGGTGGGTTATGATTCCTGGAATTTATTAGAAATTTTTCGTAGAGATTAGAATAAACTTTCGAATTTTATGAAATTTAAAGTTTTTGAAAAGAATAATTTCAATGGCTTAATCATGATGTTTCTGATAAATAACTGAATGTAATATTTGTAGATGAAAACATAGTCAAATGACGTCAACTGTCATCGATTAATAAAAATCAAATAAAAAAAATGTCATCAGAGTTAATCGTGCCACCAACACCAAGAGGTGCAGCCTCTACATCAGAAACAGCTCCAATCACTGAAATTGTAGCATTAAAAATTTCATACGAAATTCCAGAACAAATTTTATCCGAAAATGAACTTGATCAATCACACATTAGAATAACTTATTGTTTTCCTTCGGATACTTTAGTACAACAAGTTAAAAAACAATTTATTTCTCACTTGTTGGCTAAAGGAGTTGTTAATTTGGAAGTTTCTAATAAGAATGATGTAGATTCGAATACATTGGATCAGTTTCGTTTACTTGTTACAGGTGGAAAGGAATTATTAGTCGATAAAAAATCACTTCAAGAAAATAGAATTGAAAATAATGGCAAACCACTTTCTGTCAATTTAATCAAAATTTCTAATAATCCATCCGAAACTGATGACGAAAATGTTGTAAACCTTTCAGATTACGTCGAACGTGAAACTATCAAAATCAAAAAGAAACATGTCGAAGTCAAGCTCAGAATCCAAGAAAAAGTTGGTGATCAAGTTTTAACATGTGACATTTCCTGTAAAAACAATAAGAAATTTGGAGTCATTTCAAAAATGTATTGTCAACACAGAAATTATAATGCTGAAGATTTTGTGTTTGCAACAAGTGTTAATCACGTCTTGTTGAAGAATGAAAAATCACTTTCAAGTATGGGAATGGTTGAGCAAGGAACTGTTTATGTTATTAATGTTTATCATAAGGATTTGGTTAGTTTTAAATAAAGGAATTTTATGGAAATAAATCTATTGGAAAATTGAATTTTAACTCAAAATAGGAATGATGCAGAAAAAAAAAGGTAAGTGGAGATGCGGGGTATCGATCCCCGTACCTCTTCCATGCTAAAGAAGCGCTCTACCATGTGAGCTACATCCCCTTACATTCTTTTCGAAAACAAGTCTTAATACAACGTTGAAGAACGATTTTTACCAGCTGGCAAGATCAAGAAATTCAAGTGTTATTTCAACAAATTATTAATAATTGAACTTAGCACATAATATTAATTTTCTCTCGGAACATACCTCAATTTCCGAAGTCAGACACCACTCAAAAAAAAAATGCACATCGGAATTTCACTCCCTTACTTAAATCTCACTCTTCTTTTCCGATGCCAATCAATGAAAAAAACAAGAAAACATCAATATCTTCCAGATGGCCAAAAACAAGACTGCCAAATCTCAAACTCCTCAAGTGAAACCTCAAATCCAAAAGATTGAAAAACAACATCAACAAATCAATAATGATTTGAATAAGCAATTGAAGAAGGAAAATTCCGAAAAGAAGAAGCAACATCAAACTTCCTCAGATGCTGCTTTAAAGAATCAAGAGAGCAAGCAAGTGTCTTCAACAGGTTCATCTCCAGAAAATATTAAGACAGAAGTTACTCCTTCCAATAATCAGGCAACATCAGATTTGTCTCCTTCTTCCGAGAGCAAATCAAATGATAAGAGGGAGAAAACAATGGAAAGAATTAGAAAGGTGGTAAAACAATTGAAGGAAGATCAAAAGAAGGAAGAAAAGAAATCAAAAGTTTTGAAAACTCCACTTATTGAAGAAATTAACGAATCGGAGGAGAAGGAATGTCAATCTTCTGAATCATCTTCAGAGAAGAAAGAAGAAAACGAACGAAATGACGCAGAAGCAAGTACTGTTGAATGTAAATAAATATTGAAAAGTTTAGTTTTGGTTTATTGGTGATCAATTTACAGAATAGAGGTAGTGATTGGTTTGGAAAGATAGGATGACTTCCTTCGGGTAGGAAGTGTTTTGGAAGCTACAGAATTGAGAAGATTATCATTTTCTTGTTGTAGTTTGAGGATTGTCTCTTCACGATCTAATCTCATCTTGTCAGCTTCATTAATGTGTGAAAATAGTTCAGAAATAGTTCGTTCTTGTTTTTTGGCAACTGTTTGAAGGTTGATACTATTAGATTGTTCTCTCTTGACTTGTTCCTGAAGTTGCTTGATTTTCTGTTCAAGTTGTTGAATGGTATCTCGTTGTTGCTTTATCATTTCATCCTCTTCTTGTAGTCTCTTTCTATTCTTGTAAGGGGGCAGCCATTTATCGTGTTCAACCTTGAGCATTTCTTGTAAGAGTTTGTGATGCAGTGATGCAATAGAATTTTTGGACTCATCTTCCAAAGATTTATCCACACTTTCAATTTCAGTTTCTCGACTTCCAACAATTTTCACTCTCGATTCACTCAAGAGATTGGCAAGCTTTTCCTTATCGAGACTGTTTTGAGTCTTTCCATCTTTTTCATGGAGCATGGTATTGAATGAAATGACGAGCCTGGATAAGGTTTGAGCTCTATCATGCCATCGTTCTGCCCAATCATCAGAAATTTCCTTCTGTTGAGCCAACTCGTGGTTTCTATTCAAAAGAGTGGCATTCTGGGATTCAATTTGTGCTAAACGAGTTCTCAGCATTTCATTCTCTGTGTGAACATCTTTTGAAATGTCCTTTTGTGCACACAGATTTGCGTGAAGATAATTATTCGTCCTCACTGAATCCACAACTATATGTTCATATTGTTTTTTACATTCTTTCTTTGTTTTGTTCAATTTTCCCTTCAAATGATCAATTTTCTGATCCCTCTTAGCTAAACTCAAATGTACAGAGAGTGGATCCATATCCAAGCATGCCCTTTCATATCTATCCTTCGTCGTTTCATCCAATGAATAATTACTATCAGAGTCTAACGAAGCAATGGAAGACAAGGAATTTGATCTTTTCAATCTTCCACCATCTCCACTTCCTCTCCTTAAATTACTAGATGATGATGATGAAAATGATGGCAACAAGTGCCTATAATAATAATAAGGCATGTAAGGATAATAACGATTCGGAATGGAAAAGGCATCATCAACAGAACCGTGCCAAAGTACTGAAGAGGACGGAGCTGATGGATAATGATCATAGGGATCTGCTCCTGCTGGCCAAACACTTGATGAATAGGGTCCTCCCCAACGATGATAATTGACCATTTTTTTTAAATCCTTTTTATTTACGATTTTTTTATTACCAACACTTGACTTCATTTTCTGTAATGAATAACAAGCAGCAACCAACGCAAGGATGCAAATTCAGTCATTGCTCTTGTTGCTATTCGCATCAATATTTACCACTATTTGCCGTGCCGTTATTAAATTGGCTCAAACAAATACTTGAACCAACAAGGCAAATCTTATTACCATGAACCTCAAATCAAGCAACAAGATAACACCTCAACAATTTCATTAATACATAACACCAATTCGGCACTTGCTAGCCTTTTATTTTCACTTGTCTTGTTGTCACTTGGAAGGATAAATTGTGGCATAAGTTCTTTTAGAGTAATTAGTCAATTAAATTTCAATTGAACTCTTTAGTCTAAGCCCTTGCAATTAATTGATATCAAAAAAAATCTGCAAAGATGCCACTACACCAAACTTTCATCTACACTGGGAAGCTACAACCAGACGAAACTAAACATACAACATTTCCAACAACAAGAACAATATCGCGGAATAGTCGAATTTCTTTCTCTTCATCAACTATAACCACAAATTTAATTATTTCAATTCTACTGCTAGCATTTATCACCTCTCTCATACAATCTCTATATTATCAGATAGTGTATTCATCCAACAATGACAACAAACTTTATAGTCACACATTCTTTGTGAATGCTGCCACTACATGCTATGGTGTTGACAGCACGGATCCTAGTGTTTGCTCGGGTAATGGAAATTGTACCAGTAAGAATAATTGTGAGTGCAATGATGGATTTAGTGGAAACAAATGTCAAACAGAGACGGTGAAATGTTATGGTGTAGTAGATACTGATCCTACAGTATGTTCAGGTCATGGAAATTGCTCTAGTAAGAATAATTGTCTGTGTGATTCAGGGTACAGTGGTAACAAGTGTCAAACCTTTGATGGTACTAGTTCGATATCGTGTTATGGAATCGATTCGACAGATAGTTCAGTTTGTAATTACAATGGTAATTGCACAGCAACGAATAATTGCGTTTGTAATCAAGGATATAGTGGAAATCAGTGCCAAACATTGGATAGCTCTTTTAAATGTTATGGAGTTGACTCTACTGACGTTTCTGTTTGTAATGGAAATGGAAATTGTACATCAACTAATAATTGTGTCTGCAAATCTGGTTACACTGGGAATCAATGTCAAAATGAAGATAGTTCATTTAAATGCTACGGGGTTGACTCGACAGATATCTCTGTTTGTAGCGGAAATGGAAATTGTACAAGCTCAAACAATTGCGAATGCAAATCTGGTTATACTGGTAATCAATGTCAATCAATTGATAGCTCTTTCAAGTGTTATGGTGTTGATTCGATAGATATCTCTGTTTGCAATGGAAATGGTAATTGCACTAGTTCAAATAATTGTGTTTGTAAATCTGGTTACAGTGGAAATCAATGTCAAACCTATGATGGCGGTAATAGTGGTTCATTTAAATGCTATGGAGTTGATTCTAGTGATATCTCTGTTTGTAGTGGAAACGGTAACTGTACTTCTGCTAATAATTGTGAATGTAAGGCAGGTTATAGCGGCAATCAATGCCAAACCTTCTCTACCTCTTTTAAGTGTTATGGTGTTGATTCGACAGATAGTTCAGTTTGTAATGGAAATGGCAATTGCACCTCCTCTAATAATTGCGAATGTAAATCTGGATACACAGGAAACCAATGTCAATCAATTGATAGCTCGTTCAAGTGTTATGGTGTTGATTCGATGGATGTCTCTGTTTGCAATGGAAATGGTAATTGCACTAGTTCAAACAACTGTGTTTGTAAATCTGGTTACAGTGGGAATCAATGTCAAAACAATGATGGCAGTAGCACCATTAAATGTTATGGTATTGATTCGACTGACCCATCAGTTTGCTCAGGTCATGGTATCTGTTCCTCAACCAACGACTGCCAATGTGAAAATGGTTACAGTGGAAATAAGTGTCAAACCTTTGCAAACGAAACATCTACTTTCAAATGTTATGGTGTAGATTCTTCGGATCCTACTGTTTGCTCTGGTAATGGAAACTGTACATCCACCAACAATTGCCAATGCCAATCAGGATTCAGTGGAAATAAGTGTCAAACTACAGTTAATTATTGCTTTGGTTATGATGAAAATGATAACAATGTTTGTGGTGGTCCAGATCGAGGAAAATGTACATCTAACGATGTTTGTGAATGTAAGGGAAGCTACGTTGGTTACGATTGTGGTGCTTTTGTTTCAGACAAATCACTCATCAAAATAACCTCAAAATATTCAAAGATTCTAAGCACCAATACTGACATTAATTTCATAACAATTAGTATTCCAAAGCTCACTAACAGCTACAAGGGAATTGAGAATAGACTCAAGAGTACTTTGGTGATTTTCAGCAGTAATGTTACTATTGATTATTCCACTACTGGAATGATTGAACAGTTTCAATTGTATAAGAACATGACACTTGGCGTCTACTCTCTCAATTTAACCATTGTTGATACTACTTATAACATTCAAGTTGCTGCTACTGTTGAGAGCTCAATATTTTCTATACTGACTCTTGAACAAACTACTCAAAGTGTGGATACCTTGACAGCAAAAGAAATTGCACAAGTTACAAAGCAATTGAACCAAATTACAAACCAACAACAATTTATTTCTACTGTGGTTTCTACTTTGAAAGAGAATGTTAATAATTACACAATTGATGATGGTTTAGATTTGACTTCGTCACTATTAGATATTTCCAATGTCAAGTTGGATACTAAATCTAAACTGGGAATATCTGAAACCCTAAAATCATATGCTCAAAATATGATCGAAAAGTTTGACAATTTCACAACAGAACAAGTCAAACCAGTTGCAATTAACATCGTTTCTGTTGCCTCAAATATTTTAAATCAATCTATATTTACTGAACCATCATCTAAATTTGTGGTTATCGGTAATTCTATTCAATCCGTTGAAAAGACACTTTCCCTTGTTACGATTGTTAATCCAACAGAAAATTTATCAATTGAAACTTCGATGATTAAGGTTCTTCTCATTTCAAAATCAGAATACAAGAATTTACATACTATAGATAAGGATTATACTCTTAATCTTCCAGAATTGGGGTTTGAATATTCGTTTGGTTTGGTAAAATATGAAAATTACTTGACAGAAGATTTGCAAAACACAAGTTCAATTTCTGACATTTTGCAAGTGAGACCAATGTTGAATGGTGTTTTTAGCCCTCTCAGACATTTATCCACTCCATTCAATTTGACTTTCTCTATCAAACATTTCGGTGCGCCACCAAGTAATGAAACAGTTGCAACTGTGGTTTGCAAATATTGGAACGAAACAACTAATGAATGGTTGAGTGATGGATGTAGCACCACAATCCTTTCGGCTGATCAAGTCTTGTGCTCATGCTATCACACAACAAAGTTTTCCTCCTTTGTGGATTATTCTAAAGTGAATTTCAGTACCAGAACTATTCAGACATCACTAGCCGTTGCCAACATCATTTTCAGTTCCTTATTTATTGCTGCAATTCTAGTTATCCTTGTGTTGTTGGTAATTTTCAGAAAATCCCAACCTGTAAAATCAAGATTTATTACTCCCTACTTTGCATTAACTGCCCTATTGATTGATAATTTGGTTTCTGGTATTATTGCCAAAGGACTTTTACTTGGAAATTACTCATTCAATGTAGTTATCATGACAAGTGTCTGTGCAGTAATTTCAAGTGCACTATTGGCAAGTGCAGTCTGGTGCTATTTTGTCATGTCCATTCGTTTCATCATCCACAGATACTTTTACGAATACATGATGAGAGTGGTTGAGAACAGACAACAAAAGAATGCCGTTTTGGTTAAGATTTTGAACATTTTCAAACAGGATAAGCTTCTCATCTTGTCTAGTTTGATGATTGGTTTTGGTTTTGTCTTGTACTTTACCATTTTTATCATTTTGAAGGGAGTGGATGCTTTCTCTGATTCTCAATTCACTTACTCAACAACCATTTCATTGTTTATTATTTTACTTTTCATGACGGCGATGGTAATTGCTATTTACATTTTAGACTTTTATTTGGACTTTACAAACAAACAATTAAGAGATGAATTAGTTGACATATCTGATGAAATAATGTTATTAGAAAGTGGAGATTCAAGCTTGAACAATCTCAATTCTAGAAAATCCCTTAAAATTACAAAACCTTTCGTTGATTTGTTGGAACAATCCCATATTAAGAAGTTTTTCAATTTATTCTACTCAAATGACAAGTTAATGTTCAGACCTGAGGCCATTTTCTTCATGTTAGGTATTTCATTCTTTACCATTTCTTACTGCTTGGGATTTGCCAGTGTCCATGACCGTTACGTATCAAATCCAACTTCTACACAAATTCAAACAGTCGACATTCTCGATGCAGTTGCATTCCTTTTTGAAGTCTTGATGACCGTTTGTTTGATTACTAGCTTTGGAGGTTTCTCTGTTGGTTGGGCCATTTTCACTGAAACCAGAAAGAGAAGTTGCTTCAAGGAATCCAGACAAGCTTCTGTCAATGCTGAGAGAATCAAATCTCAAAGACTTGAAAGCTACGAGGATCTTACCAACAGGTTTGATGTTTACAAGCTCATGAAGAACAAGTACTTGTTAAGACTCTTCCAACAATATGCCAAGTTGGAAATGTCACTAGAAAATTATATTGTTTGGATGCGAATTGAACATGCCAGATCTAAATTTGCCAAATTGTGGGTTGATATGGATGGAGAAGCAGCATCTATCGAGGAATGGAATTCACTCTTGGAGGAATTACTTGGATGGCTAAAGGATCACTTGGATCCAGATGCAGAACTCGCTCTCAATGTCAGCCACCACTCTGTTAAACAATTCATTGCTGCTGTGCATATGCTAGAAAGCAAAATTGACACCATTTCAACTAAGAACAGAGATTCCCTATTCAATTTGAAAGAAATGGTTAGACAAGCCATTGATTCATTAATCATCGATGTTCTCTACAATTTAACAGACACCTATTCAAGATTTATCATCACGGATGAATACAAAGCTCTCAAAGAAGTAGAATCTGTTACCGAAATGAATACTTTCAAATAAAATTTATTCAGGAAGCACGTATGATTAAGGCAAAGTTTTATTTAAATCCACGTATACTTTACTTCTTTATAAAATGAGATAATTATCTTTTAATGGGCGGGCGTGTCTGTAAATCACTGATTGAATAATCCTGGAATATTTTCAACATGCGCTCTCTATTCATCAATTTTGTAGTGTGTGTAATTATTAAATCTCCTCTTTTACAAACGAATTCGAATAGATCATCCCCAATATAATCCTCATGAATATAGTGAATGTAAAGAAGAATCTCAGGATACTTTGAAAAAAAGGGTGCAACTTCATAATATTCATAACATGTACTCACTGAGACATCATACCGTAAAGTTAATTCCAAATATTTCAATCTTTCGGTTCTAGGAATATAGCGGATACACTTTGGTACAATTGAAAGAATTTGAGGTAGGAATGTAGCTTGTTCCTTGACAAAGCGAAATGTTGAGGGATCTCTTTTCACACAATTCATTACAATTTCCTGATAATTTTCAATGGCAGGATCAACATATTGGAGGGTGAGAGGATCCAACTCAAGTGCTGGTATTACAATTTCTGGATTCTTTTTGAAAGCTGCAGTCATAAATTGAAGATTGTGTGGCAGTTTTCTAATGGCCAATAGAGCCATTTCTAAATCAGATTTGAATTCAAAATAAATGTATCTGAATAAATGTGGATTAATTTCTAGAGCCATCTTGGTTAATTCTCTATCTTTTCTCAATTCCAATTTGATAAATGAAAAGGAAGCTGGATTTAATCTCATATTAATCAATGATTCTTTTACAATTTGCATATCCTGAAGAGATTCATCAAATTTTTCAAATGAAACTCCATAATTGAGCATTTCCATCATTAATTCTCTATCATTTCTATAAGAATGATTCGTTGGAAAATGATGTGCTTCCCTCTTTTTTTATCCAATTTCAGAATTTTCAAAAGATATTCAATCGATGAATCGTGACTCAAGGCATAAATTACAAATTCTCTCATTTTAAACAATGATTCATCTAAAAGTTTTGCAATTTTTTGTGGATTTCCTTTTCCACTTTGAATTATTTGCATCATGAGTTCTTTATCTTTTCTAAAAGATTTTGGAATTAGCTCAAGACATTCTGGATCAATTTCAAATGCCATTAACATTGATTCTCTTGTTTCTTTCCAATTATCTGGGAAATATGAAAATTTTGGATTGATTTGTTGTCCACTTTTGGCAGCCATCTTGCCTAATTCAAAATCCTTTTCCAAATTATTGACATTTGGCACATATCCATATTTGCTAGCCACCAATTCAAGAATTTCTCTATCCATACACCAATTAGACTCTTTAAATAATGAATACAGACAATCAGAATCTCTATTCGAAGAGAGTTTCTAATAGCTATTCTATGTTCGACCACGACACTCAAGTATATCTTGAATTTCCATTTTTTTAGAACATTCAATCAATATTTCTTTATCAACACTGCGCAACCAACCAACTCTTTTCAAATACTCCCAATAATTTGTTTCCTTTCTCAACTGGAACAAAAGCACGCTACATGATTAACAGATCGAAGTAAAAACTAGTTTGTTCGTTGCTTAGTTGGTTATTTTCACTTTTGTATTAAGACTAATATTTAATTGAATAGATTTCTTAATGAATGTTAGGGGATGTAGCTCACATGGTAGAGCGCTTCTTTAGCATGGAAGAGGTACGGGGATCGATCTTTTTTGTACGCTTCTATCTTTTTCAATGGAACAAGTTGAAATTACCTTCAATTATTTAAAATAGAATCTTTTTGTAGTATTATTTGAATAACATTCTTAGCTAAGAACCATTAGATGACAAAAAACCAAAAACCGCCCAGCAAAACCGTTACACCATTATAAATGGTTTTTCAAAAAAAAACACCATCAAGAATTTATTCTCACCTGCAATGAAGTAACAACGACACACAGGTGCTAGTTTCAAATCCACATCAAATTACCTGTCTAGATGCCCTTTGCCAATTCTCTTTTACCAAGAGCAAAGTGAAAGTCCCCAAAAGATGTTTCCACCATAATACAAAAACAAGTAACACATATTTTCATATATGAATAATATCTATTGCAAGATATTATAATCACCATCAAACTATTTGACAAATAAAATTAGCCGGCTGGTTTGCCATCATAATATCCAAGTTGGATTTCAAACAACAAAAATGTCCAAATTGCTTCTCCTACTATTACTTTCTCTTTTATTTGCAACAACAACAACACGAATAATCAGTGCCTACATCCTGCTACCACAACAATCAGCATCATCTTCACTTTATAATAACCAAGATGATAATTCATCATCAACAACTATAATAACATCATCCTCATCATCATCAAATGTATTACTTTCTGCTACAGCAGCAGTGGTGGTGGAGAGGAATAAAACATTCTATATCAATGAAGCGAATGGCACACAAAGTGGTGATTGTTCCGAGCCTTCAAAAGCCTGCTCCTCCATCCTCTATTTAACTGGTTTGATTTCACGATCGACCGATTATTTAACAAACAAGTTTTTAATCTATCTAATAGGAGATTGTATTAAATATGAACCAATAACATTCAGTACCATGACCTTGACGAGTACTTTTATATTTCTCTCATACAATGATTCAAATAATACAAATAATAGTAGTGGCAGTACAGTTAATAGAGTGACATTGGCAAATAAGAGATGGTTAGCTCAATTTTCAAGTATGGGATTTGAAAATTTAATTGTGGACAAGATGGAAATATTTCCAGGAGATGGATTTTCATTTGTGAATTGTCTGGTTAGAGGGATGAGTTTGAAGAGAGGATTTACTTGGATGATTGTGAAGAATACAGTGATTGAGGATTCAATTTTTGGAGATGATAGTGTCACGAGTTATATGAGGAATAAGGACGATAGACCAGTGATTGAAATTACACAGAGTAGAATTGTTCGTTCAAAGATGAATTTAGAATCAATTACTAATGTTATGAACTGTAATTTTACCGAATCTAATATGACGATTAGCAATTCAGTATCTTCAACATTGCAGAATATTGCTGTTAACAATTCTAGAATTTTATTAAGAGTTGTCTTTTATATTAATGTGAATTATTTTGATTGCTCCAATAGTAGTTCATCATTTGCAATTGATGGAGCCAATGAGGTTAAAATTGTGAGGTTCAATTTTGAGAATTGTAATAATTATGGAGAAAGTACTCTCTTCTCTACTGTTAGGACTTTAAATATTGATCACATGAATTATATTAGAAATAAGGGTGCACTTACGTTTTTAGGAGTTTACCAAACTAATATGGGATCATCTAATTTTATTGAGAATAGAAATGGTGCCATTCAAGTGGAAAATCATGGCGACTCACCAACATATTTTGTCGTGCAAGGTTCCAAGTTTTTGAGAAATAGCAGATTATCAAATGGTGGAGCTATTTATATGGATTCAGCTTTATCAAATTTCCATACCTATTCTAGTGTATTTGAAGATAATATGGCATTGAATGGAGGTGCTGTATATGTATTAGCATCCATTAGAAATACCTATACCAATACTGTTTTTAACAGAAATAAGGTTACAGACTGTGCTAAATGCGGTAATGGTGGAGCTCTTTATTCCAACACAAACTCTCTAGAGTGGAGATCCTCCAATTTTACAAATAATGTAGCCATTAAGGGAGGAGCTGTTTTTATTGATAGAGTACCATCTATTACCTTTGAAACTCAGGATATTGTGTTTCAAAATAATGAAGCTCAATTTGGATCAGACTTTTTCTTTGAAAAGTATGAAGTTGACAAGTTCCCTGTTGATAAATATGCAAACTCTACTGCCAGCTCAATTATGAAGAGTTTCAAAGTACTCATGAATAATATTGAGATAGACTCAGGAAAGAACTTTGATGTCTATCCAGGTGAAACGATACAATTACAATATTCCTTTGAAGACATATTTGGAAATAGAATTGAATCTTCTCATAATCAACCTGTCATATCCTCTGATGCAAATATTACTCTATACACAGTTTTTACCTCAAATACGGACTTTAAGTTGCTCTTTGATTTGAATAATAAGGGAGAGATATCTACAACTGTTGAATTGGTCATTGCCTATTCAGAATTTACTGTAATTAGTGAATTGCATCTCACCATTGCTCCATGTCCACAGTATCATCGTTTACAACAGGTCAATTTTAATGGATACAAATGTGTCAAGCAAGATGTATTGCTTATTATCATTTCCTCTGTACTTTCATTTATTTCCCTGCTTATAATAATACCATTCATTTCATTCATTCTTTACAGGTTTGCACTCAAAAAGTTGTTTATATTCTACAAGAGAGAACGAGAGGAGAGAAGAATTGAAAAGCAATTGAAAGATTACCTCTTTAGAAATATTAATGCCAATGATGAGAAACAAGGTCTCCTCAAATCTTTGACACATTCTAATATGATAATTCCAATCAGTGACATTCAAATTGTTTCCAAAATAGGAGAAGGATCGAATGGTGTAGTATATTTGGGGCGATGGAAACAAACTGACGTTGCCCTCAAAAGTATCAAACATGATTCTACCGATATTGATATTGAAAATCAATTAGAAGAATTTGAACATGAAGCTTCCTTATTAGCAAGCTTACGTCATCCCAATGTCATTTCATTTTATGGTATTAGTTTCGGTCTCAATGTACAATACATGGTAGTTGAATATTCAGTTAATGGAAGTTTGGACAAGGCAATTCATCAATCCAAGATTAAGAAGAAGGTTCTCAGTTTTAGAGATAAGATTAATATTGTTCTTGGAATTTCAAAAGGTTTAAATTACTTGCATTCATTGAGACCACAAATGATTGTTCACAGGTATGTATTTGAATAGTCTTATTGAGATTAATACTGAAATTATCAAATAATTTTAGAGATTTGAAACCTGGAAATATTCTATTGGATAGTAATTTTGAGCCAAAGGTAACAGATTTTGGAATGAGTCGATTTATTGGAACTGAAAATTCATCCATGACCATGAATGTTGGTACATTACGATATTGTGCACCTGAGATATTCAACAATGACAAACACGATGCCAATCACATGGTCGATGTCTACTCATTCTCAATGATTATGTATGAATTATTATTTGAGGATGCTCCCTTCTCTGAAAATACTAAAAAGATGAAGAATAGAAGTTCAGGAATCTCTACATCTGACTCCTCATCCGTAACAAGTGGAAGTGGTTCAAATAATATTAATGAAATGTACAGTATTCCAGTTCGAGTAGTGAGAGGAGAACGCCCAAGCATTCCCTTCTCGAATGAAAATGAATTGGAAATGTGGGCTGATGAGTTTATTACTGATAATGCCTCTCTAAACTACAAAGTACAAGCTCTTGAACAATATATTGAATTGATGAAACAGTGTTGGGCTCAAGCTCCAAATCAAAGACCATCCTTTGGTCAAATTTCGGAAACCCTTTTGAATATTAGCATTTCTTTCAGATAAGCCAGCTACATGCCAACACAATCTCTCAATGATACAATCAAGCAAATTTTCTTCATAATTTATTGTAAATTATTGTAATCATTAAATTGTTTAGCACTGAGAATCTTGTGGATACTTGGGAACGGTTTTCATGTTCCAAAACGAGACGCAAATAACAAAAACGCGAAAAAAAATAATTAGCGAAATTTGGGCGCGGATTTACTTTTCTTCAGCAAATTTCATCATCAGCACAAAGCAGCAAGCTTATCATCACCATCATCACGGAATAATTATCTTTTCTATTTATTTATTAATCTTCAATATCTAGATTTTATCTATTTGGAGAGAAGAGAATGAACATTAGAATTCTTGTAACTACTTTAATATCATGTTTAGTAATCTTTCAAGCCACAATTTTATCGGTTGAGGCTTGTTCTTTCTTGTTGAAGGGAGAACAACAATGTACTCATTGGTCCTATCAGAAAGCTGCTATATGGCAACAGGAATGTCCATTCTCATCATGTGGAGGAAGATCACAATCACCCATTTCTATTTCACTCTATCAAACGACACTCTATGAGACCTATTTCATGAATGCCAAGGCACAGAGTTTGATCATGTATGATTTCTCTACGGATGATAAGAGATTGATTGTGTTTAGGGGAATTGATAACTTTTTTCAACAATTTAGCTTTTCTGTCATTAATAATAATCATACTATTGTGATGGAGAGTGTGAATGAGGAGTCAATTTCGATTGAGAGATCATTTTGGATTAGAAATAATACTTGGCAAACGTTTAATTCGATAACAGTGCCATATTATTTGAAACAATTTCACTTACATTCACCTTCTGAACATTTGGTCAATTCTGAGAGTTTTGATTTGGAGTTACATTTGGTTTTCCAAAGAAATGATCTTCCTTCAAATACAAGTGAAGCTCTAGTTCCAAAACTTGCTGTTGTTGGAATATTGTACAAGGTTCTTTTGGGAGCTATTGATAATCCACTTGTTGACATTGTCATTCAAAATGTTTTACAGAAACCAAGAGTTATTGGAAAGCCAATTCCAACCACTGTTACAGGAGGATTATTATTCGACCTAGTTACTGCACGTCAACAATTTGATCCACTTTATTCATACTTTGTTTACAATGGAAGTTTAACAACTCCAAATTGTAATGAAAATGTCATGTGGAATTTGATTAATCCAAACATTATGAGTGGTGGTTATCATTACATTTCCTCCAGACAATTAACAACATTACAACAACTCATGAATCAAAATAAGCCACACATTGCAGAAGGTGCCAACTTGGGAAAAGTTCAAATTAACACTGGCTCTGCCTATATTGGAAATAATAGACCTTTACAACCTCTGAATGGTAGAACCATCATTAATATTGTAAAGAAATTACTGTAAATAATTGTACAAAATAAAGATATAATTCCTATGAACAACCTCCTAAATAGAAAGATAAATTGAACATTCAATTTATTATTAATTGTAAAAATAGATCAAGAACCACAATATGAAATTCTAGTACATAAAATATCGATTCAAACTCTGTGTGAATTCCATTCATGAATGAGGCATGTAGTGTAATTCTAACATCACGATCAGCTCATTTATCTGAAGTGTTGGTGGCGTAACTCCACCCATGCCTTTTTATCTTTCGAATTCTTTTAAAAAAAATGAACGATTTCAACAAGGTACTGACAGTTGTTTTCATATTGAATTGGTTACTTTTTATTGCATTTTGGAGGAGTTATGCCCCTAATCCACAAGAAAGTTATAACTTGGGTGTTGCCGATAATGAGGGGGTTGAAGTACCATCTGCACCATTTTATGCCAAAACTGAAGTAATTAGTCCAGAGAAAGTGGACGAAAGAAAAGAAAGTTCTGTAATTGTGAAAGGAGCTTCGGGATACAAGTGTATTTTGCCACCAACCGAAACTAACAAGCAATTTTTCGCTGTTGGTGAGAATTATTATAGTGGCAGTTCGGAAATGTTGAAATTTATTTGTGAATATTTAAAGAGACGAAACTTGGTGCAAGAAATTATTCCAAAATCAAGAAAGATGATGAAGAGATTAATATACGAAACTCATTTGATGGAAATGGTGGGATTGAGAGATGCAGTGATGAAAAGATATGCCAATTCCTTGATTGATAATCAGATATATTTTGGTGGACCACAAATCAAGAAAAATAGACGATTTGTTATTCGAATCGGATTAATTCGAAAGGCAATTATCGAATATTGCAAAAGAAAACCGCCTTCTTTCATCAACAATTTGGATACACCACTCAGGGCTGCCTTATTTAATATTCGAAATGAATTAAGAGGGGATGCACTTTTTCTATTTATCAATTTACACGATCAACAGATATTGAGAGAAATTTCTAGAGAAATTGTTTCGAATCTGCCACAATATCTTTCTAATATTGGAAATTCTTCAGATCTTTCAAAAATGATGAAGGAGAAATTAGCAGAAACAGTTTACAAAATGTTACAACGATATGGAAACAAAGAAATTAGTACTACAATCTCTCTTGAACTGGTAGCCTCAGTATTATCAGAAAACAAAAAACTTTTCAATAACTATGAAAATTGTTTCACCAATCATTCAACCAGACCAATGCTTGGATGTTTTGGATTTATCAAGAACATGCCAAAACCACTTTACAATGCAATGATTAAGAAATTATTTGAGAGAAGTGGTGAAATCCGGATCCTTTGCCACAATCACCAAATAAGTGCAAACGCGAAAGAAAAGTTTGAAAAAATGTTTTCATTAAGATTGGATCGATTTCTGAAGAAATTGTAAACTAAAGTTTTTTTAAACTATTCACAATAAAACTGATTCAATTGTAGCATTTGAACCAAATACAAGTAAAATGTTAGCTAACATTTGATAAGGTAGGTTCAATTGACTTTGAAACATTTGACAGTGCTTCCTTTTCGAATATCAAACAAGCAAATTATTATCAAATCACAGAACTTCACAATATAGAGGATTTTGCTGTTAATAATCAAAATTTGTATTGTACAATGGTTATTGAACAAATGGTTCAAAACCAAACTGAGTCATTCCCTTGTGCATAATATTTAATTCTATTGTCACCTCTCCTCCAACACTTTCAGTCCTGGTTACCTCTCTTCCTTCACCTTTACAAACCATTGTCGAGTCGAAATATTCTGGGGCCACTCCCTTTACGGAACCAATCCATTTCTGTATTAAGGATGTACTTTGAGGTTTAAACAGTTTAACTTTCAGACTGTGTTTTCCAGCTCCGATTGGTACTTGACACCATCCATATCCGATAATCTTTTGCTTTCCAGTTCCTTCTTGAACAACAAGACACAACTTTGGCCATCCATAAGGATTTGTACTTCTAAAACAAATCTCCAGAGGGAAATTCCAAATATACTTTGAGTTGAATCCTCTTGGCCTCATTGCAACCTGTGTCACACCACTTTCCAAGCTTACTCCTTCTCCAGTTGTTCTTGCAATTTCCCAATCTTGCCCATAAACAAATTGAAAACTACACGAAATATTCATATTGCCAGGAAATTCTGCATGACTTATTACACCATTCACAATCACATAAAACGATGAAGTGGCATTATTATTTTGAACTGATGTATAATTATTATTCATGGTTGTATTATTGAGGGTGATATTTGTTGTATTCAAATTGATGCTATTCATCGGATCAAGATTATTTACACTTGTTGATAAAATACTACTCGCTGAGGTTTCTATAATGTTGTTTGCTGCTTCAATATTTTCCGATATTATTGGCTGTTTATTTGGTCTGCCGAGCATACCTGCCGTACTTGGTCGTGAACTAACACCTGCTGGCTTTGAGCTTGATGGTCTATTGAGCATTTTTTTTAAGGAATTGTTTGGATTTTGTGTAGATTTTTGGCGGGAAAGTCTAATAATACAACACTCCTCAAACGTTCTCAGATTCTAGTTTGAAGTAAATGGTTATACCTGTTTGTTTTACAGTCAGAAGATTGGATTGTTTGAGAATAGTTGGGAAACATTGGATTCCATCTGCTGTGAAAGATTCTATAAAAGAAATTAAAGTATATCTTTCAAAAGACGAAGTAACTATTTTAAGGGAAGGCGAGGTTTACCATTTGTCTAAATAATTATGACAAAGAATGTACGTTGGTTCATATGTACTAAAATGAGCATGCTTTGTGTTTTGAAAATTAGAACCAATTCCATCCAGTAAATAACAAGTTTGAAACTAAACATTGCAAACAGAGAAAAACAGTAAGGTTAATCCAAATCAAAAAAAAATGTCCGAAAAACAACCTTCATCAAACTCTTCAAACAACAATAACACAAAGCATGATAGTAATAATAGTAATAATAATAACGACAATGGAATGACCAATAAGATTGGACATAAACAATTCATCTTGGAAAAACCCATCGATACAATATTTACAACAAGTAATTCTTCATCAAGAAGTTTCATAACACCACTAACACCAGAACAACAGGAAAGGTTGAAAATGATCGATCCAAAGCAGGCTATGATGTTGTATTTTGTTACAAGTACATTCTTTTCACGTCTGTTTGCTCATCCATTGGACAGAATTTCAACCATTCTCCGAACACAACATGTTCTTCCAAATGCGTATGGTACAAGCTTTTATACAAATTTGCCAACAGCAGTATCTTCATCATTGGTACAACCACAGCAACAGGCTCCTTTTAGAGGTGCCATTGATGCTTTGAAAAAACTTCCAAAGGATAGAACATTGTGGAGAGGATTGGCTCCCGATGTTTATGGGTAGGTTCCATATAAACTATGGATTTTAATATTTGGATTAACATTTGGAAATTGGATTTTTATTAATCTGGAAATTTATTATTATGGATTTTTTAATATTTAATTAAATCAATTTGGATTTATTAATATTTCGGAAAGTCGCTTATGTGCAAAAGTAGTGGAATTACAATTTGCAGATGAAATTAACAACTTTATTCAACCTTGGATGGGAACTCTTGTAGAACAAGATCCAAACGATCCAAGAAAGAAACTTTTAAATACAAAGGTGTTGGCTACCTCTGTAATATCTGGTGCTGTTGCATCCTTCCTTATTTCTTATCCATTCAGTGTTGTTTCAACAAGAATGCAATCCAATTTAATTCCACTCCATGAAGTGAAATATAATATGGATTGGCAAATGGTGAACAAGACCAACTTTTCCAATGTATGGCAATCATTTAAATCAATCTATCAATTTGAAGGAATAAGAGGATTCTATACTGGTTTATCAGCTGCTGTATCTGGTCTTGCTGTTTATAGAGGCATCTATTTTGCCTTATTCGATTCATTGAGACGATTGGGAATGAGTGACAATTATTCATTGAGTGAGAAATTCTTATATAGTCAAGGTTGTATATTCACTGCTGGTCTCAGTGCTTATCCTTTCCGTCTCATTGGTGATCGATTGAAAGCTCAAGCTGTCTTTAGAAAATTATACACGGAGGAGGAAACTCAGCTATTCTATAGAGGAACTTTGGATGCCATGAAAAAGATTTACCAACAAGAGGGAATTAGAGGATATTACAGAGGATTTGTTTTTTCATTGGGCACAAGTTATGCAGGTGCCATCTTACTAAGCATGTTTGTTGCCCTTGGATCGAGACAATTTTAACTGTCACCCTTTAGCAAATGTTCCACAAGATCAGTAGATAAATAATAATTAATTGTACAAAACAAATTTCATGAATGGATCAACAACAATAACAGTACTGATTAAAATAGTATTAAGGTTAGCAAAAATTTTATTGAGGGAATAACTTATTCAGTCTTCTTTACATCAGTCTTCTTCCTCTTATAACTTTGAATATAAAAGTTCAAGAACAAGGCCAAGAAGGCAGCAACAGTCAAGTCAACCAAGAAGAATGGATAATAATTACCAGCACAAGTTTGGTTATCTCCATACTTGAACCACAACCAAACCTTTGGAACAACCAAATCAAAAACAAATTGAATAATTTGCATTCTGGTAATCCATGGCTTGATAACATTCAAACAACCTGGAGTAAAGATTGGAGAATTCTTAACAGTACAAACATAAAAGTAGAAATACATGATAACGTGAACACCAGCATTCAAAGTTGAAGGGAACCACATCATTTGTGACTTTTCCAAAATGACATACCAACACAATAATAAGGTAATCATGTGATGGAAGGTATGCAAGAAAGTCAAACTCTTACACTTGATCATTAAAAAGACAGTATCTAACAATTCATAATATTTGGACAAGTAGAAAATGTACAACCAGAAAGGAACTGCACCCTTTCCCATTCTATTAGGAACATCACAAGTTAAGGCAGAGAGTTTTTCCATAAAGCTAGCTTCTGGAATTTCATTAACAACTTCAACAGCTTCACCAACAAATCCCAAAACCATGATCAAACTCAACACACTGAGGAAAATATTGTGGAATTTAATGAACATTTCCAAGAGTGGATGTTTCATTGGTGTATTATTTCTAACCTTTTTCATATACAGTGGAAGTAAATAAAGAGACAATCCATAACCAACAACAGCTGTTGCTGGATAGATCCAGTGAGATATTGGTGCTTCATTGTAAATGTACTTGAAATCGTGAATGTACTGGGACATTCCTTCACCATTAGGAATGAATTGTAAAAGTCTATCGATGAACACCATACTGATTCGAGATGATGATGAATATAAGAGTGGGTGTTGAGTGTGTTGGTTTTTTTCAAAAGTTTGAGCATACAGTCTTTGCACCAACCAGCCTTTATGGTTCAAACAACAACAAGATCATCTTCACAGCCTCATTGGAAATTTTCAATAATTGAAACATCATCAACAAGGTGATGCTTGAAGCTGTTGTTTTTTGATTTTTACTCCAACAACGGATCCTACAAATTGAAAAGTCCAAAATTGTGCGGTATGAAGCAATTTGTGTTATTAGGAAGTAAATAATATTGATAAGGTGGACGAGAATGGTGGAGGATCATTGATTGAGGATTATATGATGATTATTTTAATAATTAATATTGATCATCTTGTGTTGAATATTAATGTCGATTTTGTTGAGGTCTGAAGCCTAATTGAACCGTAATTAAAATGGATGTTCACCACGCCTGTTGCCGATCCGATTTGTAATACTAGACAAACTCTTATTAAATAAATAGGCATGACCATCATCAATGCACAATAATAATTTAATATACGATCGTCATGATGATGATGATGCAACTTTAACGTTGATGATGATGAGCATGGAAGGATGAAAGTTCTCCTGACGCGTGAATTTCAAAATGTGTATTTACTTTTGAAACTTCGTTAATAATAATAACAGAGAATTAAATAGTGGAATATCAACGGTACTATTATAATCTGTTATTGATAATTTATTGTAAGGAAATTGAATTCAAATTGTAAGGTGGAGCAAATTTTCACACAGTACCAACTTGCTTCCATTATCGGTCTATTTTGATTTTGTCCGTTAGAGTGAAATTCCACCATTTGGAAAATTTTATTATTTGGGATTGTGAAATTTGACAGTGGTCACAGACCTTTTTTGTGGTTGTATAATAACTAGTAATTTACAGTAATGATAAGGTTGTTTGACTTTGAGGTGGAGTAAGGATGTCCTTCATGAGTGTCCTTACTTGTCGAACAAGGCATTTCGGTCACAAATGATTTTCAATACCAAGACTGCAAATATTACTTGTGAAAATAAGAAAAGGTGATAGATGTGTTTAGCCTAAAGGTTTAGGTCTGAAAACAGATTAGGATAATTTTCTTCAATTCGAATTAAAAAAATACCATTGAGATTGACCATCAAACGTCAATATGACTGAACAACAAACAGTGTTAATTGATGATCTTCAATTAATTTCAAATCAATTTCCATGTGGTGATATTCTTTGGGAAATTTTATCATTTTGTAATGATTTTACATTTATTGTAATGAATTGTGCACTAGTTTCCAAACAGTGGTACCATGTCATTTTGGAAAGATGTAAACTCTCATTAACCTGCAATTCGGATCAGAAATTGAAGGGAAAATTTCTTGAAAGAGTTTCAAATTTCACAGTTAAAAAGAATGAAGAAGGAAATTTGTTTAATTGTCAAATTTTTGAATGTTTGAAGAATTTGACAAGAATTGATATCAGTGATAATGAAATTAGCGATGAAAGGGTTAAGCATTTTGGTAATTTGACTCATTTGACAAATCTTGTAATTAATTGTAACGACATTGGTGTAGAGGGAGCTAAATGTCTTTGTCAACTGAATCAATTAACAAGGCTTAATATTGGAAACAACAGTCTTGAGACTGAAGGTGCTAAATACATTAGTGAACTGAAGAATTTGACCAAACTTGATATCGCTCGCAACTGTATTGGTGATAGAGGTGCTCAATTTATTACTGAAATGAAACAACTGACTTCTCTAAACCTTAACAGGAATGGAATTGAATATTTAGGAGCAAAATTTATTAGTGAAATGTATCAATTAACGAGTCTTGATATCAGTAACAATGACATTGGTTCTGAAGGAGCTAAACAAATTAGCAAACTCGACCAATTGACCAAACTATATATTTACGATAATAATATTGGTGATGAAGGAGCTATGCACATTAGCGAAATGAAACAACTAACTAATCTCGATATTAGCAGGAATGATATTGACTCAGAAGGTGCCAAATCCATATGTGAACTCTATCAATTAACAAATCTCAATATTTGTTCGAATTACATTGGTGAAACAGGTGCCAAGCATATCAGTGAAATGAATAATTTGACCATTCTTGAAATTGGCAGTAATGAAATTGGATCTGAAGGAGCGTATCATATCAGCAGAATGCACCAATTGACTAGGCTCATGATTTTTGCTAATGATATTGGAGAAAAAGGGGCCAAACATGTTTCTGAGATGAAACAATTAACTAAACTCGATATTTATGATAATAATATTGGTGATGAGGGAACTATACACATTAGCGAAATGAAACAATTAACCTACCTCGATGTTTCAGCCAATAATATTGGTCACGAAGGTGCTGAATATATTAGGAAATTGAATCGATTGACATTTCTTAATGTTCACTATAATTCATTCAGTGATAGTGAATCAGAACTTATAGAAAAGGAGTTAATGAAGGATTAACATGAATAAAAATTACTAATCTTAATTATTTACGGTAATATTGAACAAAGATTGTAAAAGTGTTGTTTAATGTAATTGGAAGGAATGTGGAATTTGAGACGGATTAAGGATAACACCCAAGTCGAAAGTGGTCGCATTCTTTTCCTTTCACTGAAATTCTTGTTGTCAACTTTTACTGACAAGTGACAGCAACATAATTAAAAAAAATAGCAATAAATGAACAATTACGATGTAAGTTTCGTCTACCAACCATCTCATCATCCAACATGATTTCATCATCTCATCCACAGTTCGATTCCATCAACAAGGAAAGCAAAAAACAAGTGTAAGTTCAAATTTGAATCACAAGTCCAATATAATGTTGAAATAATATTCACAAACAGTGCTTGTCGTATCGTTGTCGGTGTTTGCATCCTTGGTTGCTGTATCTTTGCTGTCATTGCTGCTGTCGTCTTGGCTGCAGTCTTCTTCCCAAGAAGTCCAAATATTGTTAGTCAGTATGTATATATATATTAGAATCATTCATCATTCTCATCATCATATTTTGTTGTTGATTGGAATATCATCATCTTTATCGGAATGATATTAGACAATTGTATTTTACTCAATTTTCAGTGGATTTTTGTCCTGCTCAAAGTAAGAGCAATAATTCGGCATGTTGTGTTGGAAGTTCGTGTACCTTTTCCTATAATAATGCAACATTGGGTATTGCTTCGTATTTTGTGGTGCGAGCTACGAATGGTAACTTGTTTAATATATCATTGAATGCGTAGGTTTTATGATAATTTGATGATGAAATATTAATTCTTGATGGATGATGATGGTGTGGATTTTATGTATTGATGTGATAATTGATGATTTTAGAGTCAAGATTGAAATCATGTATGGATCGGAAGTGATCGGTTCGAGTGCTTCGGAGAGTTATCCTGTTGGTCCACAAACTACTCAAGGTTTGTACTCATTGAAAATTACTTTATTCCTTAATTAATTAATTAATTCAATTTAAATTTAATAATTTTATTTGAAAATACAAATAATAATGTGGAATGAAATGTAGATGTTAATGTACCAATTATATGGAAATCTTCTCTGAGTAGTAATGTAATGAAATCAATCATGTGCCAACTCACAGGTAATAACAATGCCTTACCTTATACATTCACGTTAAGTATGGGTTCAGTGACTTACTTCCTCAATACATTTGCATTCTCAAGTCAAACAGCAAGTCTTCAAGCTTCCATAGATGTTTGCTCATCCAATTGTAAAGTACAATACTACTCTTCAATGTGTCCAACCTAATGATATAGTCATTCACATGTGGACATGAAATTTAATAAAAATTCAAGAAAACAATCTTTTTCTCAATGTTGGAATACATGAAAATTAAGAACTTGTAAGTCCCAATTAATGTAAATTCCTTGTCTGATTTGGCGAGATATGTTACAATGGAAAAATTCATTAAAATTCATCTGCGTCTCACTTTACTGGTCAGAACTTCTCCCGCCAAATCGTAAACGAGTAACCAATCATAACTGTTACGCTTGAAAAATTTACTTTAGAAAAAAAAAACTCAATTCTCTCCCCTCTACACTCTTTCAGTTGTTGTTGCAACAAATTTTTATCGTAGTGAGGGTTTTTATATATTTTGTATAGTTCATCATCCAAATCCAAATCATCATCAACCACCTTACTTACTATATTATTTATTAAATCGAGAATGGGTTGCGGAAATTCAAAATCAACACTCGGTGTAGTTGAGACCGTCGAAGAAAAACCAAAACAACAAGCCACTGTCAATAACACCACTAATACTACCACTGCTGTCATGACAGGAACACTTGAACCAGAGGCACCAAAGAAGAAGGATGGTTTCTGTTACTTCTTTGGTCTTGACAGTCAAACTAAGGAAAACCTCACTGAAGGGAATAAGGATATGAAGGAACTACTTGGAGGAAAAGGTGCTAACTTGTGCGAAATGTGCAATTTAGGTATTAATGTTCCTCCTGGATTTACTGTTTCTACAGAAGCCTGTGAACACTTTAGCCAGCTTCATAACCTTGCTACTTCAGCAGGAGAAGAAGGAGCTGAAAAAAAGAATCTCACTTTACCAGAAAACATTCAAACACAAGTCGACGAATATCTCAAAAAATTGGAACAAGCAACTGGAAAGAAATTTACCGATTCATATGAAAATGATACAGATAAGGTTCTCTTAATTTCTGTGAGATCAGGAGCTGCCATTTCAATGCCTGGAATGATGGACACTATTCTTAACCTTGGTATTTGTGACAAGAATATTACTCAACTCGTTAAAAACTTTGGTGGAAATGAAAAATTCGCTTGGGATTCATATCGTAGTCTCGTTCAAATGTTCGGTGAAGTTGTCATGTCAGTCAAGCCAGAACATTTCGAAGACAATATCAAAAAGCAAAAGGAAAAGAGAGGTATTACTCATGATTCTGAATTGAATTTGGAAGAAATTCAACAAATCGTTCAAGATCACAAACTTACTATTTTCGAACAAACTGGAGGTGAAGACTTCCCACAAGATGTTCGTCAACAATTGTACAGAGCTATTATTGCTGTCTTTAACTCATGGCACAATAAGCGTGCTGTGCAATATAGAAAGATTCACAACATTACTGGTCTTAAGGGAACTGCTGTAAATATTCAATCCATGGTCTTTGGTAATGTTGATGAACGTTCATGTTCTGGTGTCTGTTTCAGTAGAAATCCTTCAACAGGTGAAAATCTATTCTATGGTGAATATATGATTCAAGCACAAGGTGAAGCTATTGTTGCTGGTCAAAGAACTCCAGAAAAGATTGAAACCTTGGCTACTAACTTCCCAGAATGTAACACTAGTTTGAAGGAAATCAGTACCAAATTGGAAAAGCACTTTAAGGATGTCCAAGATATGGAATTCACAATTGAACAAAATACTCTCTATATGTTGCAATGCAGAAATGGTAAAAAGACAATTCAAGCTTCTCTCAAGATTTACTGTGACATGATAGATGAAGGTCTTATCAATGAAAGAGAAGCCATCTCAAAGATTGATGCTACTCAACTCAACCAAATGCTCCATCCATTCTTGGATGATTCTGAAAAGGCTCATCACGAACCTTTGGCAACTGGTTTACCAGCAAGTCCTGGTGCTGTAGTTGGTAGAATTGCTTTCACCAGTGAACAAGCCATTAAAATGTCTGAAACCAGAAAGGAAGATGGTGATGTCATCTTGGTCAGAGAACAAACAAGCACTGAAGATTTGGCTGGTATGCATGCTTCTCAAGGTTTCTTGACTACTAATGGTGGTCTTACTTCTCATGCTGCTGTTGTTTCTCGTCAACAAGGTAAATGCTGTGTAAGTGGATGTAGCTTGCTTTATGTCACTAGTGAAGAATCTTGTACAATTAATGGAACCCTCTTTAATCAAGGTGATATTATTACTATTGATGGTTCAACTGGTAATGTCTACGGTAAGGCTCTCAAGACAACTAGACCAGGTATTTCTCAACCTGACTTTGTCAGAATTATGGATATTGAAAAGAAGTACAGAACTATGAGTGTCTATGCTAACGCTGATACATCTGTCGATGCTCATAAGGCTGTTGAATTCGGTGCTGAAGGTATTGGATTGTGTAGAACTGAGCACATGTTCTTTGAAAAGACAAGAATAGTTGACATGAGAAGAATGATTGTTGCCTCCACCACAGAAAAGAGACAAGAAGCTATTAATGTTCTCAAAGATTATCAACGTTCTGATTTCCTTTCCCTCTTCCATGCTATGGAAGGAAAGAAGGTCACTATTAGATTGTTAGATCCTCCACTTCACGAATTTTTACCAGAAGATCCACAAGAAATTGAAGAATTGGCTTTGGCTCTTGGTGAATCTGTTAAGGATGTTACCCTTACTGTCTCTCAACTCAAGGAAAAGAATCCAATGTTGGGTCATCGTGGTTGTAGATTGGGTATTACCTTCCCCGAGATTACTCAAATGCAAGTTGAAGCCATTTTTGAAGCTGCTATTGATGCTACTCATAAGGGCGAAGTTGTTGTTGATATTATGGTTCCATTAGTTCAATCTGTTCAAGAACTTGTCAACCAAAAGGAAATTATTGAAAAAGTTGCTTCATCATTGTTTGCCAAGCATGAAGACAGAAAATATCTCATTCATTACAGAGTTGGTTGTATGATTGAAACTCCAAGAGCTGTTTTGATGGCTAAAGAACTTGCTGGTGTTGCTGATTTCTTCAGTATTGGAAGTAATGACTTGACTCAAATGACCTTTGGTTTCAGTAGAGACGACAGTGGTAAATTCCTTAAATATTATCTCGAACGTGACTTGATTGAAAATGATCCATTCGAAGTTTTGGATACAGAAGGTGTTGGAAAGATTATTCAACTCACTGTCCAAACTGGTAGAGAAGCAAAGAATGGTTTGACTGTTGGTTTGTGCGGTGAACATGGTGGTGAATCTCACTCTGTTAAATTCTTGTACCAATGCGGTCTTTCATATGTCAGTTGTTCACCTTATAGAATTCCAATCGCTAGACTTTCTGCTGCTCAAGAATCTGTCAAGAATTGGAGAAATGTTATTTGTGTTAATGGTGGTCCAGGATCAGGAAAGGGCACACAATGTGCCAAACTTGTTGAAAAGTATGGTTTTATCCATTATAGTACAGGTGATTTGTTGAGAGCTGAAGCTGCTAAGGATACAGAACAGGGTAGAATGATCTCGTCATACATTAAGGAAGGTAAGATTGTGCCTGGTGCTGTTACTCTTGGTTTGTTAAGAAATGCTATTTTGAACCATCCTAAAAAGGATGCTACGTTCTTGATCGATGGCTTCCCAAGAGAAATGCAACAAGCTGTTGACTTTGAAGCTCATGTCTGTAAATTCAAGTTTGTCCTCTTCTTTGATTGTCCAGAAGAAATTTTGGAACAAAGATTGTTAGAAAGAGGTAAGACGAGTGGTAGATCTGATGACAATGCCGAAAGTATTAAGAAGAGATTCAAGACCTATAGCGACCAAACAATGCCAGTTATTGGATACTTTAAGAAGACTGATAGAGTCAAGACAATTGATAGTTCAAAGACACAAGAAGAAGTGTTTGCTGAAGTATGCAAATTATTTGATTAAATGTAAATAAATATATAAATATTCTAATTTCCATACGTCTCTGCAAACTTTTGAAGTAAATATTGGTAAGCTGTTTTGTTAACAGATTCAATAAAAAACTCCTTGTCTGGTTGTCCAAAGAATGCAATACTATACCTATCTGATTCATAATTAGACAGGACAACTTGATGAGGAACACTCTTATATTCTTGATCAGTCCATTCTTGCATCAAATCTCCACAATTTACAATAATGGCATCTTTAACACAAGGTGCATCAATCATTTCATTAGTGATTCGGTCCAAAACTTTCAAACCACCTGTACTATCCTGACATAACAATGTTATTGAACCATAGTCAGAGTGAATTCCACATCCATTACTAAATTTTGGAGCACTTGAATCAAGTTTAGGATAATGTAAATATCTCAAACTATGTTCCATTTCAGAGTGAGCCAGAGCAAAATCATCCGTTTGTTTACTCAATCCTCTCTGTAAATCACCCAATAATTCAATCAATAGACCATGCAATTCCAAGAATAGTTTCTTTGAAAATTCCTCAAATCCCTTAACAGAACCATGTTCATCTTCATTAGGAAAATAAACTTTTCCATAATCTACATCCGACTTGGACATTCGAACATTGTAAGCCTCCTTCAGATCAATGTCCTTTCCATTTAATTTCTCACTATTCGTACTAATGTAACCACTTTCTCCCTTCACTGTATGAAGTTCTTGTTTCACTTGTTTCGGCAATTCAAAAAACAGTTTTGAAAATTCAAAAGCTTGATCAATTAATGGAATTAATGGATGATCAACAAGATAGAAAAATCCGATACTGTTCAGGGCATGTTTAATTTCGTCCAATCTCGTGTCGCTGTTGTATGAAATGATGGGAATTAAAGTTTCGTTTGGTTTCATTTTTTTGAGTTTCGTAAGGTAGGTACTTTCCCAAGTCCACACATAACTTGGTTAAAATTCACAGATTTCTTCAATAAATCTTTATTAGAAAGTTCCTTTCCTCAACATTTTCATCCAATTATTGAAGGGAAGATTTGGCGCCAAAAAATTTCCGGATATTGTAAACTGGTTCTGCTGGTTGCAAAGCATTTTTCCAGCAAAACAAAAGTTTGTGTTTTCTACCAACTGACAAACCTATTTAAGACGAAACCAATTCGAAACACCACTAAACAAAAACAACAAAAAAATGCCAAAACGTGATTCAGCAAGCAACAAAGAACAAGTAGTAGAAAACTCAACCGCCACAACTTCAAGACCACCCAACAAGAAACGCAAATCTTCAAGTCAACCAACTTGTGCTGCTTTGGATTATTCGATTGAAGAATTGAGAAAACTCATCAATATTACATTATTCACCAGAAGAATGGACAATGATGAGAATGAAAAGAATGCAAAGGATTGGAAACAATGGAATGAATGCAAAGATGCAGAACTCAATCTATTCGAAAGTAATTCTCGTCTCGTACGAAAGGTTTCTCATATTACGGATTTTGATTTGAGTGAACAATCTGCTTCTAAAATACGTTTAGGCATTCGAGTTGATAACAAAACAAACATGGATCTGGAAATGCAAGTTTTCATTGATGAAAAAAAGATGAAATCGAGATGTTGTGAGAGAAATGCCGAAACTTTTATCATTTCCGAAAGGTCAAATCCCCAAACAGTTCATCCATTCATCCTTAAGAAACATGAACAAGCTGAGGACGAAACTGAAATTGATAAGGAAGTTCTCAAAAAATTGGGAAGTGTCAAGTTTAAATTTTTCAAAACTAAAGTGACTCGAAAGAATTCCATTTCAATTAATCGTCATTTTGAAATCGATAATGAAAATATCAAAATTAAGAGTAGCATGTTGAAGGAAGCTCCAATGTCACTTGGTTTGGGGGAGGGAATCAAGTCAGAGGTTAAAAGGGGAAGAACGTTAAGTTCATTGAAGGATTTAGTTTTGGAATGTGAAATTAAGTATACTAATCAAATAGGATATTTATTGGAATTGAGGAAGAATGGTATTGAATTGGAACCTGCAAATAATAGAGTTCAAGCTACTTCTTCTTCTGCAGATTCAAGTCTTGATGTTATTGAACTATCAGATAGTGAAGAAGAAACTAATTTGCCTCCAATTGGAAATTCAACCTCAACTCCATTGTTAAAAGTCTATGAAAATATCACTGAAACGATTCAAGATATTTCTAAAATGGAAGTTGAGGACTTGTTAAAGTTCATTAAGCGTACAGATGAAAAGTTATTTAATGTAGCCGAAACCCTTTTCAAAGAACATGAAATTAATGGACGTGCCTTTTTGAGTCTCCCCTCCTCTACAAGCAGTATGCTCGCTTTAGGATTAAAAATTGGATCCCGAGCTAAAATAGAACAAATTATTAAGCAAATTCAACACAATCCACAAAATTGAAAATAAATATATCTATATTTATTCATGCCAAGTTACATTGGGTCTCCATTTGAGGTAGACATTTTGATGATAATCCTGTGAAGCTTGTTGAGATAGCTCAACATGTTGATAATCACTCATGAAACTCGTTTGTGCAACTCTTTGAAATGGTTGAATTTTGTTCACACGTTTATGTCTGTACGATGAATGAACACAGGATAAATAATCCTCCCACATTGCCTTTTCCTTTTCATTGAGTTGAACAGAGTTTGAATTGAGTAGTATTTGAGAGAGTCCATGAATTTGAATTCCTGGTTGATAATCAGTATCGTCAAAGAGTGTGCATTCTCTATAATTGAGAATTTGCTGACCATTGAATCCATCATTGTCGAATTTAAAAGGTGTTCCATCATCTCTGAACATGATGAATGTAAATTTGTGATTGAGTGGTGCAATTAAGTCTCGTTTCAACATATTTCCCAATCCCCATCCTTTGAATTTCATTTTCATGAATTGGAGTTGGCTTATGGTTAGTGATTCTTCTAGAAATGATAGAGGATTTTGGCAGTCTCTCTTTCTAATATTCAATCCGAAACAGAACAGAAATTTGAAATGGAAATGTTCTTTCCAACTCATTGATTTAATTTCTGGAGAGGCAAACTTTTCCAATATTGATTCGATATCATTCTTTTTTGCTGCTGATGAGCCACATAAATAGTCCAGTTTATGCAACATTCGGTCAATCTCTGAAAAATCAACAAATTGTTTCGGTGCAGTTGACTGAACTGGTTGTTGTTCATCATCATCAATAGGACGATAATAAATCTCCCCTTCAGTGCCATTTCCCAACACTTCTCTATAGTATAGTTTTGCAAATTTTTCACTTTCAATGAATTTCCGCCAACTTTTGCAAACTATTCTTGGATCGAAAAAGAGGAAAGCAGGTGGAAGAAACAATAAAATTTCATAGAGAATTGGTTCATGATCAAACCAGCAATAGTGCTGGGCAGCAGTATCAACAACGCGTTGATAGGTCATTTTTTTTGGAAACTCCTTTCGTCTGATTTTGGTACGAATCATTAAATTAATTGTGTAAAGTTAATTATTTATTAATTATTCATCATGTTGAATTTAGTATAATATTGCACATGGTAAAAAAGTGATGAAATTTTCATGTAAGAAACTGACTCGTAGCTCTCTTCTAAAGAGGAAATTTCCCTTTCTGTATAATTATTCGATTTGATAATTCGTCCTAGAAGGAACTTTCTATTCGAAACAAGTGATCAAAACAAACACCATCTGCAGCTATCGTGCCACCAGTTCACAACTCAAACTGTCAATTCAACAACTGAAATAACAATCATCCTATCCAACAAGCAACCAATTCACAGCAATAAAAACAAATTCTTCTCCTTTGTGTGTTAACATATGTGAAAATTATGAATCAATTATATTGACCAAACTCCATTATCAAAGTATCAGATGATATTCAAACCTCTGTGTTTTCATAGTTTTCGTTGTGTCTTTTGAAAACCATGTTAAACTCTAAAAATAAACACCAAAAAAAAATTGTTATTCACATTTTCACGCGCACTGCTGCTGAACACACAACAATTTTTGAATCCCTTTGAGAGTTGTTGAAACTTGCAAGTTGATTTTTGAAAAGTTTGAACACTGTGTGCACTGTTCAGCATATATAGTACCAATATATTGACACATTTGTTGGTCCGGAAAAATCATTTCATCATTGTATTGATCAATTTTTAGATCATCATCACGGAGAGAGCAAAATATCATATCTCAAGTTGAAAATCATCAACCAAGTTTGCGTAAGTTTAAGGCTTTTCCAAATCGTGTATATTTATTGATAATCTATGATAATCTGCTTTTTCAAAATCAAATCATATTATAATAATATCAAACATATGTTGCTGATGATTAACAACAATAATAATAACAATATTTGAAATTCTACTTATATTTAACCTCTCTATATGTGTGTATTCCTCTATAACGCGGATCATATTGTTGTTGTGATGATATATATCTTGTTGTTTGTGTTGTGTGCACAATGTTCTATTTCATACTAAATTGTACTAAATAATCAATTTCTCCTACTTTCTATCCATACACAATTATTACCTAAACTATATAAATTCAATATATAACCATTATAATAATACTATTTCTACTAATTTTACTACTTTATTATACGAACAATACGAATAATAACAATGGACCACCCGTGAATATTTACCTCATCCTCTCAACTAATATTTGGCTATCAAAAAACATCTAAAATTTCCTCATCATTATCATTTTAAAAAAAAACGGATCAATCAGAACTTCTCCCTGTCATTCAATAATTTGATAGTTGTTGTTGTTGTTTGAAGATAAAGCTTTTGCTAATAGAATCTCTAGTTGTATATAGTTAGTTCGTTTCAAGGATTTGTGGATTAACAACACAAAGAACGAGTTGAAAAAACTGTTTTATAGTAATCGTACAGAAGAATTGAATTGTAACTTGTTGAATATAACAAGAACAATAACATATTCTTACAATATATAATTTATAACAAGAACAACATTTGAGGATCAAATTGTTACTTTGCGAGAATAACTTGTTTTTACTACTCTAATTAAAACAAGAGAATATAATGTTGACCAATCATGGAAAATCCGATAATTCATCTTCAGATGTTCTGACGATAGGTAATAATAACAACATGTATATCCATTCTGGAGGAGATGATTATTATTTACCTCCATCAGCTGAAAGAGATGACTCTTCAGTTCATTCTGGATCGGAGAGGAATGATTCATCCATGTTGGGTAGTATACCTGAAGATATCGATGATGATAATCTTGGTATCAAGGAATATGGAAGTTTTGCACCACAGTCAAAACAAGATTTCTCCTCTCCAGTATCTTTGAGACCTCCAGTTAGATTCCCTACACCTACTGTCCCTCTGCCACCTTCTCGTCCACCAACTCTCCAATCTCTCTCTAACCCAAGACCTTCACTCCCACCATCTGTTGCTAATACTACTAATGCAATTTCAACACCATCCCAACAATATCCATCAAGTCCTTCCAATACATTCCAAGAATTCGTATCAGGTGAAGAATACAAGAGACCTGTTATTCTTTCTCCATATGATGATTCACATTTCCATCTTGTTGATGAAAAGAGCCGAGTTAAACAATCGTCGCCTCCTAAAAAAGCAACCACTTCAACAAGTACCACATCAAAGACAACCAATTCAAGTACTACTAGTAACAGTATTAATTCTACAAATCATACATCTGCTGCTGTTACTTCAGTTAAATCATCTAATGGAACAACAACAACATTTGAGCCAAAAAACAATCAAGTAGGTCTAAAGACACTGCTGGCTCAAAAACAACAACAAATGCAACAACAAAAAGAAGACAAAATGGAAACTGATGAAAAAACAAAGGAAGATAAGAAGGAAGAAAAGGTCAAGGAAGAAAAGCCTAAAAAAACCACTAAGACATCAAAGAAAAAATCTAAGAAGGATTCAGATTCAGAATCGGAATATGTGGATGAATCGGAATCAGATGAATCAGATAAAAAACCATCTAAAAAGACTAAAAAGAAGGAAAAGATTAAGAAACCAACCAAACCAAAAACAACCAAAAAGGAAACTAAAAAAGAGGAAGAGAAAAAGGAAACTAAAAAGGAAACTAAAAAGGAAACCAAAAAGGAAACCAGATCAAGTAAGAAGGATATTACTATTCCAAGTCCTAAGCGAACACTAGATCCGAGTGGTTCAGAGAATGAAACCAACGGAGGTGATGAGCCAAAATCTAAAAAGAATAAGATTACATCATCAATAATTGATGAACCAATTACTGCTACTATTACTACTAAACCTAGTGTGGAGACAATTAGTGCTCCTGTTGTAAAAACTACAAGTCAAATTGTTAAAGAGAAATTAGAGGCCAGAAAGTCTCAAACCAGACCAAACGAAGATCCTCCAAAGAAGAAATCTGAAACAAAACAAACTCTTGCCAAGAAACAAAAACATACTGCTGATGATAAGATGAAACAAAAGAAGAGTTCAGAGGCAATTTCGTACTATCTGAGAGCAGGTATCTTGTTTAGTGAAGGTGCTCACTTTTCAAAGGAAGCTTATTTGATTTCATCCAAGGAAAACAAACAAACTTATTTCTTTGATGCAGTCAATTTACTACAACAAACTGTTGCCTACTTGAAACAAATTGCTAAAATGGCTCTTCAACATGGTGAAATTCAAAAGGCTGCTCTCACTCATCTGCTGTTATTCACAACTGTGAAAGTGTGGTTCAAGCTGAAATCAGAAACAATTGTAAAGTATAAGAATTATTTAATGGCAAAAGTTAATGAATTGGGAGGAGCCTCAACAGGCAATAGTCAATCAACTTCTCCAGCTGTGACATCCCCTCAATCAGTCTCGACTCCTTCACCAATTCATAGCTCCATGAATGCTACAGAAGGTATTCAGAAAAAGGAAGTGGAAAAACTTTGTAAAGAATTAGACGTTGTTTCCCAACTTGCTGAACAAGAAGATAATTTAAATCTTCAACTCAAGAACTTTGCTGTATACAGAGAAGATTCCGAACTAATGATTCGTGTCTATCAGGGAGATCTCATGTTTGTCACAATGTTCATTGAAGAAGAATTGATAAAACTAGATGTGTTTTAACAATCCAATAACAATACATTCAATAACTTATTTAAATGCAACAATAAATATATAAGATGATTTATTATTATTATGTTGACATTCAATTTAATAATAAATCAAGGTTTGCTTTCTCTATTAATGAGCTAAACACTTCTCCAAAGTTGGACAATAACTTGGAACCTTGAAAACATCAGCATCTACCTTCTCTGTTTGATCATAATATACAACTTGCTCATTACCAGTGAATGTAAAAGTATTCACATTCAAAATCCAACATTTTCCACTCTCAATTCGCTCATCATTAAAAACCCAATATTCAGCATCTTGTCCATACTTGTTAACAGCTTCAATTCTATTGGCATTATATTGACCAATCTTTCCCTTTGTAATCTTTCCACTCTTTGGAACACAAGATGGTTGCCACTTGCTTGGATCTGTATTCACTTTCACACATGAACAAATACCTTCGAATGGCACACGATATTCTACACTAATTGTTTCACTAACTTTGAAATCCCACAATGTGAATGAGTAAACCTTACCAGAGATTGAAAATGAACCGGATTGTCTGATCTTTCCAAGATTGTAATCACCAAAGAAGGAAGAAGAACCTTCAGAAAGAGCCAAAGTTTGGTTGACATCATTTATGGCCACAATGTTGAAGGATGAGTTGTAGGAGTGGACATTTGGTAAGCAACAATAGTTGTTGTTGCCTTGTTGGTCCATTTGACTTTCCAATAGTTTGAAAGAATCGAATGCAGTCAAAAAAGAAACAAGAGTCAAGATGATGAATGAAACAGCAAGAGCTTGTACGTGCATTTTTTTCTAGTCAACTGAAATATAACGACCACTCCCAATCAGCACAACACACCATCAAATTACAATCTAATAAAATTAGATGAAAGCTCAACAAATAATTTTACAAAACACAAAACAATTAATTAAAAAAAATGCCAAAACGTAAAGCTGCTGCCCCATCATCCACACAAACTCTAGAACCGTCATCAAATAAAAAGAAAAAATCGGAAGAGAAGGTTGAATTGCTGAATAAAATATTGAATGCACTCGAGGAAAATAATGCATTACAAAAAGCCTTGCTCCGACATCTAGGAGGAAAAGTTCCTGCTCTTCCTTCATCATCAACAGCCAATTCAAATTCAACAAATAGGACTGCAGCAGTTAATTCAGTTTGTGAAAGTAGTGAAAGTAGTGATGAAGATGAAATAGTTAGTGATGATGTTGCAATATCATCAAAACGTTCGACTATTAAAACAACTTGTCCATGGACAGGTTCAAATCTGCAAGAACCTGTTCAATCTAAGAAATGTAAACACGTATATGAAAAGGCAGTGGCTTTCGCAAAATTGAGAACTGGAGGGGGTTATTTTGAATGTCCTATTATTGGTTGTAAGGAATGCAGAATTACTATAGTAGACCTTGTGGAAAGTCCATCCCTTGCTTTACAAATCAGAAAGGAAATTAAGAGAAAAGAAGAAGAAAAGAGAAAAAAGGCAGAAAGTTCTGAGGATTGTTGAATTTTAAAATCCACAACCTATATTTTAATTCGTGAAACTGAAAGAAGATTGAGGATTAATTGAGGAATTGGTGAATACAAAATATTTATTCAAGGGAATTGTGGAATTTTATTTAAAAGGATATTCAACTTGACAATTAGTTTGTGGAATCATTTAATTAAGTTGGGAAGCAAGCATGGTATCTTTCAATTCGAGGGCCTTTTTCTTATTGAGAGATTTTACCAAATAATTTCCACATACCACCAAGTTATCTAAATCTCTAATCCATTGAGTGTTTCTCAACAGTTGGTACGAGGAATCAGTGAGTAAATTTCCTTGCAAATTTAACCTCTTGACATGCTCGAATTTGTTTGACTCACAGAGAATTTTCAAACCCTCATCACCAATAAAGGTATTCACCAATTCGAGACGTTTCAAATTTACAAGATATGGAGATTGAACGAGTGATTTAACACTTTTAGGACCGAAATCTGGATTATTGTGAATAATTAGAGTTTCGAGAGTTAAAAGTTTCGAACAATTTGCTAGCATCCCAAACGAGTCTGGACTAATATTCGAGCAAAACAGTTCTAATTCTTTCACATTTGTTAGGAATGGGCTTTCAACAAGGGCTACTATTGCCGCATCATCAAAATCCATTCTGCCAAATCTGAGACTTGTGATATTTCTGCACTTTTCTGAATTCAAAAAGTGTTGCAACACTTCTAACGTTAATCCACTCGAGGACTGAATTTCCAATCTATTGAAATCTTGTGTTAAAAGAAGAGGTAGATGATTCTCTTGATTGATAATTAGTGAGAGGTCAACTTTAACTTTCTTCTCACAGGAATTTAATTTCTTAATCCTTGGTAAAGAAGGTGGCGATGAAGGACATGATGATGTCGAAGATGAAGCAATGGATACGTTATCTGGTTGTGTGGCTTGATCAGTTTCCTTCTTTACACTTTTGTTCAATTTTCTTGGTTTCTTGCTGGTGAGTTGTTTTGGCATTTTTTTTATGAGTGGAAAAATTATTTTTAGATTTGAAGTGTTGCTTTTAACAAGCTGCTAACGAAAATTTATGTTTTTTCGAGCTAAACACATCAATCAAAAAATTCAATTTGAATAAAACATTGTTTTACAGTTATTTTCAATGTTTCTTTAAACAAGAATATTCTTGTCTATTTGATCTGTTAGTACTATTATGAAATAACTTAAAATTTAACTCTCGGAACTTCAACATGTCTTCCTAACGAATTCGTGTGGTGAACATTCCGAAACTTTCCTTTACACAAAACAACATGTTATTCAAGACAGAAAGTTCTTGTATTCCAATGTGTTCTTAAATACATTGCAAAGAAGATTTACATTCATGAGAAGAAAGCAACTACAATGAACGTTGGAAGGATTTCAATGATATACAGTTCAATTAAGCTTCAATTAACTTTAAAATAGATTCTAATAACATTGAAAACTATCTTGTAACAAAGATACCCAAATTAGAGTTTGACCTCCAGGAAATTATTTCCAAACAACTGCAATAATATTGAAAAATGGTTCAAAAGAATCAGATTATAATAATTTTCTCTCTGTTATCCAAGCTTGAGGTGTTTTAAATTACTCCTTGCGGCATTTCAACAACTGACCTTGCCTTACAACTCCATCTCCGTCTCCTTCTATCATTCGCATAATTGGCTTCTAAACTGAGTCAAGTCAACTATGCCAAAAAAATCCATCAAAAAAAAAATTGAGAATGAACAAACGCTTAACACTTTTATCTTTGTTCTTGCTATGCTTGTTAATAAGCATGTCACTTGTTCAACATGTCAACTCTTCTCGACCAAACTGTGCTGAGCCTCTCAACACACAAAACTCTGGTTCTTCAGATTCGTTTGGAAGGAAAACTCTTCAAGCAGCTGATCAAGATGTCAAGTTGTTGAACAATAAAGAGGGCATAACCTCTCTTCTCATTGATAGTATGGCCAGAAATGCAATGGCTCAATTATCTCCAAGTGTTTTCAATGGTGTTCTAGGCCCAACCAATAAGTACATTCCACTTGTTACATTTGAAGCACATGCAAATGCCAAATGTTATGCATGTCAAGTGGATTGTTTGAAAAAGTGGAAAGGATTAACGGAGAGAGCTCTTTTCAAATCATGTAAATATAGATATTTCTATTATGGATGTGATAGACCATGTTATGGAAGTCATACTGCTTCACAGAAGGATACTGCTGATATGATTGCTATTTGTTATGTTAGGAATAATTGCAGATTTGGAAATGTATTGCTTGATTATGCTAAAAAGTATAAGAAGAAGGCAATGAGTTCTATTGTGTGGGATATTGGAACAGCTGCTCAAAATACTAGAGCTGATTAGTTTTGATATTCTTTGATTTCGAATAAATAGTTGGAAATGAATTTATTCTAATCTCTGTTCTGATACACGAATTATTTCGGTCAAATATTGAGAGTATAGGTGTGATAGTAGTTGATTCTTTTCAAATATTGTTCATAATCCTTAAAGAAAATAGGAAACTGTTCCATGTAAAATTGTAATTGTTTCAAAATTACTCAAACTCCCTTGTAAATATTCCAGAAAGATCTTGTTCTGATAAAAAGGAACTACTCTCCCAAAATAGTGGATTCTCAAATCCTGTAATACCAACAGACGAGTAGTCTTCTGGTTGAGTAGGTGTAACTTCAATATTCAGTTGTGTATTTAGTGGAATGTCAATAGGAGTAGGTTGTACACTCACAACACGTCTAACTCTTATCAGAGACAAGTATTGTTCCATGTCTGCAAGAAGGTCCTTAAAGAAAAGCTCAACAAACTTGTATCGTTTTTTCATCAAATTAAAAGCTCTCATATCCTTCTCAAGAATATCGAAATAATCAATTCCGTTATATCTGAAATCTGTACTTTGGCTTGAAATTAGTGTTTTGACAATTTGTAAATGCACATTGGTTGCCTTGGCTACACAGACAAGAGTTTCTATAGGGAAGAGTGGAAACCAAGCATGTTGCGTTATTTCTGTAATTTCCAAAGCTGCCTTCTCCATAATATCCCTAACAGTTGGATTGTGTGATTTAGATAGAATTGAAATTCTCAGTGAGTTTGCAATTAGAGTAAATATTGGATCAACTAGTTCTTCATACTCAGGTCCTACAATTCACTTGTTCAGATATTTGTTTTATAATGAAACTTACCATATGAAAAACATGCAAGAGCAGGACTCTTTGTTGGAGTGTCTATCAATCCTTTGGCCACCTTTTTGATATTCTCCACACACATTTGGACAACACTCCAAATTTCAAAACAATTTTCACTATTAACTTCTCTAGTCACTACACCGATCCATTCCTCTGGAAATTTATCCATTGTAAAGAAGCTATAAATATCAGGCAATCTTCTGAGGAATTCTTTCAAGTCCAAACGATTCAAATCATCTCCCAATACATTGTTAAAATAAAATACAAGATTTTCCAAATTTCTCTCACAGTCTGTCATAGTAGCTCTCTTCTCCTCGCCACTGAGTTGCGTCTTGACATAGTACTGGAGAATTTGCATGTAGAATTTTGCATTTTCGTATCTTCCAACCCAGCCTTCATACGAGGCCAAATTACCATAAGTTGCTGCAATATGATAGCTTTGAATTTGGTCAAACATTTTAGAAAGTGCCTTTTTGGCTCTTTGAGCTGTCTTTTCTGCTAGCTCAGCGAGTCCATATCTACATTCACACAATGCTCTCACCGATAAGAAGAGAGGGAACATTTCCTTCTTGTTGCTCTTTTCTCCTTCGATATCATTTGGTGTTGTAATGTAATTTTCCAATTCTTCCTTGCTCACCAATGGACATCCATCACATGCAATATCAAAATAAAAGTCAATCACATTTCTCTTACTGAGATGACCAACTTCTTCCACATTATCACTATCGGAATCACTATTTTTTTCTGCAATATTATTGTTGGTGGTTGAATGGTATGGTTTGAATTTTGGATCATTCGAAACTACACCATCCTTTGGTTTGAATGAGGTAACTCCTTTCTTTTTCTTTCTCTTCTTTTTTTCCTCAGTTCCCTTGATTGCATTCCTCTTTGATTCTCTATAAATACATTCCACAGATCGTTGTGTACATGCTGTACAACATGGCAATTTCTTATCTGTAATATTATGGTGAATTTTAAAATCAACAAATAATAAAATACCTACCACTATTAAGGATTTAAAATTAAAATGTTATTTAGATTATTTACATACCATTTTCTATTAAATAGTTAATAATATGAAGATTAAAAACACATACCGATGCTGCTTTCTACAAGGCTCACAGGCAATTGGAAAGAATTCAGTATTATCGTCTGTTGCAGCTGTTTGATTTGGTGAGCCAGTCTTTTCGTTACCTTCTGAACCATTACTACTGCTACTACTCGATTGGCCATTAATAACATTAGTTGATAAATTAATATTTTGATTTGGAATAAATCCTCTATTATTATTTACAAAATTCAAATATTCTTGTTGTCTTTGTTGGAAAAGCAATCCGAAACTGTTTGGATTCATTCCTCCCAATAATTGTTGCTGCATTAATATTTGTTGAAGACTTGGATTGTGATTATTCATCATTAATTGTTGATTTACAGGATTCATTGCAGGTTGTTGATTATTTACAGAAGAAATCGATGGATCTTGAACAGTTTCCCAACCAGAAGCAGAATTTCCTAAAGACTTTCCGAGTGATGATAAAAATCCACCATTATTTCCACTACTTGTATTATCATTACCTAAATTTGAAAGGAAATTCATTGATGATCCACTATTACTATTATTCATCATCATCATATTATTCATCAATACATTATTCATCATCAACTGGTGCTGAGACGTTGCCGAATAGCTTTGATTATTACTATTCATTTCAAACGTTTGTTTGGTGTTGTTATTTGTTGGTTCCGAGTTGTCTTGATGATTTAACGGACGCATTTTTTTCTTTTAGAATTTAAAATTTCCCGCTACAAAAATGTTAAACACTTCAAAATTGGAATTAAAATTTTGTAATATTGTACCAAATAAATATGTTTAATCAAATTCCATTCTTGTAATTCATATCCTTTTGTTGTACAGCTTCACCAAGTCAACCAATAGACAATATTTGAACGATTCCACTTATTTTTTTCTATCAGGAAAATGCTTGAACAGAATCCTCAAATAATGATGAAGGAATGAGATCATAAATGAGTTTGAAGAATTGTCTTTCCACTCAGTATCATCATGTTATCAATACTGAGATCAACATGCTTAGTAGAGGTGGAGAATAATAAAATTGAAATACCAGCAGCACTTTGGAGGACCTCCATTCGATTCTTGCTCCAATCGTGCTCTTTTTTGTCTCTTGTTCTCAATTATCAATGTGCGCTCAATTTCCGACGCAAGAATCAAAAAAAAAAAAGACGTTTTCCGTTCGCTCGTCCGTGATGCTTTAGAAACAAGCAACAGATAACAACACTGTAAAAAAGAAGAATTTGTGGCGTTTTGAGAAAGAGAAGGAAAGAATGAATTCGTCATCAACATCACCACAACAGGCTCCTCCTCAAGGCTTTGGAAGTTTTCCTTCCTCCCCTAACAATAACATGTATACACAGCCTCAGCAACAACAATATTCTTCCTATAATAATAGTTTAAATAGTAGTAATAGTACTAATAACAACATGATGATGATGAATAGTGTCCACCATCATCAGCCTCTTCCTTCATCTCCTTATAATCAACATCATCATGTGGCATCTCAATCAAACACCTCACAACAGCAACAGTATTATGATAATAACAATAATTATCAGGAATATAATAGACCACCGAATAATAATAACATGAATCATTCATCATCGATGAATAATGGTACGATGATTTCACTTCCTAGTCAAAATTCCTCCTATCAGACGTCACCATCACAATATGGCAACAGTAATAACAATAACTTTATTTATAATATTCCACCACCATCCACACCACAGCAACCACCACCTCAACAAAATTATCATAATGGAATGCAAGGAATGAGTAGTAGTTCATATCAATTTGCGAATAGTAATGGAATGCACAATAGAATGAATAATCAAAATGTGTCACCACCCATGAATCAACAACAAAATCTCGAATCAAGTCCAGAAGAAAATTCGTCATCACCAAATGCTGAGCAATTGGGAAATTCGGATTTTCATCCCATCGCCTGTATAAATTGCAGAAAGCAACACAAACAATGGTAAGTTTAGTTATATTTGGAATTAAATCGATAACATTTTATAGTGGTAAGTATTAAATAAGAGAAATTGATTATTTAATGTTTCGGATATATAATTTAAACCTATCAGATAAGAAATTACCAAGTTGTCAACGATGTATTTCGAAAGGTATAACTTGTGAATATAAAACGCCTAGAAGAATGAGATATCCAAATCAGTCGAAACAAAAACAACAGCAACAGTCAACTGAGGAACAGCAACAATCAGAACCAAAGAAGAAGAAAAAGAAAACCGACTCGAAAGATAACCTAACACCAAAATCAAACTCTCCTCTCGATCCAGAAAATGTTTGTGCTCCAAATACAACTCTCACTAGCAGATTCCCTCAAACTCTCTCAAAAAAGAATATTATTGATATTTATTATAGCATGATATGCGATCACTTTATATTTATTGAAAAACCAGTATTGGAAAAGTATATTCTTTCCAAGAGTAATAGTGAAGATGTGGATGATTCAGAATTACCACTCAAGAAGGAAATGCAGACATTCTTCTTCTCTGTGACAGCACTAGTGGAACAACGTATGGGAATGGGAGATTTATCTGAAAAATCAGCAAAGAAGGCTAGAGATTGTCTTTCTAAACTTTTTGATGAAATGAATAACTTTGTAGTTGCCTGTTCGTATGCAAATTTGGGATCATATGAGATTGGATCAGGACGAGTCAAACTATCCAGGTTCTATTTCCATAATGCCAAGTTTTACTTTGAAAGTTTGGACGATTCTGAAAAGTCAAGGTTATCAGAGCATGAAAAGGCTCTCCAAAAATACTTGACATCAGTGGAAATTGTAAATGCAGATAATGATCTAGGAATTTCAGCCATGATACATGACATGCCAAAAGTTTTTCATTTCACCACAGGACATCACTTACCTCAAGAAATTGTTAAAGCAACTCAACAAGAGGTCAGTCCTTCGAATTGTTTGGACTATCTCAAGATTGTGGAAATGATTGCCTCGTACTTGAACAAGTATTTCAGAGGTATGGCCACTAAAACTAGAGGAGAAAAGGAAATGGAAATGTATGACAAGGGTAGTAATCTCTGCCAAGGTTTACTAATGAACGGATTACGTGTAGGTGTCTTGACTAAGGCAGGGTATGGCAAGGATCTTATTGAAGAGTCTTCTTTGAGAATTACGTATGCGTCCGAGAGTGAATTTTTTCCATTCCTTCCTGTTATTGTAATTCCACACGTTGCTCTCGCTGCCCGTATTCACTTACAAATTGTAAAAAAGATTGAAAATGGTACCAGACAAAATCATCAGAAAGGGCTCACTTTCCAAAATACCGTTGGACCTATTGATTATTTTGATATTCTGGCAAAAGATTACAGATCACTCATTATTCTCTCTAAAAGATTTAAGAGAGTGTCGGTATGTTACGGTTCTCTCCTTGATGAAATTAAAGAGATTTTAGGTAGGAGAGTTGAAGCTCAGCAAAACAACGACACCACCTCGACAAATAACTCTAATACTGTTACTACCCCAATTGCAGATGATGCACTCTTACAGCCACTTTCCTTAGACTCTTCCAGCCTGCCTCCACTGTCCTTCCTTCTAGGTTCTATGAATGATAATCCTTCACTACCTCAATCTTCAAGCTCTCAAAAATCAACCCTTGATGGATATGCTTCCAACAATTTACAACAAAGCATTTTCAATTCAATAATTCAATCTCCAATCAAATCACCCTCACAACAACAAGAGTTGTACTTTGCTGATCCATTCTTTACACACGAAGATTTACAACAAATATTTTCTCCACATACGTATGGCGATTTTGAGGATGTATCAGAATATAGTTTTAATGTGAAATAAATTAGTTCCTTTCCCATATAATATCTCTATTGTTCTTCCACGTATTTGGCTACATATTCAGGATAGCATGGCAATCTATCTCCTAGCATAACGTGGTGATTACCAGTTTGAGTTTCAGCTGTTGGTTCAAAGACTGGTTCCAAAGGCTTTTCCACAAATACTTCGTGATCTTTCTTAACTGGTAATTCTTCCTTCTTTTCTTCAACAACTGGTGTTTCTGTAATTGTTTCTTCCTTCTTTTCTTCAACTGGTGCTTCTACAACTTGAGTAGTTTCCACAGAAATTGGTGGTACTTGTTCAATTGAACAAATAAATGGAATTGTTTCTTGAATTAACTTTTTACAATTTTCAACTTGATAATTCAATCAGGTAAATTCCAATTTGAACTTTTTTAGGAATAAATTGTTGTAATTCAACAGTTTCGTTTCCAAGGCTCTCCATGATTTTTCTTAATAATTCATAAATTTCAATAATTTCACTTAATTCATCCTTATTTAACAATTGAATGTCAGTTAAATATTCTTGATTCAAATATGTTTTGATAAATTCATCCAATACTATTAACTTCTCTTCCAATTCTTGAATATATTTGGTCAATTTCATTAAAAAATTCTCCGATTTAATGCTTTCTACCATACAAGTCATGTTTAACTTTAGTTCATCAACTTGTGAACTTTCTTGTTCAAGTTTCAATTCATTAGCATGTTCAAAACAATTCTTTAACTTTTCACAAATTTCCAAATATTCTTTTTGAAATTCATTTTCTAATACAGTACATAAAACCTTAATTGCATTGATTTGTGAATTGGATTGAGTTTCTTCTTGTCTTTCAATATTTGTTTCTTGTGTTTCGTCTTGTTCTTTAATATTTTCGTCTTGTTTTTCGAGAGTTTCTTGATTTTCATCATGTTTTTCCTCTTGTTGTTCGAGAGTTTCTTGGTTTTCATCATGTTTTTCAAGTGGTTCTTGTTTTTCAAGAATTTCTTTCTTAATTTTATCTTTTTCAACTTTTTCATTCAATTCCTTCTTAATTTTGGAAATTTCCTTTCCGTTGACTTTCCATAAATTGTTAATTTTAATATTTGGTGATTGAAGTAATAATTTAACAATTTCTAAACGTCCTTTTTCACATGCAATATGTAATGGAGACTAATAAATATTTAAAAATGTTGTAATTATTATTACTTACTTCCTATTATGGTAATGTTTAAAATAAGTATTAAATACAAACCATCTAAATAATAATGTAAAATATTTTAAATATTTAATTCTTACATGCTACGAGGAAATAATTAATAAATTAATTATTAATTTACATACTTCCTAAAATAGATAAATAATTTAATTGGTTAATTACTCACTTTCTAATAACAAAGTTGGCAAATTAATTTCAATATTTAATAATACTAACTTCCTATTAAAAAAATTAATATTAAATATTAAAAATACTAACAATCTAAAAAAATGTAAATATTTAAAATTGTTTAAAAACTTACAACTCTCTAAAACAAATATACACGTAATTTAATTAGTAGAGACTTACTTGCTAATAAAAATATTAATTTAAGATTATATTACTTAAATTACATACTTCCTAATAAGGAACTTGTTCATAAATAAAGAATTTAATACTTACTCCCTAATAATATTAACATTAAATAGTTATAAGTGAAATACTAACTTTCTAATAAATTATTTTATAAATAACTAAGTATTAAATACTTACATGCTAATAAAATGCTAATTTAATACAAAATTACCAAATTTAGAATACTTACATACTAAAAATAGTATTATTTTTATATTTTTTAATATTAAATTACTTACAGTCTGAAAATATTATTATTACAATGCTAGCAACACTTACAAACTAATAGCATTAAATATAAATAATTAATTATTCAATTCCTTACATACTAATTAATTATTTAGTATTTTACAATATTTCCTTAAATACTTACTTTCTACAATCATACCCATTTAGATCTTATTAAACAATTGATATTCTACTCACATACTACTCAATTTTAAATATTTATAATGTTAATATTAAATAGTACTTACTCCCTTATTCACATCAAGTCCTCCACAATTCAACAATAACTTGACAATTTCCAAATGTCCCCTCTCACAAGCCATGTACAACAATGTCTTATTCCGATCAGATTCATTTACCTTCGTTGGCTTGAAATACTTTTTAAACTCGGCAACGTTTCCACTATTTGCAGCATCTACAAGATGAGGAGAGAGCATTTTGATGTTTGGTGTTGTTTTGTTTTTTTTGAATGAAATTTTCTTTTTATCACCATATTAAGGCCTTAATGAAAGTTCATTATGGTTTGGGAACTTGTAATTTCTAGAAGTTGCGTTTGGAGTTTAATTAGAATGTTTAAAAATTGAAGTATTAATCAGAATCACCAGAATATGATTCATAATCATCGGTTGAAATCATTTCTTGTTCGCGTGGTAAACCATTAATGTAATCGGCATAATCTACTCGCAAATATTTGACTAAATGGAAAAATTGAGATCGTAGCATGGTGTTACCTTGAACGAACTCTCGTGCTTCGATTTCTACACTATTACAGTTAATTTCTAGTAAACGGATAGCTAGCTCAATTATTCCTGTTTGTATCAGGGCAAGATTCCTCTTATTTTCAATGTCAAAATTAAGAACTTTCAGTGTTTTAGTTTTGGCTAAAGTAAAGTTGACTGCCTTATCAATATCCAATAGAGCTATTAAACCTGCAAAAATGTAAATGGAACGTTTCTCCAACATTGCTCGCATTAAAATTTCTACTAGCTTTTCAAGATTAGGTGGCTTAATTCCTTTCACAATATAGTCACAAACTAAATTGATGAGGCAGTTATTATTTAGTGGAATCCAAGAGTTTTTGATAGCCAAGCTATAAATAAATTCCATATTTGATACCGCATTGCTTATAGGTTCAATAGCGTCATACATTTGATATGAAACAAGTACTCTTGCTGGTCCAGTTAGTTCATTATTTGATCTGAAATAGAAGAGTAATAAATCCGAAATGACTTTCCTTATGTTATCATCCAAAAGTTGTTTCTCTGAAAGCAGTTGGTGTATGCGTAAACATAGAACCAATCGACCAGCCATTGTTTCTGGAAGTACGGTTTTCCAAGTTATAAATCCAGGTATTAAAGATTTAACAGCTAGCACCATCCTTTCCGTCATTCCTAATATTATTAAAATGGTTTCTATGAATTTGAAATACTCAGATTCAAGTGGATATTTTACAATATTAGAAATTATACTTGTCAATTCGTCATCCTTAATCATCTTGTTAGTTAATTCCATTGTAGCACACAAAAAATTAAGAAATGGTTCAACATCCTCAGGTGTTTCCACTTTAAATTCAATCGTACCGTTGTAAATTACTTCCAAACATGACTGATCGAGCATAATTTGGTCCAAATGATATGGTAAACCTAGTAATAAAATTTTTCTAATGGAATATGGAGCATTTTCGAGAATCTCTTTGATATAGAAATTTCCGAATGTTTCATCGCTGAAAAGGGCACATTTCATGGCTATTTCTCGTAAATCTAACAACTCTGTAGCATCCCCAATAATTCTAAAATAATGTGCAATGAATGCACTAAATTTGAGTTTTTCAACAACTTTCAAAGCTTTTCTTAATCTTTGATTGTGTTCTTCATTTCGTTCCAAATCACTAATAGCATCAAACTCTTGATTTAGAAAAGCAAATGTTGGAAACGGACAACTATGAGCATAGATTCGGAGTATGTCTATTAAATTCTCATCTGGTTCTACGTCAATTCTTTCATATAATAGTTGGAATAAGTTTTGCAACATTGGTTCATTTTTGGTTGTACGAACAATTCTAAGGTCTGCATACTTTGAAAGTAATTTTTTTTCTCTTGTTGTCCATTTTGGACACATTGCCTTGTCATTCCAATATTTTTCATTATAATGTGACAAGAAATCAATTAACTTGATGTAAAAAACATGAGAAAGAGTAGCACCTTCAGTATTCATACACGCCCAGACAGCATGAAAATACCAATACGGTACCACATGTTCATACTTAGTATTTGGAAACAGAAAATTGTCCCTTGTCTCCTTATAGTCATCCAAAAATCGATAAACCAACTGGCCAGCACCACCAAGGTTGATCACTTTAAATAAATTTGTAATATCATCATCGTCACTCCAAGAAATTTCCGTAAATGTTTCTTCATCTTCCATCATGTCATTTTGAACAATATCACACAACAGTTCATAGCTTGTGTAAATGTCTCCCCCAGGCAGCTCATCGGACAGTTGTGACTTGTGCAAATGTTCCTTCAGAGCATCACGGTTAGGTCCATCACGAAGTTTGAACATTTTTTTTCTTATTAAAATTAGTTAAATATTATTAAATAAATAAGTTTGGAGCTATTTGGTTTTTTGGTGACAATATAATGTTACGCCACCGAAGCTCCAACTCAGAAAAATTTTCAAAATTCAAAGTAAAATTGTGTTTGTGTTATTAGAGTGTTAATAATTAAATACTGTCGGTTTCAATCCCTTATCGTTTACGCAGACTTTTTATTGATGGTGCGATTTTATTATTGGTAAACAACTCAAGCAGGAACTATTCTAATCATTCAAAAAATTATTCATATTGGTGTGGGTGTAATTAAGTTGGGGGGGCTACGTGCAGTTAAGAACAACTAGATCTGATGCTCTATTCAGTCTGTGTAATGTTACTTTTGGTTGCAACGAAGGAATGGAATTTTCTAATTATTTTGAATGTATCTGTCTAGAATCCAAAGTGAAACCTTTTCCAAGATTAAATAAAACAACTTTGGATTATTTAATAACAATTATTCCTTCGTCCCAATTAATATCAATCTCAAAAAGAGGAAAATCCAATGTATTACTGTATATCATCAAGTTGTGTCAATCATCCCACCTTTATTTATTGAGATAATCAGCTGGCTTCCAGTTTTTCTAAAATGCACTAATATGGCAATGCTTATTTTGACTTTTCAAAAAAAATGACCAAAAATTGTAAAAGAAAAGGAGTTATTATTGATGAATTAACGTATGAAGGATCATCAAAACCAAAGGATTTCTGTTGTGTTTGTAAATCCAAACATGATACAGTTATTTGGAAGAAGGGTTCCTTTACACTCACTCCTTTAGCATTAAAGATGGCTTCACTTATGAAAAATTGTGTCATTGATGGCAATTTATGTGGAAATGTTTGTTGTAATGCAGCGTATGTGGAAATATGTAATTATTACAAGTCTCCAATAGGGAAAGGAAAGGCAGATTCACTAAAAACCATCAAGGATCCCATCTGGAAAACTGATAACAAAATTCGAAAACCGAAATTCGAAATTGTTAAATCGCAAAGAACACTTGTACCAATTTTACTTTACTATTTTATTCAATGAATAAGGGATGAAAAACATTCATTAGAAGAAGATAGATTCCCAGTAATATATTCTCTCTCTGTACAATTTATTATTTCAATATCTGTCAAGTTAATTGAGATAGAAGGTTTTTCATTAGCTCATACCAAAATAGCTGGAGTTGAACTTCCTTGAAAAAGAAGTCTGGAAATTCCAGGAAAGAATTTGGAACAAAAATCTTTCCTAGAAAATCCAGAGAAAAATCTTTCCGGCTACATTACCAAAAGGGTCAATCATCTCTCTACCAGCAGCCAATTCGAATCCTTTGACCAAACTATTCAATAATATTGAGGAACAATTTAGTAGTAAACAACTCTCCAAAAGAGAACAACGAAAAACATCTCAACTCAACGTTAATGATCCTAAATTTTGTGAGTTGGATATTGAAATCGTTCTTAAGTGTTTTCCAGAAATTAAACCTGCAAGCTTTATTTTAGAAACCATATTACAGGAACAAAATGAGTATCCTCTTGATGTACGTTATATGGTAGCATTAGCAGTGGCCAAATATGATGTTGGAACTCAAAATATTTATGATATTGTCAAATTAGTTGGTAATTTGCCAGAGTTTGGTAATTTAAAATTACGCGATGCCATGAATTCTGACACAGTAATAAGATGTATTGTTGAGATTGGATTATGTGTTAAAGTTGCACTTTCTTTAATCCTAAGTGAATCTTTGGATTTGTTGTGGTCTTGTGATGAAACAGAGGATCATTATAGAAGATTTCTTGCCATTACAGCACATGGAATGTTGAAAGACAAACCCTGGCATTTTGTTCTTGGTTTATCCGAAATTAGTGATCATGCCAGCGTAAATATTGGTTGCAAATCTGGAATATTGACACAATTCAATAATCAAAGAAGACTGGATTATAAAGAAACTGATCCTTATGGTGTCACAGTATTGGAAGATTGTATATTTTTGAGTTGTGCTGATCATACGGTTGCTTTAGCGGCTAAAAGAGCTCACAAGCAAATGGCAGAGATATGCAAGGAGTTTAAAGTATATGATCCAACAAAAATTCCTCCGTGCTATCTTAGTATTATTCATTACATTACTTCCGTGATATCATCTAAGTTCAGAACTACTTCCAAAAACAAATATCTTGCATTCGAAAGTAAGTGGAAATTAAAAAGTAGACCAATGGTCTGTGTAGATGAAATAAGATATTGCTCAGTTGATATTGTAGCAAACTTGATTGTTGAGAGATTATATTTTTTTAAAAGTATTAGAAGATACATCACTGACAAAAAGTTGTATGAGGTATTGATGTTATTGGATAGAAAAGAAATAGTGATGATGTTGTGTGTTAGTTCTTGCATGTGGACATCTCTTTACTCCAAATATATGAAGAGTGGTTCCATTATTTCCTCTTCCAGTTATTATTTGGAATATTTGGAAAAGCTTACAGCTATCATTTCAAATCCAAATAATTATTCCTATATATTGAATGTAACTTTTGAAATAACACCAGAGTTATTTCGGGAATATTATAACTCAACTAAATCCTTAACTTTGAATATTCCTTCACTAATATCAGGTCAAATAGAATATGAAAATAATATCTTGCCACTCAATCAATTTGAAGAGCAAATTGGTAAAAGCCTTGTTCAAAATAGAGCTATAGAACAAGACAAAGTTGCAGTTCTGATATTAGAAGAGTCGTCAGAAGATAATATAGAGCATGTAGATATTAGTTGCATTGGTAATGTTCAAGAAAACCTATTTATGAGGTTCGGTGAAGCAATCATCTCTGGAAATGTTACTTCCTTAGTGGATTATATTACCAAAAATAATTATGCTACAGAAAAGTTGTACTCAGATTTCATTACAGCAACAAATAGATTGTGTGAAAGAACATTCTCCACTGTGAAATATGCTCTTGATGATAATTCTAGAACCAGAGCACTGGTAATCGAGTCAATAATATTAGTCAGGCAATTTCCATTAGACTTGAATGTCAGTAGCTTTTCTCCATTATTTGAATTCAAAAAGAAAGCTAGAGTATTGCTAGATTCACAACAAACAAGAAAAGAGATCGCCTCGGAGAAGGTGGTCATTGAATTAAAACAGGCTGAAGAAGAATCCCAAAAAGTAGCAAAGAAGCACTCTCAACAGTTAGAAGGAGAGTTGACAGATCAATTATTGAGAGTATGTGGAATAACATTAGATACCAATCTCAAACCTTATACTAACAAATGGTACGCATTGGTAGTAGATAAAATTAAAAAACACTACAATGGAAAGAAGAAGAAGAAATGGAGGAAAACTTTTCGGAAAAAGAGTGATTATGTACAATTTTTGGCACAAATTGCACTTGAAGAGGAGAATAGATTGTGGAGAGAAGGGTTGCCATCATCACAGTCTGATTACTCACAACAAAATGCGTTCACAATCGAGGAACCAAGTACACAATGATGTTTTTGTTTTTTTTTAATAAAATTTTACAACAAAAATGCGCACCAATCAAATTACTGGCGTAACATTAGTGACAATACTTTACGTTTTATAACAAATCTATTGAAGATACCAGTGAATTGTACATGAATAAAAACATTTCATCACTCAGTTTGGAGGAATCAGCACCAAATTCACTGAGTGTTTTCAGGGCAATATTGTGTTTGGTTTTGATTAATGATGCTGAAAGTTTTACAGAGAGAGGAATTAATATTTCTCTCAGTTTGGCAACATTTGAATCTGAAATATTATTCTTCATCCAATATAATGCAAATTCCAATAATTTCATCTCACCAAACACAACCTTTTGATCCTGATATTCCTCAATAAAACCAAGCATCATACTCTCATCAAAATAATTAATATACATTGATAACTTCCAGGAACTTGTAAACTTGGTTTTTAATCTGGTTTCCATCTCTGGGATTGCAAAAGTTTTAGCCAAATAGTACAATTTGAAAAAGTGTTGCACATAATCACCATCTACCAACTTGTCAAGAAGAAAGTTTGTCAATTTAGGAATTCCCATCAAAATTGAAAGCCTAATCGCATCAATAACATTATCCAAAGAATGATCGAGCAAATGGTCCCTCTCCTCTGCTTCGTACAAATAGAGCATTACATATTCAAAAGCCTCTCTATTATACACTTTGAGATCAACTTGAATTGTTTTTGATTGATTTTCATCGGAGGTGATGATCATTGCATCGGAATGTTCTTCCTTCTTTTCATCATCATGATTAGTTGTTATATTATTATTATTATTACTAGTAATATTAGAATTATTTGTTGATGATTGTTGCGTTAACTTTTCTAAAAAGTAAAGAGAAGAGACAATTATTGAAGAGTGAGCATAATATTTGATCGGATCAGATAAAAGTTGTGGAAAGAGTAATACTACGTTATGATCACTTTCATTATTGAATTTCAACTCTTGTGAAGACATTTTTTTTAATTAAAATTATTATCCGTATTATTTTAATAATTAATGAAAATGTTAATTGTAAAGTATTTAAAAATATTTAAAAAAAAATGAGCGGTCAATCTGTGGTGATTACTCTGGTTGATCATCCTCAACAGGACCATCAATATTTATTTAATCTTCTCTTTCAAAAGATGCAACACCAAATCAAAGGCTTTGTCCGTTGGTTTGAAAGGCGGGAAAATATTTTAAATGAAATTCGAGTAAATAATAATAATCGTGATGATGATCATGATGAATATTTCATTCCGAAACCCTTCTCTGTATGGATTGAAAAGGAGGAAAATTTAAAGAAAGAAATGGGTTTTTTACCAATTGAATTTTCGTTGGATAATGCAAGTCTGGTGGCTTATACGATTGTTGCAACTCTTTTCTCATTGTCGTCCAATATGTTTGAAATTGTCGTATTCAACAAGAATGAATGTACTAGTGAGAGGAGTGAAGGATTTCTTCTCACGAGCCTACTTTTAGATCAAAATGAGGAGGAGTTTATTGAAAGTTTTCCCAATGAATTGATTGGTTCGAAAGAATTTATGAAGAAAGCTGTCGAAATGTGTGGAACTATTGTTAGGTGTGAGTGTTTGAATAAGGAGTTTTTGCAGGATCGTGATTTTGTGTTAAGGGCTGTGAATAATGCACCAATTTCCCTCTTGGAAGAGATTCCACTTCAATATAGAAATGATGATGAGATTGTTTTTAAGAGTTGTTCATTCATCCCAGCATGGGATGCAGAATTAATGTCAGATCGTTTAAAGAGCGACAAATCTTTCCTTTTAAAGGTGATTGAGAACGATCCTCCCATCTTTAAGTGTATTAGTCCAGAACTAAAAACCGATACAGATTTCATTATGGAATGCCTTGATAGGGCTGGCACTACGCTATTTGATTACATTCCCGACTGGATTTTAGAATCAATCGTTAAGGATATCAATATATTGAAATCAGTTTCCTCCAAACGATTTATAAGGGATTATTTTGCACGAGCTGCCTCTAAATTCCTCCCCCATGAAGTAATTATTGAACTTTCCAATGACAGAGAGTTTGCCTATCAATGCATTAAGAATCAATCAACAGCTGCTTCATTCTTCTCACCAGATATTAGAAAAGAAATAGAATTTATCAAACTATCCAAGAATTTGAACATTGCCCCAGATAAGACAGTATTAGATCGTGAATTCCTGAAAGAAATGTATAGCTTGGACATTCAAAATTTCCACTACATGCCAGACGAGCTCAAGAATAACAAAACCTTTGTTTTGGAGTTGATGGAAATCAATGGATTAGGTTTGGAATTTCTCTCTTCTTCCCTAAGAACTGATCATGACATTATCCAACGAGCAATTCAACAAAATGGTTCCTCCCTCAATGTTGCCCTAACTAAAGAAAGACGAAACAAGAAACTTCAAGAAATGGCAACCGAAACTAGTGGCTATTTCGAATATTTACATGCTGACAACATGAAATTCTGGAAACACTTTAATTTAAGATTGGAGAAGGAGTACTTTGGATTTGACATTCCCAAACGTTTTTGTTCAGTAGCAGCGTTACACAAAAAGTACCAACTTGATTGAATCATCGAGTACGAAACTTCCTTACCAATGCTTATGTGCGAAGATAGAGCTCTATTGATCAGATTCAGTTCCCGTTAAAGACTCAATTATTACTTTTACGTCATTTGTCAGATATCTCTGTTCTCCCAAGAAATTGAAAAAAAAAACATTCAAATGGAAGAGTGTAACATCATCATTGAACCTTTTGCCTATGGCCTCGATAACAGCTCTGCTTTATCTACAACAACTAGAAATGTTCATTATTTTTCTCTGAGCGCCTACGGTGTGACCATGTTGATGGCCATAGCACTGTTATTATTTATGGCAGTGTTACTTGTTAGGAAAGGTCATTCTATGGTTTCGAACAAAAAGTTGCTGTACCTCTTGACCATCTTTTTGAATATTATTCAGGTTGTGGCCATAATGTCAGGAGTTGGACATTCGGTGAGCAAGTTGACAAATGCTGCAGAGGTGGTTGGTCAGGCCTTTTTCATGATTCACTACGAGACGATTATTATAACATTATTCTTATCAATTATTTGCCAGAGTATGACAACAAAGGTTTTCTATACTGTTTATTTTGTTGGAAAGAGAAGAACAAAGCTCCAGACCTTTCTTAAACATTATGCAATTATCAATGCAATTATTTGGACTATTTTGGTTTCCTTGTTAGTGATAACAATCTTTTTCACCTTGATGGCATACTACTTTCCTGGTGTGAATCAGGAAATTGCCAAAGATGCTGCTGTTGATAGGTTTTATGTTGATGCTGCTGTTGGTTGTTTTTACATTATTTCTGTAACTGTCACAGGAAGTGTCAATATTGCTTTGGTTGTTTATCTTATCAGATCAATCAGGGAGTCAGCTGCTAGATGTGGGCTTAAACCAAGTGAAGAACAGAACACTGCATCTAAAAAATTAATTGCTATCAGTATTAGTCAATTATTTCTTGGAATTGGAATGGGATTAACAACATTTTTATTCATTTTAGGATTATTGGATTATATTGCATTTGCAGTTGCAAGTCACTTGCAAAGAATACTGGTATTCGTTTATTCTTTGTTGGTAGTTTTCACTTTTGGGCCTCTGGATGATTTGAATAAGCACCTTTCCTCAAATTCTCAACTTAAAACCATTGCTTCTCCAACTTCTCCACAAAGAGCAAAAACCAAATCAGAATCACCAGAAACTGAATTGAAAGGATTTGATATTGCATCACCCTCAATCAACCATTCAAATGTTGTTAGTAGTGTTTAATCAATTTTGGAAACTATGAAACTTCCTTTATTAATCAGCTAATTGCCTATTAGATGGTTTGATTTTAGTGGAAATTTCCCACAAATCTTCATCTGAATGATGAATAAGACGAGGCAATTCCTCAGTAAAGACGAATTGAAGATAGGCCAATTCTTGGAAGTCATAATTGAGACACAATTGTTGTAGGGAAGCAACACGCTCCAATGTCTTGAGGAGAATTCTCATCATCTTGTAATTAATTACCTTCTTGTTTGGACTTTTTGGATGGTCTAACAGTGGTTTGTTACCTTCCTTTGTGAATAAAACTTGACTTTGAAAGCTTCCTAAATATGGAACACATGGTAATTGTTTTTCTGACAAACTGTCATACATGGCAGCAATTTCCTTCGAATTGATAACCTTCTTTTGACAATCTTCCAATTCTTGATAAAGTTTGTGAACTTCCTTATTGTCTTCATAAAGCTCCTTGATTCTATAGACAGAGGTGGATCTGAGAGCTCCTAACAATGCCATAAATCCGAAAAAGTTGTTTTGTTGATAGCATGACTGAGCTGAACACAAGACTTTTGTGAAAACCTTCTTTCTATCTCTGTCATTTGTTTGAACAAGTACCATTTCGTTCGCCCAATGTTGAACCAGTTTGAAATGCTCTTGCATGAATAGAATATTACTGCTGTACTTTTCTCTAATTTCCTTATCCTTGCTTTCAATATAGTAAAATTCGTAAGGTTTGATTTTGAGGAAGAATTTAGCCTCCAATAGAGTAAGTTGATGAGCAATCTCGTTGGAAGGCCAAGCTACAATATCAAAAGTAATTTTGAACGGATTGGTAATACGTTGAGTAGTAAAGTACAATTCTCTATCGTGATTCCACTTTGACATTGGAATTTGTGGAGTGGATACCATTTGAAGTGTCAATCCTTTTGGAAGAATGAGTGTCTTGTCTGTTGATTGATCTCCATCTTGTCCAGGGCTTGTAATGTTACAACGAGAGCCTGAAGATGCCTGAATGGACAAGACATTCAATAAGAGGGCATTTTGAATCTTGGCAATACTGGAACTGCTACTATCTGACATGTGTTCAATTTCCCGCATGAAATTAATACTCTTTGCAATACTTAAATTGTTAAAAGCATAAAAACCATCCTTGATTAATCTGGCTGCTGTTCTTTCTAAATTAATCTTGGCAATAAACAAATTGTCCTTCTTGGAGGAGTCCATCTTTGATTGTTGATTCAAGTGTTTGTACTTGGAAATGAGAATATCAATAATGTGCTCTGGAGAACTAAATAAATTATATGTCAAGTAGAACATTTGAGAAAAGTTTTCAGTATTTTCAATATCATTCTCTGGATTAAATCCTAAAATCTTATTAATGGATGCTTCCAATGTTGCTGCCTTGAGAGATTTAGATTCCAAATCGACAATGTAGTCCTCAGGTTCGGCTTCATTAATATTGCTAATGGAAGATGCCTCTATTCTACTCAAATATTCACTCAATAAAATATCACTACAGTTAGCACAGTGTGCTCTGAACACATCTGTATCATAGTCCAAGTCGTTTGCATCTGGACAAAAGACCAACAAGCTGTGAGATTTTTCCATGAACATTAATAAAGCAATGAGTAATCTAAACTTGTTTTCCTTCTTTAAGAATTTCATAGACAAGTCTCTTGAATTACTAATTTCATGAACACTGATTCTCTCAGCAAAGTTGGTAATAAGCTCTGTCATGACACTTTTAACCATTATAAAGCAAGTATTACCATCATGTCTTAAAAGTGAGTGAATGACTGTGTGTCGAATGAGTTGAATTAGTTTGTATAATAGTGCCTCAACAGTATCATCATCTGCTGCACTATCTGAAACATTTTCCAAAACAGAAATCAAGTGCTTGGTCATACCTCCTTCCTTTCCTATAAATAAGTTAAAGATTAAATAGACCACAATTTGATAAGATTTGCTAACAAAGTCAAGCTTTTTGGATTGTTGTTCAGATCTCTCTTTTGAAATACCTCTGAATGAAAGTACAACATTCTTGAAAAACTTTAAAACGTAAAATATAATACTAATGTCATTCAGATCGTTAGCAAAATAGAGGGTCTTTTTCTTCCACCACTCAATCAAGGTATCTCTATTACAATTTCTCATGGTCCACAACATGATAGTACTCAGAATAATATTAATTTCGTTGAATTGTTTGAGTTTGAGCAAAAGTTCTTCTCCTTTGGTAAAGAAGTTGTCAACTAATGAATTAAATAAAATTCCAATGACTCGCTCACGTTGTTCCCTCGATTGATATCTTTCATCATAATCAATCTTGATGAAAAGATCAAGGAAATATTTGGCTGTCTTGAAAATTATCTTTTCATTGCCAGCCTCAATTGATTCCAAGAAGAAAGTAATGAGCTTGCTTACGAATGCGTTTTCCTTTCCAGCAGTGTCCAAATCCCAAATAGAGTGATAATCTGTAATAATAGCCAAAGATTCACTCAATAATCTAGAAGCAGTATCCTTGGAAGTGCATCGATTTACCTTTTTACAATAAAAATCAAAAACACCAGCCGATTCAGAATACCCCAAAAATGGAATTAAATCTCTGATAAATAGAGCAATATTTCTGTTACAGTAAACTACCAAATTATTGTTAGCTGCATTGTTGGTACCTAACAGTTTTTCCATTCCTTCAAAAAGTAATTGGATAAGACTCTTTGAAAGTTGAATAAGATCTGCCTCTTCATAATTTTTAACACCTTTGGATTGTGCAACAAGGAGACTCTTAATAGCCATATCGAAAATAAACCAAGAATATCTGCATGACTCTGATTCAACACTGATATCGTCTTGTTGCTTTTGCTCCTTGCTATGCATGTAGAGAATGAATAAACTCAACAATTTGCAATGTAAAGTTTCATAATTAAATACATATTTCACATATCCAGAGAAAAATCTATTACCACGAGAGCTATTTCCACACAAGTCATGGAAGTGGTTCATACAAGTTACCAAGGCATCAAATGTTCTCACCTGAAGGTCTGATCTAATCTTCTCATGAGTAGCTATATCCTTGACGAATTGGTCACTATCGGAATAGTTCAGAATTTCTAGAAGAATATCAAATATCAAGTACATGTATGGCATACACAAGCTGAAATCTATCAATACAATCTTGTTGTATAAGTGATAAACAATATATTCTAGAATGGCTGATTTTTGAAGAGATGTACTCTTTGTAAATGCATTATAAGCAGCAAATAATAATTGCAATCTTTCATCGGGTGGTTGAATAGTAGAGACAAGATTTGCATCAATTTTGAGTTTGGCTTTTTCAGTAAGTTTGTTAGACATCAAGTCCTTCTCACTGGCTGACAAGTAACCAGGATTTAGTTTTGAATAAATCATCAATGTCTCATTAGTAACACTTTGTCTAATTGCCATATAATTCACAAGTAAATCACCAAATATTGTCTTATCTGCTTCATAGACAGAATTCTTTGCTGCCAATGGTAAGAAGGCATAACCAAGAATGTTTCTATTAGAAGAACCGAAATGAGCATTTCTAATATCTAGGGAGTCCATATATTTTTGAACTTTACCTTTAGAATCCTCAACATCAATACTGTAGAATGTAAATAACAAGTGATGGCCTGCAGTAATGTTTTCAGAGGTGAGTCCCAACAAGTCAACCTTAATTTCATCAACAAAGTGTACATTTTTCTTTGTATTGTTGGCGAGACTGGAGAATTGATATCTTTGTAGTTTGTTATTGTATTTTCCAATCAATCGTTTCAACATTTTGCTCTCAGTATTGGTAGTAGAGATAAAATCTTCTGGAGATGGCTTAGAGAGATCATTTTCTCTTACAGCCACTTCAATTAGTAAATGTTTACATGATTTAACTCCTCCCAACCGAGCAAACTTTAAATGAATGTACATCATGTTCTTATAGACCATATTTGGATATCTTGATTTTGTCCAAGGAATTTCTTCAATAATATCTTCATTCATTTCCTCTTCTAGCATTAAATTGGATTTGTTTCTTCTCTTTTGTGATTCTGTACTTCTACGGTGAGGTGAATCTGGACGGAATGGGTCTGTCCTCTCTTCATCCCAGAAATCCAATGAGAATGTATCATCCTCAATGTAACTAGATTGTTTAGTGAGAGTTGAACGAGAGAATGAACTCTTCCAATCCTTTTCCAATCTCGACTCGATAGTAACTTTACCTTTGATATGGTAAGCTTGAAGTCCGTTGTGTGAACTCTGAGGATCCAAATGTTTCAATAGAGTGATAATGTTAAATGTTTCAATATTGGCATCCACAATGATTGGATAAAACCTTTCCAAAACAATCTTATTAAAATTCAAATCAATCTTGGTGTCATCAATATTTTCCGAGAAGAAGGATGAGCTCATTGAGTTTGAGGCTGTATTGCTGAAACTATTATTTAAACTTGTACCTTTCTTTTGTGCGAAAAGTTTACAAAATCCTAGCAAGAAGGACTGTTCAAAGTGAGCTAAAGTTTTCCTTCTCTCATCATTAGTATTATTCTTCCTGTCCTTTGAAGAACCTCCAAGTTCTTCTGCGGCCTCTTGTACTGTACTATGGGGAGCAATTCGTCTCACAACAAGAACACAATAAACTTGATCATGTGGATAACTAACATGGAAAGTTTTTTCTTGCACAATTGTTGGAGGCATTCTCAAATGTTCTTGTGCAGATGGAGGAAGAGTTGAAAGTTGAGCCTCCGTGAGGAAATTAAAATACCAGTCCTCACTAATCTTCCTCTCAGTCTTGCAATCATACAACGAAAGGGAGAATGTGAATAATTCTCTCGAATCAACCATCAATGAAAAATCAGACACAGACAGAGTAATAGTAATCTTGCTCTTGACAGGAAACTCGAGAGATGGCAATGTCCTATGGCACAGAATTAAATCCAAAGGTTTGTACTCATAGTATGGTTTGAGAAGCATCATTAACCTCTCTTCCAGAATTTCATTCTTGATATTCATGTCAGCAGCTGTTGGAGCACTACTCAAGATTGCATTTCCAAATTTGGCAGACAATCTTCTATTTCCGTTAACTGAATATGTGAGCTCGTTGATAAATGTAACCATTTCATCATTTAAATTTTCCTTGGTAAGATCCTCCAATTTTCTTTCCTCTGTATTAATATCAATTTCGGCATAGATATCAGCCGTCTTGATATCATTAATCGATTGAGAAATGCTGACATTAGCAGAAGAAGAATTGCCTTCTCTAGGTGAAGTTTTTGGAGTATTGGAATCATCCTGTTGTTGTTTGTTCCAAAATCCTGAAAATCTCATTGAAAGAGTCTTTTGTCTTCTCTCTTGTTTGTCAACTTTTCCAACATCCAATTTTAGACTACTCTTATTATTATCATTACTTTCACTCATTAAATCACTTTCACTCTTCTTCTTTTTCAAAGATGACAATGCACCCTTGATTGCCTTTCCAATAGATCCTTGTCTAGTGAGTCCCTTTCCACTTCCGTTTGCATTTTCCATATAACTGTGAGGTAGTGGACTAGAATCTCCAAATATTGCCTCTTGACTTCTTTCATCTTCCAATTCTCGAATGGCTGATAAATGTTTCAAGAAGGAATCACCTCTACCTCGTTTAATTGATTGAGATGACAAGGCAATACTAGATAAAGTCTGAGAGGGAGGAGAAGAAGGTTGTTGTCTGGAAGAAGTGATTGAAAGAGGAGCAACTTGTTGTTCATCATAACCTAGAGGATTCTTACTCCTGAATGGAGGTAATATTTGTTTATATTGACAGTCTTCATTCAAATCCCAAACGTATTCAAAATAGCAAGCTCTCGACAGGGCACTATTATGAAATGCATTAGATGTTGGAGAAGTTGGTGGTATATTTAAACCATTATTTGCTGCAATTGTTGCTGATTGATCAAGAGCAGAGAGTGCTGTTTCCGAATTTGAAGTTCTAATAAGTTGTGAAAGCATTGAATTGTTAGTATTGCTATTATTGCTGTTAGAAGAACGTTTTGGAGTTTGATTGAGAGATGAACTTGTAGAGGAAGGAGGTGTTGGTGAAAAGGAAGAAAACGAAGGACTCTTCTTGTATGATGATTGTTGAGTTTGTTGCTGAATGGTATTAAGTGATAATGGCCACACATACATCTTTTCAAAGTGTTTCATCATTCCGTGTGGAACAGCATGATGTAATCGATACAATATCGAATCATCACTCAGTGGAGCCGATTGTCCCATCATTAATTGTGGAGAGAATACATTAAATTCCTCATCATTCTCCATCATCACTCCCATAGAATTTAAATTATTATCCTCATCTTCCGTTAGAATGGTCGTACTCGTATTGCTATTATTTGTTTGACTCGATCGAGTTGCCGAGTTATTGTTGTTATTGTTTTGTTCTTGGGCAGATAAATTATTTGTTGCCGCCACATAAAATTGATTTGCCGTAAATAACGAAGCAGAGGGAATGATCAAATTGGAGGGAAAATCAAAACTTGTTTGTGGTTTGTGTACTGAAGAGTTTGTTGTTGTTGATGATGAAGATATTGTATTATTGTTAGAATTGGTGGTCCAAAATTGATGATATAAATTATTAGAGGGGAAGACTTTAGGAGTAACCGATGCTGTTGTTGCTGATGCTGATACTGTTGATGATGAAACATTATTCATCATTATTGTATTATTATTTGGAAGGGAGAGAAGTAGACTGGGACATTTGTAGTAGAATGATGGATAGGAACCAGATGGTTTCAATCTGCTATTACATTCGACAATGTATGGATACATTGTTTTGTATGAATTGTTATCTATTTGATGTTCATTAGGTGATGATGGTGATATAATGGGTGAACCAATTGTGATGTTTGGTTGCATCTCTGGTGTTGGAAAGGAAGTGGTGTTTGCCTTTTTGTTTTGTGGTGAGGAAACTCAAAGCAACAAACCTGTCAAATGTCTGTGAAATTATGAAATGGCTTTTTGTTCTTTTCATGATGAAGAGAATCATACACTCTAATAAGAAACTTCTCTGTCTTGCGCTGAATGTAACCGTTATGAAATTGAAAAGATAATGAAATTTAATAAATATAATAATTAAAAAAAATAGCGCGAATACATTGGTGCATGTTCTTTCGTTTATTTTTATTAGAAACTGATGTGAATTATTTATTGTCTTGTTTCAAAGTCAATGAGGTATGGTTCAAAGACTGTTCTAGTAACAATATAAGTTTCTGGAACGGCATCTTGTGCTTCTTCCAGACCTTTAGGTACCTTTAGTCTATAATTCTTCAACAAAAAGACAAGAATTAACTTCATCTCCAACAAGGCCATTCTCTTACCAATGCAATCTCTTGGTCCAATCGAGAATGGAAGAATACCATCACTTCCGAAATCAATATTCAACTCTCCCATAGGTCCTTTTCCATATGTTTCTCCAGTTTCATTCTCACCAACTTCATCAGAAGTAGCAGCTGCAGTACTTGTACTCTTCTTATCCATGAATCTGTATGGATCAAAGTCATCGTGTCCTTCCTTTGCATAATAATGTTGTGAAAAGTAAGAGATGGTTACAGAGGTTCCTTGAGGATAATGAACTCCATTGATGAAATCTCCCTTCTTACTATTGATAACTCTGGCACCACCACCGACTGGTGTCTTGGTTCTGAGTACTTCCTTGATGAATGAAGTGAGGAGAGGCAACTTGTTGGTAATGAGTTCAAAGGAAATATCATCAGCATGTTTAATTTCTTGGTCAATTTCTCTGACAACTTCATCTTGGAATTGTTGATTCTTGGCAAGCATTCTTAACATGAAATTGAGAGAGGCAGAACTTGTCTCGAATCCAGCAAAGAATACTATAAAAATTGCAGATAACAATTCATCTCTTGACAATTTTTCATCTTCACTACTGGCAGCTGCTGATGATTTCAATAACAAGGTAAGTAAATCTTCATCATCCTTTTGAATGAATTCATTAGAATCCATTTCCTTTTGTTTCTTATCAATCATAGTCAAGGTAGCTACTTTGAATCTTTCCTTGGCATCTCTAAATCTCTTGAAAATTCCAAATGGAGCATATTCAAACAGAAACTTTGGCATTACAAAGGTATAGATTAAACCAGTCAACAAGTCAGTAACCCAATCGTGCAATTCATCTCTATACTTGGCTCCATTATCAAAAATTCCAACATCATAATCAAAGGCAACTCTGTTAATAACATTCAAAGTGATGGATTTAAATTCATTGGTAACATTGACCTTTCTAATAGATCCATCTGTTTCACTTCCATAAATTGACTTCCAAAAGTTTAACATTTTCTTAGTTTCTTCCAAAGTAACTCTAAATACATTCTTCAAGTGAGAACTGCTACTAAAGATTGGATTAGCCATAGTTCTATGCTTTTTCCAAAGTGGATTTGAAGAATCTGCAGAGAACATGTTTGGTCCAAATAGACCAACTGGTGCCAAACTTTCTCCTTTGGAAATTGTCTTGTACTTTTTCACAAGAATTTCCTTGATTAAAGCTTGATCTCTGGCAACAAGAATTTGACAACTGCCACCCATTTGAACCTTAACCACTTTGGCATTTGGATTCTTCTTGAATGCTTCCAAAGTACATTCATATTGATTGTGTACGTAAATTCTCTTCTTTACAAGTGCATCTAACACAGCTGGTAAAAAGCTGACATAACCTGGAGTATCCTTGAATTTAATATAGGTTTTCAAGAAGGAAATGGTATGAAGAATTAGCAAGAGGGCAAATAATCCCACAATTACCATCAAGAGATTCCAGATTGATAATTGGAACCATCCCGATGATAGTGATGATACCACTGTTGATGTTGTTTCCATTGTTAATTCTCTCTATTGATTCTTTGAGAGAGATTTGTTGTTTTTTTGTGTTGAATTTTAATACTTGATATTGTCCCGACAACTTGAAGATAATAGAAATGCAACAACGTAGTAGCAAGAGGAATTGCGCATGGCTGCCAAAAAGTTGTAGAGGAGAACAAATGTGGAAGAATGAGCGAATTAGGAACGTTGAACGAATTGATCCTATTGGTTGTTTCTGTTTCGAGCTGGCGGAATAGGAGTAGGGCTATTGATTTCCTAAAAGAATACATTATCCAAAATTCAATAGCATGATCTGTTGTATTACAGTGCTATTACAATGTTTTAATTTGTAAAGAACAGAAATAATATATTGCACTTATTAACGTATGCTGGAAAGTTTTAATTTATGACAATCAATTTTGGGAACCTTCACACAATTAAAATAGATTTGGATACCAGTCAACTAGTAACCTATGATAGTCAGGTGTATAAACCTTCATTGATCTGAATGAAGATTGAGTATGAAAAATTGATTCAATACCGAGAGAAGGAACACTGACTCATTCTTTCAAAGAGAAAGATCCTCTAATAGTAGGCATGTAAGAAGCAACGTTCTTAATTCTCATTCTACCAATTTGGCTAAAAATTTATCAAGCTTAGTTGTGAGTGTTCGAGTTGATCATTTGGATAGTCAAGATAATCATGACTTCAGTCACAATTGATACTAAGTATCAAAAAGGAACGCGAACCCAAGAAATGCAACTCGGATACTGGTATCAAAAAAGAATTATGGAAAATTGGATATTTGAAATTTCTGTAAAGCAATGGTTAAAAGTTGAGAATTTGAGGAAAGGTGCTTAAATGTAATAAAATTCAATAGTCCTAAAATGAAAAAAAATGTTAATCCTGTTCCAATTTCAATACGATGGTTATCAAATGTTGTGCAACACTGAATTTAACACCAGTAGCATCATAAAATATTGGATTTGAAATTATGTTAACATGTACTTGAGTTGGTTAATTATCGGTTAGTAGTTCAAGCTCAACTTTAGAGAAGCAATTGAATTGGTAAACAAGGCACATTTAGGACAATGTTGCAACAAGACGCATAATAACTTCTTGACTCTTGTCCGCTAAAAAATGGCTCTAAACACTCCTTCACCCTATACTTTGTGTTGAAAGTTCCTCACTGGAATATCAAGGCCTTTGCGGAAACGTTGAACAACTTCCATCCCGTTCCACGAGGAATTTTAACCACCAAATTGTTTAGATTTTGCACACCTGAAACAATTTGTAGATTGAACGGAACTGCAGAATGCTATTGATTGCTTTTCAATTTTGGAAAGGATCTGAAGCTCGTTTGAGCTTTTTCTCCAAGCAGGTATGAAAATTTTTACGGTGGAGATTGATTACCATCTCTACCATTATAGAGCTCGGTTCCTCTGCTCCCATAGGAAACAATCCAATATCATTGAATCCTCGTGTGGCAGTCTCATCTCAATCAAATCACCAACATGCTGAACAACAAGACTACCTCACAGCAAATTAGCGGTATGATTTGGTATGGCTCGGACCCCAGTATCGCATACTGAGGTCGACTTTGTATCGCTTGGCATTTTTCTTGCAAGCCATGATTCAGCTGGCAACACAAAACGGGTGAACTGCATACTATTATTTGTTGTGTATCAAGGACAAGCTTGGAGAACGATACTTCGTCCCCCACTTCTATTTCTGAAATCGTGTGAGAAATTGGACGCACTTTTTCTAATTCACCGATAATTAAACTGTATCAAGTCCGCCAAGGATTTTTCAATATCCAATTAGAGACAGTTTACAATCTCACAAAAAAAAATGTCCAACAATAATACTGCAGTGCCTCCCTCATCACCGGTAGTTGAGGATGGTGACGACGAATTGAACTTATCTTCCATTTCCTGTGAATCGTGCAGACGCGCTCACAAACGTTGTGATCGTCTCCTTCCATCGTGTTCTAAATGTCTCTCTAAGAAAATTGAGTGTAATGTAAGAATATTACAAAAATGATTCAAATATTTAATGCCGATAATTATATATTGACACAATAGTATGTGGAACCTAAAAAAAGAGGAAAGGCCTCCGAAGCATATAAAAAGAATAAGAAACTAAAACAAGAAAAACCACAAGAGGTTGGACAAATTGTTGATTATTACTTTACATTTGTTAGTGCTGGACATCCAGTGATTTCCAAAGCCATATTGGAATATTTTATTGTGGAATACTTGTCACAGTTGGAGAATGGAGAGAATGTTGAGTTTAGCCCCAATGAATTTATTCACACACGAGAGGAATTGAATTATTTACATTTATTTTTCTTATCTATCAAGTCAATTTATTATCAATTTACTTTTGAACAGCAATCAGCCAGTGAAGTGATGAAATTGTGTGAAAAACGGTTGGGAAAGTATTTGACACAATCATTTCATTTCTATATTTATGGAACATGTCAATTGATTGCTATTTATTATAGTGGAGTTGGAGATTTTGCAAAGGTTACTTTTTATGATGCTTTGGTGAATTTCTATATCCATCATTATGTTAAAAACACAGCAGATCAGTTTGAAAAGAACTTGGAAAGAAGAGCAGCTTTTTTTTGCCAATACACAGGTGAATTGGAAACTGACGCCGTTTCATCATTTATTGAACGAGTACCTAAAATATTTGAGGTTTCAGTTGATCAAAAGTTGGAAAATTTACTAGTTCCAGGAGCCTTGGAGTATTTGAGGGTTGCTCCTGTCACCCTTCAAAACTATGAATTTTTCAAGCAGGTACTAGATTTTGTTTTCAAAGTGGTTGAACAATTTAGAACGGAATTATGTAAAAAGATGCCAGATTGTATTTCAGATAGGTATATCAAGTATTCTGAGATGTGTAGAAACTTGATCTACTTTGGTTTTCAAATGAGGTATTTGGTAAAGTTACCAAGTTTATCGAATGATTTAGAAGAGGTAGCTCTCAAGATTTCATGCCTTACAGAATCCGAATACTTCAAGTAAGTTTTTATTGGTTTGGAGATTTTCTAAACGAGAGAAATAGATGCTGCTCTGCTGAAATGATTGGAAGTGTGAGAAGTGCTGCAGAACTACATTTGGATATTTGCAAACAAATAGAAAATGGAATAAGGGAAAACAATTCACCACTTGTGACATCAACAGGAAAAGTGTTGAATATTGACTATTTCTCAATATTGGAAATGGATTTGAAAGCATTGACGTGTTTGGAAAGGAAATTCAAAAGAGTTTCAACTACCTGTGGAGAAATGATCAAGCAAATTAATATTACATTACAGAACCATTATTCCAAACAGGCCAATGTACTATCGTCCACTGCCCAAGCACTTAGTTTACCTGCTCTTGTTGTCTCTCATCGAAATACCACTCCACAACTCAACGCCATTACTGAAGGTGATGATAAATGGATATCCTTGTTGAAATATCTTGAAGCCATCAAGCAAAGAATTGGAAATCAAACAGATGAGGACACCTTTTTAGATTTTGAACAACTCCTCAGGTAAAATAAAACAAAATTTGACCAACAGTTGCAACTTCAATTCATTCACAAACAAATCTTCTTAATAATTATGATCCTATGCTAAGCTAATATCCTGACCATGACACTGTAAACAGTTTTACAGATTTTTAGAATGAGTACTTCCCTGTCACATAATAGTTGGTCAATTAGTACCTCCTTAATTCAAAATTGTGTATATGGCTCATCTGAGTTTGAATGGAAATATTAGATGTGATTAAATAAAATCTCTACATCAGATAATCTTTGTTCTCTACATTTCCAAAATAACCTCTCCTGCATTTCTCTTTCAAATTGTTCTGGTTTTCTATTGCCATTCAAGAGACAAGGAGAAATGAATGTGTTTTTCGAATTATGATCTAATATTCTCTCCAATACACTATTCACTTCTTCCATTTCTGTAGTATTCACAATATGAAAGGAATGAATCTTGTTAAATTCCATCTCATTTTCGAAATCCAAATAATGAGAAACTATGGAATTAACAACCTTCTTCAGCTCATGCTTATTAATAATGTCTTTAAATTCAGGTCTCATTTTGAAATTTCCCAAATTAATTGAATGTCCTTTTTGTAATTTCTTAATTAGAATATCTGGTTTTGTAAAGATTACAATTTTCCTTGCTCTTCTTAAAAAATTCGAATTTATCAATTCTCCTAGCAACATTTTCGATTCTTGCATCCTCAAAGTTCGTGCGTCCTCAACTGTATATTGATCTAGCTCCGCAAGTGATACCAATAAAATGGCAAGTGATTGACCATTGAAACAATTAATCCATTTCTTTCTTTGACTTCTAGATCCTCCCACATTCTTAACAAGAATGTTATTGTATTTGAAATCTCGTACTCCCATTGAACTTGTATAGGATAAAGCCATAGGAAAGAATTCACTTTTTGATTTAATTCTGGAAATTAATTCTTCTAAATTTTCCAAAATTAGTAAGTTCATTACAATGTTAGGATCTTTGATATTTTCGGAAATGTTAGGACTGATTGCATTCCATTTAGTTTCGAATGATTCTCTAAAAAATGGAATATTCCAAATATACATCAACAATCCACAATAATCAAATTCTGAAATTTGTGAATCATCAATATTTGATTTATCATTCAAATTCTCCAAACATGGTCCGAAACTCTTTGGAATCATGTCGATTATTCTATTCCTTTCACTTTCTTCCAAAATAGTCCACAATCTTTTAATCATCAGGGAGCAAACTATTTGTAAATCATGATTAAACTCATCTCGATTCGAATAGTTTCGATTCTTCCTCAAAATACGTTCAATCATATAATAAAACGTTGAAGTTCCACTATCAGCTGTTCCCAAAATAATCCATTCATCTTCAGTTGATAATAACTGCTCTTGGTGAATTGTTATTGTTGACTTTCCGATATCTGGTTTAGTACGTGATGACTTCGAGCCCATTTTTTTAAAGTTATTTGATGGTTACAGTGCGTTCTAGTTCACATACTAGCTAATTTTCACATTTTTACAACAATAAAAAACATTGTCGATCATTTTAATAAAAAAAAATGAGCAAACGAACAAGAATTGCACTGGCCGATTTATCCGAAATTAATAACAACAAGAAAAAATTGATCATTTCATGGAACAATTTTCCAATATTTTCGGATGATGTAATTTTTGAAATTGTTTCATTCATTGAAACAATTGAAATATCTAAATCTTTCCCATAACTTTATTTATGCAAGAGGAGCAATAGCAATTAGTGACTTGGAGCAATTGACTCATCTTGATTTGGTGTCATCCAATAGTATTCATGATACTCCACGTTATAAGAAATCATTTAACGAATTTAAACAGTTGAAAACTCTTAATATTTCAATTCAATTTCATCAAAGACGCTAATGAGAATAGCTGAATCGACACAATTCAAATTGGCTAATTCAATTATTTATCGTTATTAATTGGTAGATGTGGATTCTTTTATTGTAAAGTATTTTCAATATTCCTTTCAAATCACGATTTCAAAATAACCAAATCATTTTCAATCAATATCTTAAACTATAACCAATCACAGTTGACTTTAATCAATCAAAATCATCAAATTCAAAACAGATCAACAACTAAAAAAATGATCAAACTCTCCACTCGTCTCCCCAAAGGATTTCTCTCCACAACCTTCAAAAAAACTTCCAATCCTCATCACCGATCATTAATTTCCACTTTAAGAAAATTCACATCATCACCAACAAACGAACGCAAATTTCACAACAACTTGATTTCTCCTCTTCGTTCCTCCAATAATAACAAATTACATAATTTCGGAGATGCTGATGAAAATGGTGCTGAAAATGACAAGGTGAGGAACAAGAAAAGAATTGGAGAATTGAATGATCTGTTAGAATTTAATCCAAATTTCACAGATGCCTTGATTGAAAGATCAAAATGTTATGAAGGGTTGAGTGAATGGAAACTTGCAAGTGCTGATCTAGAGAAGGTTTTAGAGATTGAACCAAATAGAGATGATATTGTTTCACATTTGGAACAATTATATTGGTTTTATATACAAAAGGAGAATTACAATGTTAAATTGGCTAATAATTATTTGGAAAGAGCATTTGAAATTGTTTCGAATAATGCAGTTCAAGTGCCATTTTCATATTATAGGTCACTTTATTCCATCTGTTATGAATTGGAACAGTTTGAAAAGGCTATTTCTTATGCAACAAAGGGAATTAAATCGATTGAGTCAACTGGACCAATTGAAATTGGAAGTAAGGAAGCTGATGATTTGGCTGCATTGTTATGTAGAAGAGGAAGTGTATTGATTACAAAGTTTAAAATGATTGAACGTGGAAGACAAGATTTAGAACGAGCTCTCTCATTAGCTTCCTCAAAATACGAACCTCTAGTTCTCATGTTAGATTCTTTCAAATATTTAAAGAACCACGATCTAGTTATGGAGACGTACAATTTAGTGAAAGAACTCGAAAAGAAGGAGACTAGAACGGATGAGAAAACCTTATTAGAATATCAAAGGGTTTGGTTAGGATTCAGAGTTGATTTATTTGGGTTGTTTAAGAGATTACTTAGTGAAGATTCATATCATTGATTATATTTCTTATCATCTATAAATGATGTAAATTTGATGGTTTCATTTCTTATATTGATAGATATATAAAGGTCAGGTCAGAACTAACTTTTGTATTATGGACTTTGAGAAGTCAAATGTTTGGGACGTGAATCTACTCATTAGATTGAATAGGTATTGCTAATAAAGTAACATTTCATTGATTTATTGATTATAACGGTCAAATTGAGTTGAATGGAAGTGATTCTAATGTTGATTCATCGTGGAATGGGTAGTTTCGCCACGAAGTGGTGCAACTACCAACCTTTGTAGATTGAATCAGGTTGATTTGCATGCAATATGAAATATCTAGCATTATCAAGAGTGATTATTCACCAATTCAATGATCAATATTCAATAATCGGTTTGATTTCAATCAATAGCTTGATCAACAAGCTTTGAATATTAATATTCCAGTAATTAACGGCAGTCTATTTTTAAATTTAATCAAAGACCATATTTAGTAGCTTGACTTTTATGATCTGGAAACTATCTAGATGTGTTCTATATTGAATAATCTATTTGAAAATGAGATGAATTAACTCTTCTATTGAGTTTTATTGGTATTGGATGCTATTACGGTTATAATAATCTACACAGAAATGACTCTTCAAATATAAACTGTACTACAATGTATGAGAAACATAATGGTGGTGGAATTAATCAATAACTCGTTGAAATGACTGAGATGGAATGTAAACTATGGTCTATTTGTCATGTAATGGTGACTAGACAGTGTCAATTTCATCAAATTATTTCAAACTGATTACAATCAATAAAAACCCGTTCTATACATCAAACATGTCATATAGAATGAGTTCCAACATTTAATATTGTGAACTGACTCTGTTGGATACCATCTCTATAAATATAACAAGATGAAAAGTGCCAATACTCAATTTCACATGTATGTTACTATGGAGAGTCATCATTATATCATATAGATAGGTAATATTTCAAGTTTCAGTGGAATTGACTGTCTAGATATTGAGATGTGTTTACTAAGGTTGATGAAGTGTCACCTTCACTGAATCCTGACATGAATATAACAATTGAACATACTATTCTTGTGTCAATAATTCATTATTCAATGATTGTGATATGATGGTAAAATTTAATTTTGGAAATATAATTCTTCCCTATTGACAACCTTAGATGTTCCTTAGTTGACTTGAAGATATTGAGCCATCAACATGAAACTTTCTCAGATTGTTGTCCTCATCAAGGGAAGTGTATTCATGTTTGACACTTGTATGATGTTTTGTAAATTGACTGAGATGGTATACATTCTATATGTTGAAATGTGACAATATGATAGATTGTTATTATTATCATACTGAATTCAATTATAACAGACTAAAATTGATACCATATATACAATAGTGTGATAAAACATATCTGGTTAAGTTACAGGATGATTGGATGTACTTTCACTGAGCTGGAGTGTTCACTAGGATATATATAGTGTTAACATTAAACATTTACTGATTAATTTTATGAAAGTAGTTTGAAATGTTTCTAAACTATTGTAGATGTATTTAATTGATATATAGACTATGTGGTATCAATTCTAGACTTTTTATATGTAAAATGAGTGAGTTGGAGTATAATCTATGATATCATGTCAAATGTCTATAGTAAATTGATAGAGTTGACAACTCGACATCTACTGAACCAATATTCATGAAATTGATACCACATACTAATTAGAGTGTCTGCATACCATGATATCAATTTCAGTGAAATTGGAGTTGTTTCTGGACCCTTCAGATTTCCATCCATTCTCCTGACAAATCACCATGTACTATCTACTGGATACATTTCTTGAAATGAAAACATATAATTTGATGAAAGTACACTTTATTTGAGATGTAGAACACGATATTATCATTTATTTTGAGATTGGTAACTTTTCCTATAGAGTGTAATCCTTAATTGTCTTAATTGACTAAAAGAGGTCAAGGAGAGATTTCAAATCATAAAATAAATTATATTTTCGAGATTTACTATCGATTTCCAATCGATTGATATGTATTTTGTAGATTGACGAAGTGGTTCTCTATTGAAGATTCC